ATTAATTCCTATAAACCTATATCAAAGAAGCAAGGACAGATTTAGCTTTTAAAGAGACTTTAACATTTGCTTTGGGTAAAAATGGATTCCTAATACCTCAGTATTTAAATGTTTATAATAATTTCGACATTAATGATGATTTTACTTTAATAGGGAGTCTTACAAAGGAAAAGGAAGTTCATAATTATCTTATTTTTGATGAATATGGTAAATGCATAGGAATCTCCTAACAATTAAGTAAATTGCTTGTACCACAAGATAATCTAGAATATTTTTTGGAAAATATTGATTCATTTTATGTTTATATGTTTTTGCCACATATACATATATACATGAATGATATTTTGAATAATTCTGATAATAATGATGGTGCAATTCAATAAAAGTCTGTATTACTGTATGTGTTCTAAGACTTTGTTGGTCTATAGAAGATGCATTAAACCATACTTAATTCATATTAATAGGCGTCTCAAAAGTATGTTGAATAGACAAGGGCATTTTCACAATTTGAATAGATGAATTCGTTAATCACAAGTCCTCGAAATGGCAATTAGAAGAGACTCATTTCAGAAACTAAGCCTTCTAATCCATTGGAAGAGGTCAAGAATCTAGAACAAAGCAGTTTAGACTTTTTCAAAATTGGTTAATAATAAAAGCAGACAGTAATGGGTACTTAATAGAATGCAAATTCAATAAAAGAAAATGAAATAATAGATTTTTTAAATGCTATTGAAGTAATTATAAATTAAATTTGATAGGTATTACAAAAGACAATCTATTTTTGTACTGCGAAAATCCAGTTAAATATTTTGGGCAGGAAGGAAAATAAATAACATTATTTTATTTTGGAGTTATCGGAATTTGTTGATAGATCAAATCAATAAGATGAGGAAAAGAAATAAATGAGAAGACAAAATTTGCCTATTCGCAGGGCAGCTAAAAGACATACAAGCCAAAAGCAAAGTTATGTTCAATAATTCCAGACGATTCCTAAGAGTCCTGATTATCATATGGATTCTTCATTGATGAGTCCTGTTGGTTCGGTTTTACAAAAGAAAAGCTTTCTTGACAAATCTCCAGTTAATAATTAGATTTTACATTATGTAAGTGAACGACGATTAAATTTGATGGGTTCTTTGGGATAAGCTGATTCTTAGAGTTTCAGTGAAGAAGTATTTAGCAATGAAATACAATAAGTATTGCAGCAATAGAATGAATATAAATCTAATCATGGAGTAGGAATACTCAAGTCTCAATCAACAACTAAATCTGGCAATTCAGGATTAACTGCGATAGAAATTGTTAATAAATTTAAAACCAAAACTTCTTTAATTTCGAGTCTTGCAATTATTTCATTAATAAAATTTGTCGTTCTTATTTTATTTATCATTTTTATGATTATTAACATAACTTAAGTAAACGTCTTTAATAAATCAGTAACCAAATTTATAACAGATATCAACTTACCTATCAATTTAAACAAATACTTTTTAAATTTGTTCACTTACTCATGGATTACATCTTTAGTGATTAATGACATTTTAAATGCAAGTCAATTTATCAATAATTAAATGTACATCCAAAGCCAAAGTATGGAAACAGCCTTTTTAAATTTGACAAAAATGTATCCCAATTTCATTTCATTAGAAGAAAATGGATATTTGGATAACCTGAATATTACTCATTTAGACAATACAGTTTATGTAGAAAATGTAGACTTCACTGATTATATTTATTATCTTGAAGCCATAGGATATAGACTCTTGCATTTTGAATCAAACTCTATTTATTTATCAAATCTGCTAAAATATCGACTCAATTTTGCCAATATAATCCAAAATAATTTTCAAATAATTCAGTCGTTGGGATCGTATTATACTGATTAATAGGATGGCAAGATATTACTGTTATTCAATTAGATCCTTGCTGAAATAATTATAATCGGATTAATCATATTTATTTAGTTGTATTTTTGGAGAAGAATTGAGCAATATTGTTAGAAAATATTATTATTATCCAATAGATTGACTGAAAGTGGAGCAGAGAATTAAATAATTAAATTTAGATTAGTCGGATAAATCATGAAGTAAACTTTTGGAGAATTGGGATTTAAGTAACAAAATTGTTATAAATTATGCTATACAGATATGTTATAGAGTAAAAAAGGATTTAAGTAACATAGATCAAAAATTCAGTCAATTTTAATTAAGTCTAAAAAGGCTAAACAATAAGAAATATAAACCAAGAAACCTGGTTCTTCAACTATTCCTTTAAATTCCAGGATCTCGAATGTGTAGATTAACATAATATTTAAATTAGTTTATGTAATGATAAACATATCATTTGTCTGCTTTTTCTTCTTAGGAGATTATTTTTTGTATAAGGACCAATCATTAAAATTGAATCCTGCATATGGGTTGGCTATGGATTATATTCAATTTTAAATAAGATTTGAGAATGCTATCACTGTTGCTCTTATGATCAAATCTTAACAATAAATTTATGGTGTAATGAGTGAAGTAATATAGAATGAGTTTCTAGTTCTTAGTAGTATGAATGAGCAGTTTAATGTTACATCAATATTAACAGAAGCATATAACTTTAATCATTCTGATTTGAATTAAATTTATTAAAAGATAATAGACTACGATATTCTTAATGGTGAGGATGAAACATATATACTCACAATATATAACAATGATTTTTGTTTGATCTTTAATGATAATGAGATTCCATTTTGCAATAAAGACTTATCACCATAATAGTTTAAATTGGAATATGGCGCATATGACAGTAAGGACAACAATTCATAATATTTAAAATCTGGGATTGTGGGAATAGTGAGTAAAATGGATACATTTTTGATGCAATATTATGAGTTTGAGTACGAAACAGGATTATTGGATCCTGATTTTGTTAAACTTAACTAGCAATTGAATAGTTAGGATTTTAATAATATAATAGTACAACATTATTTACATACATACTTAGGTTTTGAAGAGTTCTTTAATAAGGTTCAAGAGTCTATAATAAATCTCATAACAACACAATAAAATATATAAGACTTATATTAATTTTTAATAGGGATATTCCTCATCATTTTTTTGATTGTATCGGGGGGACTCATGATAATTAAAGTCAATTTAAGATTAATTCATCTAAGACTATTGATTACTTTGTTGCCAGTTGAAATAATGTTGGATATCTATACAATATCCTTACTAAAAATCTTGTAATGATTGTTTATATATATCTATATTTGTTGTTTAATTTGAAATTCATTGTAATTATACTTCAATAAATTATTAATATATTAAAAATGTTCCTTTATTTCCTCCTTATTTGCCAGAGTATGGGATTAGAATTTAGTTTTCTGAATGACACAGAGTAACAAACGACCAATGTTGTAATGAATGCCGAGTAGTAATCATTTATCAAAAGATTGGATGATTTAGGAAAGATTTTGTAAATTATTGCTTAATACATTTTTAGGTAGGTGAATTTTCAAAGCTAAGATGAATCGAGTTAGTTTTGTTCTACATTTTATTAAGGAGTGACTATTCATCAATCTCCATCTGGATTTATATCATTAGTACACGAATTGGCAAAGAAGGATATCGATGAATTGAGTGATGACGACTTGTATAGGGGATATAATGAAAAGCTATCTTCCTATGCCGTGAGTCCAGAAGGAATTAGCATATTATCTTCAAAAGGGAGAGTTTATTTTATAGACACGAATTCAAAGAATTTATCTATTATCAATTAAACACTGCCATTATCTAATGACAATTAGTAGACTACTCAATTGATATTTGATGAAAAATCAAGATATTTCTATGCTTTTTTAAATGACAATAATTAGGTGATCAAGTATTAGTTTCTTAATAATGAAATCCAACATAAACCAATTAGTGGATGGACGAAGCCAAACGATAAGTTCAGAGTTATAGCTAGTAATGGAATTTTATACTCTGCCTAAGAGTCATAAGGTCTATTCATTTATGAAATATAATAGCATGGTTTTAGGTTTATAACAACTATTACTGCTAAAGATTTGTATGATTCTGATTCAGACTAATTCAAAATTGTGGACGTTGCAGCTTCTGATGATAAATTGTACATTTTAGATCATTATCATGGAATTACACAATTTTAAATACATTCTAATATGACTTTTTAGAAAAATGGAAAATTGGGATTGATTAAATATTCAGATTGCAAATCTTTTTCAGTAAGAGGATCAACCATCATTTTGATATAAAACTACTAATCAAATTCAGAGATAATTGAGTTATTCATAAAGGGAGATGATTATGTAGAAATGCGAAAAATTTATACAAAAAGTTAATTGAGAAGAGCAGATATTCTAGATGATGATTTTGCCATAGTTCGTGGTCTTCATGATCATAAAATCATGCTTATTTAGATGCCTGATTAATATCTTGATCAAGATGCAAAACGATTGTAAATTTAAATATCCATAAATTAGAGACAATTATTTCTTTAGTGGAAATCTTTTGGGGGCGAATAAATTCGGTAATACCAATGACACTCTTTTTGCCATATCCCCTCATGGATTCTATATCTTTGTTTACAGAGCATACCCCACTATAATCATCTGCAATAGCAATGATATTGATTCAGGACTTTATTCAGCAAATGTAATTCAATTATTCTATTGTTAAAGGTGTCAATCAAGAGTACTGATTGTGACAAGAAAACAGATAAGTCAAATTCACTTCAATATTGTATTACCAACCATATCTACAATTTCGAAATTAAAAAACCCTTGCTTTCCCCAGAATAATAATAATATACTATATATCTGACCATTATTCTGATATCTATTATCCTTTTGTTGATTGGATGTATATTATTTCATTGCAGAAGCTATCAATTAAAATTAGAAGCTTTGGAGAGATCTAAAAAAAAAAGAAACTTTAGACCTCCCAGTAAAATGGAAGCATGATGTTATAAAAATAATAAAATATTTAATTATGTAATTCAGAAAAATTTTTTAATTCTCAACTCTTTCCAAGTAATTAATCTAAGACACTGAGAGATATTACTATCTCAATCAATAGTCGACTCGTAATCAAATGTTTTTTGAATAATTTCAACAACACAAGCAAAATTATTTTAATACATTACTTACATGTGATCTTAAATAAATTAGTAATTGGAGAATGCTCATTTAAAATCTTTTCAGGATTGAGACAGAACCCAATGATCTTATGAAGTAAATCATTAAGAGATATTCAGAGTTGTATGGAATTGAAGACTTGCTTAAAATTAATAATTACAAATTAACTTAATTATTAATTAATCATCACAATATTTACGATGTTCCAATCAATTTATTAAAATGTGATGGAATTGCCTAAATAATCGAACAATATGAACTTTCCCTTACTGTGTATCGAGATATCTAATTGAACAAGCTTTTCAAACATTTAATACTCTGCTAAAAACTCAACTTGCAAGTCATCCCTATTCACACATTCAATTTAGTTCATTACAATATTGAATAATCTTAAGAACTCGAATTCTTAAACGATTTGGTCCTATATCAAAGATCCAAAAGATCTTAAACCAATAAACTACCTAATGAAACTTGGAGTCTAGTCTTCAATCGCATTCTCTCGTCGAGACTCGATGAATCACGTCTTTTGTATACTTGCTAATTACTATAATAATTTGCGCACTAAAAAATCAACATCAAATTTGATCTTATGAATTTGCTTAAGCATGTCGTTGATGAATTTAGAATGCTCCCAAAAAGATAAGCCACGTTATTGGAAATAATACGAACTATCAATATTTTAAAAGCCAATAAATATGATATTGCAGAGTTAAAGGAACTTCGCAAAATCTGTGCTAAAGAACCTTAATTACAAGGAGATAAAGAATATGATTTATATATGAATCTTGAACATTAAACCTAGAGTATTGAATTGATTGACAATCAAAATCTAAATGCCTACCTAACTGAGATTCTTTTAGGCGATGTATAAAAACTTGGAGAGATTCAAAAAACTGATTTAAGAGAAAAAATTTTAAATAAATTATAAACAGAAACTGATGAAAATTCATTGAAGAAAATTATTGTAGTTAGTAGATAATTGTGGCCAACTGAAATTTCTATTGTTTAAAGATGTGCTAAATAGATCAGAAATCTATTGGCAAATAATGATTAAACAAAAGAAATGATTTCCTTAGCAATAAATTCTTTGTATGAATTCAAAAGAATACAATACCCCTTTTTAGACGATTAACTCATAAATTATTTAGCTAGCGTTGATGATTTATACATAAGTCCACAAGAAATCAGTGTACTTTTATATTATATTTGTTTGTCTTTGCCAAAGCTGACAAAAAAAGAACTAACACGTGTTAATTAAAGAGAATACCCAATTAATGAAAATCTAAGTAAGATCTTAATTAATTTATTGCCTGTGATAAAAAAAATGTGTTCAAAAAATGCCTTAAGATTAAAAGTAATATATACTCTTACAGATTGTATTTGTAAATACAAAGAATAGCTAGTTGATGTTGACTTGAAATTTTTATTTGAAAAGATAGAGTTTAATCTAGTAAAGGAATTGGAGTTAAAACAACAATGCAGAGTAGCAGTAGAATAAAAAGATATATAATTTTTACACGAAAGATTTAGATATTTAAAGGTTGGATCTAGAAAATTATTAAGATTCTTTGATGATGCAAAATCAAATTACTTTGGAGCGCTATAAAAATTGCTGCAAAGATAAAGAGTATATTTGAGAATGAGACAATCTAGAGGAAAATCTATTAGAGCATAAAGATCCTTTTGATATAATGAATATATATATATATATATGAATAACACACATTGATACTAATTTTCATTACAACTTCTTTAGTAATGATAACGTATGTTGCTCTGTCAGTACTTCTATCGGCAAATTGGTTAAAATTAATCTTAATTATATAAGTCTTTAATTTGTTTGATAAATCCAGCAGCCATAAAATACAAGATATATCAATAATAACATCAATCCAGTTACTAAATAATAAGTGTATAAGGAATTTAGATCATTTTAAGTAATACTTATGACAGCTTTCATTAATGTATCTATGAATAGGTTTGTTCCATCTGTAGTATCTAGAAAGTGTTCGATTAAAGTGTTTGTAAACTCTCTTGTCTTGAATAGATCTAATACAACATTTAAGTCTGGAAAGTAATCAAACTAGTTTGTTTCATAATAATAATTTTATTTGAAAAATGAATCTAATCTACTAACAACTCCCTAAATTCCTTTGCTTAAGTAGTCTCTATTATCATCTAAACGAGTTGGCGCTCCGTATATTTAGTTAAAATCAGTGGTATTATCATAATTGCAAAATGGGATATCATTACTTAACAACTCACAAAAATCATTAGAATATAACAATAATAGGACTTGTTCATCTTCTTAAGTAATTTTGTTAGATTCAATTATATTTTCATAAATCTAGGTGATATTTTCAAAATAATTTGAATAAAGTGAAACGAAGATTTTAATGATGACTCTTTAGTCCCTAAAATTTTCCATTTCTTCATCTGTGTAAAATTCTAGATCAACCAATTTGTTATATAAAATGGGTTAAGTTTTTGTAATGAAGGCTGTGCTAACAACTATATCCAATTGAGAAGTAAAACGAATAAAGCCCAAAGTTAGTTATTAGGTAGGTAATAAGTCATTTTATTACTTTCTAAATAGTAGAAAACCTCCTAAGAGATAAAATAAGAAGAAAAGACAAGTTATGATAATTATTATGGTGGCACTCCATAAAGTAGTATTAGGGTTATTAATTTTAGAATTGAGTACTACATTTAGGTTTTTTTTATAATTTTTCCTATCTTCTAAAATGTGATTCAACTTTATAGATTACATTCCAACTTAAGATAATTGATACTCTTTAAGAACTCTAGATTATGTTTGCATTGCCTCGATCCCAATTTAATTTAATGGAAAGAAAAGTAGTTTATAATAATTTTACTTTTTCCATCCGTATTTTCCAGATAATTATTTTAATGTTTCTGTGACTGCTGTGAATCTTGTTATCATATCTTATGCCTAATTTATTTATAGCCTTCCAACTAAGATCAATATTTATTAACTATATTATTCTATTTATCTCCAATAAGTCAATTAACAATTTAGTATTAAAACCAATAAAATTATTTCTATTATGATTTATGTCTAGAATTCTTCTAACTAATTTTATTGTTACCTAAAAAATAATTCATTAAGAGAATCTATTAATTGAAAGTTCATATCCACAACATTTTTTAAGTTATACCGAAGCATCAATAAATTATCTATATAATTTCGATCAATTAATTAGATCAGGGTCTACATGTTATAATTGAGAGCTTGAAACAAAGTATCAGCCACATTAGAAATGATATTGATAAAATAAGTATATGTAACATTTTCGTTGCTCTAATACAGAAAATCTAAATTTATTTAGCTAAGCATTCCTGATGATTCTATTCCAATAAAGGTATCATACATATCCCTTAGATTAGAAAACATAACGGAAGATAAATCTTTCATCTCTGAGATGGTTTAAGTGATCAAAAAATCACTGCTTTCAATAATACCAAGAGTGTTAAAAACCAAACTCCATGTATAAGTGAAGACTTTAAAAAAATACCTATTAAACAAGGTTGGACCATTAATATTTGAGAGTGTTAATTAAGTTTAATCGTTGTACGATTAAATCTTCAATAAATGCGCTATTATATATGCAAGGACTATCATCATAATAATAATATTGATAGTCACCAGAACTCTTAGACTATTTGTCATTTCAGTTTTTGATTAAAATTTCTTTATTGTGGACATGGCAGAAATCCCAGAGGTTCCAGAAGTAATGCTTGATTTTGATTTTTTAGCTTCTCTATCTAATTCTTCATTTTTTTAATTTAATTTATTCTTCTATAATATTTCAATAAGATTATTGCTCTTTTAATTTTGATCTTTGCTATTGCTTTTCACTTTGGACGAATCCGCCATTTCAATATCATTACCAATTTCATCATTTCCAATTTCTAGTTAATTTTAAATGTCCATAAAGTCCTTATCGATCAACTCTTACATATGCTATTACTTAGAAGATGGACTGATGAAATTGATTCTTTGAGACAAAGGGCCATAACTGATACTATCTCTTGCCGATTCCATTCCCATTAAATCCATATAATTTTATTATGCATAGTTCTTACCCTCAAACTTGTTCAAAAGTCTTTAAATTCCAGGTTAGAATTACTTGGATATATTAGGTGTAACTTCTTCTTTGTCGACATTCATAGTTCCCAAGTTGCTTTCACTTGGATCTTAAGCAACAGGCATCGTTTTAGCCTTGTTAGTTGTCTAAATTGAAAAAGTATGCTAATTATTCATAAGGGAATCATTAGTCTTAAAAAACTCATCGGCCTTCCTCAAATCATTTATTTCTAAAATAAAATAACTTTTCCTACTCTCTTTCTTACCAATTACTTTATACACTGCATTTATCTTAGCAACATACTGTTGTTTAGGTTTAGTCTAAAAGTATACAATGATATAATTTACCTCTAAAACATATAATGAATTCATTATTTAGTTATTGAATGCAACACTGTAGATTGTTAATGCTTATAATAGGGAAACTCCTTTTAATTTTTTATTCTCACTTAGTGATTATCCAAGTTATTAGTATATTTGAATATCTGCCTTTTCTTTCTCGATTGAAGCAAAGGAGGCTCGAGATTTAAATAAGCTACTATCATTGATAAATGAGTTTTATTTAGATGAATAAGCTAATTTAGCAGACAATTCATATAAGTCTTTATTATTGTTATACTTCCAGATCTTATAAAACTTGTCTTGCTAAATATAGATAGAATCCTTTCCATATGAATTTTTTAACTCATTCAGTATCTCAGTCATGTTAGGGATTATAAAGAAAGCATTTAATTGTCTCAAATTATCATGCAATATTCTATATGATTAATCTTTAGAATCGATAATTGTTGAATAAAAATTCTCAGTCATTCCAATTACAAATCCTTCCTCATTAAATAGTAGATAATCTGATGATTTTTTAACTTATGATAGACAACCAATCAAAACATAGTCATCCAATTCACTAAAATTATTATCCAATTTAAGCTGATATGAAATTATCATACCATCTTTGGATTATCCAAATACTTAATTGTAATCATCAAAGAATTGAGACTTTGCAGTTTACAAATAATTTAATAATAATTTATCATGCTTTTCTGCAAAAAAACTAGGCATAATCCCAGATATATTGTCTATTTGGGCAAACTCTTATTCACTATAATCAAAAAACTAAGCTATCATCTTCTTATCTTGATTGATTATTTTGCCTCTATTTTTAACCAAACTTAACATTAGAATTACTGCTCTTTCTTAAATAAATGATAAATTTGTTATTGTATCTTCCTAAAGAGTATGTTCAATATTATAAATTTCGCTAATTGCAGTTTCACATATTTGAGTACTGTAATAATCATTCATAATGGCACTACAGAAAATGGAGACCAATTTCAAATCCTATACATTATTAGAGATAGACAAATGATCTAGATTTTTAATGTCTATTGAACAATATTAATTGATTTAATTAGCTAAATTAAAGATCTTTTTGCTTTGATTTATAGCCAATCGTTCTAATTCATAAATATTATTAAAGCCTTTAATCTATCTATTCCAAAAGTTGATCTTATCATTTAATAACTCTATTATGCTCGGAATGAATTTATCTTAAAATTATAGAGCTTCAAAGATTGATTAAATACTTAATTGTCGTTCAGTCATAGCTACTTTTTATTATCCATATAATTATTAATTAGTTTATTATTGATTTTTGATGAGATTTTAAAGGTAGACACTCATTTGATATCGAATGGAAACAAAGTAAAAAGATTGAATTTATTATTTGCTTTGATATCGTTTTAATTCAACATATGCTAAGAGTGGCTTTTTGCAGAATTAAGCCACATAACTTATATACAAGAGTTACAATTCTTCATAAGCTGTTCTTGAATCTAATTATGCTCTTTCTAATTCTGTATTTAGGATACAGAAGATAGTTTGATGAGTTCTTTAAATCTGATTATAATCTGTTTTATAATTCTACTTTACCCAATGTTTCTAACAAACCACCTTATGACCCTTCCAATATTAGTAAAGTTCAAAGAATTCTTTGCTTCTTTGGTATTCAGAAGTAATTACATATTTGAAATGCATTTCTTAAGTGTAGTGTATGCAAGTGAAAGGTGTAACTTCATACTCAAAGACTGATAAGCATTTCATGATGTAAAATTAGTTACTCAAATGGAATGTCATGGGACACAATAGCATGAGCACATAAATAAGTTGATCTTCTTAGAAAAGTTATTCATTATTGGTTAAGATGTTTATGCTTAAAATAATTAGGGTTGCAATTAGGGTAAAATTTAAGGAGAATTGCAATTGATTGACTAAGGGGATGGAAGGCTTCATGAAAAAGGATTCTACTAACCTCAAAATTAAGTCTAGGAATATGATCACTATTTGAATATATTAGACGATTGTATCATAATCAACTAAATACAAAATTGCAATTAAAATCGAGAGACAGTATTAAATTGATTGCAGTCCATTAAACTTCTGCTATAAATAATTAAAAGGCACGAATGTGTAAGCCCTCAAAAAGTATTGTTGCAAAAATACAAATATTGAGAATATAAATAGTGTTACTAAACTCAAAATACTTTTCACATTAAAAATTGTCAACTCTTAATTAAAATTGGTTCTTCCTATCATGATGAAAGGGATTAATAAAAAAAGGATTGGTAACTGAAATATAGTTGTACTGAGCATAAAGAAATAGAAAATGAGTTTTCTAAGCGAATAATGTTAAAGAGGATTGATATCATCTAGTATTCCCAGGATCACTAAGATAATGATAATCGTAATAAAGGTGAGCAGAAGTAAAGCAACAAAGCCAAATGCAACATCTCCAAAGTTAAAATTAGATTCAAAACCAAAAGGAATAATCAAGGAGGCTTGAGCAAGTTTTGATAAGAGGTAAAAGTGCCCATTGCTGTATTTCCATAAATTCCAACCACTAATAGGCAACATAATTGAAAGGTATTAAAGATTTGTAATGAAAGCAATCAAGATAATCCAAAACTCAGATGGTTGGGTATTATGAGTTAAATGAGCTAAGCATGACATCTATTCAAACACTATAAATTTCATAATAATAATGATAATTTATCAAAGCAAAACAATTTTTATATAAATTGAAGTCGTATAATTTTATTGATTAAATTTCTTGAGAAGAGGTAATATTTGGAATATTTAATATTTGGTTTTGCAAAATAATTTAATAATAAAAGTACATTGGGAGTAGCAACTTTAGAAAAATAAGGGAATAATAATAGTAAATAACTAAATTTTTATTATATATATTAATGAACTTTAAAATATAAATTATACTATATATGAATAATATTTTCATTCTTTTGGTAAATCTGTTAAATTCAATGTTTCTTGACTAAATGATACGCTTGGTTCATGCAGATCGTTATCGGAGCCCATTTCAAGGATTTTTTGTTCAATAAAACAACCATTTTCGTCTTGCATAATTACCTGTAAGCAACCATTAGCATCGTTATATCTTGGGTCTCTTAACTCATATTCCAAGTCAAATGGAAAGTTTATTTCTGTAAAGAACTTTTCGAATCTATCCGATTATGTTTCTGTAAATATATAATTATTTGATATGATTGCTCTGAATTTAAGTTTTATTTGTCTCTTCTCTTTAGAATTGTATTCATGCACCTTACCTCCTGTCACCCCTGCCGTATTATAATACTTATTAACATCTTTTGGACTGCAATAGATATTTAAAGGAGTTTATTATTTACCAAACTTTTAAGCTGTGGGTAATATGTCTTTGTATTAATCCACAAAGTATACAATTTCACCAGGGAATGGGAATTATTACGTCGGCTTTAGCAATATATTCAAAATTCTTTTATACTAGGCTTTTTGATCATCATAATCAGGAAGGCGGCCTTTTTTAGCAATTTAGGCTGTTTCTGCTTTTATTAAACCAGCCTGCTTATCTATGATTTAATAGGAAGCCAAAAATTTAGATGTTTATTGCTAATATGATTCAGAAGCTTTAATTAAAATGGATTTCTTGGCTGGATAAATGATAATAGAATTTTAAAGATTTAAATCTTCTAAAATTTACTCGGCTCTATTTATGAAGGTCTAGGTTTTGCTTATTTCCCAAAAGTCAACGTTGACAACGAATTCTTGCTATTCTTACCATTTGTCTTGGACAGCTTTATCAATTAATCGCGTCACATCTTATTTTGTATACATCTCTAATTAAATTGCAATGTCTTTAGGATCATTTGATTTGTTTTTTTACAGCTCCGCTATAGTATCCTTATGTATGAGTTGATCGTAACTGGATATACCTGCATTGAAGTATTGTTTATCAAAATATGATGCTTCTTCAACATCCATTACAAAGTAATTGACAGGCTTCTCTTAGCTGCTTTGGCAATAGAATTCTTCTGGATCCTTTTAAGGATTGCAAAATGCGCAGAATGTTCGAAAAAAGGCTTTGTGATCTTAGCAAATTTAAAAGACTTCTGATTTTAAATCATCCTCATGATTATCAATCTGAATTTTATTTCCTTTATGTATGATCATATTCGTTTTTATTATTATTAATGAAAGTTATTGTTATCATCACTCTTTTGGTATGTGTTTTAGGCCAACAACCTGAAATGTTAGAGCAAATTGCACAGAACAGTTTTGGCAGATAAATATTGTAAACAATTCAATTAGAACTCACACAAGAGTAAAATCATATTAAATAACATTAGAAATGCAGCAAGATAAATTTACACAATGTTAAACAAACTATTTTATGATCTCAGAGATGAAGATGCTCGTTCAAGCAAAGCCAATGGAGAGAGACAAGCATAATGTTCTGATCAATTTGCATTAATCAATTCAATCTAAGAAAAAGCAGTCGTTGCCAAGGCAGATTATGAAAGATAAATACCAGGAAAATAAGAAGAACTAGCAAATAAAGTAGCATAAGTTGAATAAAAAAATGCTGAGATTTAAAGAAATGATTAATTATATGTTAAATTTTCAGAACAAAGAAGATAAGAACATGAAGCTTATGAACATAAAAGAGATGAACTTATTGGTTTAATCAATGGGTTAAAATAAGCATAACAAATTATAAGACAATTGCAAACTCCTCATCCTGGAGGTGCTCTTGTTCAATTAAAAGAACATCATGAATAATTATGTATCTAATTCATTGTATCTAAGTAAAATCATATGCTGCCAATTCAGAATTCAAAAGTATGGCATCACTGTTGATGGAATTATGCACAGATGCTAAAATCCATTCTGATAATGACAATGTTTAAGTTATTGTAGATATTATCAATGACTTAATTGAAAGCATTTATGATGTCTAAAAGAGAGAAATGTATGCTGAAGATTGGGCAGAGAAGTTCTTCTAATAAGATTTGTAAATGTTATCATTCAAAACTTAGACTTCGACTCTCCAAAGAAAATGTTAGATTGTCAGGTCAAATCGCAGATGATCAAGCTGCTGCTGAATTTGCTCAATAGAGATTGGAGGATCTCCAATAATAGGCTCTCCTTCAATAAATTATTTACGACAACAAAGAAGTGGAGAGGAAGTCTTTTGAAGTTGCTTGCAAGGAGGATAACAATGCTGCTGAGTAGGCCAGAGTCTCAAGAAATGAACAAATACAAATCGTACTTCAATTGTTGGAATTATTTGAAAACAATTTCAATGATAGAACTAGAGCAGCACTTCTTCAAATTGTTGTATGAAACAATAAAAAAAAGTTAAAAAACATATATTATATAAATCAAGATAAAGTTTATGATTCTAACATTATACCTTTCTTTGATTTTTTCTCAAAGAAAGTTGTTGTCCTGCAAAACGATACTTTTTTTGAGCTACTTGCTGAACTGCCACCTGAGCCATGAGATTTTGCTGTTGCTTATTTTAAAATTCCTTTCCCATTACTAAATCTTTTTTTCTCCGATGACTGAGAATCTTCACTTTCCAAATTGTCTAGCACTTCATATTCAAAAACACTATCCAATACTGTATATGATGGAATTTCCACAATTTCTAATTATTTTCCAATAATATTTTTAACAATAGGACTATTAATTACTATTTTCTTTGACACTTCGCTTGATACATTAGTATTAAGTGTCTCCATATCCATTTTATTCATACAGCAAGATCCCATTTACAAAAATATTACAATTTTATAAATTAAAATATTATATTGGATGCTCTTTTATGGAAGAAGGAAATTATCTATTTATCTCATCATGTTAGTTTTTCAAACTCTAAAACACTCTCACTTTATAAATGCTTTTAAGTGTAATTTTTCATACATTACCTCTTGTGTATATCGGAAAATGGATTAAACAGTTATCAGAAATTAGAAAATGATATTTATTTAAACAAAATTGAGTTGTGAAGATTTTAAAACAGATCTAACAAATTCAATAAAATAAAATAACTTAAAATATAAGTAATGAATTTAACACAAACAAAACTATTTCGTATTGTGGCTTTTACTTTCAGAATTTCATACCTAAAACCCAATTCATAAACGTAACTCTGATCAGTTCAAAATATAATCGCTTAAGACAAAGGACAAATCTACATTTTAGAAATGATCTATCGTTTTATATTGTAATAAATTGCTATTAATATTTTAATATTAAATTTTATTTTATAAAATTAATATTTGGAATTAAAACCTTTTTTCTGAGTATATATTAAATCATTATAATTTTATTTACAGAAAAGTGAAGAACTGCAGAACCTTTTATAATATTAATATATGCAAATATTATCAGTGTATGATCTTAGAACTTTATTTAAGATTGGACAAGCTTTTTTCAAGTTGACTGACTCTTTAGCTATTACAATAAATATGCTTTTTTACTTTAACACTTTTTCATCAGCTTAGCTTACATTTACAAGACTTTAATCAAGATTTTCAGAATCTTTTTTTAGTTTTCTCTGGAGCTCTTATTGAGCTTTTCGAATTAGTTCACTAGAAACTTTTTCTAAAGACTTTTGCTCATTTAATTATTGAGATGATTTAATCAATGACTTAAATCGTAAATCCTTTAATCTTTCTTGTCTTTAATAATTTTCAATTAAATCCTATTGTTTTAATTTCATCCTCTCCTGTTTTAATGATTTCTAATAATCTAATTCTTCTTTTCTTTTCAGACTGTAATCTTCAAGAAGCTGAAATTTCTTTTACAAACTATCGACTCTATCAAATTACTAGGACTTAATATTCTTAAGACTTTTTTCAATTTTTTTCCTTCTTAATTTTTCATCTTTAAGTTTGCTTTGTTCTTCTCTCTCCTTTGATTATTTTAAGGCTAGGCTATAGAGTAATAATACCTTTAAGATCTTCTTCTTTGCTTGCTAATTTTTAAACAATAGACTAAACCAAGGATTCTTCCTTTTACATAGTTCTTAATTTGTATTGTTTTAACTTTTCTTCATGCAAAGAACTTCTAAGAGTAAGACGCTCTAATTTGGATTCCCAAATTTATTTTTCTTTATTTAATGAGGTTTCTGCCCATTTTTATTGAATTTAAGTCATAGTTTATGCCATTTACTAATTATATTATTTATCTTGAAAGTTTTTCCTTAATTGTATTTGCAATCTTCTTTCTTAATACTTTTTCTCTTAATCTTCCAACTCTTTCTTATGTGAGATTTCGTCTTACTCTAATTTCTTTCGTCTAGTATTATTCAATAATTTACATCTTTTCTTATTTTTCTGCTTATTTTTTTCTGTCTTCAAGCAATTTCATTTATTTTTCTCTTTCTTTTTATTTAATTTCATTAACTTTTTTTTAAGAAGCTTACTTCATTTCTTTTTTCTTTTTTGCCTTCTATACTGATATTTTGAATTTTAATTCCTCAATTTTTTTCTCTCTTTCAATCATATCATGATGTAGTTTTTATCTTCTTTTTTCATTATTCAGTTGATGCTACACTTCTTTAGCCTTAATTTATAAGGATTTCTTATATTTAGCAATTTCCTTTTCCAACTATTATTCTAATACCAATATTGGATCGTCTTCATCGAAAGATAAATAAGAGGCATCTTTATCCTCTTTATCAATGCTACTCATTTTTTTGTTGTAAGTTTCAATTAAATCATTAACCAATCTTTTGTTAAATGAAATAGGTACTCCTCATCTCTCTGGTAACTCTTTTCTAAATGCAAATTAGTAATATTTTTTTATTTCTTTATTATTATCTTCCTCAACTTACTAATTTCCTTCAAGGCACCTAGAATCTATTTTAGTTTTACCTTCTGTCTTCTTCATGTAGTGATCAAATCGCATCTTTTACACATTTTCAGATATGCCAGGTTCAGCAAAATCTTCTAATTGTCTTGATACATAAATGCTCAACTGATACTTGAATTAAAATATATTTGGATCATAACCCAAGGCTAAGCATGCTTCTCGAGTCTTAGGCGAATCCGGTTTGATTGTAAAGGCCTTTCTACTGTGCTAGAACACAATGCCTCTTCTAGTATTTCGATGAGTTTAGTCTAGTAAGGTTTCTAAATTCATGTTTAATTATTATTTATTTTTTATTATTTTAATCAATCCAAACCAGGAACAGGGAATTGAGAACTGAATGATACAACATCTTTTTTGAGTTTTTGTATATCAGGATGTTGGTCACCATTCTTAGCCAACCAATCTTTGAAATCTTGTACTTTAGGTCCAGCCTCTCCCTTCACCTTTTGAGCAATAGCCACACCTCTATCTATGAAGTCAGCTATTTAAGCAAATTCATCTTGATTAACTCCTCTGGATGTCATAGGCACTGATCTATACATAGAATTATTGCCTCTTACCCCATTCTCAATCCATTTGGCACCAAAGCTGACTTATCTTTGGGAACAGTATTCTTATTTACAGAAATATTGACTGCTTATAAAATGGATTCCACTCTTGCGCCATCAATTGATTTAGGTTTTAAATTGACTAATACCAAGTGATTGTCGGTTCCTCCTGAAACCAAAGAAAAGTCTTAGAATTAATTAAGAATAAATACTTCTTCTCAATAATTCATCTGCCAATTTCTTGCTGTTCAATAGCACATTCTTCTAATAATTCTTAAATTCAGGAGTTTTAGCCTCTTCCAAAGCCACAGCTATACTTGTGATAGTATGGAAATGGGGTCCTCCCTACAAACCTGGAAAGACAGCTTGGTCAATTTTTGATTTAAGATCATAATTGATAGGTTTCCCATTCTTGTCGACTTCCTTTTGACCAACTCGATAGAAAATAAGACTTCCTCTAGGTCCTCTCATTCTAAAAGTTTATATTAGGATGGGTACGATTTGTGAGTAGTAGTCATAACGACATCTGCATATGGGAATGGACTTGGTAATTATTCAGCTGCCATCATGCCTGCTGTATGTGAAATATCAGCTAATAAATATGCTTTGACACTATCACAAATTTTTCTGATAGCTTGAAAATCTATAATTCTTGCATATGCAGATGCTCCTGCAACTATTAATTTGGGTCTGAATGCTTTTGCCAGCACTTCCATTTATTCGTAATCTATAAGTTCTGTTTCCTAATTAGTTTTCTTTATTGTTTCTTACCTCATTTAATCTGTAAGGCATAACTTCAAAGTAACTAGAAACAGCAGAGACTTTTTTGGTTTCAGTCTGATAGCCATGTGACAAGTGACCTCCATGTGGAAGATCCAAACTCATTATTCTATCTTTAGGGGCCAGCAACCCTGTGTAGATTGCAAAATTGGCAGGAGCCCCAGACAACATTTGAACATTAACACCCCACTCATTAGAATTCAAATTAAATGCATTTAGAGCTCTTTATTAACAAAGCAATTCCACTTTATCGTACACTTGTGTTCCTCCATAATATCTGGCTCCAGGATAACCTATTCATTTTAGTCTACATTTATGTACCTTCTGCGTATTTGGTAGACATCACTGAACCCAAAGCTTCCAAGACTGCCTTCGAGCTGTGATTTTCAGATGGAATCAAGTTGATGCTCTCTCGTTGTCTTTTGATTTCTTCTTAAATAAGACTAAATATTGTGGGATCCGCCTAATTTAAGGTTAATCTCTGTCTTGGAACTAATCTGGAGAAACGATACACTGAGGTATATAATTACATTAATAATAATTTACAACGTGATGAGTTAATATTAAATTATATTTTGGATTGCATTTCCGTAATAAAACTATTCACTTATAAAAATCAATGGTTGGTACGAATTTGTTATAATAAAAATTGATTATATCTTATTTACTTAATCATTATTCCTCATACTAATGATTTCACTACTCCAATTATTCAAGTTCCTCCTTATTAATAAATGCATATTATAGAGAAGGTCGATATCCATCTAATTATTCCCATTTGAATCTGGGAATCTTGAAAATGGGCTAGCAGGATTTCTCAATAATAATTTATATGATTCTCTTGGTTTTCCAAGCCAAATCATTAGCTTTGATTCTGGCAGACTCTTCAACCTACAAGCAATCCATTATTAATTCTTTGGCATACTGGGGAATTCCATTGATGTTAATCTAAATCTATTGAGCAACATAATTAAGCATTTCTTTTTCAAGTTGATCACTCTTCTTCGCTTTCCAAGGGTAATGTTGGGTGACCATAAAAAACAAAAGGACTCCCAAACTCCAGATGTCATTTGCATATGGATCATATTGAGATCTATATTAAAATCATAAGGAAATTCATACAATAATTTAGTTTATGGACTCATGTACATAGGAGTTCCAACGTATGTTCTGGAGGTGGTTTGTTCATCATTTAGGAGTCGAGCAAATCCAAAATCGATAACTTTGATTTCTAATTTAGGTTTTGTGCGAATCAGAATGTTTGAAGGCTTGATGTCTCTATGAACAATGTGCATATCATGTAGGAAACTGATTCCTGAAGCAATTTAATAAAATATCTGTAAGGCATCATCTTCTTGAATTTTGCCTTTCTTTTCGATGTAAGAATTGAGATCTAAAGAGTCTTTAAAACATTCCATTACGATATTATTGAAATTAGCACACTAGTAGAAATCCTTGTACCTGATCAGATATTTGGATCCATTCTCCCCATCTTAATAAGGGATACTCCTCATAGATTCGACTTCTTATCTGAAGATTTTATTGTCCAATCCAAGTTCCTGCTTGCTCATCTGTTTGACAGCCACCATTTCATTTGTGAATGTATCAATTGCGGTGTACACAGTTCCATACATACCACTTCCCAACTTTTACTTCAAGTTTATTTGATATCTGCTATTCATTTTTAATATTAAACATATCACAGAGAATTGGGAGATGATTTCCTTTTATTTATTTATTTAATTCAATGTAATTTGATTAACTTCGGAGTATTAACTGCGTCTCTGTTATATAATTGATTATTATATAATAATGTAAATAATAATTAATGAGTATCGTACAAATTACTGCACCACAAACCTAGAATAATTTTAGATGGCTAATCTAAAAGCTTATTATGAAAATGAATCGAGACTCAGACAGGAACTCCGAAGAAGCTGCCTATCGTATTAATAGAGGGGCTTTGACTTGCTTCACGACTTTATGCAACACCTTGAGCATAAACAATCGAGTGATGTATTCCTTTTGAAATTCTCAATAGCGAAGTCAATTTATCTGGTTGTAATATTAATGTTTACTACGCCATTGAAATTAGTGGATTGATACAAAAAAACAAGAATATTTAGATTTTAAACCTGGGCGACTGTAAAATTAATTCATTCGGTTTGAGTTGCATATTCAAGGCTGTAATTTTTCCTCCCTATTCCAGATGATTGATCACACAGGTCTCAAAATATTGAATCTATTCAACAATTAAGCATTCACTACCTAAGTTGTCTAAGACTTTTGCAGATACGTGTTGGGAGGCAAAAACTTCTTGCAAGAAATCAATCTATCGCATTGCAACATCGAGAACTCGTTGCTAGCCTAAATAATGGATAAAACTCATAATTTAAGCTCTTTAAGGTAGTAAATAATGAATAATATCAAGACGACTGAAATTATCCTTGATGAATTTGAACTACGAAGGAATAATCGCACTATCCAGTATGATGTTGAATTACACTGGAAAATTGAGTCTGGATTATTTAGACATATCCTACAATCAAATAAAAAATGATGGAATTGCATTACTGGCAAGAGCATTATTCATGTCAGTCAGACTGATCAAGATTAAGTCTCTCAATCTGAATGGCAATTAGATAACCCAAACTGACTAATTAGAATAAATCATACTTAAAATTTAATTAGAGGAATTGTACCTTTCTCATAATAAAATTGTAGAATTCTAAAATCAACATGTCTTAACATTAAAATTGTTAAAAATAGATTTGTCCCATAATAGAATTGAAGAAATACCAAATAATTTCTTCTTAAATGTAATGTATCTAAACCTATCCAACAATTTAATTGATACTGAAGGGGCCTATCAGATAAGTCAAGTACTGTGTTGCAACATAGTCTAATGGGCTTATCTGGATTTAAGTAATAACAAAATTAAAACTAAGGGTTTTATATCAATAGTTTATGCTTTGATTGAAAACATCTCTCTAATTAGTTTATCAGTCTCTAAAAATCAAATAGATGGTGAGGGTATATTAGTTTATGTATTTAATCATGAGCAAATAAGATTGTAGTATTTGGATGTTTCATTGAATTAATTAAGGTATGATATTGTATACACATTGATTTCAATGATGAAAGAGTCAAGATTAAAGACTCTCCTCTTGTCTTAATTAATAATTGATGATAATGAAATTTAGAGTGGAAAGCAGGATTGTTTCGAAATTAAATGCACAAATTTGAGAGAATTGGATTTCAGTTTTAATCCTCACATTATGTATCCAGTTCTAGAATCATTAAGTAACTAATACAACAGACTTGAATATTTGAATCTAAACTCCTGTTAACTGAATGAACCGATCTTGATTGAGAGATTGAGTCAGCTAATAGAAAAGACCTACACTTTAACAACCCTTTTAATTGCTCATAATAACTTAGGCGACTTAAATATATCCTCCTTCGAATTCTTAAACAGTGCTTTATCAAAGAATTCAACCTTAATTAATTTGGATATCTCAAGCAATAAATTAAAGAATGCCATCTTACTTCTTATTAGTGGTATATCAAATTGTTGTTCTTTGAAAGTATTGAATATCAGTAATAATTTAATTGATGAGAATGAAGTGATAGTCAGAAAATTACCATTGTTATTCAAAAATAGAAATTTATAATTTGTAGATATGTCCAAAAATTGGATACATGGGTAAACTCTGTTCAATATCAAAGCCATCATATAAAAGATGCATTTGTCATTTCCATAATTGTTATTGTCAAATCTCAAACTTACAGCTGATGACTTATTGATAATCTCTGACATTATATCAGATATCTACTCTTTTAAGATACTAGACATCAGCATGAATTAGTCAATTGATTATATGAATAATTTCACTGCCCTATAAGATAATTAAACAATTAGTTCACTCACCATAAATAAAATGTAATGTCGCTTAGAGTCCTATTAAAATTTACAATAAGTTTTGAAAAGAAACAAGCACTCTTTAAAAATCATTGAAATTTCCAATACTCTCATATCGCATAATTATCTATACACGTTATTGTAAGGAATGAAATATACGAAATCTTTGACCTCCTTGATTTTGGAGTATTAGGTAATCGAAAGTTATGCCCTTTTAAATGCATTTCATGAATTGATATAGATTAACACATTAAGAAATCTCGAATACCTAATTATCCAAAAGTCGACTCTGTCTATTGAATTTTTCTAGATTCTGAAGGAAATCTTACGATAATCCAATAAACTCATAGAACTGGATGTAAGCGAAAATCGAATCAATAAGCATAAATTTGAAATCTTATGTCAAGGGATTACTTTAAATAATAGTTTATAAATACTGAACATTGCAAATATCAAACTGAATGATTCAAAGTGTTAAATGTTAATTTAATCTCTACTCAACAATAAGACTATCAAATAGATTGATTTATCAAGAAATAACATAACTCAATAAAGTTATTACCACTTCTTTAAAGTATTCAAAAATAACATTACACAAATTGAGAAACTTAAATTCTCTAAAACAAAGAAGAAAGCTCAAATTAAGATATATCCTGATTATAAATTTGATTTCTTTATCAATTTTGATGGGTAAGAACCAAATTCATTATTATTCTTTAACTTAACTACACTAGACCTATCTAGAGTAAAATATCAACAGGCAAATCTAGAATTAATTATCAATAGAATTAAGCCAGATTCAATATTATAAAATGTGACAAAGCTAATGTTTAATGAATGTCAATTCCAAGATTCTCATTGTGAATAGCTTCAACAATTACTTTTGAATTAATTAAAACTAAAGGAACTATCTCTGGATAAAAACAATATAACTTCAGATGGTTTTTATAAGATATTTAATATTATACTATAAAATAAGAGCCAATTGGAAAAGTTAACCATATCCAAGTACAAATCTTATTAAACTTTATAGCAATTAAATTGAAAATACAATCTTGCAGTCTAATTGTGAGTAAAAATTATCGTTTTTCAAGTTGCTTATAATCGATAATAATAAAGCACTTGGAACTCAAGATCTGTTGTTATTTTTAAAAAATAATAAAGGCTTGTATATCTATAACACATGGAGCTAAATATCAGAGGAACTAGCAATTTAAATAATAGAATCCTACATACTTTACAGTGTGAATTATCATATAAAGAACACTCCTGATTATCTGAAAAATCTAATTATTAGGGATTCTAATTTGACAGATAATTTTCTTATTTGGTTTGGGACTAAGTATTTTAATTTTTAATAATTGGAGTGCATTGACTTTTCTGGTAGTACTAAATTTAGTACAAGTGTTGGGAAAATGCATATGTACATAAGCATGATTAATGAATAATTTATGGAATATAATTTAATATCTGGGAAGATAGACAATCAGTAAAGGATTATTAATATTTTCGATGATGGTATATTGTATTATCTATTGATCAAACTCAAAATGTATATACTAAAAAGAAACAACAGTATGAAATGGATAATATAAATAATTAACAAAAAGTTATATCAATATACAGATTTCAAATTAAGTAGTTCACTCTATAAATTTTTAAGGTAAAACAAAGTTTACATTCGAACTTATTGTGTAATCCAGTTAATTTTGGTGCCAATCTAGGCAATATTGAGTGTGATTTTAGCATTTTATTATGATTACAATATCGACCCAAGAGAAATGAAAATTGATTGCAAATATTAGAATCCATGTTATTTTTCTACTTATAATGAATACGCAATACTTATAAGTTTGATATATTTTTTGTTGGTTTTATATACATAAGTGTTAAACTTGTATGTGGCAGTGAAAATCAGAGTAAAAGCAGTGCCAGATTATTGTATAAGAACATTTGAAGAGAAGAAGTTTTAAATATATAAATACCCTCACAAATAAGAATTATTTTAGTTTTTTATTCTCCTATTCATATCAGCAGATTACTACTTTGAATTTTAGGTGATTGGTCTATGTGGAAGCTTTATCGATTACTTATAAGACAACAACTTAATGAAAGAATTACAATATAAGTTTTTTGTCCAACTATTTGTGCTATCGTCAGTTGCTATAACAAAGTTCATCATAGTGATTTACACAAATTACATCAATATGTATAATTTAATGAAAAATTTGGATGCAGATTAAGCAACGTTATTCTCATACATTTGGAAGATGAGTGAAAACAATTACGTTTTGGAGAATATTCTAAGATAATATTGTCCATAGATTGGAATCCAAGTCAAAAACCATCTATTAAACAGCAGATAAATATAAGAATTGCTCTAAGCCCTATTAATTGACTTGCCATCTTTCATATGTATTAGCACATTTTATTCACTTGCTACTGAATACTATGAATCTTAGTTTACATCTCACATTATCCCTTCAGCATATTTCCTATTTATGATTGCTAATTTGAGAGTCATAGTTGGATTCTTCTTCCACCTCAATATAGCACTTACAACACGACCTCCTTAGGTGAATGGGTTTGATTTGAATTAAACTCTCTTGTAAAGAAAATACCAATCATTCTAAAAAGAATGTGAGAAGCAACCATATGGGACGTATGAACCCTAAGAGGATACTAAGCTGATGAGTACTTTGATGAAATACAGAAGTGAGAAGCAAATAATTGTAGCATTAAATAAGAAAGAAAATTGAATATAAGATTGCATTCCTTTTATTTATATCATTGGATTTATGTATCCTAAGATCTATCAATTCGAAAGAAACTTTTTATAAGTTTCAGCATTTCTTCTAAGTATATCTTCAACAGGACCTAACAATCTCAAAAACGAATTGCTATCTAAATACACAACTACACAATCAGTCTAAATTATTGATATTAAATATACTTCAGCTTTTATTGTAGCTTATCTAGGCATTTTATGAATTAATGCCAATTCACCAAAATAATCTCCTGTTTGATAACGCAAGACTTCTTCCTATTATCCATTATTTTCTTTAAAAGCCACAAGGCTTCCTTCAGCAACCATGTAAAATTTATCTCCTTCTTCCCCTTCCTAAATGATCACTTATCCTTTCAAATAGGATTGCTCCTTGAGACCATCACAAATTTGTGTCTTTTCATAGGCGTCCATCGATTATAATAACTCAACTTTAGAAAGAACCTCTTCGTATTGTTGTCTCTTTTTTATAGTAGCATCTTTCACTATGTTATTGAAAGTGCTTCTGTCCAATGCGAAGAGAACCGAATCAACCTTCGCTTAGATTGAGGCTGCTCTAGGAGAATTATAGAGAAGAGATAATTCTCCGAACATATCACCTGACTTGTATTGCTTAAGGAATTTAGGTTCTGCATCTGTTGGTTTCATTCTCCTAAAGCAATCCAGTTCACCAGAAAATACGATGTAAAGTTCAGCTCCATCATCTCCCTGATTGATTACCCAGTCATCCTTTGTGAAATGCTTTTCTTCCATGGCATTTACAACAATTTCTTATTCATGTGAACCTAAGGCTTAAAACATAAACACTTTCATTAGTTTCTCCAATATCTACTATTTCTATTCTTCTGTCTTTGGTATTACTCTTGGTATGAAGTTCTCCTTCTTGTTGTGGATCCCAAAAACTTCAGCACTTACAGAACTTCTGAACGTTTTTGCATTTTTTGGTGGCAATGGCAATTCTTCAATTTCTTCATTGTCCTCTTGATCAGATGATAAATTATATTCGACTGCAGTTTTGAGATGCTGAGTCATACTGGAGTTATTTTTAAGTTATTCAAGGTATTGGATCATCCATTCAATCTGATGTAACATATGTAATTTACATAATTTTCAGGTTGTGATTTAAAGAGTTCATATATCATCTTCTGCATCACATCATTGACCTTTTCCTTATACCTTGCTATTCGCTCCTTATTATTCATAATTATAAATTATGTTTTGATTTATTATTTATTCGTTTCTGTAACTTAAATTTAGATCGCTCTTTAAAAGTATTTAAAAACAGAGTGTAAAATATAAAGACGAAATACTAACATATTAAATATGATTTTCATCTCTAAAATGGTAGTTATAACAAAGTGGTTTGGCTTAATCACAAATGGATTTGATTGATTAAATCCTAATGTTTGAATGAGGCGGAAAGACCTATGATTTTAGTATTGAATAGTAAATAAATGGTATAAAAATTAAACCTTCAATTAAATAATTAATTATAAATATAATGAGCAATAAATAAGATGAGTCGATAATATAATTGAAACCATTTACGTATTATGACATGGTTTATTAAAGTATTTTAAAATCAATTATTATTAATAAATTCCATGGACTTGCCTTCCTAATTTAATCTTGAACTTTAACCAGTCAGCAATCAACAATTACCTCTTTTATCAAATTCTGAAGAAGAAAACCATGGGGAAAAGAGGTCCCTATTAACCTTGCTGTTCTTCTTGGATGTTTATCCAATGATGAAGGTATTGACAAACTCGATAATCTAGCAATCTCAACAAGTCTCCCTTGAAAGCGATTAAATTAAAGAGCTTAGATTTGAGAAGCGATCTCTTAAAATGCATGAGTAGTTTTCTTCCCATCTATAAAAGGATGGGAAACTTATTAAATAGCTTTTATTATTCTTTATGTGTAATATTCTATGTCATATTAGCTCCACTTCTAAAGGTTATTCTAATTCTGTTAATATTAACATTGGGATAGCTTTGCATGCCTTTATTAATAAAAACTGTTATTGACTTTATTAAGAGTGAAAATAGAGATGAAAATGATGGACTCTATTTGATTTTGGCCATTTTATTTCTCAGAATAATGAACATATTTTCCCAAGCTCATTCTAGAAGGATGATAGTAATATTTCAATGATATTTATAGCTTTGTGTAGGTTATGACGCCATGTCGGTAGTTAGTGTGGAAATAATGAGAAAGTGCTTGCGTGTTTCATTGCTTAGTACTACCGAATGGTCAAGTGGAGAAATAACAAATTTAATATAAGTAGATGCTCAGAAACTAATCCTCATTACGAGTTACATTTCTAGTGTATTAATGATACCTATACAATTAGGTAATTAATAATGTGTTATATCCTTTTAGGAATCAGTTTATATTTAATGTACAGTATGATAGGTCTGTCATTTTTGATTGGATGTACAATCATATTGATAATGATACTGTTTAATATCTTTACAGGGAAGTAGATCGTGAAATCACAACGAAAATTATTGAAGGATAAAGATGAAAGAACAAAAATAGCCAACGAAATATTCTCATAAATTAAATTTATCAAAATTAATGCTTTGGAAGAACACTTTTTGGTCAAAATAGATCAAGCCAGGGAGAAGGAGATAAGCAGCATAAAAAATAGACTCTATTACTCTGCAATTAATATATTTTCTGTATGGTTGACACCTTAGTTAATTTTGAGTATGACCTTTGGTTTATATGTTTATTTGGGACATTAATTGAATCCCAGCACTACTTTTGCTATCATAAGCTTATTTTAGATTTTGCAACAACCTTTGCTTCAATTACCAATTGCTATTAATTCATTGATAGAGGCCAATCTTTCATTAAAAAGAATATCTAAATTTCTGGCTACAAATGATCTGATGACTAATTGTATCCACACATCAGAATTCAGAGATCCAACAGCAGCAGTTGATTTTCAGAATGGAGTATTCTATTGGAACAAATTAATCAATAATTCAGTTGAATTAAATGGAAATCAGGAAGATCAGAATGAAGGAGGAGATAATGTAAAGGAAAGATTCTAAGCCCAATAAATAGAATAGCCAATATTGAAAAATATCAATTTGAGAATAGAACCTGGAAAATTTGTTTCGATAATTGGAGATGTAGGCTCTGGAAAGACTTCGTTTTTATAGGCACTTTTAGGAGAGATGATATATTTTGAAGGATATGGATAGCCTAAAATAAGATTGAATGGGAAAATAGCATATGTTAGTTAGAAACCTTGGATACAAAATGCATCAGTTAAGGATAATATTACCTTTGGTAAATAATTTAATTAGCAATAATATGATAATGCCATCTACTATTCTTGTTTAACTCAAGATTTGTAGATTTTAATTAATGGAGATTAAACTATGATCGGAGAAAAGGGAATCAATTTATCAGGGGGACAAAAAGCGAGAATCAGTTTGGCCAGAGCTATTTATAGTGATTCTGATATCATTCTTTTGGATGATCCATTAAGTGCTGTTGATGCTCATGTTGGCAATTTCATCATGAAAGAATGCTTATTAGGCAAACTAAAATCAACTACTAGGATTCTAATCACTCATGCTTTGAATTATTGTAAATATACAGATTATATTTACTTATTTGAAAAAGGAGAAGTGATTGAGCAAGGTGCTTATAGAAGTATGCTCAAAAGTTAAAAGTTTTAGGAAATCAAAACCAAGTTTAACAATAATTATAATGAAGATTTAGAAGATTCCCTATTGATTATCAATCCATTAGACAGTTTCGTGAAGAATCCTAAACCAGAAAATAATAATAACAATATGAATACCCTTACTACTATTGCTCAACCTTAATAAGATGAAGTGGATGATCTTATGATATTAGAAGAGAGATAGAAAGGTAATATTAATTATGAAGTCTTCTTGTAATATTTTGCTCATAATGGGGGTTGTCTAAGTTTTTCATTAGTGATGGTGATTATGGTTGTCTGGATATTTTGCTACTTAGGTTCTAGCATATGGATTTCAAAGTGGGCTGCTTTATCATCAACTGATGAAGAATTTTCAAGAAACACTTTGTACTTTTCAATCTATTTCACTTTCGGCTTTATGCAGGCTTTCTTTGCCTTTCTTAGAGGATTAACAATTATTCATTAATCAATTAAATCAGCCTAAATAGTTCACACCAAAATGATGAACACTTTGATTTATGCTCCTTAATGTTCATTTTTCGAAAGAGTACCTTAAGGTAGGATTATGAATAGACTAACTAAGGATATTAATTCATTAGATACTGAAATCTATTGGAATATAAGTTGGCTCTACACGAAAGTCAGTCAATTGATTAGTAATACTTTTCTAAATGTATATGCAAGTACCTACCTTATAATATTTCCTATTATGGGATTCTTTCTCATATGTTTCAAAATGAACAGACTATATATGAAAGCTTCCAGAGAACTTCAAAGACTAGAGTTAATCAGTAAAAGCCCTATCCTAAGTTATTTCACTGAAACCTTATCAGGATTAACTACAATCAGGGCTTATTAACAAACTAGTGAATTTCTCTACAATTTTTCAAGAAAAATAGACACCAACAAAAAAATATATTACAAGTAGGTTGAATCTAATGCATGGTTTTTATAAATCTTAGGACTGTCTAGTCTTATTGTAAACATCTCAGCTATAGTTTATTGCATCTATTATACTCAAAACCCAGCATTTGCAGGACTTCTAATGACATATGCCTCCAATATAGACATAAACATTCTTCAAACAGTTGAATCTTTAAGCCTATTAGAAAACGGTATTATTTCGTTTGAACGATGTTTAGCATACACAAAGTAACTTTTTATATTTATTTTTAAGCGTCAAATCAGAGAAGAGAAATGAAAATAATGTCAAAGTGTAAAATTGGCCAAATCTTGGTGAAATCTAATTTGCTGACTTCTCTGTCTAATATCGTTCGAACCTCCCTCCTGCATTAACTAATTTAAATTTCAAAATCAATTCCAAGGAAAAAATTGGAGTTGTAGGTAGAACTGGAGCCGGCAAATCATCCATCACCTTGAGTCTATTAAGGATCTTAGAATCCTTAGAAGGACAAATACTGATTGATGGTGTTGATATTTCAACGTTATCACTTAAGCAATTAAGGGAATCAATCACCATAATTTTACAAGATGCTGTAATATTCAATGCTACCATAAAAGAAAATCTAGACCCTTTATGTCAAAGATCTAATGAAGAAATTTTAACCACCATTAATTAATGTTGCTTAGATAGGTTAATCAGCAATAGGGATGGATTAATGACTAAAATCTCAGAAGGTGGAGACAATTTAAGTGCTGGTGAAAAATAATTAATATGTATTGCTAGAGCTATTTTAAAAAAAACAAAAATTGTTATCATTGATGAAGCCACTGCAAACATCGATGTTGACACAGAACATAGGATTTAACAAGTGATTTAATCAGCATTTCAAAATTGCACTGTACTAACAATTGCTCATCGGATAAATACAATTCTACATTGTGATAAGTATTAAATTTATTATTAATTTAGAATTATAGTTATTGATAAAGGGTAGTTGAAAGAATATGGGTTCACCCAAGAACTATTAAACGATAAGAATTCTACATTCTATTCGATATATTAAGAAGCACTATAAAATGAAGCTCACTGATCATTGATTCAAAAATGAAATGAAGATTATTATTCCTTTGTTGTTTATATTCAAAATAAAACTGATATGTAAATTTCAAATACTAAAATTATCATTAAAAATTTATCATCTCTTTCTTATCCAACTCTTTTAGTTTTTTCACTGGAAATTTTTTGTAAAATTCGTCTACCTATTGTAAAGATGAAAATATCTCTTATGAAAATTTAATTCTATCTCTATTCGTATCTATAAAGAGAAAAATTTCTTAAAAGTAGACAACAGTGTCATAGCAAGTTATTTATTATTGTTCTTTTTTTTTTAATAAAAATTAATTTAACCAACATAATTTTAATCTAAAATCTGGAAGTTTCATCTTTTCATAAATTAGGTAAAATATACATTAAGATTCTATCTTCTTTATTTCGTCATTCAAATAATCAATACCAACTTCTATTAATAGATCTTTTTCATTTATCTTCATAATTTATCCATTTAAGTATATGTATTATTTTTCTTTTAATACTTTCAGGTCTTCTAAACAAGATATTTCACAAATTCTTAAAAAATATTCTAAAATTAGTTTCTCGTCAGAACTACTTGCTTATTACAATTTTTATAAAGCATGTTAGATTGTAGCAAGAAAACAAGACACATACAATATCACATCCATTTTGCCTTCAAATTATCTTATCATTTATAAAACCTTTGGACAATCGTTATCTCTAGGAGAATTGATTGAACTAGGAGGTAATTACCTATACTGAAAATTTGGTTCGGCAATATACTATTGATTTTAATTATTTTATTATTATTATTGCTATTACAAATATTGCTTTTATTATTATTATTATTATTATTGCTATTACTATTACTATTACTATTATTGCAATTGTTATTGTTATTACTATTATTGCTATTACTATTGTTATTACTATTACTATTATTGCAATTGTTATTGTTATTGTTATTATTATTGTTATTACTATTATTGCTATTACTATTGTTATTACTATTACTATTATTGCAATTGTTATTGTTATTATTATTACTATAACTATTATTGCAATTGTTATTGCTATTATTATTACTGTTATTAGATATAATACTATTGCTATTAGTTTTATTACTAGTATTATTAGTTTTATTATTATTAGTTTTATTACTAAAATTATTATTAGTTTAATTACAATTATTATTAGTTCTAAAGCTAGTATTATTATTAGTTTTATTACTATTATTAAATATGGTTCTGATTCTCCTATTACATCTAATTTTATTAAGAAAATTTGTCAGAATTCTACTAAGAATTATCCTGAATCTACTCAACACTTAAGAAATGTATTTCTTTATTTCCAAAATGATTTTTTTAATTTTATTCCTCAAAAATTTAAACATTAGTGGGATACATAAGATGTTATTTTTAGTTTTCTTATGGGTCTAAGATTTTAATCTTTCCCGATAACCCTTATTATTTATACTGCTATTATTGGTTTGGATTTGCATTATGACCTTAATCCTATTGGTTTTAGATCATTTATAAATCTTAAATATTTTAGTTATTATTTGAGCCACTTTATTAATTTTACAACTAATTATTGGCATTTTGTTATTTATCACTAAAAGGGTTCAATTCTTCCTATAGTTATTCCCAAGTTATTCTACTTTTAGGTTCATATAAGGTCATATTCTCAATATAATGTTTTAACTTATCTAAAAGAACACTATTTTCAATTCCTTTATTAGAACATTTAAGAGGATGAAATAATAAATTCTATTATTGTTTAATTAAATCATCTAAAGAATGAACGTTCAAATAGTACTCTTAATAAATTAAATAGTACAAAATGGTTCCGAGCTAAAATAGAAGAAAGTAATACTGAAAAGATGTCACATTAATAATCATATTGTTTTCCATCAATAACTTCTGGAGCAGAAAATATTGGTGTTCCTGCCATAGTGATTGCAAAATTTTTATCAGCTATGATTTTTCCCACCCCAAAATCTATGATCTATAATAATAATATATCCAAAATACTTTATATATTGGAGCATTTTTTTCATGTTTGACAAGAATATTCTAAGGCTTTAAATCTCTGTGTATTATATCTAAATCTTTCAAATAACAATAACCATTGACAATTTACTTAAGCATATCCATAATTTCTACATCTTTAAGTTTACTATTTTTTTTTTTGAAATATTCTTCAATATTTGATTCACACATCTCCATAATTAAAAATGCTGATCTTTCATCTTAAGATTGAATAATATCCATAATCTATATAACATTTTTATTCTTTTTGTGTTATTTTATTAATTTCTCGTAGATTTCCTGTTCTCTTTAACCTTCTACTTGAGTGATGTCAATTACTTTAGCACACAAGTTTTCATTAGTCTCCAAATTTTCAACAAAGTATGTCACTCCCTAAGAACCTCTGCCAAGTGATTAATTAAGATTTATATAGTATTTGTTTCTTAATAAGTGGAAATTTGGATGCAATTAATTGAGCATAGATAATTGTTTCCAAGTAATTCGATCATTCTAGTCATATTCTAACATCTTTCCTATTAGATTCTTTAAAAAATAATCTACTCCATCTCGATCTTAGTTTTCTAGGCGATCAATAAATCTATTTTTAATTAAATCTTCTTAAAATTTCTTAAGTTCATCTACATTGTTAATTCCCTCTGTAGGTTTAGCTTTGTAGCATAATTAATATAATATAATTCCAAGCTAAAGGATATTGATTATCTTACTAAAAAAATATCGGTTTATAAGTTAATGTCTAAAGAATTATTTAATTCTTCTGGAGCCTTGTAATGCGAAAAATTCGAAGCTGACTTCTGCTTGTTAATGAAGAAATTAATAAATATCTTGATTAAGATTTTTTAGTTTTTTAATTTCCTCACTAAAATATTTGAAGGAGTTAATTCCAAAGATTGATTTGTATATTTTGCTATATGAGTATATGCATTAATTATCTAACTCAAAATATCATATATTTCCTCTGAAGAAAATGGATGCGATTTTCTGTTGAGCATATATTAATATAAAGTGAAATCACATTGTTCTATTTAAATATAAATCTCTTCATTCCTTTAAACCTAGTTTGTTATTGAAATTATGCTAAAGCATTCATTCTTTTTTATCACATCAAATAAATTTTAGTTAAAATGAATATTTTGATTAATTTTTCCGTAAACGATATACAATTTTTATTTTGTTTCATAATTTGTAAACTAGATTAATTAACAGCTTGTTCCTTGCATAATCGCGATTTAATCATAATTTCCTAATTGCTCAGGGTCAAAATTCATTTATAGAATTATTATTAAGAGTTTTTATTTTTATTTTCTAATAATTATTCATAAATCTTAAGGGAATTTTGTTTTGATTTAATTATATAAGATGCCAATTTACAAAGAGTGGATAATTTTTAAATAGTTCCTAAGTTTTAACAATTAAAGTATGTGTTAAATAATTAATGATTTTTGATTTTGATTAAGAAGCTATTTCATAAAGAAAAACAAAACTCTAGTTATTGTTAAATAGGAATAATAATAAGTAGAGATTTTTTTGTTATCGTCAACATTAAATAGTAAAACAAGCATTCGAACCTCCTAAAAGAGTTTTTTCATATTCTCGATCTATACGACATTTCTAAGAGATAATGTCTAAAACAGGATCTATAAGTTTGAATAAAAAGGCTATCACTTTATTTCTAAAAAGAGATGATCAAGCAGAGAAGCGGTCTTATGATGAGATAATAAAAGTTACAAACTCAAAGTTGATATAGACTGATAATATAAATCAAGATGACTATGGTTTTAGGACAGAAAGAAATTATTTGTAAAAACAACAATCGCCATATATCAAATAAAGAAAATTCAGTTAGCATCTAAACATTAAAGATAAAGTTCCAAATAAACCCTATATTTAACAGACAATAGAGAGGTCTGTAGTTTCGACTTATAAAAACAGCAGAAGTTCAAAAAAACATACTTTTCAAAATGAAGTTTTACAATAAAAAATGAACTAGATGTTAACTCAAAAAATTACAGAATAAGAGCAACAATACTGCAAGAACAGACAGAAACAAATTGATCTTTATTCGAATGATAATATATTTACAACAATAACTCATAGATATTGATCAACTCATAAACTCTTCCATAATTCCACATAATTTATCAATGGCTATTTATGGAATAGGCAGATATAAACAAATTCTACATCCACCTAAAGCTCTATGTCCTTTCACTTCAATAATGCCATTGTTTTTGCATACTTCAATAAATTTACTCGTTTCAATCTCATCCTTTAAAGTAAATGTAATATTAATTCTTGATCTTTATTCTTTCTTCACTTGATTTATAAACACTCCATGACTATTGTCTATAATTTTATATAACTATTGAGATCTATTTTTACAGTATTGATCCCAGAAATCTAAAGTTCCTTGTTTTCTAATCCACTCAAAAACTAATGTATTTACATAGATAGGAAAAATAGGAAGATTACTGATTAGTGATTGTTTTTTAAGCATTTCCTTGAAATCCCACATATATGGAATATTCTGATTATTTTGAACAAGTTCAGGTTTTATAATCATTAAGGTTGATCCTGCAATACCAATATTTTTTTGTGCATGTGCATAAACCAAGTCCAATTTATTCCAATCCAAAGGTCTTATTAGTTGATTTAATATACTTAGTCAAGAAATTGGAACTCATGTCTGTTACTATCGGAACACTTCCTAATTTTGGAATAAACTGATATTCTAACCCTTCAACAGTTTCATTATCACAGTAATGAAGATAGGAGTCTTCTTTATTTATATTCCATTATTCAAGTTCAGGAACAAATCTTTTGCCAAATTCATCTTACTTCAATTAAATATAATCGTACGGCAATGTTCGTAGCAACATTTACATTTTAACAGAATTTTTAAGATTCCTCTAGAGCTTTTGAAGACCAATATCCTGTATTTGTATAAGATGCAGAACAATTTAATGTTTTCAATAAATTCATAGGTATTGCTTCAAATAATAAAGATGCTCCACCTTAACAAAAGATTATTTTATATTAGTTTGGTATCTATAGTCATTATGGTATTTAAATTTACATTTAAAAGTGATTACAAATCATTAATAGCTTAGTCTAATATTTAATGATACTCATGATCATATTTTGAGAATTCTAAAATTGATTTACCATTCGGTTAAATAAATTCTTATTCCAATTTGTGTAATACAGATCGAGGAAGTTGAGTTGGCCCTCCAGCAAATGAAAATTTACCCCAAAATGTTGGATTATTTTCATATTAATCAATCATTTATTTATATATTTCATATTTCCAGTCAATTACTTTTATATCAAAGAGAATTCAATTTTGTCAATGCATTCTTAATTGGTTTCATATTCTACTCTATCTCCTTTGAATCCAGGGTTCTTGAATCCTGTGATTTTCAAGCCTTCAGGAATTTTAATTGATTTTATATCAAATTCTATTTATGCCTAATTAGAATTATTTATATACATCTTTAAGTGATTCAAGATTGTCACAGATCTTAAATGATTATCCCTTGTAGTTGCATTCACTAAAAACTTCAATGCACTCTTTTAATGGTGAATACAAGAGTAAAAACTCTCTGAATCCCCACGAAGCCTCGTCTGCAGCCTTTTATAGTGTGCTTTTGAAATCCACAGTCAATTCTGATTAAGAATGAGGAATGATTTTATCAATTTTCATTATTCTTTCTTTCCAATTTCCATTCTAATTACCACAAATATCACTTTAACCCGGATCATTCCAACCCAAAAATTAACTCCAAAATTCTTAGTTATCAACAAACATTGTCAATTCTTCTCCATCCCATTAATCAATTTTATAGACAGTCGCTTTGATCCTAACAAAATCATGTTTAGGTAGTTGAAACACCTTTTAAACTGTTGCTTTCTAAAATTATAAATATTATTATAACAATTACCTTCCCAAAAGCTTTGTATCCTCCTACTAGTTTTAAATCTCCACATTCTGTAGTTGGCGGATTTGGAGCAGCAGCATCTAGATCTTAAAATGTCCATCCATCTACTTTATTAAATTATTCAGGAGTAAAGAACTCTTTAGATAAGATATACCATTCATTTTTGTTAATACATTTTCCATCTTACAATATATGTGTTGCTTAACATTTGGTACATTCGTTTTCAGCAGTTCCAACACATTCATCACAAAACTTTGTGCATTATGCTGCAAACAAAAAGAAATCTCGAACTCCCCATGACTGTTCTTCAGGGTCATTTTTCAATGAGGTAGTAAAGGATATAGTTAAAGTTGGACTCGAATGTTTTTAAATAATCTCAATAGATACAATTTTCTCTCCATAACCAGGGTTTGTTTATTTACTAATATAGAGGAAATATCTTACACTCCACATAAGTCAATTCCATCTTATTTTTAGAATGCCATCTTCTAAACTTATTTATCATCAATTTTCACATAGAATTCTTCATTATCCCATAAATCAATCTAAATAAGTTTATAATTTTACCTTCCAAAAAGTAAATTTCACCATTACTTTACTATGAGGCACTATGTTTGTAAATGTATTTGACAATAAAGCTTTAGCACCAACATTTTCATATCCTCCAAATATTACAATTCCAGAACATTCATATCCTTTTGGTTTACCATTCTCTAATTTCCATCCTTCCAATTTAGTATCTACATGGAACCAACTCAATGCTTCTTGATTCCAATGTTTACACTCTTACACTTTGTCATTATGACATATGCCACATTCTGATGGACATGGAATAAATGATATTTTCATTTATCGAAATCCCCAAGCTTATACGTCTGCTTTTCCTTAAGAAGTCGTAGCCAAAACAGTGGTAACTGTGGGAGAATTATGAAGTATTTCAAACTCAACATCGAAAACCTTATCACTATTTTTTGATTCGGATCCTCCACATAGACGTATTCCTCCCTCTGTAAATCCCCACTTCATTTCCCAAGGAACTCCATCCACATAAACGGAAAATACATCATTTTCCCATTCTCCAATTCTAAAAATATATGACTATATAATTTCAATACTTCCATAGTTGCAGATTGAACTTTAACTTGTAATGAGGTGGTATTTTCATTAATTTAGTTGCTGTGCTTTTTGTACCGAAACTCTTGAGTCCCCCAACAATATTCTTACCACTACATTTTGTAATTATATCTGTAGTTGCTTCAAATTAATTTTATATCACCCAACCTTTATATTATTTTTCATTTTACCATCCAAAGAATCAAATTCTTCCTTTTAGAATGCTTCGTATGATGTGATCCACTATGTATTACCTAACACTAATAGTGCAATGATAAATAATAATTTCATTATAATAAAAAAACGAATCTATTTTCATATTTATGAGTTATTTAGTATTCTTGTTACGCTCAATCGATTATTATTGAACACATTAGACTTATCAACATTTTAATACTGTTGTGGACTGTATAAATGTTTACTGTAATTTTATTGGTCCTCAATCTAACTTGTAGATATGTACTTGCTGTGATGCTAATTGTTTTCTTGTGATGAATTTAATGAAGACTAAATATACTGATTTATCCATTACTTATTTCATCATGTCACTATATCCTTATTAAGTGTATCTTTTTCTTTCCAAAAAGTCATTTTAAAAGAATGTCTTTAATTCTTCGTTTGGATTGAACATTGAGAAAGTGCTACTCACAGAACTACGATTGAAATCTTCAGATCGTTTTAATTCGCTCTCCTACTGCTTCCCAACACTTGAAGGCCTATACTGATAATTTATTTTTGGCGAATATTGATCCAAAACCTATTATTTATACTTGCTAAAAATCAGGATATTATCCTATACTTAGGGATTACCCAAAATATTATTCCCTCTATTTGAATTCGGCCTAGAAATAGAGCCTTGAAATTAATTATATTATGTCTATCCCATTATCCTTGGCTCATCTAATTAGGGTGACATTGGTTATTACTATTATTTGTACAAACTATTATTAGAAAAGGCCCTTTTATGAAGGGATTCATTCATTTCCTAAGTAATTATCTTATTCATCTTTGAATGATTGCTATCAGAAAGATGTTCTTCCTACATCTTTTTTAGTTTATCTGATGAATTAGTAAAAGAATTTCTTTCACTTGCAATTTCTAGTAGATGTTGTTTATGCAATTTTTTATCTTAATCAAGTAAAGCCTTGATCTTAGATACTGCCTAAGTGTTTTGCTATGTTTTTGTTTATCGATTTGATGCTCTTCCTTTTGAAGAAGCAGAGTGACTACTTTGTTGATTTGCATGTGAATATGAATTTTCTTCTAAAACTGGCTCTAAATTCTTTTTTGATTATTACTTTTATGAATATTTAAATTTAGGAGATCTATTTGGTGATTTTTATTGACCATGAGATGATTTGGATGTTTATAGAAGATGTTTTTAACTAGATTATGGTTAAGCAAATGTTTAATTTGTATTATGAGTATTATGTGTATTTTGATCACTTTATTTAGTATTTGATTATGAAGATATTTATGATTATTATAACTATTATTATTATTATTATTATTATTATTATTATTATTATTATTATTATTATTATTATTATTACTATTAAATATGTTAATGTTATGAATATTATTAATATTAAGGTATATAATTATCTCTTACTGGGTATCTATCTGTATCTTCAAATATAGGTGGCTCTTCAGTATCTATGTGCTAGTAATCAACGTAATGACTCTTTTTGTAATGATTATCTTAAATTGTTTTAATAGGTTTTGGAGGTTTATCTTTTATTAAATTGTCTCTCATAACAGATTTAATCTCTGTGTCATCCAAATGATGTTTAGATATCGTTATATGTATTTAATTAATTGTTTGAGGTTCTATTTCAGTTATCTTTGGAGTAATCTCCTTAGACTTTTTATGGACTAATTATTATTATTACAATTTGAATCCAAGTGAAGCAGATCTCTTTCGATCATCATATATTGGGGATGCATTTTGCATTAATCTCTCATGACTTCTTTGCGTCTGCCGTTGCCTTAGCTTTAGAACATATTTATTACATAATTGAATTATTATATTGGATCTATTGCGTTAATTTACTTATTTCATCTTTCAATTAATCTAATTCATGTCTAATATCACTAGGTTCCTGAACTTACAACAATCTGCCATACTATTGTAATTTGCCTAAATTTAAACTAATGTCTTACTTGCATAATCAACTATTTCATGTATATTTGGTTTCCCATTTGTAACATAACCCTTTTTGATAAGCTTATCAAATCCAATAACAAACACACATTTGATCATCATCTCCTGATGTTAAAAAGGAAACAAATTGATTAATGATTGTACTAGTTTTCCATTCATTTCCTAATTTTGAATTTTCGTTATAATAAATTTTATTAATAAATTGATAAGAACATCAATTTTTTGAATTTTTGTTTATTCAATTTTAAACCTCTAATTTTTGAGAAATGAATGAAGCCAATATACCTAAAATATTCTATTTCTTGATATTTTAGATTATAATTGTTAATAGCTGAATGATTTGTAATTTGAGTTGCTTAAAATAGCATTTTTCTAAATTACCAGAGAATAACATAGAATTACAAGGAATAGAAACAGTTATTTGCAGTTAGATGTAAAATTAAATTTTTGGTATGAACATATTTTAATCAAGACTGTAAGTTTCGAATATCAAATTTGAAATTAAGAATTTTACCTTCTAAAGATCGAATTACTATTTTACTTTAATATTGATATCATTTAGTTTTTATGATATGAGTATTTGCAAATTAAAAGATGATGAAATCTTAAAAACGACAAGATGGATTAGTAGATAAATTTTATACTTTTGTTGAATGTTATTTCTAATGGTGACAGAGAATTGCACTCTTTTTTAAAATAAAGTTAGCATATTATTTATTAATTAACTATCCTATAAATTATTTATTTGATTAATTAAAAGAATTTGTGGATTTAAAAGCTAATTCATGATTAAAAACAAGGATTATAGATAAATATTAATATCGTTGGTATTCATCAAATCTGATTATGATGATGAGCACCTAGAACATATTTGTTATAATTTTTTCTTATTCAATTTTATGAAAATGTTAACAACTCAAAAGCTATAGACTTCATTCTTTCTGTGTTTTTGTGTGTCCAAGGAAGTCGTTTAATATCAAAGGTTGTCTATAAATTAATTGAATATATAATTACTATTTTGTTATCCCTTAAACTCAACCAAATTTTGTCCTATAGTTTATCAATCTTCTTTTTTCTATCTGCTTGTATAGTATCGTCGAGGTGTTCTATATTTAGAACAGAAAATACCTAAAAACTCTTTATAAAAGCTTTGGAAAATTTGAGATGAAAATACTTCTTTTAAAAAATCATTATTCATTGTTTTGTTTTTACTGTTTTTTCTAAATGGAAGAATAAGTGGAATCTTCTTTTCCTACTCCATAATTGTTAGAAACTCTTATCGAGCTGTTTTTAAATTAGTTTCTAATAAGTTGTTGATAATAGTACTTGAAATGTGGTCTCTTTCGGATATTTTCTTGAATATGAACCTGAATGCTTTTCTTAGACAAAACTTGATTAATTCTTCTCGACTCTTGATTTACTAAGACTATTTGGTAGCTAAAATTTCCAAGATTTTGGCTAATTGAGCCTGATTGATATTTCTAAGGTTTTGTTTAATATCGTTGATTTGATGATGGTCATCGATAATTAACAGAATATAATCACGTAACTTTTATTTGTTGGGAAGATGCTGTTGAAAGGGATCCATAATTTGATAAGTTGTTTGTGAATCTGCAATAGCCAAACTAGTTTTTTAAGAGGTTGTGGAGATCTCAGTGTTGATTATCGGATAAGTAAGAGGATTACCATAATCAGGATATCCATTAAATGGTAATTATAACTATATATACTGCTCACTCTAGTGGTTATGAATTGGGGCAAAATTGCAAGGTACTTAAAATTATGAATAATAAGTTTATAGAGGATTTTAAAAGTGAAAATGTTATGTAAATGGCTAAGGTTAATGGATTAAATTGGAAAAGATTAGTGGATTGGTAAAAAGTTGGCTCATATGATGTATAATATTTATATTAAATCAAATCCAAATTAAAAGTATCTTCAATATAAGCATGAAATTTATATTTAATAATATTCTGATAAATTTAGTGGAATTTATCAAAAATAGGTATAATGTAAAGTTTCAATAAAGACTAGATAAGATCAAAAATAAGAAGGGAACTTAATTATTTCAACCAACAATTATTATTTTTGTTGTTAAATTGATTTGGTTGTTCAAAATTATATTAACAATTGTAATTAGAAAGCAATCAAAATAAAATAAAAATTATTTATATGAACACAATTTTATTAATATTTATTATATACTATCATCTTAAACCAGCTGTGTCGACATGTTAATGAATTGCCATAAGTGCATTGTAATAAGCAGCCATTCTCAAGGAAATATTCAATTTGCTAGCGGTTTCTTTTGTTTTTTGGACAGCAACTGCCATAGATTCTTCCAAACCTGTGAATACTAAGTCTTTCTAAGAAAGGAATAGGATATAATAGATACAGCTGAAGGACCTTCAAGAAGTTTTGCAGCCTATTGGTTTTTGGTAACATCTACTCTCAAACCAGTAGAAATTTGAATAGCCTCTAACAATTTGTATTTGGAGGTTTCTTCCCATCTTCTGGTCATTCTTCCTGGTCTACATAGATATAAATGATGATAGAAACCTGATGTGATCAAGATTTTAAAGCCATTCGAAATAACTGACTGTGACACCACCAGCATTGAGGAGGATATCAGGGAGGAACTTAACCCCCTTCTTGATTAAGATTTCTTCAGCAGCGAGAGTGGTGGGTCCATTGGCAGCTTCGGCGATCACTTTGCAATTGAATTTAGGAGCATTAGCCTAATTATGAATTAATTTATTTACTCTATTCACAGTTTATTCAAAAGCAGCAGGAATGAAAATATCGCATTCCTTATAAATAACGGATTCATCTTCATGATATTCTGAGGCTTTAGGGAATCCCTTAACTCCCTTTCTTTATTCTTTGAAGGCTTGTAATTCATCTGGGTCAATTCCATTTTCCTCATAGATGGAGCCATCCCATTCAGCTACACCAACCAATTTGGCACCATAAGCACACATGTATTTAGCTGCATAGTAACCGACCTAGAAATTAATGTTTTAATTTACAGCTCCGTAACCTTAGATGATGATGCTCTTTCCTCTGAGACCTGCTGGAATACCAGCTTGAGTGCAAAATTCATAATCCTCAAGGATTTCCCTGCATCCATAGAAGACACCCAAACCTGTGGATTCTGTTCTTCCTGAAATACCTCCTTGAGAAATGGCCTTTCCTGTAACACATCCTTGAGCATTGATATCAAGATGTCCTGCGAATTTAGTGTATTCATCCTTAATTAAATAGAAAGATAGGATACTTTCATCCAACTCATTTCTCTTTCTCCTGTACCGAGATCTGGTCCTGGAACATCGATGGCTGCTCCAATGAAATTTCTCTTAGCCAATTCAATGGTGAATCTTCTCATCAATGACTCAATTTCTCTTTTTGAGTATTTTTTGGGATTCATTTTGAGACCTCCCTTTGCACCTCCCTAAGATTGTAATAGTTTAATTAAGTACGTATGGCAATTCCAAAACAGCGTTCTTGAATGTCATCAACAAGGACAATGCTTCCACTTCTTCGGTGTGAATGTGTTCACTCAATCTTGTACCACCTTTGGTTGGTAATTTGTGAGTCTTGTGTTGTGCTCTGAATGCTGGAATCTAAATATGGTTATTAGCCTCATATAATTACGCATTCGACTGTTCCATCGTCTCTTACGAGGGGCAAGTGAAACTTTATAACACAATCAGTCTTCTTGTAATAGCTATTTTATTAATGGTGAGTACTTCAGCATGTCAACAGGAATGTTTGTCAATGCAGCTGCTTTGTCGAAGTATTAATACACCTATTCCAAGAAAGACACATCGCCTTCCTCACTACTCTAACCAAATCTGGCAAGACTTCTGAATTGGGGTTATAGAGCACGTCTGGCGAAGGTTTAAATCATTTTATTTTTAATTATGATGCTTTATCAAGATGAATCATCTTTGAATAATACGTACTATACGTCATTCAAATTATAGATTTAGGAATTATGATTTAATTTATTTTATTTATTTTATTTCATGATGTATTATGCCATCATTTCTGTATGTTACAAATACGAATTATTGCTCATTTTATTATTATTCCCTCTTCAATTATTCACTTAATACTAACCCTTCTCAAATTAATTTAATTTTATTACACTTCCTTTTATATTATAATATATTAATTATATATATATATATATTCTTTTATACACACTAATCCAAATGTCTCATTCTACCAAAGAATACCTCCCCATCGTTTTCGCTGATCTCTAAATCTCTACTAAAATCTAACCAAACGAGTATTACATCGAAGAGAAGTAATAACATAATCTTATCAAGACTCCCAATCCTCAAATAACACCACCACTCAACTTCTCAACCTAAATTGTCCTAAGTCACAACGCCATCCAAATCCCAATAGGAAATACTAAATCATCAGAATGCCATTAAAAAAATCGTGTTCCCCAACATACTCCAAAGAACGAAATAAGATATCAAAAAATATCGAAAACATCAACTCTCTTTGATAAGCGATGAAATTTCAAACTCACAACCTATTATCCAATTAGAACATAAAAAAATAAGCAAAACCAATAGCTAATCTCCGCTTAAATTGCATTCCTAATAACCAAGTTATATTAGCAATTATCCAATAAGAACCGATCTTTCTTCTTTGATATTCGATAATAATTTAGAATCTTAATCAAATGATTCGATTGTCAAGTTTCGTAAACTAAGGTAACTTGTAACTGATAACTTAGTCCAACTTTCAATGAAACATCATGGTAAAAAGTAGACAAAGTCAACAGAATCAATTTGGCTCATGAAGTCTAAAAAGAAATACATCATTTGGAAAGATTCAATGCATATTGGAAGCCAGATATGATTAATTAATATCTATAGCTAAAAATCGTGCATTAAGGAGTGAACTAGAAAAGAGGCAACAAGAGAATATTTATATTAATGTACCTTCCTCATCAAACTCTTGTTTTAAAAAGTTCTCAAGTTGAAGTAAAAAATAGGTTTTATTTTATAACAATTTAATAGTCCTTTATCATTATAACTAAATGCTTTGACATACTTTGTTCCACTTTACGAGAAGATTAGCAATTAGAGTGAACTAACAGATAATTACAATATATGGTCAAAGCACTTTTTAGATTTACTACATTACAAGCAACATATAAACACAGTAAAGTTTTACTTTTTAGACGGCAAAGAACTTTAAACATTGAATTAAATACCTTCTTATGAAAAATTTATCTATTGCAACTTACATGTAATTGAATGAGCAATAATATATAATAGGGAGAATTTGATCTTTGGAATAGAGTTGGATAAACTTTAAATTTAGGAGGACAATTCTAATTAGATAAATATGTCAAATTGGCCACAAAAATGGTAGATTTAAGATAGAAGGATGATATTCTTAAATTTTTTGGTAAGAGAGATAACTTTCTACCTTTTTATTCAATGGCTTATAATTAAGAAGATGAATGTGCAAAATCTCCTATTTTACAATAAATAGAAATGATTTAGCAGGATGCAGATGATGAATAATTGAATGATGAAGTGATTGATTAATCTATCTTTCAGATGAATTAGAATCAACAGAAAGCGTATTTAAAAACAATAAAGCAATTTATTCAATAAAATAAAACTAAATACTCGCAAACATTGGCTAATGAAGAAGCTGGTATGAGGCAAAGAAAAAAGAATATTAAAGAAATTAGAAGAAAATCAATAGAAATTAAATTAAAAGGAGTATTCTATTATTTATAACATTTAATTAGTAAAAGTAAATGTTGGATCTTAATGAGGAAACTCATATAGAAATGAAATTATTACATGAGGACACTTAATCCATTGATGAAATTAAGGAAGATGCAGTGGATAAAGTAGATGTGTTTAAGAATGCAATATATAAAAAGTTACCAAAAAAAATTGAATTAACCAATGATCCATTTTCAAGCTTCTCTTCAAAAGACAATAAAAAATTTAAAGAAATTATGAAATTGATTAATATAGAACAAATAGTATTGGAGAAAAAGCTGAATAGATAGGATGTTATGCATTACCTGTCTTTATTCAAAGCTCTAATGGATTCAGATAATCTGAATTATTTCACTACCAACCAATTAGATTATCCTTCCTTATACATTTCAAGGGAACAATTAAAAAAAAGCTTGCCCTATATAATATTGTATAAAAATCAGTTGAATACTGGAAAATTAAATGAAATATATGAGAGACAATATAACTATGTTGAATTCTTGGATTTCTTGGATATCTTTACTACTGAATACATAGTCTCAGAGAAGGAATTGGAAAGATTAAAAAATTAGAAATAAGATGCATATTGACTATTCTATATATATAATTTTGAAATCTTAATTTTGATAAAGTAAAATAGATTATTTCATTGTTCTTATTCTTCAGATGTTTGAAGTATCTATTGGTATCTATTGCTCATTTCATGAACAATTAGTGAATCATCAACTTCACACTTGAGTATCCAAGGATGTGCCTCAATTTCTGAGATCTAATAAATAGATATATATATAGAGATCATTACTGATAATCTTTAGTTAGGATTGAAAGCCAATAGCTTTGTTATGAGATCTTTCAATTCAGGACTAAAATCAACCTATTGTACTTCCCAAAACTTGTTGTACTATTTCCTTAAATAATAGCAAGACGTCAATACCTGTAAATTAATTAGTATACTTAATCTGTTTTAATGTTCGCAGTTTAAAAGGGACAGAAACCAGAAGTAATCTAAAATAGTATGACTCCTAATTGGAATAAATCAGCCTCGATTCCATGATAAGGTTATTGAAGGAAAATCTCTGGAGCTGCGGTGGAGGGAGAACCGACATAACTGAATTCATTTAAATTCAATACGTATTAATCTTAATTCTTTTGCCCTGTGCATCCAAAAAATTAATTGCATATCCGAAGTCACAAATAAGGATATTGAAATTATCATCCAATAATATGTTTTCTAACTTTAGATCCCTATGAGCTACTCCTTTTTTATGAATTTCAGAAATAACTATGATTTCAGCAGATGCTTACTTTGTATTATTTATTTAAAGTAATGTCTTGAAAATTCTTCAGTGAATTTTCTGAGCTTTAAATATTATAACAGATTTCCCTATTTCGCGTAGTCCATCATAATGCAACCATCACATTCACACTCTCTTACTCTAATGACTCCTGGGATGTTGCTTAATAGCTGCATCATTTTTATTTCATTTTCGTAAAATGATGACTATTGTTACTTAAAGACCTTCATAGCCATCAATTGTCCACATCGATTAACCAGCTAAACACTATGAATTTTAAGAATTAAAATACTCCGCTGAATAGCCTTGCCCAATTTTTGTCACTACAAACATTTCAGAAATATTAATATACTAATAAATATTTATTTATTTTATAACATTCCATCATCCTGGTGTTAAATAAAAATTTATAAAAATAGTTGATCATCTCTGAAATTTTATATTTGAACTTGTCTTGTAAAATGGCTCCATAATTGACCTATTTAAAATAAAAAAATTTTGATTGAAATACCACATATATTATAAATTATTATTTAAACAAACAACATACAAAAAAGAGATTACTATTGCAATATAATATATAAATATTAAAAGATAAAACAACCTTCAATGATATATTCTAATTTTATTTGATTAATGTTTCCATACTCAAATAGGCTGACTATTGAGTTTAATTATCACATTATCTAAGTTTGATTTTCGAATAATAAAAACTATAAATTATAGAGATCCTAATGCAATGATAAATTTTTTTGGGAAACATATCAAATTTAAGAAATACTTGTTGAACTTTGAATTACTTTTGAATGAAATTTTTACTAAATTTTTAGATAAAAAATTTATATTAATTGAATTTAATAACATAAAAATAAAAAACCCCGGCTTATTAATTTTTTAACTTTATTTATGAGTCAACTTATTGGAACTTTGTCCTTGGATACCAATGCCTATGTAGATTACAATATCAGTGAGAATATGTCTAATAACGCACTGGAAAACTCTGATTTATTGAAAGTGAGATTGGGAAAGATTAAAGGAATGAAAGTTTGCAATTTTAAGTCATTTGAAAATGAGCATTTTGTAGGTCCTTTTACTAAATTCACAAGCATTATCGGACCAAATGGGGGAGGTATATGATGGTTTAATATGATAGGGAAGTCAAACGTTTTGGATGCAATTTAATTTGTATTAGGAATCTCAATAAGGTCTATGAGATGTCATAGAGCAGAGGAATTAATTTATAGTTAATCAATGTACTACAAAAACTATCAGGAAGAGGACCGAACAGCTTATGTTGAAATAATTTTTGAGGCCATCAATTACATTGAGACTTAAATTTCACTTAAAAGAACCGTAAATAAATAATAGCAAACACAAGTTTATATTGGCGAATAATAAGTTACTGAGAAAGAGTTGAGTTCATTTCTCCTCTTGTCTAAAATCATATTGCCTGCTAAGAATTTCATTATGTTGCAAGGTGACACTGATACTTTAACAACAATTGAGCCTAAGAAATTAACAGAATTATTCGAATATGTCAGTGGAAGTGTTCAATATAAAAACACATGTCAATAGATCTAAAGTGAGTTAAACAAAGTGGTTATTAGAATGAGGGAATTGCAATTTTAAAGAGGAGCCATGAGAACAGAATAAAAAAAAGTGAAAGAATTAAAAAACACTTCTGACAAATACAAAAAAATTAATGAAGAGATAAATCAACTGAAATTGAAATAGAAACTGTTTGAGCTTAAATAGATAGACAATGAATTAGAAGACATATCAAAGCAATTGACTTAGAACAAAAATGATGAATCTGATTAAAATAGTGAAAACAAGAGATTGGTTGAAGATATTCAATAATGTGATTTAGAGATTGAAAAATTGAAGTAGGAACTAAATTAGATCGAAGAAAATGAGAAAAAGATTAAGAAGGATGAGAAATCTAAAGCTTATGATACAACTTCAATTGATTTAGAAATAGAATTATTAAAAAAGTAAGTGTCAACATACGAAGGGTTGCTGGGTAAATTGAAAAAGGATATCAATTATCAAATGGAGATGGTAGAAGAAGTGCAAACAGATCTTGATGGTAAAGCATAGCATTTGTAAAAAATTAAATCTTAAAGCAATTTAAAATTATCCAAAAAGTTAATGGAGGAATTCTAAGAATTGTAAATGAAATTTAAAATATAGAATTAGCAAATACAATCTGAGTTAGAGAAATTACAAGAAAAATAAGGAGTAGCATAAAAGATATATGATTAAATTGACGATGAGATCAAACAATATACAGATGATCGTAAGGAATTAGGATAAGCAATTGAAGAATAGAATACTTAGTTGAAGTATGTGAAAGATGAATTTGATGTATTGAAAGATAGACATCAAAATACTTAAAAGAGAATTGATGAGTTGTATAGATAAAATTAAATTGAGGAAAATGAATTGAAATCACTTTAGCAACATAAAATAGAATAGGAGAGACAATTAAGATTGATTGAAGTCTAAGAGACTGAAAATATTGATGAAAAATAAACTTAGTTGTTGATTTAATAGTTAAAGTCCATGTTCAAAGATTTTCGAGGAGAATTATCCAGTTTGTGTAATCCTGATTAATAATAATTTGCCATCCCATTGAAAGTGGCTCTTGGCTAAAGATTACTTTGTGCATTAGTAGTTGATTCAGAGAAGACAGCCAAGGAAATTAATATGCATCTAAGATCTCTTGATATTGTCAAGGAACTGATTATATTGAATAGAGTAAAAAGTAATAAGGATGAATCCGAATTGAGAGAGAATGTTGAATAGTATGTACAATAATATAGAAGACAGACAAGAGCAGGTAAAGCATATTTAGCAATTGATATAATTAAATATGATCAATGTTTGGATAAAGTTTTAAAGTCTTTATTGAGTGGAATAGTGGTGTGTGATTCATATTAATTGGCAGTTTAATTATAAAAAGAGAAGATTTAAGATATTAAATAGATTATTACATTGGATGGAATCACTTTGGCAACATCAGGTATGATAGTGTTTAATGGATCATAATAAAGATTGTCAGAAATGAGAAATTTTAGATCAAATAATTAAAGAATTTAATAAAAAGGACCCAAGGAATCAAAAGAGTAATTAATTAAGTCGATTGATGAATTGTAAAATAAAATTAAGACTCTCAAAAATATAAGTGTTTAGGATGATCTGAAATATTAGTCTGCATTAAAAATGAAATTAGAAGAATAATAAGCTCAATTATCAAATAAATAGATTTCATTGCAAAAATCAATACAAATGTATAATGACAAATTAAAGTAAGTTGATAAACTATTAGATGAACTTTATATTGAAATAAACAAGAGAAAAGTATAATTGAAGGAATTTGATGAATAAAATGAAAAACTTGTTAATTAAATCTAGAACTAATAAAAGGTGGCATATTAAGATTTTGCTAAAAGAAATTCAATAAGTTTGCAGGAATTAAACTAATTAGACTTTCAATAAAATTTAGGTAAACAATTGGAAATTAAATAATAATAATTGAATAAACTGTAAGTATAGAAATAGAGTATGGAATAATATTTGGAAGAATTGAAAAAGAAACAAGAAGACTTTTAGAACAATATAAAAACTAAAAATGAAGCTATTAATAATTATGAACAAAAGAAAATTGATCTACAGCAGAATCATGATAAAAAGAATAAAGATTTAGTTTAGTATTCCCAAAAACAACAAGAAATTAATCAAAAACTAAAAGCATAATAAAAAAAATTGCTTAATCTCACCGATTTGAGAAATCAATAGGTTAGAAAAGGAGTTGACAAAAAATAATAAATCAATTTAATCAACAGAAAATTAGAGTAGTTAAGATTCTAAAGAGGAAGATTAATCGAATTATGTGAAATTGAATCTATTCCTGTCAGATTTAAGAGATCACAAGGAACTTTCCAACCTTCTTTAAATTTTGATGATGATTAATAAATGGATATGGAAGCCATTGATTACAGTGCGATCAAAAATGATTTGAAACATTCTAATTGGAACAAATTAATAGAAGAAATTAATGTAGAATTAGAATCAAAGGAACAAGAAATTACTAAATATTTATCCGAAAATTTACAAGTTGGATTGATTGGAGCCAAAACAGATGAAAAATTTGTCTAATTGGAAACCAATATTGAATCATTAGGAAGATCAATTAAGGAATTATAAAATCGAGAAGCTGAATTGAGTGATCAATTAGTATAGACATAATAATTAAGGAAGGATAGATTTGACAAGTTATTTGATAGAGTAGAAAAGGAAATCAAAATATTATATCAAAAATTAACTGAGAATCAAAATAGAGTTGGTGGAACTGTTCTTCTCTATATGGAAAACAAAGAAGAACCCTTTGAAGGAGGATTAATTTATACACCAAATCCTCCCAACAAAAAATATATTTTTGATAATTCTGAATAGCTTTCTGGAGGAGAAAAGGCAATAGCCTCAATTGCTCTGTTGTTAGCATTAAATGCAGCTATTGATGCTCCTTTCATTTTGCTTGATGAAGTAGATGCTCATTTGGACTAAGACAATGCGGATAAGTAAGAATTTATTTTAAATACTATTAGATTACAAAAGATTGTGAAATTGTTGTCGAATTAGATCTAGTTTGTACTTGTAAGTCATAATCCGGATGTGTTTGCTCATTCGGATTCACTGGTAGGGGTAACAATCCAACATTCTAAAACTACGAGTGAAGCATTTTCATTATTACTTTGATTTTTTGCAAGTTTTGATATTATTTATATTGTATTTAACTGTTGAAGAAATGAAAAGAGTTAAAATAAAAACAATTATGTAACAATTAATAATGATACATAATAATAAAGTTAAAAATAATCTGATGATATTCAATTTATATATTTATATTTGCGTAATAAAATGGATAGACAGGGGATAGACACAATTTATAAAACCGATTCCTCAAGATTGATGACATTGCGAAATAATACAGAAACCTTAAGTAGAATAACTTTATTAATCTAAGTTATCAACACATAAGGATTTGATAGTCGGCCTGGATTAGGGTTACAATTCAATGAACAATAAATTCCTGAGAGTTGTGTTAATGACGATAATGAATTGTATGCTTCAGAAAATTCCTCTGTTTCAAATTAAAGTAGACATCGAAGTAGAAAAGAATCAAAAGCGGAATCCCTGAGTAAAATAATGAAGGAAACCCAGAAAATTTAATCAGATGATTTCCATTAGCCAATTGGAGGGTGGGAAAATAAAATATGGTAAAAAGGAGCATTGCGAATTATGACTTATGTTATCAGATTCGTAATGGCATTATTAATCAACTCTGAGAAGTTCAAATTTACCTTCATGAAAAAAAGGCAATTCTAAGCAATAAATGATTAATCAGCCATCTTTGATTATTATGAGGAAAGATTTTTAATACGAGGCAAAAAGAAGCTTAGTTATTCAGTAATTATATAAAATAATTTAAGTAAATACTTAAATTAAGAATTCAGAACAACTGCTTATATTAGTCCTGCCATATATTTTTGTAATATATCATTAACAAGATCATCTTCATCATAGTTCCAACTAGCACTCCGAAATTAATTTGGGATGTATTCCTCTTGATAATTTTATCAATTCAGATGGTTTTTGTGCCATTAAAGATTTGTTTTTAAATTGAGATTACATAGGATCTGTTGTAGTTTTTTTTATTGACATTACCACTCTATGTCTACCTGATAGAAATACTGTTGAATTTTTTAACAGGATATTATGAACATGGTGTATTAGTAATAGATTAAAAACAAATTGCAATGCATTATTTAAAATCGACATTTATGTATGATTTTTTAAGTGTTATGCCTTAATTTATAAGTACTATAAGCGATGAATCCCAAATTTTTGAGATTCTCTTATTAATACGTTTGAAAAGGTTGATATTGCTTGCGGATACACTCGAAGAGACCTTAAATTTGAGATAGCATTATTAGACATTCATCGATGTTGTTCGTTTGCTGATTTAATTTTTATTTTTGTCTCATCTATTTGGATGTGTGTGGCATTACATTGGAGTTCTAGAAGAATAATTTGGGTATTTTTGTTTTAGATATATTGATTTAAGATATGATCAGAATTGGATCAAATAGAAAAACATAGATGGAGAGTCGTGGTTTGTTAGATATGTATTCTCAATTTACTGGAGTTCCATTACTACATTGACAATTGGGTATGGAGATGTCATACCAGTAAGTAGTTTTGAAAGGATGTTTGTGGTAATAGTAGCTGTAGTAAGCAGTGTGGTATTTGCTTATACAATTTCGAGTATTGGAAATATTTTTAGTCAATTGAATGAGAATAAGAAGAATTAAAGACATAAAATGTTTCTAATCAAGAAGTTTATCGAAGAAAGGAATGTAAATAAAGTACTGGCTAATAAAGTCAAAAAATTTTTTGAATATTTTATTTAGATTGATCATACTTCAGATAATGAATGTGTGAAATTAATTGAGAAATTAGATCCTACTTTGAAAACAGATTTAAAGATAGATATCTATAGAAAATTTATATCAAATTCTAAATTAATATCCGCCACTTTTTCTGATCTAATGTTGAATGAAATATGTTAATTAGTCTAAGAAAAATAATATATGCCAGATGAATTTATTGTTATATCAGATTAGGAAATTAATGAGTTATATTTTGTATTGGAAGGTGAAATATCATTGATTGTAGAATTAAATAAATGTATAACTTGCAGTATTCATAATTTTAGAAAAGAATAAAGTCTCGTAATTGTCCCTAATTAAAAAAAATGAGGTTTTGGGAGAAAAGTATTTTCTTACTAATGCTAAACTGCCTTTTTCAGCCAAAGCCTAGAGTTTCGTAAGAGTTGCTGTATTGGATAAATAACAATTAAATCTTCTCCTTCAAAAATACCCAGAAGAATTCGAAAAATATAAATAAGCATTGAATAAAGTTAAATTGCAGGAAAGAATCAAATTGGCAGGGTGTGAACTTTGTTATTAAAACCACAAAGTCTTAGAATGTCCTTTTGTCTTCTATTAACCAAACGTTCGATTTATAGTTAAACGGCAGTACCTTTAAGAATAAGCCAGGCGAAAGTTTGAACGAAGACACGCTAAATCACATGTAATATTTCATTGTTAGTTAGAATTCTAAAAGTGATAGACTAGGCATATAATATCGTTTAGTAACATATGCGTTGGAGAATAATTTAATTTAAGAAGAATCTATAAATGATTCTATAATTAAGAAAATGGATTTGTAATGTTTGGAACATCAAAAAAATCTGTTTAGATCCTGTACTGATTCTTCTATTAATACTCTGATCAAAAATAACATTAACCCTAATTTTTAGAGTGGAGGCAAGGACAGTCCTCATGAGAGTCAAGAATAAATAATGAGATAAAATTCAAATAATACTCATAATCCTAGACCTAGTTTTACAGGAATTGGAAGTACAAAATAGATGTCCACTTTGAAATTAATCAAATTAAATAACAAAAAGTAAGAAAAGTAAGAAATATATGAAAAAATTGAATTAAAAGTACCTGAGAAAATAGTTTTGTAAGATATTTGTGAACATTCATCTGATTCTGATTTATAATCACCTGATAAGACCAAATTAACAAAATAGAATAGTTTCACTTTTTGTGCATCATCGGATTTTAAAACCCAATTGAAAGTAGAGTACTATTAGAAATTAATAATAAATGAATTGGATGGTCTTGATAAATATTAAGAATACTAATATTATTATCCTTAATACAATGTTGAAAGAGTGATTGAAATGATTAATGAGAAGTATAAATTAAAAAGACTCAAACAATCTAAGACTTTGATTAGAAGATAAAGTCGGTATTTATCATCTTTTCCAACCATATCGTTAAGAAAGAAAAAGAGTGGAATATTTGGGGAAGAAATTATACATGAGAATTGATAATAAATATATTATTACTTATCTCACTCATTCAACTTATCGAAATTAATATTATCAAAGGCATTTATACTTTGTTTGGTTAATAAATATGTCAAGGTTTCGTCAAATCTTACAAGTTCTATTTCGATTTAAAAATATATTGATACCAAAATACTACATAAACTGTCTGAATTGGTCAACATCCTAAAATGCCAACAATTAGGCTAAATACTCTAATTCTATATTTGATATATATCTAAAGATAATTTATTATTTATACGTTTTTACTATTTATTTCAAAGCTTTTACTCTAATTCTAACTAAAAAATGATTAATAATACTTCCCATTGTCTCACTTGATTCTTTATAATCCTTAAATAGTTTAACATAATTTCCACATTTATAAGACTCTCTTATCCTAAAAATCATGAATAATTTATATACCCAAGAGCAAATTTAATTCTCTAATCATCAGGATTCTAATGTAATATTTTGACTAATTAATCTTATTTATTTAACATTGTTAGATAAACAATCCTATAACTATCAAATTCAACTTTATTTCCTATGAAATTGGCATCCTTCCCTTCACTTATGCTTATCATGTCGTACAAATCACACAACATAGTCCAACAACTTTCATATCTTGGGAAATCTCCACATTCTAAACAAATTCTAGCATTTTCTTCGTACACTTAGACTGTAAATCTATTTTCTATATGTTGAACCAACAAATCCTATCTTATTGATCTGAATTGCTCGATTGTGAAATTATAATCTGCCTAATAGTTCTTCCACTTCTCCAGAAGATGATTTAAAGCCTTTTTTAAAATGTGTTCTGGTCTAATGGTATTAGGATCAGGCAAACCAGTAAGTCTATAATATGGTTTTTCTAAGTCTTCACAAGTTCCCTTAAAAATAAATTTAATTCCAAAATACTGTAATTTTCATATTTGTTGAAATAAATTGGTCTTCTTCCTCTATTTTTTTTTTAATCTATTTTTATTGTTATTTAATCTATATTGATGCATTGGGCTGTAATTTTCCGAATTATAGCATTGCCAAATCTATGCTATAGTCAATTTTCTTATTTTTCATATGATGTTGATTTATAGTATCAACTTATTACTATTTCAGTTAATCGTTTAAAGACATCAAATTTTAAATACTAGTAGATGCTGTAATTTCTATTATTAAGAACCATTACTTTACGCTGGTCCAATAGGTTGGGCTTAACTTGGAGCCCCAAATTTACTTGTTTAGCCTAATGAATTCAATGCCATAGCTGTGCTTTGTTTTATTTGGAGAGGTTAAGAAAATAACGACTAATTTCGTATTTAATTCTCTCTAGGAAGTGTTGGCAATGGAAATTTAGACCAATCCCTTATGCTGTATTCGTTTTTGCGTTTGGCTTCTGCAATTGTAGTCTTTAAATATTGCTCCATGTGATTTCGCTCTCCATCAGATTGACATTTATTAAATGCCCTCTCTACATACTATTTAACAGTAACAGAGGATTATTCGTTAAATATTTCTCTGGAATTACAAAATCTCGCACCTATTTTGGTTATTAAAATAGTCATACTAACTAAATTAGGCATTTCAACATTTAACTTCCGATATAAGTAAGAGTATAACTTAATTTCATTTTCCCATCTTGAAGGTTGATCCAACTCTGAAACATCTACAGGAGGTAGAAATTGATTCTACTCTTTCTCAATCCTATTGTTCATCGCATTTTTTTATTATTAATCTTGAACTTATTAAATATTTTATGGTTGCTATGGCTATTGTTGATTCACTTGTTAGAGTGGTTAGGATACTTTTTATTGGGTATTTAAAGCAGGATTAGATTGTTGGAGATACTATGACTAAGGTCTGTAAATGTTATTTAGATTACCCATGAGATTGTTTTGTTCTAGCTTTAAATAATCATATACATTGGGTTTGTAACATTTGATAATTATATGGATGATATTGATTATATTAATATTGATTTGGCATCATTTACTAGTACCCATATGGCATATATTAGTTATATCCATAATAGTTTTGATACATAGATTACTAAGATGATTAGTTTTGACTTTAATAAATCTTCTCTGCTCTCATAGCATCTTCTATTGTTTATCTTTTATTATTGTTCATTTTTAATTAAATGATTAATGTGTTTCAATATAAAACAATTTATCAATAGATAAATTATTAATTTTCATTCAAATGAGAATTATTAACCCAATAAGATTAGTATTTCTAAATTCTCATTTAAAATAGAGTTACTTGAATTTATTTATATCAAATAAAAGTGGATTTATTTACTTAATAATTTAATTAAAACAAACAGAAAAATTAAACTTTTATTACATATATTTTGTTAGTTGGAATCTCTCTCTCCAGTAAGTTTAATTAATTCTATAAAGTTACAGCCATCTATTTGCAATGGGATCTTAATGTTTAATGTTAAAAATGGTTTTAGCAATAAAAATAATAAAACAGATTTATATTAATATCTAAAATATCCTTATAATAGACTATCGTTCTTATACTTATAATGTCATAAATCTGTTAATCTTGATAGTTTCTAAACTCTATTGAGTAGATAATCTCCCTATTTAATTAAATTATTATAGAGTTAGTTTCTATCATCAGCCCTAGATGACTCGATGATCCCAGCAACTTTATCAATTTTACAATTGATTCTTCTTGATGATATTAATTCACTCAATTCTCTAATGAATAAAATAATTAGATACCTATCAATAAATTGTACACTGACTCCAAATGCTTTTGCCATATTATTCAATGTTACAGTTTTATAGCTTTCCAAAAATTAGGAGTAGAAAACTACTCTATATTCTCTAATTAAGTATTTTCTATGGATACTCAAGTATTGATCATGTGAAAGATTTTCATTGACAATTGCTACAATATGAATGATATTCCATACCAAACTTCTAGAAGAGTGTTTTATAATCACATTGTAAAAATGATTCCAAGAAGCTTTTCAAGACTTGATTCTCTCTCAAAACTCCCACTACTTCTGGGTTTTAATGTACCTTTTTCTTTAAGGATTATCTATCCAAACATATGATACTGGTTAGAACTGTGTAACTAACAACCTCATTGTAGGATATGATTTCAGATGAATTGAATGTGGCAACAGAGTCTAAGAATAATTTGCATGCTTTTGTGATATCTCTGATCATCAAACAATAGATTCCCTCATAAACTTTGAGTCTGTTCTTTCTTTCCCAATCACCTCCTTAATCCAATAATATTTATTATTAATTCAAATGCTCCTTGAATTTTTCAAGGTTTCTTTATTTTAAATATATTTGTAAAATTAAGAAATGGACGTCCATTTTTTTACCAATGCCAACAGATTTAGGTAATGTGTCAATGTAAGTTTTGATTGCCTCAAATAATAATACATATGTACATCTTCATATTTATTATATTTTTATTGCAATGAAGCTTTTTCAAGCATTGCATCTCTAACCTCAACATCTCCCAAATTCTCTTAAGAGTCTTTTATTTTATTTTCTGCTGCCTCTAACTATTCTTCGAAAGTTTTCTCCTACTCCATTTTAATTTTAAATTTAATTAATACTAATCTCAATATAAGTTTTAATTACTTCAAGTCCTAATTCTTCCAAATGTATTCAACGTATGAGTTATACTCATTTATTTGAACCTTGGAAGCAATCATAATCTGATATTAATTCAACTAAGTATTTCAAAATTAAACAGCATTTCAAATTAGATTATATTAGTTTAGGAAAATATCAAAATATTTTAATTCACAAGGATAAAGATTAAATATAAAAGCGAGATCTTTGGTATCATAAAAGAATATAACTTATCTTAAGATCACTTATGATAATTAATAAAGATATTAAAAAAAGAAATAGTACAATACAATTTATAATAATAATAAATTCATTTGTTGATAGTTTTTTGACCTTATTTAGGTTTGATATCATAGTATTATAATTAATATAAATACAATTAATGAATAAAATAAATTTATAAAAGAAACAAAAATAAAAATAAAAGTTTATTCCTTTAGGATTTGTTATCAAATACGATCCTCCTGTTATTGGTATCAGTTAAATATAAATATTAAAGGATTATTATATAAAAGAAGCATACAGGAAAATAAAAAAAAAGTGTATAACATACACTTATAAAATTTAATAAGATTAGATGATGAGGTTGAGATAACTAAACAGTTATTTGATGAACACCCTGAATTTTTGGATCCTGATATCATAGAGCCTGAATAAGTTTTAGGTTTAGTATAGAAGTTGATCGAATTTAGATAGATAATGGAAAGAGATGATGAAAATGAATATGAAGAGGAGGAGACTGATAGTCAAATAATTGAGGAAATGTTTGATTGATAATTTTATCTTGACATATATTTTGATCAATATTCAATTTTGATATGCACTAAAACGTAGGAATTAGCTAAAGTTTTAAACTGAGAATTTAACAAAGGAACTATTCTATAGCCCGTCCTTAGGTTAAGTGGGGATAAACAATACTAGCCCAACAAGGAATCTCCCAACATGGAGTAACTATAGGCTTATACATATATAACATCTTATTAAGCATGTTTTAGTTAGATAACACATTAGTAATTAAAGATTGGATGATATCCGTTATCCTAAACAACTTCTGTTCTCCACTTATCTGATTTGTTGACGTCATCTTTATTTCCTGCAACTCTAATTTTAATGTATGGATCAACAATTTCTTCTTATCTACGTTTGGCTTCCTCCCAAACAAGATTAGTTGCACTAATGATACGGACATAAATGTTCATTCGTACATCCTGATTAGATTTCAAAATATAGGAACTGTTAAGAAACATTCCATAGTTCTACAACATAAACAAATCTTTGGTCTGAATATTCAAAGCAACCATCTGAGCTCCTGCAGTCCAAGATGGGAATGGATCATAATTACTCGAATCAAATCTCAGTCCTAAAGGATAGACTCTAACAAAATAATTATCAACATATTCCTAGAATTTACCGTGACTCTTCTTTATTACATCCTATATTTTATCTTCTGAAACACTAGATACAATCCAAACTAATTCTGGCTTTTTGTCCAATTTTAGTGATACTGCATATAATGAAGTAATTTCTAATAACTCTCTGCATATTTTCTTCTGATGTTCATCAAGAGTTTGACTAAATTGTTTAATATTAACTTAATGATCCTGATCATCATCCTCTTCGAATCTAATCAACATATCGTCTTGTGAATGAGTAAAGAATAATGAGGAAGATTGAGTTTACAATTTCTCTTATAAAAATGAATCATCTGCTTTGTATTTAACTAGAACCTTCCTTTACAGTTATTGTAATGTAGAGAACTTCTCTTATTTGAAATCTTTAACCACAAACAGCATTTCTCCAAGAATACTTTATAAGAGTTCTGCTATTCTCTTTTATTGTTTCAAACAACAATGCATTTCAAGCGATAAAATGGCAGGATTATTATCCTTATAGAAAGCAAAGTCTCTTACTGTAGAAATGACATCCTTGAATTTGATGTCATTAACCAAAGTGTGTCCATGAGTAACCTTTGGTTCTCCATCATCACTATCCCAACAATCCAATTCAACACATTTAAATCCCATTTTGAAGGCATCTTAATATGCATAACAGCTTGATTCACCTGTCAATTAATTTGTTTCCAAATATGTATTATGTGAGGAATTAATTAGGTATTTAGTGATTGGCTAAGATAGGTCTACATCTGTTGGTTGAAATAGTGAGTTTTCTTCACTAAATACGAGATTTTGGAAATCATAAAAATTGTATAATTTTCTTTTGGGTTAATAATCATTTTAACCTTACTCTACTTTGAAAAACTATTTTAAGTCTGAATCTGTCATTAGCATGGCTTAGAGTGGATCTTCAAACATTCCTTCTTGTTTACTACTGTATTTTTGATATAATTCTGTTAGTTCATGTCTGCGTGTTATGTCCATTAATAATTGATATAAGGTTGCTTAGTCTAATTGATTATTCTTATGATTTTTCTCAAAGATCTAAATTAGTTTTCTTTCTGGAATTTCAATTTGCAATTCCCCTATTAGGAATTGAAATTCCTTGAAGTTGAGTTTGTTGTCCATGTCTATGTCTGCTTTGGTGATCAATTTGAGAGCACTACTCCAGATTTGATTATAACTATCAAGTTGTTTTTAGATCCTGTTGCCTTCCTTAATCAAATACTCCAATCCCTCTTTGATTGTGATCAATTGGAAAGGACTTTCGAAATACAGTTTTATGTATTCTCCTTGAATGTTGATGATTTTTAGTTTGGATTACTCGTTTTATTAGATGTCCGAGATCTAGGTGAGATCGAAATAGGTACTAAAAGTGCCTAGGGGATCAAGCTAAGATACAGATATGATAGATGATTACCATTTAGATCATTCGAACCTCATTTGGACTTAACAATAAAATAATTTAAGTACGTTTCATCTTGTGCAGTTTCACATTGAGTAGCACTCCATACACCAATAAATTAACACCTTAATGGTTGATTTTATTCATAGAAGTGGATTGTAATTAAAATAATCAAAGATAATGATATTATTAATTCATTTATTATCAGATAATAGTAATTGCTTGAGTAGAAAATCGGCTCCATTTATTGGTGGGTCAGCAGATTCAAACTTCTCAATAATTGGAACAATCGTCTGCACTTCCCATTGCTCCCGAAAGCTCTGACGTTTGTCAATCATCAAACACATCAACTTGACAATGCTTTGCTACAACTCATTCTCAATGGGGACTTATAATAATTGTATAATATAAGGCATCAACCCAGACTGCACTTTCTCCAAATATTTTTCATCCTCAATATTGAGATGACAAATCTTGAATATGGTATTGATAGCTTCTGCCTTCAAAAAGTCTACATCCTTTATTTCAACGAAATACACATCACTGATGAGCACGACAACCTGGAAGAACAGATCCAGTTTATCTCTTAGATCCATGTCTCTACTGATGCATTTAGTGTAGATCTTAAAACACATAGCCAGGACTTGAGCTGAGTACAGAGCGAATCCCTTATGCTTTTATATGATTCCAATCAAAGTATTCATGACATCCAACTAGAGAAAGGCTTCGATATTCTGGACGATAGTCATTAATGAAAATATCAATTTCAAAGTGTACAATAAGACATTCTAATTATTGGTCGTCAATTTACTGTTGATCAAAGCAATCCCATTTTCCTTCATGATCTGATACTTAAATTCCTTTGAATTAGCACACATATTGTAGAGAGCAACACAAGCATACGTGCTTAACATAGGGTGATCGGACTAGTATACGATAAGCAATGGGGATATCAATCCTTTTTGTAGATTGATGATCTGCTCTGTGATTTACTCTTTATCTTTTGAATGATAAGTGATAATGTGTTTGCAAGTAGCTAATTTAGTAGTTTTCCCGTGTATCAACAAATGCATTAGCAGATCAATATATAATTATTGTTAATCCTTCTTCAGAAGTTCCTCTTTAAATAGATCTGTATCTAAAAAGGAAATCATTACTCTTTCATTAAAGATATATTTCTGATAGGCTATTTTTGGGAACTTTTTAGATACCTCTTCAATAATGAAATCATTACTAACTCCAGATTATTCTGACACAGAATATAAACAGAAATCAAACAATTTGAGGACGTCATCCTTATAATTATTATGTGCCTTCATTATTGTTTTAAATCTGAAACTTGAGTCGTAGCCTCCATCCAATTAAGAAGCCAAGTACCTTGATACTTTGTAGATGTATATCCTAGTTTTTTCCTATTTTTATTTATCACTTAGTTTAAGTTCAGAGAATTGAGTTGATGAACTCTTTTTGAATCCATCCAATATGACTGCAGGTCTCTTATTCTAATCTAATTCTTTTTCATTGTCAGATTTATTAAATAAAATTTTGAATCCCTGAATAATAGGAATAACCAAGGTTTCCCTGATTTTAGGAGTTATAGAGTGTTTCTATTGGACATAGAACATCCAATCCTCATCAAAGACGAGACTATCAGCCATCAATTACAGAAACCCTTTGTATATAGGATCCATGGGTTTCAAATCTGAGGCATAAATTGAGTCTGCAGCATCTCTCATAATATTCAACCAATAGAAATCTGAATACAATTGTTTATATGCTGCAATATAAGCTTCTCCTGCATTTTTTTTTTCCTCTTCTCCATCTTCCTCGTTTTCAGATTCTTATAATTACTCTTCTAATTCTTATTACTCTTAATCAGCCTCAGGGTTGTTATCTTCAACTTTGCATTTAGGATCATAAAGAAAGGTAAGCACAATGTCAACAAAATTCTCTAAATATGGGGGATGATACTTCCTTCTCATCATAATAACAGCGTATTCCATTTCAACAGCTTACTTAGTGACTCTTTTCTTCTTCGTTCCTTGTTGAGGTTCATCTTGATGTTTCATGACAACCTTGGCTCTTGTTTGCCAACACTTCCATTCTGCCAAATCATTGTACAAATTCCTTCTTTTAAAATAAGGGGCTGAATGAGTTATCCAATATTTTTCTTCTTCTGACAATGCATTATGCACATAATATTCAGCATAATATTATATATCTTGATGGTTGTGCATATGTTCCAAGACTTCAAGCTCATTTGTTTCTGAAACTTGCAAAGTGAATTGAGATTTGTTCTATCCATTTCGATATAATCCTTTCTTTGTATTCTAATATGAATTCAAAAAAAAGATGTTGTATCCGTTGAGCACATGCATATTGTACTTATACATTTCTTGATTCTCCATCAGTTCTACTTATGGCTTCTTCAACATTGTCACTTGGTAGTTGTAATCCCTAAACTTACCCTTATAAGTTGGCAATTCTCGCACCTCCAGAAACTTGTACATGTAATCTGTTTTCCAACCCTACTGAATAAACTTGATCAAATCTCTTCGTTCTAAAGTATGAATATTCATTTTGAGTGGCACATTCTTGGGTCTTTTTCCATTGAAATGAATCTAAAACAAATATATATCCTAAGATGACACTATCAAACGATCAATACATTAAAAACTCACTTTTGCTTCCAATATGTCAAATCCTTCTTTCAAAAAGAATATTGAAGTGTTTCCCAATACTATAAAATACCGATTATCGTTATGTTGAATCAGAGTCATGTATTCTACACCCATGTCAAATAAAGATGACAAAGCTGTCTTAGTTGTCACACTAATCATTAGATTTATTTATTTTATATCATCTTTACAACATGTAATATTAATATATTTATATAATGGATAGTCCAGTCACAATATTTTCATTTGTCGGAAGTAGTGCCACTGGTTTCGCCCTTTATCAACTCATACCCTTGCTTTAACAGTTGAAGAAGAAATACATACAATACTAACAAATCAATGAATTTACACCCACCTCTCTGCTAAATTACTTCAATCAAACACAACAAACCACAGTTGAAGCCTTCATTGCAGGAGAGTTGATATCAGATAGTCCAATCATCTCAAAGGTCCCTCTTATCATCAGTGAAAAGAAAATCTATTAAGTTTATGAAAATGGCATGTATATTCATAACATTATTTCATAGAAAAAAACTCATCAAAATCATCCAACATGGTGCATCTTAATTAAGTGTTGCTGACTATTACAATAAAATTGAAATATGGAGAAACTCAACTCTTAATTACCAATTTTCCCTGAGTCATATCTGGGATCGCTTTCTACCAAAACAATTAAGTTTCTTTTAAAAATTTGCGAATTTCGTTCTCAAGACATTTAATTAAATCAAAATAAGAAAACTATTTCTCAAAGGATTTCACACGGGATAATTGGAAAGAGAATATGGTATCATAGCAAGGGAGTTCTATGTATTATATGGTGAAGTTATACTAGATAAAAAGCTGAATAAGATGTTCCTCTAAAATCCAAAATTCATTCTCAAAAGCAAGAAACAATTGTTGTAGATAATTTAATAATAGATTAAATATAAGAGATTAACAATAGCAATTTTAGTTATTATATTTACTATTTGGACATATATTTTTGGTTGCAATGTTAAAAATTTGATTTTTAAAATTCTTAAAGAGAGAGAAAAGGCAAGATTAGATAAGTTAAGAGGATAAAAATACTTAGAAATTGATAATTATGAATGTCAGATTTGCTATGAAAGACCAAGAAACATCATTATTAAACCTTGCAAACACCTTACCATTTGTCATGAATGTCTATAAAGACTTAAGTAACAAAAATGTCCCATTTGTAAATAATAGATAGAGGATTAAATTGAAATCTTTTTTACTTGAAAATTATATAAATGTAATTGGATATTATATCAGCATTCATCAATATCAGAATAAACAGATTCGTCCACTTCAGCCAAATTGTCTAGAATTTCTATTATTCTCGCTTGCTTTAATTTCTCGCATTCCTGCTCATTCTTAGCCAATAAAGACCCTGTAAAACATACTGCATTAAATGATACTCCATTATAAGTTGCTTTCTTTCGAACTACTATCATCATAAACTCCTAAGTCATTATTAAGTTGTGTTTGAAATCCCTAATATCCTCTACTTTACACTTATCCAATAGCTTTTCATAAGTCTCGTAAATTAAATTCTATTACTATAACTCATCACAATTCTTGCTTTATAATAAATCCTGATTAAAAAATAATATAAAATGTTTGATCTTTTTTAAGTACCTCAACCTTGTAAATTTGTTTGGCTATTTCACACTCCTCTCAAACCACCATTCTCTAATGTGATTTAATATATTTGCACTTTGAAATGCTAATTTAGACACAATTTAAACATGTTTGTGATCTAAAGAAGCCCCCGCCTCACTATGAGAATTAAAAAATGCAAATCCCTCCACTGCGCATAATACATCATAGGCTAAACTTAAGTAATCTTTGCTGAACTTTTCACTTTAATGGATAAATTATTTTGGCACCAACAATGTATGGTATGGATTAACAGGATATTTATTCAATAACAGATTATAATTCTCGAGCTTCATAATCAACTGTCCAGGTTGGAAAGGTTCAATTAAAGGATCAATCTACATATATGTTTATACTTCTGCTTACATTTTATTAATGACCCACTGGTTTCTTGGCCAGAGATTTCACTAATTTTATGTGAAATTCTATCCCTTGTTCGTTTTTAGAAAAAGTTTGTAACACATCAAATGGTTCTACAAACCCCCCATTAACACTCTCATTATAACAATGCATTATCTATTTTTGTATATTCTCACGAAGCTCTGCTTTCGTCAACTAAATATACCAAATACTCACTCTACCCCTCTAAATATCCGATAAATTCCATAACTAAATCCTATAGCAACAACCCCAAATAACCCTTTTTAGAATATTTATGATTTCATAAGTAAATAAATTTAATAAACTATATAATACTGTGTAACAATGATATCTAAATTTAGACAAAACAATTATTTTAAGGATTGCCATTAGAATAAAATGATGTATTGATTTAGAAATACAGATTATTATTAATGTTTCATTTATTTTGTGTATAATTATTGGTTAAGTTTAGGTTATCATTTTCTTTTTTTTTTGATTCTAATCTTCTTTATGTACTTTTTCTAACAATATTTTCATCTTTATATATATAAATAATAGAATTTACAAATTCTTGATTTGATTATCATAAATTCAATGCAAAATCCAAAAATGAATGCATTTCGAAAATGTTTAAAATACATTGATCTCGCTCTTTATTATACTGTTTATAATTTCTCTGCTGTCACCTCAAATGTATAAAACTTTCCTAATTTCTCTTAATCTTTTGATTATTTAGACATCTTATTATTTATATTATTTATATATATATTAATATATTCTTAATTGTGTTGATTATTAATTTCAAGTTAAATCCTATCTTTTATATTAGAAAGTTTTCCCAAATTTAATTATTTAATTTCAGAGGTATTATGCTCTCTTGTGTCTTGATTAGTAAAATATTTGAGTTGCAGAAGTTGATTAATTAGTTTAAACCAATATTTAATCAATCTTTAACATTTACCTTATCATAATGTGAGAGTAAGAAATTCAATCTTATTTGAAGGGTTATTATAATAAATTAAATATTCTATAAATCAATAAATAACTATATTATAATTAAATCATTTGTCATGTTCGACTAAGCATAGTTAACAGAATTATCAAAGAGAGATAAAGTATTAGTCTCTTCTAGTTTTAGGATAAAAAGTTGAACTTCTAATTACCTCTCTATATTGGGAATTCTCAGGGTGTTTGTAGAAGAGATATCCTAGTTTAGTGGGTTATTTAGGTAATTACAAAATATTATTTCAGTAATCTTAAAAATTTGAGCACAGCATCAAAACCTTGGAATTAGCAGTGATATACATAGATACTTATCTGAACTTTTTTAATATTGAACCTGAATTTTTAGAGCTCTTGGGCATTTCAGCATATTCAATGGCTTCTAAAGTAATTTATTTTTGTAGATTGAAAGTTTAATGAAACAGAAGCAATAGGCCAAATTAAGTTGAAGGATGATTTTGGCAAAGTGTTATACGAAGATCAAGTATACAACGAAATGGAAGTTCAATTGTTGTAATCCTTAGATTTCCAATTAAATCACGTAACTCCATCCGATTATCTGATTGCAATGGGCATTTCAATAAACGAAAGCATTTCCAGTCTCATTATGTTTGTTTTAATGGGTAAATTATTTGTTATATCATTTAATTAGATTTCGAAATTTATAAACATTCTTAGATTGTTCTGGCATTAGCTATTTTCAACTTTTAATAAGAACAGTCCAATATGTTTACGGATAGAGTTAAATCTGTGACTAAATTGATAAACAATAAGTTAAATAAAGCAAAAGAGCAATTTAATTTGGATAAAACTGAAAATGATGAAACAAGAGGGCTTGAATCAAATTTAGGCACTTAAAAAAAAATATACAAAAAAAGATAGTCAAAAAAGTTAAAACAATTAGCATGAATGGCTTATCTTGGTTGGTTTCAATGAATTTGATCTAAGGGGAGATCATATAAAATATTAATATTTCATTTCATTTCTTTTCTATTTTCCATTCAAAGGATTAAAAAATGTAAATCAGAATCTCTATTAACACTCATAAATAGTATTTAATATACGAATGCTCCTTTTAAAACTACGACACTGCTTTAAACTTATTAAACTATTTAATTCAAGCAAGGAACAGTCCTGATCCAAAATCTAATAGAAAAATTTTTCAAATAAAGTATTAAGTAGTATTAATTTACCTTTTTCTTTATTACACAATATAAACTTTATATATAAATTCATATTTCCTCATTTAGATTTAATTACCATGAATTAATTAGGTTTCTGCATCATATTCACAATTATGATGTAATATGTAATAATACGATTGATTTTTATTTAGTTATCTATTTTTGGACTTTAGATGACCAACAATTTATTATTAATTAATTTTTTTATTGAAATTTTAATATCATTCTAAATAAGTGAAACATGAAGTAAAAGCCATATTCGAAATGACTAAGCAAATTCCTTAAAATACAAAATATTGTGTAATGTTTATTTAAAAAAGAATAGAGAACAATAAAAATAAGAATCAAACAATAAATGGAACCAATGGACTTTATGTTTTCATCATTATTTATTACATCTAAATATATTAATTTTATACCATATTCTACAATTACGAATACTATTAACATAGAGTCTAATACTTTTAGGATAAAACAACATTCTCTTGAAATAAATTTGACACTTAAACTTAATATAACAAATTCTAAAATAACTCTTTAAATTTACCTGATTTGTCAGTTATTGGATGTGTATAAGTTATTATTTGTTTTTGTCTTCCATGACTTAGATGGGTTGCTGTAACATTTCCTTTTCAATTTCAGCTGTCTATTTCTTTAATTCATTTTCCTCTCCAATACCTAGAATAGGATAAATCTATTATTTTACTTTAGTCTTTTGTTACTACATTGAGTCTTTTGTACATTTAACTTTGTCTTTTTTTGTTCTTACGAATGACTTTTTTACAAGATCTTCCTTCCTTCTTGAAAATCTACATGATCGCCTTTGCTGTTGAGAAGTTGATACCAAGTTATTATGCTGCACTCTTTATTGTACATCCAGTTGATGTGACTTATTTGATCAAACCCTCTCTCTAATCGTTGGTTATTTTTGCATACTTGAGGCCGTGCTTACCTGATTTAAAACTTAAATAATATTGTACCTCTTCTTCTTTTTGTCATTTCTTGTTCATTTGATGATTAAATCAATAATTTCTTACATTCCTGCTCCTGCTCTGCTAAACTGAAAGAGGAGTCAGAGTCATTATTACTGTGGGAGCCTTGTACAGAGCAAATTTCTTAATCATCCATGTCAGAGGAATGGACTGGATTAAGTATTTGGCACTGCTAGATTTATTCTTTTGGATCCATATTTTACATACAAATCAATTTTAAATTAAATCAAACTAAATTATGAGATATATTAAGTGATGAATTAAATTGAGAAGACGTCATTGTAATAATTATGTCTCTATTAAGAATATATTAATTTTTATTACACAAACAACTGTTTTTTATTACATTAACATCATTTCTATGAATATTTTCTGTAATTATTTCAACAAACTTATGCATTTTTAAATTAGTGATAGTCATTTTTATAAAATTCAATTTGTCAATATTTTTATAATAATTAATTGAGATTGACAAACACTCTTTGGAACCCTAAAAACAATATAAATGATGAAATCTAGCAATCTTCTTTTTCGAACTTATCAAATATTAATTATTCATAACAAATTACACATTTAGGTCTAATTTCCTATTTAAAATAGTTTGAGCGCTCTACTCATTTTAAATTTATTTTAATTCTAACCTAAATGAATTAAGCACCATCTAAGTCTTTAACAAATACAAATTATGATAATTAAGAAATAAATAAGATTCAAATCACACATTATTAATTATTTAATGTATGATTATTAATAATTAAATAACAAAAAATTGTTAAGAAAATTAATAGATATATATATTAATATAGATAAATAATATAAATAATAAAATGTCAAAAGATTAAGAGAAATTAGGAAAGTTTTATACATTTGAGGTGACAGCAGAGAAATTATAAACAGTATAATAAAGAGCGAGATCAATGTATTTTAAACATTTTCGAAATGCATTCATTTTTGGATTTTGCATTGAATTTATGATAATCAAATCAAGAATTTGTAAATTCTATTATTTATATATATAAAGATGAAAATATTGTTAGAAAAAGTACATAAAGAAGATTAGAATCAAAAAAAAAAGAAAATGATAACCTAAACTTAACCAATAATTATACACAAAATAAATGAAACATAGTCAGGCTTTAATAAATTAACATTTCTTTTAATTACTTGATCACGATTTTGATATAATATTATCATCTATCATAATTAACAAAATTAGTATTGTGATTAGAGGTGATATTGAGCAAATTTAATCTATTAAATCATAAACAACTCCATAAATTAACTAATTTAAAATCAAAGCTTATATAGAACTAAAAACAAGTAATATCCTTTTTTTTTTATAATTTACTTTCAATAAATTTTTTATAGTTATAAAACTATTATAGTTCACCTTTAGGGGTAAATAGATGAATTTGATATGTAAATGCGTATGTTTAACATATCATTCTTTATACAAACATTCTTTTCAAAATTATAATTCTGGTTATTCTATCAAATGTTTGAACTAAAATATCCAAAAATAATAAAAAGGTTACTTCGATCAAAGTCTATCTTCAAAGTCAAAAAATAATTCAAACTGGAAGAAATATAAATAATTATAAAAAAATGAATAAAAAAATTTAATACTAATAATTAGACTATAAATTGTCTTTTAAACAAATAATAATTTTTTTCGGTTCGACAATTGATTTCAAATCTTCATTTCAGATTCTTCAACCCTCTATAATATCATCCTAATTTTAATTTAGTAAACCTTAAAGTGCTCAAGATAATAATTTTTTATAAGAGTTAATCTTTTTACAGGGTATCAAGTAAGGAAGTAGTACGATTTGATATCAGAACGATGAATTATTCATTATAATAATAAACAATGAAAATATATTTAATAGTTATGAATAGTTATTACAGAAAATGGGAAGCTTCTTAAGTTTTTCCAATTAGAGAAAATAAATACTTTATTTTTAATAAATGAACTTGTATTAAATACTGAAATTTATTCAAGAAATTAAGATGAGAATATTAAGAAATATGATTAATAAATGGGTTAATAAGTTAAATACAAATCATAAAATTAGCTGTTCGCTCAGCAGAAAGGCTGGCACTCTTTATTTTTTTTAAACAAGATCTCTAAATTATTATGATAATTTACTCTAAAAATAATTTTAACACCCCACTTGACTTATTCATTTCTAAAAATATTTTGGTTTTATCGTATTTTTATTATTTTTAGATTTGATTTTTATCTGGTTTAGAAAACGGGTCTTAGTGAATGGATAGAGGTCGATTTAAATTATGATAGAGAAACAAAGGATCTTCCTTCATTTAAGCATAATTTGATCTTATTTCATCATGAAAGTTTTTCTATTCCTTTTATTCCATGAATCGTTTCTCGTATGGTATATACCAATGGTTATAAAATTTTGGTTTAGGGGAAGGCGATACATGTTCCGAATATCTGGAAGTCTTATTATTTTCAATTAATTTTGGCAAGGATTTAAAATTATTTGTTCTCGAACTCTGTGCTTCTTTCATATGAATACTCTTTGCTCTTTGTTATAATTTCTGTTAAATCATTAATAACAAAGTTTAGAAAGTTAATATAATAATTAATGAATTAATTTAACTTTTCAAGTAAATTAACTTAGTCAAACAATTTTAGTTCCTCTTGTTGTCTATTATTATAGTGTCTATAACTATTCTTCAGCTTGTTTCAAATTCATCTTTAGAATTTCATTTTCTTTTAATAAATTTTCAAACTATAATTAAGCAGTCACCGTGGCTTTGGTTGCAAAATAAGTTGAAATTGATTTCGGAATAGAATAAGCGATTCCAAGGACAAATAATCCCATAAGGATATATTTAAAAGACACTTACCCAATAATTTTGGCTTTTTATAAAACATTATTATAAATGAATGCAAAACTCGCTTTCTAAGCGTCTTTAAATTTGGAGAACTTTTGTTTCTATTCATTGAGATTTTATGAATATTAATTATTCAGATCAGATGCATCTTATGAAAACTTATTAAAGTATTTATTCCAAAATTGATTAGTCCATCCCTCCTATTTAGGTTGGTTTTAGTTTTATTGCTATTATTTATATTAATTAGTATAATTGTTAGATGAATAGTTAGATTATTATTTTTTATATGATGACTAGTTTTCAGATGATGTTTTCCAAAAAGTATTGTTTTTTAGGCTCTTTAAAGAACTCTATAGTTTAAGATTATATTGTTGCAATGTTTCTTTAGGGAAGGTTTTTTACAATTGATTAATGTATAAGTCTAGGAATCAATTTAAGAATTTACCTTTTTCCTTTTTAGCAAATCCTTTGAGTTTTTTGAAAGGATCACTTACATAGACATCCTTTAGAACTAATGTTTAGATTGATTATTACTATTCGAATATTCTTTGAAATTAGACAAATGATCAAAAGTAGGTTTGGTTGGATCTTTAGCATTATTCATTTGGTTGATGTGCATCTTTTCATTTTTTAGTTATTGAGTCACTTTATTGGCAGAGACTTTAGCTTGATTAACAATTTATAAAATTTTTTAGAGCATTTAATTTTATTAATGGATTTTAATTTATCTATCATTTATCATCAATTTTTTTCATTTTTCTTGTTTGCCTTCAACAATCATAGTCATATTACGATGAGGTCTTCTTGTACCATCTTTGGGTGAATTTTTATTTGAATTGGATCCTGAACCTTCAGTATTTACTTTAGGTTCTTATCCAAATCTCATAGCATTTATGAGCATTGTGACTCGTCTAGGCATGGGTAAGAATGAATGAGAATTTTTAAAGTTTAATTTTTCAATTTCTTTTTTCCTTTCGTTAGTTTTATCAATAGTTTTTCTTTTTTCTGGTATTTAATGAAAAGACACTCTAATTTTTGAGTTTCTAGGTTTTTCTTCATTAACTTTATCAGATTAGATTAATTAATGTGAAATATTCGAGTCTAATTCAACAACTAGAATATCACTTTTGACAAACCCATTATAATTGTATCCACCAAAAATGAAAATTTTAGTATCGATGCAGGAAGAGGAGTGGCCACATCTTCCAGGCATTTAAGCTCCTTTTAATTCTAGTTGAATCCAAGAGGAGTTCTTCACATCAAACAAGTATAAATCATTTAAGAATCCTTCAAAAGTATTGTCATCATTTTTTCCCCCATATACAACAATGGAACTTAAAGCTTCATTGTAATTCATGGAATGCTGACATCTAGCAACTTTAATATTAATAAGAATTTCTTACTAGGACTGCTTCCTTTGTATTCAACTTGCTCAATACGAATAGGTTTTTAATACACATCAATACGAATAAAAGTATCTAAATAATCTCCAAATTTATCTTGACCTCCGAATACATAAATTCCTTAATTGGAAAACTTAAGATCAGGGTCTTGTCTATAAATATCACAAAATTTATTCTGAGTGACTAAGCAAGATTTATGAAAAGCAATTCCATTGGGATATAAATCATATGGATCTACATTCAATTGAACCCATTTAGATTGTGGAATGTCATAACAAAGTAAATCTTTCATATAATTACCTCTATTATCAATTCCTCCAAAAATTATTAAATATCTTCCAACTATTTCACCAATATGACATTTTCTTGGAGGGATTGTACCAGGTTATTTGATCAATTTGATATCAAATGATGCTTTATAAATTCAAATATTGTTTACTCAATGAAATTGTCTTGACATCGCTGGTGCATTCACTAACTAATTTGTGGTTCGATTGTTCAACATGAATTTCACCACCAAACAGAATCATAAAGTTCTTATAGATTCCAGCACTATGATGAACTCTGTATCCATGAATTGATTTCTCATCTAATTTTTGAGGACTCCACTTATAAAATTCTATTTGATATATGGAACTCATTTTTACATTTATCAACTATGGCCACACACAAATCCTCCTATTGAACTGAACTAGAACCTCCATACAAATAAAGCTTTCTGTCATAAGTGACCATTGAACTTCCATCTCTTGAACAAGGACCCCAGAAGTTATAGTCGAAATTATAAGCATAAGCAAATTGCTTTTTAATTTGACTTAATGCCACTTATGACTCAAGTATTCTTTTTTATAATTGTTAAGCATCAGCATTTCTTTCATGTAATTATTAAGCCCCGCCCAATCTTACTTATTTTCGTAGCAGTTCCAACTTTTGTTAATCCTAATAGGCTAAGGATGGATAGACCTTAATTCCATTAGTTTATGAGTGAATCTTTTTTAATGCTTATTTAACTTGGTTCATTTAGTCTTCTTCATATTGTTTGTATTGCTTCCTCATTTTATGGAATGTCTCTCTATTATGAAGCAATTGCAATTTTCGAGATGTATAAGATTTTTATTAATCGACACTTTCCATTTCTACCTCATCCAAGGATGCCTCTCCAAACAGATATTTACTGTAATTATTCCAAACCATTTTTGATTATTGCAATGATCGCTTTAATTCTGAAACCGCCCCTTAATTTAGTTCTCTAAAAGAAACAAAGTTTTGAACATCACTATCTGGCTACATTTGAAGCAAGTCGCAATTCTCATTTATTGCCATGGGATAAAACTGATTCAAAGGGAGTGGACTTAATTTATTGTGAGTCTTTTTATATTTTTCGAATAGAGTCGTTATATCCATTCTTGTGTTTGTATGATAAGAAAGAGAATCTACTTTGGGACTGTAGCTGTCCATTTTATATTATTATTTATTATGTAAAAATCCTGGGAAACCTTGTGTAAGAATCTTCGGAGTCCCTACCTTCAACATTTCTTAGACATTTAAACCCTTATTGACGAACTTGGTCAATAAATAGATCAACCTCAAGTGTCTCATGAAATCGCAATTCAAATTTAAGAAATGATATCCCAAATCGTTTAGATGTACATTCAATTAATAAGTTTAGTATAGACATTGAACACCAACATTTGCTTGATGGATTTGAGCAAAGTGTCTTGTTATTTGCATAGATTGATCCAGAAGATCGAGTCAAGTAGTTTGAAACATTAAATCTCATACAAGAGTTGTATAACAAACTTGCTCTATCGTACTTCTACAATGACGATCTCCTGGATGAAAAGAAGGTTCAGATCCCTATAAATGATGGCACCTCCACTTGTTCAGATTTCTCAGATGACAATTTTGAAGTTGAAGACTTTGAAGCTCAAGTTGCCTAAGAGCTTTTTTAATAAATTAAAGGGCAATTACAGGATCCAGAAATCGAATAGAAATGTTATCAATTCCACTTTACCATCTTTTAGGAGGAATTAAACATTATGGACTTTTTTAACGATTCCCTTGAATTACAACTGAAGGAGTATGATGTGATTGTGTTCTTAAATTATTCAGGACTACTTCAGAAGTTGATGAATTATAAATTAGATAACCAATTGGAATTCTTTGTAGGCCAATTATATATAGTATTAAGCAGAATTAAGAATGATGAAATAGATTAATTGATTGAAACTAACTGTTTTGAACTCAAGTATAGTAGACTCTCACAAAGGAAATTCTTGAGATGCAAGATCCTCTCTAATTTATACACTAAATTAGTATATGAGAAATTGGATAGATGGAGAAGCAATTAAAATATTCAAGAAATTCAAGGTGAAAATCTAAAAGCTTTGAGGAGTTTCATCGTCTAACACAAGGCTCCATTAAGTAGATGGGAAGTGAGCATTCTATCCATTCAGGATGTTCAACTCAATAATGAAAACATCCTAGACAAATTTCAAAAGTTAGTCATAGCTCTTTCACTCCCTTATGATTTACTACTGGAGAATTTTACTATATTGGATAAGTTGTATGTCAATTTACAGTAATTCTAAAAGTGGTTTAAATTGAGTTCAATTCCATTTACAGTCTCCGAAATCTCTTAACTATTTAAGGAGGTTAGTTAGACATATGGCTATTACACTAATTAGGGCATCAAAGTGACTCAAAGAGTTGACTTCTATTGGTTTTTAGAAACTGTTTATGCTCTCAATCAAAATGAATAGCCTATCAGAGAGAAAACAGAAGGTAAAAATGTAAAATATAATGATGAAATCACTATGCGACAATATAATCGACATTTGTAACTTAAAGTGAATGATTTACAACAACAACTTAACCAAAAAGACGCACTTATAGAATAATTAAAAAGAGCTTAGCAAGATTCATAATAGACGTCGAGAATCAAAACTAAGTCTATTAATGAAATTAAAGAAAAGGACGAATCTGAACTTAAAATAGAATTATTACATTAGGCAGAAATAAACTCACTTAAAAATGAAACTTAAAATCAATTGAAAGTAGTGGAACTCAAATGGAAAAACAAAACCAAAGACTTGCTATTTGAATTAGAGAATAAGGATAGATAAATTGATCAATACAGATAACAATTGGAGGCTTTAATGAAAGAACTTGAATGGGTTAAAACAGAGAGAAGGACCAAATGAATTTAATATTTCACTTCAATATTTATAATCAAAAATTAATTAATTAAAAAAAAAATATTTTCATTTTTTAGAAATTAGAAATAATAGAAAATTAAAGAACTATTTTTAGTATTTTCAGATTGATCAGATTTTATATTAAAATTGTCATAATCTTTACTTAATAAATTGTTTTAATAATGGTACAGCTACTTTTGGCTCGTTTAATTTCAAACTACCAGATACCTTAGTAGCTAATTGCAATAAAGTGGGAGGAGCATAATCTAAGAGATATATTGTTAAATTACCTTCATTATATGTCATACAGAAACAGACAGTCTTAGTACTTGGTCCAGCAACTGGAGTATGACCTTAAGCAAATTCACCTAAATAATGTGAGAGTTCGCATAATATATCTGCTGCATTGTCCTTATTAACTTCAATTGTTGGTGGACATCTACAAATCAATATTTTAAATACTTTGGTTATGGTAATGGAGCAGGAGGTTCGATAACCTCTTCTTCTTCTGAGGGTGGTTAAGATTCTTCTTCTGAAAGTGGTTCAGAATGTTCTTCTTCAGATTATGATTCTGGTTCGACAGGTGGTTCGACTGATTCCTCTTCTTCTTCATAGAATTCCTCCTCTTCATAATAATACTCTTCTTCTTCACTTGCTGGAACAGTTTCTTCAACAGGATCAGGTACTGGTTCATCAATCACCTCAGGTGTTTCCTCTTCAGATACTGGGATTGTTTCCTCGCTCTTGGGAGGTTCAGATGGAATTACAGGAGACTCTTCTTCAGGTTCTATGGGTACATCCTCTTCAGATGGTTCAGATGGAATTGCAGGTAGAGGTGGTTCTTTATATTCTTCTTCGGAGGGTTCTTCTGGAACTTGAGGAGGTGGAGGTGGTACTGGATCAGTTGGTTTAGGAGTATATCCCCAATGCTCATCATATTTCAACTCCCTGTATGAACCATCACAAAGGTTGTAGTGGAGATTAAAGATTTTACCATTGTATGATGGGTAATATTAGTCTTGTCCAACATATAAGTATTTGTGTGGAGAAACAAAATGCTTAACATTTTCGAAATGGACTTCGCCTTTTCTAGTAAGGAATTCAACATAACCATAAGCTTTGGAGATGTGTCTGTTGAATCCAAAGTAAATGTAGTGCCAATGAATCAAGTCCTTTTCATATGGCACTGCTTACCAATAAGTAGGATTTCCATTTCCATATAAATCTTCATATGTATAAGTAGTGAAGGCCAAGACTGAATCTTTTTTCTCATTACCAACAAACAAGGCTAGATCCCTATCTCCTAAGAGTTTAGCATTTTTATTAACTGCAGGGTTATTCATAGTCAATCTGAATGCAGAGAACCAAGAATTTGTGGTGGCTTCTTAAATGGTATGCCATTTGAACCAACCAGAAATGGAGTATTCTTGAGCAAAGATTGGTTCGCTATTTTCGACGACTTGTTTAGAATCGAATTAGGTAGTTTGACTATTGAATTCGAATTCATGAAGATTTGAGATTTATCTTTCACATTTTTCTTCTGGTAAAGAGTTGCATGCAAATACAAATTCATTAGCTTCTGTTGGTGTTTCAATGAATACGTTTTGCCCAGCATTAGATTAAACCAATCTAAATTAACCTTAGAATGACTTAACATCACCTGATAGACCAGCCAATGTGAAATACAATTAGGATGGTGTTTTATGATTTACATTAATTTCATTAACAGATGTTTAACCATTTTCATTAACAACAGCTACTGCCTTGCCATTACAATATGAGAAGTAAACATAAATCCATTGACCTTCAATATCACCTACATTAATAACAGTTGAAGCTGTGCCTTCATTATCATATGACTAAAATTCAAATCCTGATCTTGTTAAAAATACACTCAATGAATCATCTGTGACTGAACCGCTTAACTTCTCAGATTCAGAGATTCTAGCAACAAAATACTTCTCATCTTATCTACCATTTGTTAAATAAGTTGGATATGCTTATAACCATCTAGCATAAAATCCAAATCCATAGCAACTCAAGTCATCTCCTTCTAATTATTTACTAATTAATGGGATTTATTCATCGACTGAAGCTGTGTATACGTTCTCGTTCACTGAGTTCAAACATCTTTTTTCAACTTAATCAACAGGTGGTTCAACGGGAGGTGGTACAATAGGTGGTTCTTCGAATTCCTCAAACTCCTCCTCTTCAACTTCCTCAAAGTATTCTTCAAATTCTTCTGCTGACTCTTCCCGATTTGGATTGACAGGTGGTTCATCAGGAATTTCTGGAGTACCTTCTTCTTCTGGATTATGCTCTTCTTGAGGAGGACTTTATTCTTCAGGGCTTTCTTCATCTGGTGTTTCTGGCTACTCCTCTTCTTCTCCAGGAGGAGGAACAGGTACTTCTTACTCTTCAGGAGGTATTGTATCTTCTTCAGGGCCCTTTTCATCTGGAATTTCAGGTTTCGCTTCTTCTTCCCCTGGAGGAGGCAATGGGACTTCTTATTCTTCTTCAGGTGGAATAGACTTTTCTTCTGGGCCTTTTTCATCTGGAATTTCTGGTTTCTCTTCATCAGGTGTTGGTGGAGAAGGTGGTACTTCTTATTCTTCAGGAGGAACAGATTCTTCTTCTGGACCCTTTTCATCTGGAATTTGAGGTTTGTCCTCTTCGGAAGGAGGTGAAACTGGTGGATGCTCTTCTTCAGTAGGAGGAAGTGGTTTCTCTTCGGGTACAGAAGGAGGTGCTTATTCTTCAGGAGTTGGTTCATCTGGGATTCCAGGCTCATCCTCACAAGGTGCTGGTTGACCACATCCTTGTTATACAACTTATAAATCCTTGATTTTCCCTTTAATTTTAATGACAGTGACTGGATTTGATTAGCATTATTATCTGCAACTATTAAACTATTTGAGAAGGTAAATGCACAATTTCAACAAAGTTGCTTCGCATTCATCTGCAGTTTCAGGATTACTCAATCCTTTTAATTTCTATTTAAATTCTGCCAAAATTGGTTCTCCAATCTTGCTCTCTGTTTTTGGTAATTCCAATTTATCTATTTATTTCTCAATAGCCTTGAACTTTCTCTTTTCTATTAATTGCTTAATGCTTTCCAATCTATATATATCTCTGTGTAATGAATCTTTATGTTGCACTATATCAGCCCATGCTGCCATTTAAGCAGACACTCTCTCAAACTCATTTTAAGGTGTTGCACAACTCATTGATGTGGTATCTAACAGTGCTACATCTGATAAGTCCATTGATAGCAGGGATGTACTCAAATCTAATTCTACAGAAAGGGCTAAAATTTTATGTTTGATTTATACCACTCCCTAACACTAATATACATATGACTAATGCCGAACTTCTCATTTTAATTAAATTAATATAAAAACGGATTTCATTATATACAATCATTTTTCATTTCAGTTCTTAAATAATTACTAATTTTTATTGCATTTTAACTTTAATTCTTTTATTACTCACAGAGGAATTACACTATTTTTGTTATTTTCTAAATCCCCCTAAAGGAAATCACATTTATAAAGTGGCAACAATATCTCAAAATGTAAATTCTACTTTATTTTTACCACAAATTTATTCATTCGATGTGATAATATATTTTTTATTATTATTTTAAAAATAATCAATTTCTTTTTGTTCTCTCCTAAAACACTTCTTTAATTTTCTAAATTTTTTTACTTTCCTTCATAATCATTTTCTAATCTTGCAAATAATTATTAGATGATCAATTATCAATTTGATTATCATTTAGATTTACTAATTCTGTCTTTGACATTTTTTATTAATACATTTAAATATATAATCATAAAAGCAATTCCATAAAGTTATTATTATTAACCTCTTTGATTGTTAAAGAGTATTTTGCTTACTCTTTTTTCTATTTGTGTAATTCTAGTCACTAAGTGAATTATAGATTATTGTTTAAACTCTATTAAATTGAATTGTAATATTCTATTTATGAACATAAGATATCGTAATAATCAAATCAAAACCAAGATAAGATTTCATTTTTAAAGGAAAATTATGAAACTTCTTTTTCTTTTCATTTTGAATAAAATATAATGAGAACAAATTTAGAAAATAAAGAATTTTATAATAAAAATAAATTTAATGATTAACACATAATCTCAAAGTGTTATGAATACTTTAGGAGGATCAAAACGATATGTGTCTCCGTATGAGAAGCCTCAGAATTAGGATAGTGATTTAGTAAGAATATTAGATTTAGGTTAAATTAGAGAAAATTACAATAGTCAATTGGACATTAAGCAAAATCCAGAATGATTAATCCAGATCATTCTGAATATGGTAGTGTGATAGGTGACAACAATAATGTAAGCAAACTCTCTAATTTGTCCTAATTCGCTCAGTTCATGTATATTCCCTGTTAGACTCATCCAGAATTTTTTATAACAACTTTATGTTAAGAATAAGTATAACTTATATCAATTAGAATTGCGTAGAGCCACTATGTGCAGAATGCATAAAAAATCATTTGGAACAGCATCAGAGGAGGGGGAGATAGCCTAAATTTGAGAACATATTGAAAGTGAGGAAAGATCAGATTTACAGGATAGAAGACTTATTAAAATAATTATAAGAAAAGTTGAAGGAAGCAAAGACATACTTCAATGAAACACCACAAATTGTCTATAATAATGCAATGGAGTAGGTCAAATTTATACATGGTTAAATATCAGATATGATAAATGATTACTTTTAAGGTCTATATAGAGAATTAAATGAGTATAATTAAGATGAACAATTGAAATAGTTGAATTCACTAGAGGAGGATATAGCGCAATAATAGAATGAATTATTAACATTATAATAGGACTTACAAAATGATAATTATGTAAAGGCCATAACATCAATTTTTGTAAATAAAGAGTAGATATTCAGTGAAATGAATATATATAGATTAGAAAAAATGGTAAAGGATTACAATCAAAATAAGGTAGAGGTGGTGTTAGAAAAGAGTAATTTAGAACTATTTTAGACTTATTGTAAGAAATTGTGTTATTTATTGAAAAATAAAAAGCATGTTCCCGTGTCTCAATTAAAGCAATCATCGCCCACTTTATAATAGGTGTAAACTTCAAAAGTTTAATAACCTTAGGAAGTAGATTAAAAACCGTATTCATCATCACTGGTTCTCTCAAAATTAGTGTCTGCAGACCTACCACCAATAGTAAAACCAACTTCTTTGATTTCAGAGAATTTAACAAATGAAACAGCGAAAATAAGATTCAATTGTAAAAATCACTTTGAGGATGGAAAGGATCAAGTTATTGTAAGATTGGAAGAAGGAGGATTTGCTGCCTATATTTATGATATCTAATCCTAAAAATACAGAATAGAAACTATAAATAGCACTCTTAAAATACCACTGTGTCATAAATTATATACTACTTCATTTGGGAAGCATTTAGTGATAGGCGGAGTTGATAGGGATAAATCAAGATTCAAAGCAATAGCACATGTATACGAATTCAATCATGATACTCTCTAACTGACTTTGCATTCTGAGATGGTTTTGCCTAGGTCATTGACATCAGCTTGTTAGGTGGACAATTTCTTATACGTTGTAGGAGGTTCTTCAACAAATGATGAAAATACTTCATTGGCGAAGGCAGAGAAATTAGACCTAACAACAAGGAAATGGTATACTATAGAAGATCCATTCTATAAGACAACTGGCTGTGCTTTAGTGGCGACTGATTACAATACGTTAATAAAAATTGGAGGAAAATGTGATATTTTTACACCTTGTAATTCAGTGGAATCTTATGACATACAAAAGAATTTATGGGTATTTTATAATATTTATATTAATAATAAAGACTACTATAGAATTCAAGTTTTTGTCATCAGGATATTTGAGATTACCATTCTAAAGTTGTGCAGTTTCTATTTCACATGATCAGATACTGATTATCGGTGGATCAATTCATGATGTAAGAACTGACGAAACTCAAGTAAGAAGTAAAAATTAATAATAGATTTTTAATGTAAAACAAAAAACAATTTAGAGATCATCCTAATTGCCAGGTTCAATTGAATTTGCTACTCAAACAGCAATAATTCAATAGAATAGTGTATTTATTCTTACTGAAAATGAATAGCCTCTGCTTTAAGGCAATTCAGATGGATTTAAATATAAATGATAAAATTATAAACAATTTAATGAAGATTACATTGATATACAATAAAATAGAAAATAAATGTCACAAAAATTCAAGATCTAATTTATGATGTTTTAAATTTAACGGTGGTTTTTTTTTTGTAAACTTTTAACAATAACAATTAACTAATTCTTAATATCTGATGTCTTTATTTTAATTGTTTTTAGATAATTTGATTTATAATTTATTTGTATATTGTTATTTATCTTTGTACTAGAATTAATCTTCGAAGGCATAAACAATCTCTTTGTCAGTCTCTAGTTTTTATTTGACTTGAATTGGTTCAACTTTTTAAGGCAACTTTATTTAATTACAAAATGACAGTGATTTAGTTCTTTGGGCTTTTGTTGTTTTGTTGAAAATGGTTTGCAAATATAATTTAGGATCAATATTGATATCAAGATCATTGTCATTATTAAAAATACTTGGTAAAAAGATTTTGTTGTTCGCATTGTCGACACTAAAGTTTCTCGCCTTTGTTGACATTTATATATTATTAATTATTATATATATATCACATATTACAACTAAATTAGGATTGTATATTATTTAGAAAGCGATACAAGTACTCCACTATTCCAATTTCATTTATCTTAAAGAAGATCAAATTGGTATTCTAACTACATGAACTAATTAGTGCATCAGCTTTGTTAAATTGTTCAGCACAATGATCTCTCTGATCGAATAACTCTATTCAACATTAACCCAAACAATTACCCTATTGATCATAAATGAAAGCCATATCATAATAATTCTATTGTATCATTGCTATCCAACCAACTTATATGGCAAAGTTGATAGACGTGGCATAATACTTAATATTTTTATAAGTACGAGCCATAAGATTCCAAAATTTAGCTTAAATAACACAGTTTGATTATGATAATTCATACAAATTTATGTTATTTAATTTATCTTAAGCCTCCTAAATCTAATCTTATTTAATATTTCTTTCAATAATGTTAAGTTTGTATTCCAAATATTATTAATTCAAATGAAATTGCTTGCATAATTTAATAATCTCCAAATCATTTTCGCCATCCTTTAACAGTTACTTGACTCTAAGCTTAGGATCTCATCATATGAATATCTTACTTTTAATTGGAACTATTTGCAAGGATTCAGAAATGTATGGATCAGGATTCATTTACAATAATTGCATCATGATCTACTTAATGTACTTAACTGAGATTGGCTCATTGATTATTTCAAAGTATTCCAAACATATATTCAAAATGACTAAGATTGATTATTCACTCAAGTTATAGGTAGTTTCAAAACATTATTAGAATTATGACAATGTGTACAATGGTTGATGCAAGGCTATTTGACTCAAGGCTTCTAATTGAAGAGAAAGAGTCTAATCATTTTAATCGAATTGCTGTAATTAATCAAGTGCATTTTGAATCATAGTTGAATTGCCATAATTATTTGCACATACTAATTAGTATGCAGTGATGGACTATTCAATATCTGGACTATGAGATTGTAAAATCTATTTCAAACTCTAATGTATTATGTCTTTCCAATTAATATGCTTCTTCTTCAACAATGAATAATTAATTTATTTGTATCTTATTTGCGACCCATATATTAAAGCACTCTATAATCTATGTTATGGACTTAACTATTAAGCATGATTCACAGCATATTCTAATAATAGAGTAGCCTATAAAAATGATCAATCAATGTACTTATTTTTGATAATTGTTACGATAGGCTATTTCAAAGAGATTGAGCAAACAAAGATTAATGCTTTGTTCATCAGATACTGTCTATGACAATCTCAAACCTTCGGATAAACTGTTCAATGCTTCATCATAGAAATTCATCTTCATGTTGAGGTAAATAGAGTTCATAATGCAATGATTCACTTTTTTAGGAACAAGACTATTCAAAGTCATGTCATAGTATTTGCGAGAAAACTTTATAGCTCGAAATGGATATCTTAACAAAGCATATAAGAGGGCTTTAAGAAAATTGACCTTGCAATTCTCATTCAAATTTGGTTATTCGATTATTTGTTTTAGCTCTTCTAAGTTTACATAGCTTGAACTTGCTAACAAGTAGATTGGATAAGATACTTTGTAATTTAGTAAGTAAGTACTCAATGTATGAATCAGTTAAGAAGGGATTGTTTTGCAGATGATTATCTTGACCTTCTCTGAAATCATTCCAAGATTTTAACATTTGATTAAAATCCATTTGATTGAATAGCAATAGCATATTCCTAAAAAACAAATCAACAACGCTGCCTCCTGGAGTTTTCTATTACTATTTTTCACGAAGTGCTGCTATTACAATTAAATCATTACTTTCTCCAATTATCTTATGGAATTTATTCATGGAGGTTATCTGTAACAATTCAGGTTCGATGTGACTGAGGATTGTATTTTACAATGTTGGATTATTAACAATTTCCATAACATCATGAATCTTATGTAATTTAATTTAAGAGTTACTTTTAAATACTCAGTCAAGAGATCATAAACCTGTTGACTAGGTTTCCTTAATAGGAGGATCAATAAAATGAGGTTGTTGTTCATTAATTTTTCAAATTTAAAATATTTTATCTAATTAATATTATACACTCTCTATATTATAATAATAGTTGTATTTTATAAATATAAGGTTGAGTAGTTTTGGGAGATTAAAAATAAGAGAATTTTTGATAAAATATAATAGTCATATGATAGTCAAAATAAAAGATAGAATAACTAATCAATAATAAATAATTGGATATGAGAGTTATTGTTATGTTTAATATTTATATAAAAGATCTCTCTGAGTTTGGAAGTTGTAAAATGAATTTTGGGTTCATTTGATACAATTTTGTATTAATTAACTAAAATTCATATTGGATTGTGAAGAGTCAGTTGTTCAGTTATGGTAAGGTGATTAGATGTATAGGTAAAATATGATATAAATTAAATATATATAATGAATGCTCCATTCCCAGAAAAGATGATAGAGAAATTTGTACAATTTATTATCTTAGGTCTTTTTAGAATAAGCAAATGGAAGTATTTGTGAAACATGAAGAATTACTTATGAAACAGAGACAGGCATATGAGTAAAAACTTAATAATGTGTTTGATCGAAATTTGCAACTGGAAGAGAAGGATAGGAGTATGCATGAACAAGTACCTATTGATTCAATTAGATCTTATCATCAAGATATTAGAATGAATAGTTGAAAATATAGTAAGAGAAGTTGAAGCAATTACAGGAATTATAGAAACAAAAGAAAGACAAAAAAAAAGCAGCAAATGAGTTATGGTAATAAGAACAGAAATAACATGAGAAGGATATCCAATAAAAGTTGTTTGAAATTCAATAAAAGATCAAGTACGAGGAATTCAAAAGGAAAACTGATGAATTGATGAATCAACTGGACGATAATTTAAGGAAACTCAATCTGCGTTATTTAGAGAAACAAGAGAGGAAGGAGAAATACTTAAATGATTTCATAACTTAGAAGTAATAGACTTTGAATACATCCATGCAGATTACTGAAACTCATCATTAAAATGTTTATTCTAATTACTAATAATAAATGAAAAGAATTTAAGAGGTAAATACATTCATAAATTAAGATTTGTTAATTGAAATTGAAAAAATATGAAAATAAAATCAAGCTAATCAATCAATAGAAGTTGTCCCAAATTGACTAACTCACTCAGAAGGCTCAACAAAGTTTTGAACATCAAGAGGGCATCAAATATCGATCACACCAGATATTCTAAAACAAATTGTCAAAGTTACAAAACAAGATGAATTACTTCTAAGACAAGATCAATTAAATTGAAAAGAAGAGACTACAACAGTTATAAATGAATTATCTATAGGAGTAGGAGTTGAATCAAAAGAGAAATGATGTTAGAGCCAAATCCGAAAACATTTTTAGGAATAAATCTATTAACATTCTGAACAAATAATTGGAGAAGGAGAAGTCCTTTCAATTGGTGCAATAGTAGAATCAAATCGAATTGCAATAGAAATTGCAGAGATTAAATGAAAAATGGTAAACACATTAGAATTAAGTTCAAAAGGCTGATCAATTGAAACAATCCTATTTTTCATCATTGGAACAAAAGATCACCTAAAGAGATCAGAGATTACAAGATTAAATGTACTAGAATTACAATAAACTATAGATAAAATAAATTGGATGTCCAAAAGAAAAGATTGAAAGTTATTGAAGATATGGAGAGACAAAAACGAGATCTATTACTTAAATTGGAACAAGACAAAGTTCCATTTACAAATACTTCTGAAATGAAATATTTGTATAGTACTCCCAAATAATAGTAATCTAAATTGTTTATTACATGATTATAACATATTTTTAAATATATGAGAAAACTTATCTACAAATTTTCAAGACCAACTTATCTTGATTTCTAAGCCACCACTCCCACCGATTACAGAGTCTTAGATGCTATGTTACCCTTTCTGACTAATTAATACGGCAATCCGCATAGTAAAACCCATTCATTCGGATGGGAAACTGAAAAAGCTGTGGAAAAAGCAAGAGCCTCAGTTATTTATTAAACTAATTATATAGATAGCTAGCTTGATCAACACACAGCCTTAAAGCATCATTTTTACATCCGGAGCCACTGAAAGTAACAATGCTGCATTAAAGGGTTTATATGGATTTTATGGAAAATAGAAGAATCATATCATAACAACCCAAACTGAACACAAATGTGTATTAGATACCTGCAGATACCTAGAGGATAAAGGAGTAGAAGTTACGTACTTGCCAGTCGATTCTAATGGCTTGATCTCATTACAACAATTATAAGAATCTATTAAATCCAATACATTATGTGTCAGTGTTATGCTTGTGAATAATGAAATTGGAGTCATCTAAAACTTAAAAGAGATAAGTAGAATCTGTCATCAACGTGGAGTCTATGTTCACTCTGATATGGCATAAGCTATAGCTAAAATTCCAGTTGATGTTTAAGACCTCGATATAGATTTAGGTAGCATCTCTGCTCATAAACTCTATGGACCTAAGGGAATTGGAGCCTTATATGTGAGAAGAAAACCAAGAGTTAGATTATAATAAATTATTCATGGTGGAGGTTAAGAGAGAGGTTTAAGAAGTGGTACACTTGCACCTCATTTGTGTGTTGGATTCGGTAAGGCTGCTGAGGTAGCATAGACTGAATTGCCATATGATATTTAACATGTTGATAAATTATACACCAAACTTTTAAATGGAATAAAACAGAGGATTCCTTAAATTCAAATAAATGGATCACTAGAATAGCGTTACAAAGGAAATTTGAATGTTTCATTTGCATTTGTAGAAGGTGAATCTTTAATTATGGCCATAAAGTAAGTTGCTGTGTCATCTGGGTCTGCTTGTACTTCTGCTTCTCTGGAACCTTCCTATGTACTAAGAGCTTTAGGAGTCAAGGAAGATATGGCTCATACTAGTTTAAGAATTGGTATTGGGTATTTTAACATCAATATCTATTTAGTCGATTTACTACTGAAAGGGAAATAGATTTCTTACTTGATTAATTGAGTTAAGCCGTCAATAAACTGAGAGAGATGTCTCCATTGTGGGAAATGCATTAGGAAGGAATTGATATTAATAAGATTGAATGGACACAACCACATTGAATATTTAATTTAATATAAATGTTTAAAGATGCTGCTATCTTGTGTTTACATGACAAAAGATATAAATTTCTAGTGGAAATTCGTCGCCAGAGAACTGAAAGTGTGTTTCAATAAAAGAGAGCTACAATAGTGCATAACAAGGTTAAGAAGTTGGAGTAATATCAAGGACCTTGAATTGCTTGCTTAATTTTCTTTAGAGTGTTTCAACCGCAGAGAATACCAGTAAAGCAAAGACTACTTAAAGAAGTTAATTCATTATGCAGACTCTGAATCAAGTGAGAATTTAAAGTCATTGAATACAATCAATTATCTAAAACAAATTGCTTCTAATTGTGATTCAGAATAGTTAAGTATGATTTTGGAAATATTTCTTAAAATCTGTCTACCTCAATGTTTAAGTCCTTAATTGTTGAACTAGGTACAAGAATTATAAAGTATTGAAATTATTAATTAATTCATTACATTATTATAAAGAATAGTTTATATGAATGAAATAGATTAATTAATTGAACAGCATAATATTATTTAATACTTATTGGATGTAACACTAGAACTGGACGATTTCAAAGAGTGGTTTTAAATCATTGAATACTTATGCAATTATCATTCAAAACCTTCTCTTTACGTAATTTTAAATTCATTTTCAAATAGTTTAAGAACCTTATTATTCCTTGTTTAAAGTTATTACAATACGATTCAAACCAAGTCACTCTACAAGTTATTGAAAGTATGTGCAATTGTAAAACGGATAGAAGAGGAGCGATCAATTATTTACTTATCATTCCAGGATTCATTGATTTGTTGATAAATAATCTCTCTAAATCTTTCAATATCATCAGCCATATTATTGAATAATCCGATGATGGTACAACTAAATTAATTTAAATGGACCTGTTTATTAAATTGCATAAATTATTGGAAGCAGATTAATCATTAAAAACTACATTCATATATCTCATTCTCTTAATATGTTTTTACAGAACTGATACTATAATTCTTAAACTTATTGAGTCATAACTATTTTATTAAATTCTTGCATTAGATGAATAAACTTTACAAAATGATGATTTGATATTGATAAGTCGAATGCTTCTTTATTTAATTAAGAAGTACTCTAACGAATCCTTCTATCTATATCTTATTTAGAAGACCTTATTTATTAACATGTTAGGATAGTTGCTGAATAAAATTGAACTACAAGAAGTTTATAATAATACGATACATTCAATCATTCATATAGCATTCTCATAATCAATAGAATTTTCCAAAATATTTAGATAAGTAATCATTTGATCCAATTAATTAGAGTATTTTTATGAGACCTGTTGAGGAATAATTATAAAAAAACAATTCAAAAGATGCAAACATTGATGATAAAATATAAGAATTTTTAAATATTATATATAAATGAGTAAGCATTGCCAGTCAAATGATTATCATGTGACTCTGTGTCAGTATTTTATATTTCCAATATTATGTCATTCATTCGAATATACAAAATTAATTTGTAAAATCTAATGATTGAATTCAAATTAGATTTCTTAAAAATGACAAAAGGCTATTTCACTATCAGATATGTTTAAAGAATGTCAAAAATTATATATATTAAATAATTTACTAACGAATATGTGGCATTTACTTAAAGTGACAATTAAATTAAAAGTGATATGATTAAAATAATGTTATAAGAAGAGGAGCAAAAATTATAAGATAACAAAAAGTAAAGAATATTGGATGATAATCAACACCAACAATCTAAATGAGAGATTTTAGTATAATTTAATTTAATTTAGTAGTTTAGTTTTGTTAAAAAATAATATTCTTTTTGATAGTTGGTTATGATAATTAAAGTATTGATATATATTTAGATCATGTCATTTTGGATAAGACATTACCCATATGATGTATATTATTGCTAGTTAATTTTTGGGTTGTACTCAATAGGTTATATAAATTATTATTATAGAATTTAATGACTGCTTAGTGTTATTTCAATTCTTTTAACTGAAGCATTTTAAAGTCATTGGATCTAATCACATCATCTCTTTAGAAACTAGAGTAATGTTGATTAAATTATATAGAATTTTTGGAGACAACTTATCTTGATAAAATCTTTTGTTTATTAAATGATTACCTTTTTATAAATCTGTAATTCTGCCTTGTGATTTTTTAATTCTAGTAATTTGGTTTATCTATTTTGGATTTCTAATTGTAACTCTTAATTCTTCAGGACTTTATCACAGAATTCAATCCACTTTGGATTGTGATAAGGATTGTCAATACCCAAATCTGTTAATTGGTTTAGCAGATCTTAGGTGTGTGCATCACAATTCAATTATTTTAAAATGTTGTCTTCGACTTTTTCAGATTTCAAGCGAACAAACTTAATCTTGATTTCGTTTCCACTGTTGCTGACTTCAGTATTAGAATGAACGGCATTAATTTACTACAAATTTAAATGTTTCTTATTTGTATCTAAAAAATAAGAATTTTCTATATTTGAAATTATACCTGGAGATGGGGGTATATTTTAGAAATAGGTTAATCTCCTCGATGCTTCTAATTATTGTTAAAGCTATTTTTTTTCTTATTAAACTTTTTTTGTTTCTATTTTGGATTTTTATTTAATTGATTAAACTTTCTCACCCAATTCCCTTATTATAGCTATTTATTCAGCAATCAATTTATCCAAATTTTTTGAATGCTTAACTAATTATTAGGCCCTATCTTCATTATAATCCTAATTCTATTAACACAGTTTCCAAACGATATTCATTCTTTTCATTTCCAATTACACCACCGATAGATTCTCTTATTGCTTCTTTTATTCTTCTGATAAGAATTTGTTGATCTCCAAAGTTTTCTGAGTTTCCCCATTCAATTCATCAGGATACATATTCTATTTGATGGTGGTATAATCTTTCAATCTATTTTTTAACACCTAACTAAAGTTACCAATCAAACAATTACTTCTAATAAATAATTTAATCTAATTTCTTTTGGAATTGAATTTTCTGTAAACTTGGCAATGAAATCTTCTTGCTGAGACTCCTTTCTGTTTTATTATGTTCAGAATCTGCTCTTGTTTTTAAAATATTTGTGTTCCTGGTCGTATCCAAAGGACTAAACTATCTCAATCGAATACTAGAATTAATAGAAGGTAATTTGGTTGCTAAATAAATAACAATTGAAATTACAATTGTGATCCTTCATCTATTTAGTTTACTTGGCAATGAGAGCCAACTTTATAGCTTTCTAACTAATTTGTAATTCCTCTGACATGGGTATATTATTCGTATTATAATAGTCCATTAATTTTGAATAGTTATTCTTTTGAGTCAATGCCAACCAAGGAAATTGAACCCATATCCACCTCTTATAATAGTAGTTTTATTGATTCCTTGTATTTGTTATGATTTTATCTAAGATGTACTCTTATTTTGTATTAATATATTCCTATACTAGATTTTAATCGAATTGGCTGATGTAATAATTCATAAAGAAATCTCTATTGGCTTTGATATCCATATTCAAAGTTTCGATGTTACCTTGTTATTAAGGGAAATAATCTTCATTCATCTATTTAGTCTTCTTTTTTGCAATCATCTTCAACTATTTCAACTCATTATACAAACCAATCTCATCAAACTCAATAGATTGACCTCTTAACTCTGGATGTTTGTAAGGGGGAGTGTGATCACTAAATATGATATTATAGGAAATACTTCTCAAAATTACTAAATTCTCTTAAGAATCTACAAATTTATAACATTATGTAGAATAGACCTTCATTTGTTGGTTTATAAAGTGCTTAGAAATTTTCTATTGCTTTATTATATTCCATCACTAGATCATATCCATTTTATTCTAGGGTTTCCCATAAATGGCATAATTCAAATTTGTGGTTTGGACTACACAACATTAAGAAGTTTTCAACATTAATCAGAACTTCTTTAAGTTTGAAATATCTCTTTGTTCTAGTATATTGATAGATTAGTTCCTCTAATTTTCTAATTGAGTTTTATGAGTGTTCCATAGTTGTAATGAATTGGTGATATAATTGTTTATTGGAAGGTAAGCATTGAATTAATGCATTCTTAAATGAGATACTGAAAATACAATAAATCTATTGTTTTTCCATTAGAAATATACTAAAGAACTCATAAACAAATGTAATATGTTCTTTCTCACAATTACATATTTAAACAATCTCATCCAAGGAAACTCCCTTAAAAACAAAAGTAAGTACTGTTAAAATAGAAATATAATGTGTTTCTGAAAAGTATTTTAAAAATGATTTTATCAAGATACAAAAGAAATCACCTTCACTTTTGATATCTAATAATCAAAAATATCAATCTTACTTTCCATTTAAGATATAGATTCTTTAATAACATCTTGGAAATCTTCATTATTATTAGTTAGAGTGAGTTCAAAGGACTTGCAAAAATATGCCTGGTCAGCCAAATGCTAAGGTATTTTTGTATACAATTTCTATTTGATATATATTCATAATATACATAGAGACGATCCTTGCTATAAAGTCTTTCAAGAAATTCATCTTTGTTTTGGTCTCTATATAATGTGAGTGAAAGATATTTACATTTAAATGATGGTTCCGCCTTAATTACAGTATTATTCATATGCTTTAGACTCAGTCTTCCCAGTTACTATTAACTTGAAAATTTGAATTATTAATTACTTTAACATTTTCAGGCAAAACTCTAGGTAACCAGTAGGATGCTCGTACTTCACCATTCTAATCGCGAAATCTATCAATTCCTTAGAATATCAGAATCAGCTAATATAATATAGGGATATTTTATACTCTTTTATAAACGCATTTTGAATCACTAAATACTTGATTTTATATTTCTCTGCTGTAAAATTCAAGCCAGTATTGAAAAAACTATTTCAATTTTTCTCCTTCGATTTCCACTTTTTAAGAGATGTTAAAAATTGTCTTCAATATGATTTTTATTATTACTTTCAATCTTGATAAAACATAAAAAATGGCATATTAGTAATTCTAATTCTCATGCTCTACAAAATACGGAATGACTATATCTTTCTAATTGGAAGTATTATTTCAAATATTATACATTGAGACCTTTCATCCAATATGAAATCAAGCATTAAATGTCATTTCCCTCTTCCTCACAAATGAATAATGCCTTATTTTGTTTCTATTTATATAACCATTCTTCTATTTTAAACTTAAATTAATCTAGACCATCAGGTGTGGGATGTTTCAGACAACTTTCAACAATTTAATCTGATTTGCTTTCAAGCATTATAAATATTTAATAATTATATATATGTATATATGTATATAATCAACTAAATTGACCAAAACTTTTTCTCATGTCTAACACAATCAATTACATAATTTTATATAATGATATTAATAAATTTTCATAAATTTAGTTGATATCTATAATTGTGAAACTGTATCTACTATTTATACTTTGACTTTTGAGTCATCATAATATCTATCCTGGAAAACATCAAAATCTTAACCAAGAACTACTTCATCTTATAAGCTATTAGAACCAAAAGTATAAGTAATTTATGCTCTTTACTTTTCTAGTTTCTTATTATTATTAAAGCTACTTCTGAATATACAGTTAAACTCTATCAAAATTTATAAGCATATTTTAAATGTAAATACTATTATATCAAAGTGAAAATGCTCAATGTTAATTTAATATCATTTAATACCTTGGAAGAGTGTTAATTAAAAGAATTTAGAGCATTTACAAAGGAAGTTATATCAGATTATGTTAGACTATTATAACATTCTGGTTTTCAAATGACTGAAGATCTAGAAATCCAGAGAGCTGATCATAAACATGTGCACACAATAAGGTATTTGAAATATATTATGAAGACCATGCTTTATTCCAGATACATCTGAAGTGAATCAAATTATTTGTGAATTTCATTTAAAATTGGGAATATATCATCAGAAATTAATAATAATTAGTTCAAATACTATATATCCTGGAAATTAGAGGTTTCAAAACCTTCGAGTCAACATTCAATTTATTAAAAAGGATTTGAAATGAACTTTTGTAATGCAGGGCTGATTGCTGCTTCATGGTAACTCTCGATCAGTTCAATTCAAAATAAAAATATGAATAATCATTTATTAATAGATTGAATTAGACCCATTATGAATTAACAGTAATTTGTCACTCATTGTTTTTTGGAGATGCATAAGTCAGATATGGCTACATCTCAACATTAGAGAACTACTCATGAAGAGAAATGGTCTAAAAGTACTTTATATCATTTACTCCCCAGATCAAATCCTACTAAAGTCTTGGAGAGTTATGAAATGTCTATGGCTTTTAAAATAATGTCATTAGATATCTCAATGCCGCTAAATAAACAAAATCTAGCAAAAATTAAAAAGTAAAATTACTAACATTAAACAAAAGAATTAAAATTATAAATCAAATAAAATCAAAATATTTCATATTTAAATATTGTTCTCTATGCAAGCCATATATAAATGATGTGAAAACTATTAAAGTTCTTATTTTTATTTCGATACTATTAAATTAATACTAAATGTACTTTAATCCAAATTCTTCATGTATTTATTTAACTCTTTTTCATATATCTAATTCCTCTATTCCTATCTAAATAAGTTTCTTTTAAGTTCATCTTTAGTGGGACTCTAATATAATCTTTGTCTTTCTCTCTTCTTGATTAGAGATTCTTGTTTATTTGATTTTTCAGAATTCATCCTCCATGCACTAGATATATTAATTCAAATTTTACTTCTCTTTTTTATCATCATTTTGAATTTCACTTAACTTTTCTTATAAATCAAATATCGATTTGTGAAGTACAAAATTGGCTCTCTCCAATTCAGTATATTCTAATTCTTTCTTGTCCAGAAAATTACGGAGAATCATATTCTATTTAGTTTATTCGATTAACTAAGTTTAAAGAGTAGCTATTTTCTTATCAATAATAAATACTTAAGAGATTTAGTGATTCTAAATATTAATTAGTTTTTTAAAGACTTTTTTATAACCATGTCTTGGCTTCTTTTTAGTTTTCATTTTATCCATTTAGATCTTTATTGGATTAAAATTTTAATTTCTTTGCAGGTGTAAACTCTTTATTTTTTTTAATTCCTGAAACCATATCTTTAACATCCTAAATCTCATATGAGAATTTATTCTTCATCTCGCTAATTTATTATTTGAGTGAAACATTTTCCTATTCCAATACTTTAATTTATTATTCTGCTTCACAATTATCAGTTTAGGTTATACATTCAACCATAAGTTTAGGATTCAAGACTCCTTTAGTTTCAACTATGTTTCGAAAATAATTAAGGTAATTTGAATTTTCATTTGAGGTAGAAATTAATTCTTAATTGCATCTTTATAGCTAATAAATTTAATCCTATAGACGCTACTTTTCAATATTTTATTCTGTAATTGTTTTCAATTAATCTTCAATCAGAATATTTTTTTCCATTACCAATTCTTTTATTTATCTGATAGTGTTTTACTCATCCACACTTTGATTTTTATAAAAATCTAGTTATTATTATATTTCTTGTAACTATGTCTGATAATTTTCCACTTATTCAATCATCTCATTATAGGCTTCATTCTAGAATGAATTAGATTCTTAAATTTCATTGGGATTTACAGTATTTTTCAATGCACCAGCAGACATACCAAATCTCATTGTGTTGACAGATTCTAAATAATTTTCATTATTTTGACTGATAGTTAATAGCATAACAGTCAATGAATTACCATTCAAACTAGGTTTGAGTATTTTAGTTAATTTGGAGTCTCTAAAGTTGACAAATTAATCTTTTTTATTTTCCTTGAGTTTCGATACAACATTTTGAAGTGCCAATAAACTTTTATTAATTAGAAATCCTTCTTTTCTTCTCAATCCTTCAGCTTAAGTCTTTGATAATCCTTCAGAACCAGCCAGATCAACTAAGTGGAGATAAGAGTTGCGAATGATAAATGGAGGACACTTCTATCTTGTTTCTATGGCAATCTACAAGATGACATGAGATCTTGAAGAATTGTCATTCATTTTAGTTTCTCCAAAATGTCGTTATTCTTCACCCAATTTACTAAAAATAAATGAGCTAAATTAAATACAAAATTTCTTCGAATTAAATTAATGAATTGATGGTTTCCCATTTATATTCATTAGATGTGTTAGGTTTCATTTCTTAAAGATCCCTAATCAAGAGATCATAAATATTTTCATTGTAAATCTCTATATATGAAATCTTTAAGTTGCTAAAGGTATCTGTAATCTATGATCACATAGAATTTAAACTTTATTAATGGATTGAAGCAGATAATCAATTGATAACTAAATCAGTCCTGGTTCCTTATTGCTCCCCTTCATAGTGTATGTTTTTCCAGAACTTGTTTACCCATATGCACAAATGGAGCCATTATATCCTAAAAGACATTTCTGTACAATCGGTTAGACCATTTTGGTGAAGATATCTTTTGAGGATGCAGCTTCATCGAATACCTATTCTCAGTTGAATAGATTACATTATCAAATGAAAAGCGCTCATTAGATTTTTTAACAATGACTGATTTCTCGTTGACAATATTACATATTTTATCATTGGAATCTGTGGGTCTTAATCTCAAACCAACTAATACATTTTCAACATGTGGTTCATTATATTTAGACTTGGTTTATTATTCTACACCTTTGATGTTGCTCATTTTAAATTTAAATTATATAAACACACATATATTTCACAATAATTTACTTTACCATTAATTAAAAAATATAAAAATGAGCAGTTCAGAAATACAATCAGATTCTGAGGATCTTATCTAAGGACAAAAAGATTTTGATTTCTATGCTGATCTCTTGAATCCAGCTGAAAAGCTTAAAAAAAGAATTCAATAATCAACATAGAATCAAATTACTAAATTGGTCAAATCATAAAAATTAAATGAAAAAACATAGAAGAAATCTAAACAATTAGTTTAAAAGGTTAAAAATGAAGAAGTCTAAGAAAATGTTAAACCCTAATATGATCCCAAAATATTTGCTACTAACACTGACTTCCAATAGTTGAAACTAAACAAATCCTTAGTTAAAGCTTGTCATGAATAGGGTTACAAGTATCCTACTAAAATCTAAGCCTAAATCATTCCATTGGTGCTCGCAGGAAAAGATGTTCTAGCAAGTTCATGTACAGGCTCAGGAAAAACTGCAGCATTTTTATTACCCTTAATGCAAAGATTCGGAAACACCAAAAGCTAAAAATACTCAAAAGCCTTGATTGTGATGCCTACAAGAGAATTAGCATTATAATGTTTTGAAATGTTTTAGAAATTAAATCAATTTTCACATTGTACTGCTGCCCTTGTAATTGGAGCTGTTCCCATCCAATAACAAGAAGCAGAATTAAGAAGATATCCTGATATCATTATTGCTACTCCAGGGAGAATAGTTGATATAATGAAAAATTCATTTAGTATTGATTTATCTAGGTAATTCTTATTCACTATATTATATAGTATCGAAGTACTTGTATTAGATGAGGCTGATAGATTGATGGAAATGGGATTTGAGGCAGAAATTAAAGAAATCCTATAATAAACACCTAGAGATAGATAAACAGTATTAGTAAGTGCAACACTCAAAGCTACAGTAAAACAACTTTCATTATTGGCTCTCCATAAACCAGTTAAAGTTAGTGTTGATTATGTTGATGGTTTAGCTTATGGTCTGAAGTAATACATACTTAGGATAGATTCTGATGACGAAAAGGACAGAGAAGCTACGTAAATTAATATATTATAAATTAGTCTTCTTGCTTTATTATAATAAAAATTTACTGAAAAAACTATTATTTTTGTTAGAACTAAACATGATTGTCATAGATTGTAAATCCTTTTAGGTATCAAAAATTTAAGCAGTTGTGAGTTGCATGGAAATTTAACTTAACAATAAAGAATTCAAGCTTATGAAGATTTTAAAGTATCCTACTTTTTTTATTATATTCAAGGAAGGAAAGTTCTAGTACTTGTTAGCTACTGATCTTGCTGCAAGAGGATTAGATATAGCTAATGTGAAAGCTGTCATCAACTTTGAAATTCCTTATGAGACTTCTAGGTATATTCATAGGGTTGGTAGAACTGCTAGAATTGGAAATCAGGGTGTTTCAGTGACAATTTGTTTGAAAAAAGAAGTCTCTTAATTTAAGTAAATGATTAAGGAATCTAAATAAACGTTATTTAAATTGAATTTCAATATAGAATCTATAGATGAAATTAAAGCTGACCTTAAATCATTAGAACCTAAAATTAAAAAGATTATTAAAGGTGAAGTTTTTGAAAAAGAAATCCATTAAACTGAAATTCTAGCTTAAAGAGCTTAAAATTTGATACAACACAGAGTTGAAATCATGAGGAAACCTAAAAAAGAATGGATTTAATCAGCATAGTAAAAGAAACTAAGAAATCAAATTTAAAAGGAGGAAGATGATTGAATTTGTTGTTTATATTTCGATAAGATTAATACATATTTTTAAAATATAAAGTTTTAGTTATTTATTTCAATGATTTTGTGAATCACTGCTGAGATAACTTACATTTAAATTTTCCTTTAATTATTCATTAACTCTGCAGTTCTCTTACATTAATGCTGAATTACTTTTTGTTAATCGATCAATCTATTCTTCAAATGATTTAACTAAATTTAATTGGAAAATGTACTTATTTTTTAACATTCAAGTATTTCAGCTCTATTCTATTCCTACTCATTTTATAATTATTATATTAAATCGTCCTTATTCTATGTAACTAAACCACCTTAGCCTTTCAATTAATCCTATAACACTTATATTTATTCCTCTAGCCTTTTGTTTTTCCTATTATTCTAATTGACTTGACTGTCTTTTATTGATAATTATTAGGATTTTCTTAATATCTCATTTTCAAGAGTTTCAACCTTACTTTAACATTCAGATAATTAATTTTCATATTATTGATTTTATTTTTCTAGCATAAGAATTTCATCTTATAACTATTATGTTTATTTAAGATATTCTTCCTCTTTTTATGCTACTGTTGAATCTGAGTTTTCAATTATCAATAATTATAAATGCTTTATTTTCTCATCCTTCTGTTAAATCTCTTAATTTAATACTTAATTTAATTCTTCTAATACTTCGACCTTTTATTAAAAATCTACAACTTTGGTTATTTATAATTTGATTTCATCATTTAATCTTTAGTTTGATTATTCCAACCCTTATTTTGCCATTAATTCTACTTCCAGTCTGTCAATTTATTATTATAATTCATTTCTAATTGTTTCATTATAACAAGGCAAACTATGTGATTTTTGATCTTCTTAGCCTATTATCTCGAATTAGCGATTAATTTCAGAATTTTAACGTTGATTAGAAATGGGTATCATCTATATTTACTATTCATATTCTTATTTCTATTGTTATATAACCTATTTTAATTATTCAATTTCTTATTTTAAAATTTTATTTTCTTAAACGCTTTCTTACAAAGTTTATTCAAATTGTTAATATTACGATTATCTTTTTCTATCGCTTTCATAAATATCATGTGATTAATATTAATGTTATAAAATTAATTCACTATCTAGGTTGTATTTTGAGTTGAAACTTTTATTTATTAAATATGTTTCTGAACTTCTATCTAGAGAAAATGATTTGTCTTATTGTTCTTTTAAATCCTCATATAATTTATTAATTTATTGTAATAAACCATCATTTTATTGAGTCAATATTTTAATTTATTCTTACTATTTCTCTATTACTTGACATTTTTAATTTATTGTCTATTCTTACTAAACTATCTTTTCATTTAATCCCTATTCAAAAGGCTTGCATAAAGAATTATTTTTTGACCTAACAGGTGATTTCTCTCTACTTATGCTTAAAATTTATTATTCCATTTATGCAAGTTATTCTTATAAACTTTCAAATTATTGATTTAATTAATTTAATTCTTACTTCAAATTTGGAATAATTTCATTTTCATCTTTATTAATTTACTCATTCAATTAACCTATTTAATTATTCAATTCATTAATTTGTTGATCCCTCTTTAAGATATGATCTTCTAGACTCTTAACTTTAACAATTTATTATTATATTTCGTTTTCTTTATTAGAAACTTAAAGTGTCAATTCTCCAAACTTCTTTTTCTAAAATTAATCTTTTTATTATTCATTATCAAGTTCTTTACTTAAATACTAGCGCTCTTGTTCAAGTGACTTTATTTATTGATCTTTTTATTTTAATAATATTTGCATTTCTTGTTGCTATTGTCCACTTGAATGTAATTTAATCTCGAATTCATCCTTCTCATTCGATAGCATCTCAAAATTGCTTTTTAAATCATCTATTAATTTCTGTTATTGTTCGCATTAACTATTTAATTTTATCCTTTCCTGCTCCATTTATTAAATTTATTTTAATGATTCATTCAGTTCTTTATCTTTTTTAAACTATTATATATTCGATACCTCACGCATTTTATTATTTAATTGCAAATTTTCTCTTTATAATTTTTCGCATTCCAATTATAATTAAATTTTCAATTTTGTAACTGCTTTGTTACTTTGAATTTATTCATCCAAATCTAGTTACAAATCCTACATTTATATTTGTTACTTTTAAATGATATCAGATAACTCTAAATTTTCTTCAGTTAATTCTAATTTGATCTCTTTAAGTTGTACTAATTCATTCTCTAATACTGATTATTTTTCAACTTGTTTCTAAGTTTACTCTTTTTTTATTTTTTCAAGTTATTATTAACTTTAAATAAACTCACGCTTATAAAATTCGCAATCTTCCATTGTTATATGTAATTTACCTTTGATCGCTTAGATTTCTTTCTGATAATACATTATTTCATCTTCCAATTATATCAATTTAGCACTTTCTTATTATTTAATAATTTTTTAGTGTTAATATAATTGTGATTGCTATGTCTGCTCTAGAGTCTATATTTGAATTCTGAGTGATTATATTTCATTTTATAATTCTTGGTTTTCACTCTCTCTGGCATCAATATGAGTTTTAGAAAATGATTGAGAAAGACTAGCCATCTTTAATTCTTACAATTCAAAATTCAAATTATTTACTTGTAATGCAAGTGATTTATTTTATTGTATTAAATGTTCTACTTAATTTGATTTCATAAATAAATCATCTTCTTGCTACTTATTTATTTATTCTTTCTTTCTTATTTCATCTGATATTCTGTTTATTTATACATCTTTCTCTTTTAGCTATTCAACTAATTTATTAATCTGTGCTTCAAGTCGAGATTTGATTGAATTGTGCACTTCATTAATATTTTTATTTTCTAATCCTAATTTACTAATCACCTATTATAATTCTTCCATAGTATTTTGACTATTTGTTTAAATCATCTTTAACTAATGAGTTTTATCTGCTAATTGATTTTTTAGTTAAGCAATTTCGCTATCTTAACTTTAGTATTATTTCTTTTCATTTAAATTGATTACTACTGACTCTGAATACTATTTAGATGATGCTATTTCTCTTGTGAGTTTATTATTTTCAAATTAAAGATCTGATAATTAAGTCTATGACCTTCTAACCTCAGTATCATACTATAATTGTATCCTTTAAATCTATTAATTTAATTATCTATTTTCACTTTCCAATCTCAATATTTCTTATTATTTCTAAGAAAAATCATCAGATTTGTTCTCATTAACAACAATTCTATATCTACTTTCATTTATAGATATATTTTATAATTGTTAATTTAGCTTATCAATTTCATTTTGTAAAGTTATTATTTATCTTGAATGTGATTCTTTGATTGATATTAATTATTAACTTAATAGATCCTTCTCATTTTAAAGAGATTTAATTTACTCTTAAAATTTAATTTAATCATCGAACTTCTATTACTCTTGTCTTATTTCTAATTTTAATTATTAATTTTCATTAAACAATAGTTCCTTCTGATTTTCTAATAATTTGTACTCTTTTGCCTCATAAACTTTTGAACCTAAAACACTTTCATTGATTGATAAGTTACTTTGATTCAAATCTTTTAAAGCATTTTATTGTGATTGTAATCTGACTACTTCCTCAGTTAAATTTTTATTTTATGTTTGTAATTATTAAATTTAAATACTGAATTGTCTTTCAGCACTTTAAGGAAATAATTTAAGTGTTCTATTTTCTTCTTGTAATTACATTTGTTTTTATTTTAATTCAAATATAGAGTTTTCTAATTATTTAATTTTTCCATTTAGGTATTCTTTATCTTATATTAAAGTAGAATAATCATCTCTTAATTTAATATTCTCTCTCATTAAATTATCTTTTGTATTTTAATACTCATCAATTTGATTTTGAAGTAGTTTAACCTCATTACTTTCTAAATTATTGTATTCCATATCTCTGATTTAATTTTTATATTTAGTAACTTCTAATTCTAATGTTTTTATCTTGTCCAATTATTATGAATCTCTTTACAATTGAAAATCAAGCTTAGATTATAGTTCTTCATTCTTTCTATTTAGTACACCCAATTATTACTCTAATTCTTTATATTGATCACTATTAAATATCTTAGAATTCAACATATTATCAGAAAATGATCGAGATGTATTGATATCAGCTAAATTCTTAATTTATTCAGTTAAATGTGTATTCTCCTCAACTAATCTCTTATTTTATTTGATTAATTATTCAAACTATTTTTTAACTTGATTAGCTTCTTACAAATCAGTTGTCAATTTTTCTATTTTCTTTTTCATCTTCTAAATCTCTAAATTATGTATTTATTGCATTCTTTCAATTTGTTGTTCCAATTGATTATTAACAACATTTTCTTATATTTATGAATCTTTCATAGAACCTTATAAAACAGATGAGTAATCAAATTTCTCTCTTAATTATCTGATCTCTTCAAATAATTTCAAGTTTTCCTCCAAATAACGTTTATTAGCTTCAGTTAACTTCGATATTTGTAAATCTCTATCTGATTACTATTTTTGTGGTTTTTGTTATTTCTTCTTTGACAATTCTTCTTCTAAAATAGATATTTTTTTTTATAAATACTGATTCTCTTACTCTAATTATTCAATCTTAGTTTTCATAACAGGATCCTCCATCATAGACATTGACATACTGATTCTGCTCATGTTTTTCATCATTTCCACTTCCAATTATAATTCTTTAATCTTATTTGTTGATGTTGCTATTTCTTACATCAATTTCTAATTCACTTATAACAACCTCTCTTTCTCTCCATCATTATTTTAACTGGTCCTTGAAGATGACCCAAACTTTTAATATTTATTTAATTCTTCTTATAGTCGTAATTTCTCATTATTGCATTCTTATAATTTCTCTTAATATTGTTTTTCTTTGAATTCATCAAAATATTAAGATTGAGATAATGATTTATCGCATTTCTCATTCAAAGCCATAGTTAGTCTACCGTTTTAATTCATCAAATCAGTTTCTCTCTATTTCAATGAGTATACTTCATTTTTTAATGATTGAATTAATCGATCCATACTGTCTAATTAGTCTTTTGATGCAACATTAGATCTGCTATTTATTTCTATCAATCAATATTATAAATTTAATACCTAATTCTTTATTGTCTTTCATTAATTTATCAATCTATTACTATAGTTTCTGTTTCTCATTTTAAAGTTGATTAACTTCCTATTTAAGTTGATTTATTTATTAATTATTTGATCTTAAGTCTTGACTAGTTGCCATGATAATATTCGATTAAATTGGCTCAAATTTCTTAATTGGCATAGCTGATTTCTCATTTATTAATTACAATATTTATGCATTCAACAATTATTAAAAATTAACTTGTTTCTAATTCAATTTCCCAATGTTATAAGCTATAAATTTCAAATGCACTCTTCTTAAAGATTACATTGAAATAAAGAATGCACAAAACGCATCTAGTATTTACATGCAAATTACCTTTGTCATCTTTGCATCTGAATTTCATTATTTGATTGTTGAACTAAACTTATAGTTAATTCTAATTTGAGAGAATACATTAATCTGCATATTAAATTTTTTATTAGGTCGTACTATTTTCTAAATAGTCTAAGGAAAATATCCAATTCTATTCATTGCAAATAATCTATTATCTAACATAATCTACTTAAAAGTTACTTCATATTGTTATGATATAATTGGGAGAGTTTATTCTCTAATGAGGTCGATATTTGAATTTTTTAGAATTCGATTATTGCCTATCCTTCGTAGCCTTATTCAAATGGTTGTACGATTGCCTCGATCTTATAACCAATATCGAATATGCTACATGGATATATATTGCCCTAAGTCTCAATTTTAATGCGTTCATTATCTAATTTCTTAAACCATTAAAATTTGCATCCTAACGGGATTTAGTTAATTTTAGATGAGAATGCATTAATTGTAATATTGGTTGTTTCATTCAACTACGATGCTTAGATTTCTAGATGATAGTTAATGTTCCCCTTAATTTAATAATTCATATTAAATATATGTTAATTTAAGACGATTTAGATTGTTCATTAAAACAAATTCATTAATTAAGGAAATCATGAAAAACAGACACGAGTCGAAAATTATAATAATTCTCCCAACTTATTTTCTAAATGTAGATACATAAGGAGTCAAAAATCAATTGAAATTTCCTTATCAATTCTTGTTATAATTGCTTTTATATAATTGTAACAGTGGGTAGACTTCCATATTTTAAATGATAAATCGTCAATTGATTTAAGAGAATAGATGATTAGCAAATAATAATAATGATTATATATAATTAGCATCAATTTTTTGATTCTTCCTCTTTTTATGATTCAGCAGCCTCTAAGGGATTATCATAAGCCCATTCATCAAAGTCTTCAATTTCTTGATCTGTAAATTTAGTACTCTAAATTCCAATTAATAGAATACTTTGATTTTATTCAACTCATTCTCACTAAGTGCTCCTAATTTTTTAGCATCTCTTAATTTTTATAAGATCATTTTGTTCTTCTTTACAGTCTTGTATTCATTCTCTGCCAATTAGGCTAGTTCTTGATTTTTTGCTTTATAGAATCTGTACATGACCTTGATCTAAGAGGATATATATGTGGAGCATTTACATTTTCACACTTTTTCAAAAGTGGGTCTTCATTGATTTCTGGTTCAAAGTAGAAGTAAATGGGTAATTAGAGTTCTTCCTTTGGATTAAGTAGTTGTTAATTGAAGCAGAAACATTGAATTTTAGCAAAATAAAGTCCTGCATCTTCAGGGAATATTTAGTAAGTAGCAAAACCTTAAATAATAATTATATAAAACCTACTACTGCTTTGTCATTTCTGTTGTAGGCTCTATAAAAGACTAAGGCAGTTTCTCCAGCATGAACAGTGACATTCTATTGGACAGGAAGAAATTCCCAGTTGGCTTCAGGATCAGTTTCTGCTCCAAATTCAATATGATATTTTCTGAAGACATCCACTAGTAATGAGAAGAATGCAAATACATTTTTTGCCTTTCATTGAATAGTCCTTTTTATCAAGGTCACCTTCTAAGCCAAAATGCTCACACCACAATCTATAAAATGGGACAGCACCAAAGGCACATCCAAAAGCAGCTCCATATAAACCAAAGTTATAGAGTAATTCCTGTCTTCTTTTCTTTTTAAAGGATGTCAGATTATGTTAAATGTTAGATCGACTTGAATGTTTGAATGAATAAAACAATTTGGATAGTTTGAACATTATTAATATAAAAATTGGAATAAAATTGTTAGATATAGACTAATAATAAATCAATCAATTTCAGCCAATAAATCTTCTTCTTCGTGTTATAATTGATCGACTAATTATTTGTGACTAATATCCTCTTTATTTAGGAACTAATATTATAATAATTAATTACTTCTTGTGCTTCATCAGCGGAAACATGAGATTTCTAATTCTCGATGTTGCTGATTAAAGTGATTCCTTATTGGACAATCTGGGCCCAGAAGACAAGTTGACTGTACTTCTCTTTAAGAACATGTAAATATTTATTGAATACTGGGGCTTCATCTTCTGTTATACAGGCTTTCCTCATTTCTTTGAGACACTCAAGTGCTTTTGGATAGAAACTGCCCTTAAGAGATTGATCGACAAATTAAATTATAACTTTTTGAATTTATTGTAAGGCTGTGTCAACTAAATCTACTCTCTTTTCAGTGATCATCTTTCTGAAATCTGAAGTGGGATCAACAGTGCCAATTTCCTTAATGATATCATCATTGAATCCCAACTTTTATTTGGCAAACATATTGACCATCTCTTCTTCTTCTTAATTGATTTCAACAACTTCATCTTCAACTTACTATTAAATTTATTCTGTTGATTATTCTTCAAATAGTTATTTCCAAAATACTTTCTTATCTCCTTGTTTTTTGATTTCATTAATTTTGAATTTGAAAGCTGCCTTAACTTTTTGGAGTGCCTCTTTTGCATAATTATAAACCCTCACTTCAGGATGTAAATACTCCAAGATGAGAGGGGAGATAGGAGGCAATACATCAGATCTAGTGATGGCTTTGTGCATGACCACTTATTGGAAGTATTATCTTGTGGGATTGGCAACATACTTCATTTTAAGAAGTTCTTCGAATTGTCCATCTTCTGTGGGCATCTTTTCTAGATCCATACTGTCAATCATAGCAGAGACTGCCATTTATTATGGAGGAGTGGATCTCTTCAAAGCAGCAAATTGAAAATGTCTGATATCTTCGGTAGTAGGCAAGGATATCATCCAGAAGCACTAAGAGTTCTTAGACTTATGAGGTAATAACATAATCAATTTGGGTGCTGTTTTCTCTCTGCCTACAAATCTTGCAATGGCTACTTTTCTAGTTGCTATGAGTGCAATCACTAAAGCAGCTAGAGCCTTCTATTACTTCTGATTTTCTACAGCAATGACCATGTCAACAGTTGAAGTATAATAATATCTAGGTATATGGGATCGATCTACAAAGCCTAATAATTAAAATTAACGAGGACATTAGTATTTCATTTTGTCCTCCATAATTTAATCCACTGGAACCAGGTTCCGACCATATTAGTATCCTCTTATTATGTTATCCTTTTCAATAGGTGTCATGTTTGGATCTTCTGGATTATAATAGATGAGATCATTCCTCACATGATTCTTATTGATATCAGTTTGAAATTCTCCAAGAGTAGAATGTTTTCTAAGAGTAGGTAATCTCTCTTCGAAACATCGTTTATATATGAGAACTTGAATGGAGATCTCATCATTAATTTAGAAATCTCCTCTGAATGATGCTCTAGCTTACAAAGATCTGGTATGAAATTGGGAATACAATTCAAACGCAACGTTGGCTGGGAATATTCTCATGTTGTTCCTCAATTCTTGGACCATCAAAAAGACATAACGAGAATTGATTGATTGTTCTTAACATTGATATGAAGCTGTAAGCATTCTGTTGTTGAGAGCCTCAAATTCTTCAGGTTTTTCAGGATCATCCATGTCTCCATTGTAATCATTCATAAAATCAAGAGCGATGAAATTTATCTTAACATCCACTTTCTCAATCATCTTAATTAATTTTGTAATCTACTTTTCACTGTAATCAGTCTGTCCACAACCAGCTGTTAATATAAAGATCTTCTTTTCCATTTTTTTTGTCTTCGCATGATCATCTAAAGCATGTACTGCCTTATCCAATGCATCGAATATATCTCCCCCTACTTATTATCCAACATCATGGTTAGGTAAATCACTAATGTTCCTAAAGAAATCTAAATCTGGGATTGACAAATCTTGGATGTACAATGTCTTACCATCGGGAGCTTCTTCTGTTCCGAATAAAATCAATCCGACTTCGTGATTCTTATAATTAAAAATCTTTTATTGAATCATCAATCCTAAACAATCTACTGCCAATTCTAATCTGCTCAACTTTTTACTTCCTCCCTATTAATATTGACTATACATTGAGGCTCCAACATCCAATAATATTAGAGTAGCTTCTTTTCCAGACATCTTTGCACTTATTTTTTATATATCTACAAATTCATTATTGAAATTTGTATATTAAAAAATTGCATGTATTATTTATCTTTTTAATGTAAATCGAATAAAATCAACTTATCATCGATTACATCAAATAATTACAATGTCCAATTCACAACATGCCCATTAAATTTATGAGTTATTCCCCAAATGTCTAAAATAACTAAAAACTTATTTGTTCTGAATGTGCTGAGACATGCGGCTTAAATAACTATAAAGAAGTTGAATGTTGTGTGAAAGAAATCAATAAAGACAAACTCCCTCAACCTATCAGAAATGCATGTTAAAAACATTTAGAATTTTTTGATGGATTCAAAAATCAAGTTGTCACTCTTATTAATCAACCCCCATATTTCCTAGAAAGTACACAAAATAGAAAAGGACTTTCTGAATTCAAGAGGGAACTTGAACAATATCATCGAAATAACAAAAATTCAAACAATGCCCAACAGTTAGTTGAAAATGGAAAAAAAATTATTAATAATTCTATTAGGTAACTTGAAACATTATCAAATGATCTGACATCCCTTTTAACAAACTCGTAATACGAATAATAAAATCTTACAGAAATATGGAGAAAAATATATTAAAATTCAATACTTTTGGAAGCAGATTTCTCAGATTAAGAATTCTTCATCTTAATAGATAGATAATAACTTGAATTATATAATATTAAAATAGATGGTATAAAACTTCAGCAAAAATATCAGCTAAAAGAAAAAGTCAATTGTATGATCAAAGCTCAATCTAAACCATTATTCTTTTTAGGTAAATAAAATGGAATTGTGGAAGTATTTGAGTAACTAACTAATGGCAATTACGTATCCTCCCATTAGATTGAAGCACATTTACCCGGTAAATATTAGTATGGAGTCAGCTGTATTATTACCAATTCAGACAGTTCAGAAATCATTACAGGAGGATATGATGCTCTCGTCAAATCATGGAGATTTAGAAATCGCTAATGGAATCTTATCTCTACTTTAAATTAGCATAGATAAATTATCAATTCTTTATCTTATAACTCAGATTTTAGTATCTTTGGATCAGCCAGTTAGGATTAAACTTTTTCATTATACACATCAAACCCCTAAAATCTCTATGCCAATAAGCTCACTTAAACCAAATAAAAACGTGTTAATACTATTTGTTTTGTAAGTCCAACTAATTTTTTTATTTCTCTAAATTAAGATAATAAAATCTATTTGTATTCAATTTAAAAAACAGAGGGTTAAATATTTCAAATCTAATAATTATACGATTTACCCCTAAATGAAATGAATACTGAACTCACTGTAGAGGTTTAACCAAGATATTATCAATAATTATAATTATTGATCTTCCAAAATAATTATCGAACCTATTTCCTATGTTAAGATAATCAAAATAAATTTTAAACCATTCCTATCAGCAGATACATTTCCAGAAGCTAATAGTAAAATAATGCGACATAACCAGAAAATTCACTCTAAGGAATTGTGTCTAGAATAATAGGATATGGAGAACTATCCATTTAGTTGTTCAAAGAAGGCCCTTCCTATGTCATACGTGCATCTAAATTTTAATGATATTTTTATTATTATTATTATTATGAAGTATAATTATAATTTGTAATTTAATATCATATTCTTTATTATGAAGGATAAATTTTAGTCAGGAATCTTTATGTAAGAGATCCAATCATTGCTGTGCCTATTAGAACTGCAATCATAATCCAATTAAATCCTTTATACCTATAAATTACAGATTCAGATTACGTATTTTCGCTTATATCTATCACTTTTAGCCATTGTCCACCTTTATTAGGGAAAATTGCAGCTACAAAGAATATGACAAAACCAAGAGTAGTCCATAATAATAATGGCCTATTTTAATAATATCTAATTTTAAATGGACTTGACACATAGAGATTAATAGCAAAGGTCATAAAGTAAAAGATAACACTCAGAAACATTATGGATTGAATATCACCTGATTGTTTTAAACTATGAATTGGTTTTGGAATACAGTTATCAATAGGTTAATTGAATTAACAAGTGTGAACATTTCGTGCTGATTAAGAAATGAAATAATTAATGATTAAGCTAAAAAAAGTTAAATTATAAGTGATACCCTATTGATCCCCAAATGATATTATTATAAATTTACAATTGATTACTTAAAGCAAATTAGTCATCTAAAGGATTTTGATCTGCTAATGTATCACAAGGTCCTGACATGCATAAAAAAGTGAGTAAAGGAATTGTTGTAATGATACCAGTGTATGTGAATTAAAAGTCAGCAAAAGTTTCAGCTTCTAGAAACGTAAATAGCACAGCAATAAATTTGATTACATTTACACTAACCTAATATTGAAAAGCTTCAATGAAATTTCTTTTTGCTGCCTTTCCCTATTAAAGTATCTTAATAACACAATCAATAGACTCGGATCTACTAATAAATGGCGCTGTGTAAGAGGCATCTGCTTCATTGAATGAAATACCCACTTAGGCCTATGAGATCGCAGACTAAAATGTTTTAATAAATTGATTACACAATCATTAGCTCCATCTCCACACATTAATACTTGTTTATTAAAACTTTATAGAATCTAAATTATTTGCTTCTTTTATTCTGGTTTCTGTCTAGCAAATACTTTTGTTTTTTTTAAAAGATTAATAAGAAATTTCTTAACGTTTACATCTTCTGTGTCTATTTAAGTGATTTCTGTAAATGCTATATCTTTGCCGGTTGTTTTAGTTTAATAATGATTTTTTAAATTAATATTACCTTTTAAATTACTCTAAGTAATCAGGTAATCTAAAAATTTCCCAGTGATAGCCAATTCAGACTTATCATCAATTATTGCGTTTAATTAATTGAAAATATTTTATTATTAAATTTGTATGATTTTTATATCATCATTTGATTAAATTGTTACCAATTAATCTTATTCATTATAATCTATAAATGAAATATCTTGATCTGCTGATAATATCTTAGCCATCTTACTGCATTAAATTGTGGTTAATGGATTATCCCCTGATATTACTTTAACATCAAGGCCACTCTTCTTTAAAAGTGCTATTACATCAGCAGTATCTTATTTTAAGGGATTTTCCATTAATAATAAGCCTACAAAACTAAGTGATTACTCTAATTGCTCCCTTGCTAGATCTATTTGATTGTTTTGAAGTTCCTTATAAGCTAATCCCAATATTCTATAACCTTTACTGGCATTAATATTAAACTCGTTAATTAAATCATCCCTTTTGCTTTGAGCTATCTAATTGATTGACTCAGGAGAACCTTTTGTGTATAAGAAGTATTTTTGATCAACTGAAACAATAACACTCATCGTAGAAGTTTGAGTATTGAAATCAAATATTTTATGAATCACAAACTATTTATTATTTCCATTGATAATAGTAGGTTATTAATCAAAATTACATTACCAACCTACAAATTTGAGCATTTCAATTTCCAATGGATCACCTATTATATTCCCATTAACCCTTATCAAATGATGACAACAACCCATAATAGCATTCAATATTGGTTACTCTTATTGAGGAATAGCTTTGATAACTCTGAATCCTAAGGTTGTTAATGTACCTGTTTTATCGAAACAACATGTGTCTATTGTTCCAGCTGATTCTATTTTCTCTGCGTTATTTCCAATTATTCCTTTTTTCTCCAATTTAACTAAGCTAGAAGTCTTGCATACCTAAAAAAAAATAGGCATAGAAGGAGGTATAGACCAAACAATGTTATCCAAAAATCTTAAGACTAATAGACTTGGTTTAAAATCCATAGGAATATAGCTGATTAAAAAGAATGCATAAACAACTGCCATTATGAACGCTATTTCTAAAATAAATTTTGCTGCTTAAATATAAAACTTCATTGACCCTGGATGTGGATAAAGTACATTTCTAAAATATTATCCCCTTAAAGTACTAAATCCCGTTCTTAATACTATCGCAACACTATGGTTGGCTTGAATTAGTTTTGTACCTTCAAATAAACAATTTTAATTCATCTTTTCAAATGAAAATTCTACATTTTAATTCTGAAAAGCACATTTAGGAATGGGAATGTCTTCTCCTGTTAATGATGCTTCATTCACTAAAACATCACCTTCAATTATTGCACAGTCACAATTTAAAATTTGATTCTCTTTCAAAATCAATAAATCTCCTGGCAATAACCAACTACTTGGTACTTTCTGATAAATTTGATCAGGTTTTAATTAATCTCTATCCTCAATTTCAACAGACTACTCATAATTTGCCAATTGTTATAATCGTTTTCTAGAGCGAACATATAAAAAATAGTTAACATAAACTGACAACACAGTAAAAACGAGAATTAAAATTGGTGATAAAATAGTGTTTTCAGCAAACCATATAGCAATTGCAAAATATTACAATAAATTGAAGGCACCTGTAAAAGCATTAAATGAATAGATAAAAATAGAATCTATTGGTATTTGTAGAGAACAATGGCCAAAATATTCACGTTTTAGATTCCTGTCTTATTTATTTCGAAATTTAATCATTTCAGAAATGATTCTACCTTTAGACTCGAACTCTATAGGCTCAAAACTTTGGATTTAAGAATTGAATCTATATTTCAACATCCTATTGTTAATTGTAATATGAACCTAAATATGAAATAGGGTTTATCTTTGATAAAATGTCTTGGACATACAAGTTATTCATTTTTTGAGGTTGTTATCAGATAATGAGTCGCTGTGTCTTCATTGTCGCATTAAATAAATAGGAAATTCGTATATAGTTTATTAGAATATTTTAAGGCCAATGCAAATAGAGAAGCGGTTATTAAGGAGAGCAGAATCTAATAAATTTTTGTAAATTTAGTACAGCCAATATAAGTCTAATTTTGCTTAATTAAGCAAATGCTACAGAAATAAGAAGATGTTGTCCTTCAACGTCAGAGTTTTTAACTGGATATGACATCAGCTTAAATGAATTACTAAAATGAATTAAATTGATTTTAAATTCAACATTAAATATTTATACAATCATTTTAAAATTGATTTTATTAAAGGAAATTTTAGTTTTAAAATTGCTTAGCTGAAATAACACACTGCACTTGTACAGAGAATTATAAAAAATATCAACACATCAACATGTTTAAAACTAAAACACTTATCATTATAATTACATGTTCTCTTCGATATCCACAATTGATAGCCAACTTCTTGTAGATCTATTAAATGTTACAATGCACGCTATGACTAAACATAAAACAATCCACGCTAATAATGAGCAATTTCTATATAATGGCTCTAATATAATAATAGAGAATATACTCTTAAAAGGAGCTGATTAGTAAATAATTATGCAAATTATCATATTATAATATTGATTTGCCAACATCATAACAGAGTTGAGTGGACCTTCTTTGAAATAAGTTTCAATTGGGTTTGGTAAAGGTGGAGCTTCAGAATTATCAACTACAATAAAGAATATGATTAAGCAACTAAATGAAGTTAGGACAAAGATATTATAAAACTTCAATTAATTATTTTTTGAAAAGATGTTATCATTAGGAATTGCATCAGTTAATTGATTTTCTCTTAAAGATAGAGTGAATAAAATTAACACTGGAATACTTGATAGGTAGTTCATGTAGATATATTAAAAATCGCCAAAGTTCATCCCTTAAAATTATAAAAGGGCTGTTCCTGTGAATTTAAGTACACTAACCAAAATGTAGTAATGGAATATTTCTATAATAATACTTAGAGTGGCCCTTCCTTAGAGTAAGATAAATTTAACGCATTCAATTGAATCCTTTTTATAACTAAAAGGGGATGTATAAGAAGCATCACTTGAATTGAATGAAACACCCACTAGAGCTTCAGCTAATGCTGACTAAATTAAAATAAAATTAAATACACAATCATTAGCACCATCTCCAACCATCATAACATTTTTATTTAATTGGTTCTACAAATATTATACAATTTCCTTTTTTTAATGAGGTTTCATTCTTGTAAAGATTTTTGTCTTTCTGATCAAATTGTTTAAACAATCAATTAATCTGTTGTCGATGTCATCTGTTTATCTCAATTATTTATATTATGATTAATCAATACTTTAATTCAAAGAAATATCACTGACTTTATTTGATAACAGATATCCCCATAAATTACCTGTTATAGCAAAATCGCTATTTCTATTTAAAATTAATTCCAATTGAGTAATTATAAAATTAATCTAAGATCCTAACTTCTAATCTAACTATGTTTTGGTTTAAAATTTTTAATTTAGATCTAATAATAAAAGTAACTCTTTTTATTCATCATAATCTAAAATAAGAGTATTCAATTTATTCTTAATTAAATTTGACTCAAAAGCACAGTGTACTGTAGTCAAAGGATTATCTCCTGAGATTATTTTTATATCTAAGCTTGATTCTAATAATTCTTCAATAATCTAGGGAGTATCACTCTTTAAATTGTTTTTCAAAGTAAATAATCCAATAAAATTTAATTAACTTTCCAAGATATTTCTATCTAATTCAATCTAATCGAGCATTAATTATTTTTCAGCTAAACCAATGACCCTTAAACCTTAATAAGTCTACTACTGTAGTTAAATTAAAAGAGATTTATCATATTGTTGATTTGATAGTTCTATCAACTTTTCCGGTGACCCTTTCACAAATAAATGATACTGATTTTCAATTTCATTTAAAACAATAACACTCATTCTTTANATTATAATATTGATTTGCCAACATCATAACAGAGTTGAGTGGACCTTCTTTGAAATAAGTTTCAATTGGGTTTGGTAAAGGTGGAGCTTCAGAATTATCAACTACAATAAAGAATATGATTAAGCAACTAAATGAAGTTAGGACAAAGATATTATAAAACTTCAATTAATTATTTTTTGAAAAGATGTTATCATTAGGAATTGCATCAGTTAATTGATTTTCTCTTAAAGATAGAGTGAATAAAATTAACACTGGAATACTTGATAGGTAGTTCATGTAGATATATTAAAAATCGCCAAAGTTCATCCCTTAAAATTATAAAAGGGCTGTTCCTGTGAATTTAAGTACACTAACCAAAATGTAGTAATGGAATATTTCTATAATAATACTTAGAGTGGCCCTTCCTTAGAGTAAGATAAATTTAACGCATTCAATTGAATCCTTTTTATAACTAAAAGGGGATGTATAAGAAGCATCACTTGAATTGAATGAAACACCCACTAGAGCTTCAGCTAATGCTGACTAAATTAAAATAAAATTAAATACACAATCATTAGCACCATCTCCAACCATCATAACATTTTTATTTAATTGGTTCTACAAATATTATACAATTTCCTTTTTTTAATGAGGTTTCATTCTTGTAAAGATTTTTGTCTTTCTGATCAAATTGTTTAAACAATCAATTAATCTGTTGTCGATGTCATCTGTTTATCTCAATTATTTATATTATGATTAATCAATACTTTAATTCAAAGAAATATCACTGACTTTATTTGATAACAGATATCCCCATAAATTACCTGTTATAGCAAAATCGCTATTTCTATTTAAAATTAATTCCAATTGAGTAATTATAAAATTAATCTAAGATCCTAACTTCTAATCTAACTATGTTTTGGTTTAAAATTTTTAATTTAGATCTAATAATAAAAGTAACTCTTTTTATTCATCATAATCTAAAATAAGAGTATTCAATTTATTCTTAATTAAATTTGACTCAAAAGCACAGTGTACTGTAGTCAAAGGATTATCTCCTGAGATTATTTTTATATCTAAGCTTGATTCTAATAATTCTTCAATAATCTAGGGAGTATCACTCTTTAAATTGTTTTTCAAAGTAAATAATCCAATAAAATTTAATTAACTTTCCAAGATATTTCTATCTAATTCAATCTAATCGAGCATTAATTATTTTTCAGCTAAACCAATGACCCTTAAACCTTAATAAGTCTACTACTGTAGTTAAATTAAAAGAGATTTATCATATTGTTGATTTGATAGTTCTATCAACTTTTCCGGTGACCCTTTCACAAATAAATGATACTGATTTTCAATTTCATTTAAAACAATAACACTCATTCTTTACAGAGGGGAACTAAATTCAAATATTTTTATCACCTAAAAACTCTTTTCGTTTTTTTAAACTTTGAAATACTTTTAGTTATCAAAATTGATATTCCAATCAGATAATTTAAACATTTCTAATTCTAATGGATCTCCACTCAACTCCTCATTAATAATGGTCAAATGATGACAACAAGCCATGATTTCCAATAAAGAATCTTGATGTGGAATATAATCATTAGCCTATAATCCTAAAGTAGATAGTGTTCCAGTTTTATCAAAGCATATGGTGTCAACTTTACCAGAATCTTCAGTTTTAATAGGATTTGATCCTACAATATCGATTTACTTTAGCTTTAATAGAGACATAGCTTAATTTAATGAAATAAAGATCGGTAAAGCAGGTGGAATTATCCAAGTTATTGCATCTAGGTATCTAACAATAATTAACTTAATGGAATAATTCATGTATTAATATTTTACTATGAGTAATATAGTGAAAATAGATAGAATAATGAGACCCAAAATGAGTAAGAATTTACATGCTTAGACATAAAACACTCTAGACGGAGGAGGAGGAAATAAAACATTTCTAAAATACTATCCTCTCATTGAAGCATATCCAGTTCTTATTACCAATCCAATATTCTTTTAATAAGGAGATGTCTTAATCACTTTAGTACCTTCAAAGAGAGTATTTTCAGATAAATCATTTGATAATTATTTTATGGCTTGCTTTGGAATTGGTACTGTTTCCCCTGTGAGGGTGGCTTCATTAACCATTACATCACCTAGGATTAGTAGACAATCGCAATTCAATTGGAGATGTTCTTCAATAATGAATTAATCTCCAACCACTAACTCGCTTCCATCAATTATTTTATTATCAATTAGTTAAACATTTTATTTGATATTTGCTAATTTTTAGAGTTACATTCTAGATTTTCTCATGAGAAAATAATTAATAAAACAAGCTAAAAAAGAACAGGAAATTAAGACTATTGAAAACATGAGGAAACCTAAAATTCAAATGAAATTAATCAATACCTTCAATAATCCATAAGAGAACTGAGAAATATTATAACATATAGAATGGACTCGTTAATTCCTGACATAAGTAAGCTAATAATGGTTAAATGGGAACCTATAATCTACTATTCCCATAGATTTCATATCTTAATTAATGGTTCAAATCAGTGTTTATCAGCATTTGCAATTGTCTTTATTTAGCTTCTACTGTCGTATGTTTTAGGAAGTCAACAGGCTGAAATGAGTCATGATTCAGTTAATACTTTAAAAATCATTAAATATATGTAATGAATACCTATAGTTAAAATATGAAGTATCGTTAATCACTATCTTCTGACAAATGCTCTATTAATTATTTGAATTAGTAACAAGGTAATGAGTACAAGATGGTTCATTAATTTTGACAAATAGAAAACTTCTATAGAGTTTGCTACTCCATTTTATTAGTAATGCAAACAGGGAACAAGTGATAATTGACAGAATGATCTTATTTATGAGTGTAAATAGTACTGTAATTAAAATTCGAGATCTGCTTAGAATGACAGGAATAACTTCTATTAGAGAATGCTGTCCTTCAATTTCAGAGGATTTAACTTTAAATATCATATTAATATTATCTTAAATTCATTTGAGTATTTTTTTAACAATATCTATATATAGGAATTTTCCCTCGTTTTTAGGATCTATGAATTTCATATATTCATCAGCCTCATCTTCAGAGAACCTATAGCCCATTGTCATGAGCAATTCTTTGAAGTATTCACTCTAAATATAGCCAGTGTTTTCCAAATCTACAGACTTAAAAGCTAGAACCATTAGATCAAATATCATACCTTCAACTAGTTGTTCTTCTCTGTCTTATTCCCTTTTCTTTTTGCTAACTAGAATAAATAGAGCATCAGATCTAATTCCTTGACCTTCTGAGTCTTCGAGTTCCTTGTATAACTCACTCAATTCCTATTCTTCATAAATGTATCCAATAGATGTCAATAATTCTTGCAATTCAGTAAAACTAATTCTTTCATCACCATCTCTATCAAATAATTAAAAGTTTTCTCGATATTTCTTATCTTCTGCGTCTGAGAATAATCTATCTTCATTATCGTAACTGATACTTCTTAAAGTTGTCATCAGAGTACAAATGGCTTTTAAGTTCTTCGATTACTACTCTTGGTTCAATCTTAGGCAATCCATCATTTAAAGACACCTTCTCTTTTTGTCTTACTTGAGATAAATTAGTCTACGTTTAATTCATATTAATTAAATATAATAATATTATCACCCATTTAGAACAACATCAAGATTTTTGTATATCTTAACCTACAATAAAGATGGGCCTAAATATACTCAATATTCTTACATGTATCTTAAAAGAATGAAGTAGTAGTAACTTCTGCTTTAGGACCTACTAATTATAATCCTTTATATATCATTTAAATAATAAATGTATTTTATCGCAAAAACTCTAAAGAAATAAAACCGTCAATATAAAAATTAAAAGCAATACATTATTCAGTTTCTATATTATCTAATTCTACCTTAATATGTTTATGAGTCTTTTATATGAGAAATAAATATAAAAGATTTGAAAATATAAATTAGATGATATGTTATATAGAGGTAATAGCAAAATGTTCTCTTGAATCAGATTCGAATTATATTGATTTGTTTTCTACATCAGCCACATTGTTCATAATAATTAATGATTAATAAATGATATCCTTTATGGAGAATGTCTATAGTTACGAACAATTAATTTTGACATAGTATATCTAAAAAGCATCCAAGATCATTTTGATTTTTGTGTTCGAAATGATTTATGCACTTATTAAAGATTCACTTACTTTAAAGTAATATCTATCATCCGAATTTTATTATAATTAACATAATTAGTATAGTTATTTATTTGTTCTCGTATTAATCTTATCTAACCTGCTAGACAAAAGTTTAATTTCCTACTCTTTTAACTTCAATTAGGTATCATCATGCAAAATATCCTATTTCTATTCCATCAACATAAGGAGTTCTCTACTCTCATTCTAATAAGCAAAAACTTTAAGATTGTATAATTATTTTGAGTTATTTTTTTAAATGGTCAATTCTAATTTCTTTTGAGGTGCTTTAGATATTATCATTTTATCATATAAATATTAACCAATATTTTGACAGTCCAAACCAGTACTGCCCTAAATATTCTATTTTTATTTTGAATTTCCTTTTAGCTAAAGTTGAGTATCCTAGATTGAATATTAATGTAGGAAATCCTTAAAATCTTGATTGCATGAGATTCCAAGTCTCTACTTTGCATAATGGTTTGCATACTTTAATTCAAATTAAAATGATTTTTAATCAAATTTAAATTGGATATAAATATCTTAGATTATTTCATTTAAAACATTTCCTAATTTAATAGTGATAAGATAAATACTTATTTCTTTTTCGTTCTAGTATTAGATGAATAAAGTTCTCTTTTCATATGATTTTTTATACAGAAGAATGAATAAATAGATTGATACAACCATATAGAGTACAGCCATTCCATCGAACCTAAAGTAAAAAAGAATATAAAATAAACGAGATATAGTAATTAAAAGTAATGCAAATGCATTCCACACAAAATCGTAATGCTCCAATAACGTAATATTGATGATTATAATTCCACATCCTGACACATATGAATTATCATAGGAAGGTGTGTTTCTATCCACCAAAATCTAAATAGCAGTCATAATTAGATTATTAATCACAAATAAATTGCAAGTGTTCTTTCCTTTACGATATTTTAAAATAAATGGAATTTGTAAGATAAAAAACAGGGTGGCAATTGATTCAAATAACCCATTTATTATTTATCCTTCTTTGAGTTGGATTATGACAACTCCTAAATTAATAATAATTAAGATAGGCTGATAACATTTAAAATGAAATAGTGATTATTCCCTTGTAAACTCTTCATATTTTTTCTCCATTTAGGATGGAAACCTTAATGTAAATTTGTTCATTTTAATATAATAATAAATCCTCAGTAGATTATTTCATTTATACTTTTATTATACTCTTACATATAATAAAATTATAGGATGATGAGACTGGGTTATTTAATTACATCCGATCATCCATTATTATATCATAACATATTGTACTATAATTAAAAAACATCGTATCAATAAAGCATCTCTCTATTGTAACAACAAACCTATATAAACTTTAAACACTTTTTCCTGTTTCCTATTTTTGGTTCATTATTAATTAATTATAAAATGGTTTCAGCCTTTTCTATAGGTCAAGCAATGAGATCTGATCCAGCCATCAAATCTTTAGCACCTGGTCCAGATGGCTATTTACCAAAATTACTTCCAAAACAAAAAGCTCCCTAATGGACGTAATATATTAATATCGAATATAGGATTGGTGGGGTAGTTCAAAGAGTAGGGAGATCAACCTCTTATGGACCAGGACCAGGTCAATACTAATATAATTAAAGGTCATAGAAGGTCCTAATTATTCTATAGTCGGCAAACATGAAACCAAATAGATTTCTCTATCTCCAGGACCTGGAAATTACAATGATGAGAGTTTTAGCACAATATATAGAAAACCATCTATTTACACACTTGGAATGAAGCATTACACATCAGCAAAGGAGTTGTTGCCCAGACCTGGTTAATATGATCTCAATAGTTCATTTGTGTCCAACAATTCAATTAAGTTTCCAACTTAACAAAGATTAACATCCTTAGAAGGGGGAATGTCTCCTGGTCCTGGATGTACTATAATTATAAATTTTGAATACAATATTGATAAGGCAGTAAGTTGGCAATGGAAAAACATAACCTCCTTGGATGATTGGAACATCTTTAAGATAACAAGAATTAAAGAAATCTCAAGTAACTCCAGGTCCAGGAGCTTATTAAATGATTGCTATGCATAACCTGTCAAAAATTTCACAATGAAATAAAAATTGTAATCGAAAAATTCAAAATTTATCTGCTCCAGGACCTGGTGCTTATGATTTGGATGTTTCTACCATAAAATCTCATTATCCTACATATAAGATAGGAACTGAATAAAAAAGCACTAAGAATTCGATTGATAAGTGTTTTCCTGGTCCAGGATAATATTATAGAGAGTAAACCTTTTTCTTATCAACAGGAGAGTAGATAGTTTGAGTAATTTGCAAAATTCAGCTCCATCCGTTAAAATTCCTCAAGCTTTAAGGAAAGATCTCAATGACTCGATTACTATTACTCCAGGTCCAGGTAGTATCAAATACCAAAAATAAGAGACACTTAAATGATTACAATGAAGGGTTTTAAATACAATTCAAATAACTCTGTTCAATTTCCTGGTCCTGGATAATATAATTCGGATGATTCGATATGCAAACCAAAGGATGGATCGGTTAAGATAGTTCCTGAATAGAGATCGAAGGCAATGCTAACCAAATATATTCCAGGACCAGGTTAATACTCAATTAAATCTACTCTCGAAGAACCTGCTTGGGGATTCAAGAAAGAAATTAGATCTACACTCATCAGGAAAGATTTAATCCAGGGCCAGGATCTTATAATATTCCTCCTAAATTTAATGAAGTTCCTAAATATTTATTATAGATATGTTCATTAAATTTTATATTAATTTAAATGATTAATAAATGCCTCAAATATTTTTATATAAAGCAACACACTCTTATTTCGATTGAAGGTAACATAGGATCAGGGAAAAGTACACTTCTCAAGTTGATGTAGCAGAAATACCCTTAAGTAAGATATTCCAACATAAACTAAGATGCATTACTTACCAGAACCAGTTAATGAATGGCAACAAATAAATGGAAATCCTAAACTTAATTTGCTTGGATCTTTTTATCAGGATCCTAATCGATGGGCATACACTATGCAAAATTATGCTTTCTACAGTAGATTGAAGCATTGGAAAACTGTTATGGCTAATCTGAATCAATCAATTATTTTAAGTGAAAGGAGCATTTAAGCAGATAAAGAGATCTTTGCAAAAAATGGTTATATCAATGGATTAATGAATGAAATGGAATTTGCAATTTATGAATAATTTTATAATTGGTTGGTTTAAGAAGTTTTTGGAAAATAGATAGCTAAATAATTGATTGTCTATCTGTAAGTGAATCCTAATGTTTGTTTAGAGAGAATGCTCAAAAGATCGAGAGATGAAGAAAAAGTATTAAAAATATTCTATATTAGAATTCAATTTCCAAAGATTATTTGGTATAAATTCATCAAAGACATGAGGAATGGCTAATAAATGCAAAAGATTAGAATTAGAAAGTTCTGATTCTCAATGGTGATAAAGAATTTGAAGGTGATCTCAAATAACAGCAAATAATGTTTGAATAAATAAATCAATTCTTTTCTGGATTAGTCTGATTAAATTTATAAATATCGTAATCAATGTAGCTACATCATTTTTTGAAATTAATTATTATTTGTTAATTCAATTTTTTATATATAAATCATTAGATGTATATCTAGATTAACTAAACAATATATTGATGCTTTTATAGAAATTAATTTAATTAAATATATATTAGGTTTAATTAATTTTTATTGTTAATTTAAAATGGCCACTAACAATCTTCCAACCTTTTACCCAGGATAATAGTCAATGGCAAATGTTTAACCTTCCCTATACTAACAACAAGGAGGTTTAGAATTTTGTATATTAGAGTAGCACCTATCTATTAAAGTAATCAAGGCCTCCCATAAGTCTTAGGATCGTCTTCTGGCATTTAGTAAAATCAATAAATACCTTATGGAAATTGTATCAAATGTTGTTCATATTAGAATACGGAATAAATGTGCCCAACTAAGGTGTCCCATCATATTAGACTCCTCAAAGAATCGTTTCTTAAAGAGTTATGTAATAATCCCCTTAGGTAGTTACATCTCCTATAATTTAATAATAAGTTCCTATTATTCAATAATAAACTCAAAATATTTAATCATCAGTGCAACAACCATCAGTTGGTAACAGAATAAGAATAACATTAATAGTCCATAATGTTGAACATGTACCAGTCATTCATGAATTACATCACGTGAATAGACCAATAAATGTTGTTTCAGTAGATGAGATTGAAGGTCCTTGGAGGAGTAAAGTATTGTTGTTGGAGAAATAATTAATTGAATTATAATTGATGTTAAAGAAGGGTCCCGTGAAATAGGTTCAATCTAAATAAGTAGTCGTAGAAGATGAGGGGAAGGTATGCTAAATCAAATACTATCAACTAAATAGATAAGATAATTGCAAAGTGAAATCGAGAGACTCCAAGCCATTTTAAGGGAGAATCAAAAAGAGATTGATGAATTGCAATAACAAATAAATGATGCAACATTTAATCTAGAAAATGCTGAAGAATAGGCATCTTCTCAAGTGGAAGCATAATAAGAAGAATTAGCTAAGTGGAAGAAGAAGTTCTCAGATTTGAATAAGAAGTTCCATGATATCGAAGAAGATATAACAATGACTGAGGCCTAAATAGAGAGTATTCAGAAACGAAAAATGGTCACTCAAACTACATCTACTGTTAAGACTACTGCCAAAACTTCAGGAGTATAGCTTTATAATTTATATTTAGGGCACATATGGGGATGGAGATGTCAGAAAGAGTGGTTTTAGCAATAGGAATTATTGATTGATTCAAAAATTATAAACATTTATGCTAAATACAAATTCAAATTAATTTGTTCATTCCAAATTAATATACGCATGTGCCATATCTCCTAAAAGTACCATAGATAATTAGAGAATTATTTTGGGGACTATTGGCTCAGGAGGATAATAAATTATATGTAACCTATCAATTACTCTATAAGATAGAATTGCAATCTGCCCAAGAAGGTTATTAAATTAAAACCTATCATTTGCGTAATGCATTCAGTGCTAAATTATTATTTCTCAATCAAAATGAAGGAAATGAAAGGTTTATCTCTGCAGGTGAAAAACTTTAAATATTTAAATCAGAAGACTAAAAAATCAGTCATATTTGTGACTTAATCCCTTTAAGCAAGGAGTATGTCGGTCCTACATTCGCTATAGATATTCATTATGAATAGCAAAATAGATTAAGTATTGATTCGCCATATCTCGCTTATAGTTTCTGGTTCTCTTGATCCAACAATAAGAATTTGGGATCTTGAAAAGAAAAAGTGTTAATATCAATTTATTGTATATGACATCTCCAAAGAACCAGATTAATACACATTGGATTTAAATATAGGTCGTGATACTAATATCTTAGCATTTCTAAATAATTATAACTAAATTGGAATCTATGATATCAGAACTAAAGTGGGTATACACAAAATCAAAGGCAAATTGCAGTATAATCAGGTGATCTGGAATAAAAAATAAGATAATAATTTGATTGCCATAGATTACGAGGTTGGTCTTATTGATTTTTATGATACAAGAGATTTAAAAAATAAATATAAAAGGATCAGAACAGACCATAGATAAATTGTTAAAGCTGAATGGTTTCAAGATAAAAGTAATTAAGCAATTCTAATAATTAGTTCTTTGATTACTGCAGGATTAGATAGATAAATTATTCTTTACGAAGGTGGTAAATATCTGGAACCTTGCTTTGGATTAACTAAGAATTATAATATAGACAATTTCTGTTGTCAAAATAATCTATTTGGAGTTGTCTCTGAATATTCTTTCGAAATTTTTAGTTTTGAAACTTAATGAATTTTTATAAAAAATTTATTTATGATAAAAAAAAATTCATTCTTAATTGCCACCACGATCGATTCTAATTCAGCAATATCATTAAATAAATATTCGATCATTTATATTTAAACAATATAAACTAAACCTTATACTTGATAAATTAAAGATTAGGTGAATTAAATACTTTAAATGAAATCTTAAGATTAAACACGCACTTCATTAATATCTAAGAGGAGACATGGATGAAATTAAAAGAAATAGAATGAATGAACTACAACCTAAAATGGATATCTATAAATAAGTATAGGCAAGTGTATCTGTTATTGAAGATGCCAAATAATTTATTAGTATTGATGATTTCTCAGATGAAATATCAATGTTAAATGAAGAAATTTAAGTATACATATTAGACATCAAATAATTAAGGCTCATATTGAATATTTAAAGAAATATTAAGAAGATGCTCTATCATAAAAAATTGAATAAAACGAATATGATCACGTAAGATAACCTAATGGTGTGGTGAGAGCAGGTTTTGGAAATAGTGAAGGTTCATTAATTGCTGAACATATAATTGGAATGATCTAAGATTATGCTAGGGAATTGCAAATTAATTTAAAATTAAATATATTGAATAAACTATAAAATCAATTCAAAAGACCCTAGATAGGTAAGGGCTGTAAATCAGGTATTCTATAAATCAGCGGAGATCATATATATTAGCAATTAAAGTGTGAATCTGGAGTACACAATGCAATAAGAGTTCCAGAAACAGAAACAAAGGGAAGATTACATTCAAGCACCGCCTCTATGATTTTACTTCTAAAAGTAACTGATAATTTTCATTTAAGTGACAAAGATTTGATTTATGAATTTATGAGAGCCAGTCGACCAGGCGGTCAAAATGTTAATAAAACAGAAAGTGCTTGTGAACTACTCATAGTCCGGCTGGAATTCAAGTTGTAAATATGTAAGACAGAAGTGTAAGAGAAATAGGAAAGGATGGCTCGCATTAGGAAAAGTTAATTTGCTGGATCTGTTAGAAGTGATAAAAATCAGAACCTACAATTTTCCTTAGGACAAATTGCTGATCATAGAACTAACTTACAATGTATGGTATGGAAAAATGCCATCTGGAGAACTAATAAGCGAATTCATTTTAAAATATTATGAGAATATTCTTAATCCAAAATTACAGGATTTATTAGATGAATTATAAAATGAAAATATGAATGATGATTAGATGTTGATGTTTATAATTTTTACTATCATTCATTAAATCTTTCTTAGAAGTGTCTATTTCTTTTAATTCTATCTTGATAGGCATTAGAATCATTTTAATTATATATTTCTTTCCTTATTTTATTTAAAAATTATCCTCCTCCTACTCCTTATTATTATTATCTAGGTTCCTCTTCAATTTATTTTAATTATTGTTGAAGTCTTTGTTATCCGTCAGCTGCCATTTAATTACGTAATTCCTCTTAAGATTATTAAGGATTTAAGTTTTTTCTATATTTTTTTTTCATTAGACTGAAATCTGCTTTAACATTCCCATGTTGATCAGTGACTGCAATATTTCCCAATCTTTCTTTTAAATATTATTGATAAATTTAAGATTTTGAAGAGCCTGTTGAAATGGCTGTAGAAATCTCTTATTCCTTAGAACTTGAGGATGAAGAGCTAGAACTACTGCTTCTATTATGTTTCTTACTTTTTTTTGATGCCTTTCTATCCTTCTTATCCTTCTTTTTTTTACTTTTATCTTTTTTCACTTTGTGTGATTTTCCTTTCTTTATTTTTTTATTTGCTTCTATCTTCTCTTATAATTATTTTACTTTTAAAGGATTCTGCAATAAGACTTATTTTATTGATTATTCCTAAAATTACAATTATCAAACATACTCCCTTCATAATTTGGAACATGGGGTCCTCATGAACAAGTACAAAATCTTCGCATTTTGCATTTGTAGTTTCCTCTTTGAAGACTGTTTGATATTATTACGTTTGTTTAGCCTTTTCTCTTTAATCAGCTAATTTCTCCACTTCTTAAGATGTAGCAGTCTTTCCAAGAAGATATCTAAGAATTTAAATATTTAATACTCTTCTGCTGAATTTTAATTTTATTTCTCAAGTTTGCTTACATCATACATCCATTCCATTCTATCCAAATGACTTTTTGGAATTAAACCTGCTTCAACTTAAATTCTTTTTAATTCTTCAATATTTTTTTCTTCTGCCAATTTTTTTGCCCTTTCTTGCTCCCTCTTAATTATATCAGCTTGGATTTGTTCTCTAATCCAAACAATTTCTTAATTCTTCAAAGAACCTGGATGCCAATTTTTCTTTTATAAATAATTCAAACCCATTAAATATATATATATAATAATTTTTTATTTATTTTATGCTCATTTCGATAATCTATATATATATAAGTATCAATAGTGTGTTTGTATTTANTGGAAAAATGCCATCTGGAGAACTAATAAGCGAATTCATTTTAAAATATTATGAGAATATTCTTAATCCAAAATTACAGGATTTATTAGATGAATTATAAAATGAAAATATGAATGATGATTAGATGTTGATGTTTATAATTTTTACTATCATTCATTAAATCTTTCTTAGAAGTGTCTATTTCTTTTAATTCTATCTTGATAGGCATTAGAATCATTTTAATTATATATTTCTTTCCTTATTTTATTTAAAAATTATCCTCCTCCTACTCCTTATTATTATTATCTAGGTTCCTCTTCAATTTATTTTAATTATTGTTGAAGTCTTTGTTATCCGTCAGCTGCCATTTAATTACGTAATTCCTCTTAAGATTATTAAGGATTTAAGTTTTTTCTATATTTTTTTTTCATTAGACTGAAATCTGCTTTAACATTCCCATGTTGATCAGTGACTGCAATATTTCCCAATCTTTCTTTTAAATATTATTGATAAATTTAAGATTTTGAAGAGCCTGTTGAAATGGCTGTAGAAATCTCTTATTCCTTAGAACTTGAGGATGAAGAGCTAGAACTACTGCTTCTATTATGTTTCTTACTTTTTTTTGATGCCTTTCTATCCTTCTTATCCTTCTTTTTTTTACTTTTATCTTTTTTCACTTTGTGTGATTTTCCTTTCTTTATTTTTTTATTTGCTTCTATCTTCTCTTATAATTATTTTACTTTTAAAGGATTCTGCAATAAGACTTATTTTATTGATTATTCCTAAAATTACAATTATCAAACATACTCCCTTCATAATTTGGAACATGGGGTCCTCATGAACAAGTACAAAATCTTCGCATTTTGCATTTGTAGTTTCCTCTTTGAAGACTGTTTGATATTATTACGTTTGTTTAGCCTTTTCTCTTTAATCAGCTAATTTCTCCACTTCTTAAGATGTAGCAGTCTTTCCAAGAAGATATCTAAGAATTTAAATATTTAATACTCTTCTGCTGAATTTTAATTTTATTTCTCAAGTTTGCTTACATCATACATCCATTCCATTCTATCCAAATGACTTTTTGGAATTAAACCTGCTTCAACTTAAATTCTTTTTAATTCTTCAATATTTTTTTCTTCTGCCAATTTTTTTGCCCTTTCTTGCTCCCTCTTAATTATATCAGCTTGGATTTGTTCTCTAATCCAAACAATTTCTTAATTCTTCAAAGAACCTGGATGCCAATTTTTCTTTTATAAATAATTCAAACCCATTAAATATATATATATAATAATTTTTTATTTATTTTATGCTCATTTCGATAATCTATATATATATAAGTATCAATAGTGTGTTTGTATTTATAATTTAAATTTTGAATAATTCTACTTCAAAAAATGAAAAAAAAAGAAACCAAATTCAAAAAAACTTAAGTAAACAAGAGAACATTCCCTAATTTTTTGAAAATGATTGACGAAAGAAATGTAAGAAATCAAATATTGTTAGTTTGATTTGTTTATATCTTCATATAGCGATATTCACCCAGAAAATATTTTTCATTGCGGATTCATTTATACACATAAACAAAATGAAAAGTTATCAATAAATGAAGATGCTGCCTTTTTATTGGATAATAAAATTTGGTTTGCAAGAATTGAAGAAATAGTGAAAATTGTAATAAATGGTGAAGATGCAGGATTTATTAAGGGTCGTATCTATTTATAAAAGCCAGATTTAATTGGTCTGCATGAGAAAATAAAGGAATGTACAGAAGATGATTTATTTCTAACCGAACAAACAAAATGGTTCTTTTGTAAAGAATTAAGAAAAAAAATAATGGTGTATAATCTTAATGATATAATTCAAAACAATATTGACACAAAACCTGGATCGTTTTATACTCGTTCCGAGTTTAATGTTGAATCCTAAAAATTTCTAACACCAGTGGAAGAGTGGGCGACTGAATGTATTTGCTAAAAATTATTTGATAATTCTTTGGGCTATTTATAATGTGACAGGTGTTAGAGATGGATACATTATGATTGCAGCGGATTGCCAAAAGAAATACTTGAAAATTTGGATGATCATAATTTCAATTGTTTGATATGTATAGGTGAAATGAAAGTAGAAAAAATTAAGATAAAATAAAATGAGTAATAAAAAGTAGTTGAACAATCCAAATATGTTGATAATAGGTAAAATTAAATTATTGACGAGAAGATAAAAATTGAAAAGTAAGATAGAAAACCACTTAAAAGTAAATAAGTATTAACTTAAAGCATGAATCACAATAAGCTATTTATAAATGAAAAAAATTCAAAGAAACCTATTCAAAAGATTAAAAGTAAATGAGCAAATATAATAAATATAACTAATTCAATTTTAGATGTATTAAAAGTTTGGAGTGACTACTTAAGTGAGCTATCTTTATTCCTTTCTCTTGATTACTTTTGTTCTTGTATAATCATTTTCATCATCAAAATAAACTTTTTTAGAAGGGAAATATTATTTAAATAGCTATTTATCAATTTTAGCCAAATTCATTGCAATCGATATCACAATTTCATTCTCTAAATTTTCTCTTTATCTTGGGAATGTTCCTGTCCTCATCTTATATAATGTTAAAAATTATTATAGATGATTCATATTCTCAAATTTAGTTTACGGTATTGTTCCATAAAAGTAAAATGGATCATTGAAAACACTAAATATCTCATCTTCCTCTTCCTCTTTTAAAGGGATTAGTGCAAATGATTTGATCTATATTTTTTTATTTTGAAAAGGTGAAGAATCAGGAGATGAAAAATTAGACAAAGTTTTCCATGATTCTTGATTATATTAAGTTTATTATGGAATTTACACCTAGCCTGGTCTCCTTTTTCGAAAAGCAAGCACTATCTATGGAATTTCTCTCTAATTATAAGAGACACTTCCATAGAGTTATATATCCAAGCTTTTTTAAGTTTAATCAAGATCGTATGAAGTAATTGATAAACCAGGAGATACAACTTAATATGAATTAGTTGGCTTTGTATCAAAATCATCAAATTGCAAATCTACATCATTTGAAGAGAACATTTTCTCATAGCTTAATTTATCTGTGTCAATGTCTTTATTTGATTATGTCTGGGGACTTTAACCAATTGAATGACAGAAAATAATGTTAGTATCAGATTAAGTTTTGTGACCTGAATATGGGAATTTTGTAATTTTAGCATCACTAATTTTTTAATTTATCATAATCAATATACATAATGAAATAATTCAACTTTAAAATAATTTCTGACTCTCTCAGTTATGGCAGTACTTTAAAGTAAAAGTACATAAATATTGCGAGACAAATTGTATCATGTTTCATATTCTGTAGTCTAATAAATTTTGTACAAGCACATAAGAATTTGCATAATTGCTGTTATAATAATTCTATTAGTTATTATTGTATCCCTTCAAAAGCCACCTTTTTTTTAATTTGATTTCTATAAAAGTGAGGTGATTATTCATTCTAATGAGATTAAATTACAATTTCTAACTCCCTCATTTTTTCTTATTTTACAGAAAAAAATTAACTCATTTCAATATAAAAATATATCAAAAGATTGAATGTTTAATGTATCGTTATTGAGAATTTGCTGTTTTCTTATGATTAAGTGAGATAAAATATAGGCATTCATAGATAGTTTGATAATTATTAAGTTGTATATTCTGACTTTAATACTTATTGTGTAGCTTATCAGATTGTTTTATAATGTAATTAATTTTTTTGTACAAATTTTTAAGATGACTAATTTTTGTGGTATTTTGATTATTCTCAAAAAGAATTAATCTTTCTTATTTTTTAACACTTCTAGGAAATAAATATGAAAAACTACTAATTTCTTGATATCAAACTTAATAAAACTTCGAGCTTAAGAAAATTTAACAAATTTGAATACAATTTGATTTCCGTAGCTCTTAAATTTTATTTTCAAATTTTAAACCTTGCTTCTTAGCTCTAGAACGTAAATCAAATATTAAAGTTTCTGCATGATTACTCTTAATTCTCTAAATTTTCAAAATAATGTATTATAAATTTATTAATTATCATCTACTTTTTATTTATGTAATTAGGATTAGATCATTTCCAAAACGATATCAATAGTATATATATTTTAAATATATTGAATTTTCGAGGCTAAATTAAATACTTATAATTTTCATTAATAATTTAGGATTTCTTATTTTAAATTGAACAAGATTACCACTTTTGCTCATTTAAGTATTTCAGATTAACTAATACTATTAAATCATATTAGTCAACTGATTTGCATCTAAATTAAAATAAAGTACGTATTCACAAACCTATGAGAATTAGAGGACTTATAAGGATTTGATTGAAAGATCTCACGTAAACTTTATATATTCCAATAAGAACATAATATGAATTTAAAATAAAATAAAAAGGAAATAAAGATTAATATATTTGAATTCAATAGGATTGAATAAAAAGAAAGTAGTCATTTTCATTGTAGAATTAAACCAAAAGATTTGAGATGATAATTTACTTTTTTATGTTATGTTTTGAAAAGTAAAAATATTTCTATAAACAATTAGATCCATTATTTCAAATGAAAGTATTTATTTGAATTTTTTTAAACATATTATTTTTGCAAATATGTATGTATGAGTGAATATTTATATTTTTATTTTTTACTAATTTCTCTTCGTTACAAACAACTGATTAAAACTGAATTATATAAATCCTTTTCTTACGATTCGGGAGGTTAAGGTAACCCTTGTGTAATATATTGATTTCATTATGAGAAATATTTAAATCTAAATTGATTTTAAGAAATGTTAAAAATATATTAAATGTGAATTATAAATTTTCAGATAAATAATTTCTGTTACAAAGGCTAAATAATAAATACTTTTGAATAATTTGTTAAATTAATCATTTTCAAAAATATTTAATTAAGATAGGCATTATTTCATTCATTAATAATATAAAATGAAGTTTGAATATTTAAATATTTTTACAATATTTTCAATTAGTATGTCTTATTGGTAATTTTTTAGGTTGATGTACTCAGTAATAACTTTTCTTATCTTGATAATATTTTTCCTCTTTAAAAGCTATAGACAATTGTATATTAGTATAAGAGTTGAAAAAAAATCTTATATAAAGAGAAGAACGCCACATCTTCCCCATTAATGCAAATATATTATGGAATAAATAAGTTAATTTAAAATAGTAATAGCATAATCTAATTTAAATTGTTGTCAACAAAATATTTTTACAGATGATCAATACTTAGAAGTTGGATGCATAGTTTAGGAAGATTTATCAATTTTGCACAGCAAATCATTTGTATTATAGAAATCCAGCTAATAAAGTATTTAAAATTATATATGAGATAAGGGTTTTGAAATAACTTCTTCCCTTGGAGAAGTTCCTAAATCTAACTACAAGCAACAAATTTTAAAAATTAATTTTAACAAAAGATGATTTTAATATATTTATGTTTGAATATGATATCATTCTTCAACATATTATAGAATGAAATTTCTTGTTTCATAATAAAATTTGTTATTCTCTGAAAATAAAGTCTTGCTTATGATTTGAAAAATGAAATATATAAAATTTCATATGATTGAAGAATATTTAATTAAATAAGAATTTCAAAACAAAATCAGTAATTTCCATATATATAATCTAAAAATAACAAATTCTGCTTCATCAATAATAACTTATTTTAATTAAAAATAATTTATAGATTAACCAAATTTTTTTAAGATAAAAATATTTCATTAATTTATCATTCTCCCACCTTTCTATTCTAGGCTTAGAGTAACAATTTTTTCTTCTCTTCTTAAATTATATTAGTATGATAGATTCTAAGTAAACTTTTAATTGCTAATATATCCTCAAAGAATTTAGGAGATTCCACATTTGTTCTATCATCACAAAAAAAGTGTCTTATCTTATTTAAATTCTATAAATCCTTTTCATAGATAGTTTACATTTAAAAAATAAATTCTGTGTATTCAACAGAATATTAGGTAGCCTTTTTGATAAAATCTAAATTATTTTCATCAAAGCTCAGAGCTTGCAAATTTACTTTAAGAAAATCAAGATGATCAGAATATAATTGTATAATTTTTTTAACTTCTGACAAAGCATTATTTTATTTAGATAACTATGGAAGATACTTGAATGGAGTGTCCTTTAAATCCTTAAATGGAATACCTTATTTGGCCATAAGATCTACTATGTACTTAGTCAATTCTATCTACTCGCCTTTTAATTATTGGGTTTTATATGTAAATTTGATAACATTTTCAAATTTTAAACCGAATTATTCGGCTTGAAAATTATTAAACACCTTCCCGAACTGTTGAATATATTTGAAATAAAGAATTAGTTCCACATCCTTGCTAAGTTCTTCAAATATCTCACTAAATTAGGTTACTATATCCATAATGTGGATTTTATGATCTAAATGTTCATCATAAAAGGCCTCAATTTAGATGCCTTTTCTTGGATTTTTATCATATAAATATTTGAGAAAACTATCATTAAGTGGAATTTAGTATTTTTCTTAATTCTCAAGTCTTTTATATTGAAGGAATTTTTATTTTAAAAAGAGAAAACTTTCAAATTGAGAGAAAATTGTATTTTTCTCATCTTCTTTATCTACTATGCTCAACGCATTTCTTAATTTTTCTAATTTAGGTTCAAATTCTGAAAGATCATTTTCTGTCAGAATCGCTTCTAAATCTTTCTGTAAATAATTTAAATGCACATCTAGTGAGAAAAGTTCTTTCTCTCTTTCTTCTTTTTATAGCTTTTTTAACCTTTCCCTCTCCTGTTTTTATTGTTAGTCTTCTTCTTCGGATTTTCTTTTTCTATATTCATTATTATCTTATTTGAACTTTTTTATGTTTTATTCGATTTTCTTGACATTATCATCAGAAATAAATTGAATAGAAGAATTGAGAAGCTAAATATATGCTCTCATATTCTTATCTTAATTTTTCTCTAGAAATTCAAGTTTATTTACTTAATCCAAAATTTCATCCAAATTAGTTTTCTCAAACCGTTTCCTTTTTAATTCTATTTCGGTTTGATTCTTGAAAACCGAATTTCCATATTCCACTTCATTTTTTAGAATAAAAATTTTATCTGGAACCATTTTTGTTTGGTTTTATTCTTTCTTTTCAAAATATCTTAAAATATCTTAATCTATACTAGTCTCATAATCTATCATATTAGCCTTCCAGATTGTTCCATCTAATTAATTTTAAAGAACAGGATAATTAAATTTAACATATATGGAGTTAGGAATATGAGTGGACTTAACTTTAGGAAGAGGTAATGGTGGGGGAAGGTTTACTCTCGTTTAACTCTAAATTTGAAGATTAGGTTATGATTAAGCTAATTTAAAAGTTTGGTTGAGTATTTAGTATCGTTTTTTTGATACTGAGGTTTAAATTTCTTCTTCTGCATTTAGATTAGAGGAGAATACATCTGAAAGCTGAAAAGTACTTGACTTTTATAATTGAATCTATAATTCATTTTAAGTGAAAATTTCTGGAAACTAATCTTCCCATTAACTCTTAAATATATTCATCTTGACTTCATATTATTCTTTTGTATATAAATATACCTATTTTGTCTTTCTAAGTTGAAAGTTTGGGTTTTCTTATTCTAATAAAGTGTATTAAATATAATCTTCTTCCCATTTTATTTATGAAGTAATGTTGCTGGTTAATTTCAATTTCCTTACTTATTCATCTTAAAATCCTGAAAATTTTTAAAGGACTTTGTCAATTAATTCAATGACGATTAATTAATTAATTGCTGATTTATCACATTCTAACATCATATTTTAGAGAAGAGGAACATATGTTGAAAGGTCCAGAGTTTCAATCCTTTTTTAAATATATAAGGATAAACCATACAATATTTCAGTGTTATCACAAACAATTTAATTTAAATTAATTTAAGAAATCTCTTTTTTCTATTCCAAACCTATATTTAGAAGTATGATCTTTTTAAGAATTTAATCTTTTGGATCAAATACAATATTGAGCTCTTCTCTATCTTTGTAAGAAGACATTTCGTATATCCATCTTAAGGCATAAGTTAGCTCAATAAATTCTGTTGATTAAATCCACTATTGGGCATTTTCTTTATTAAATGTCAATTCATTTCCCATTACTCTATGGTATTCTAGTGATGCTTAATGTAAAAGCGGAAGATTGGTATAATATTCCAAATCAAGGTCAACTTCTCTAAGAAAAGTTTTTATTTTGTTTTAGTCGATTTCTTTGACATTTTTTAATGACGATATTTTCAATTACACCCTATATTTCTTAGAGATTATTTCTCCTTTGATTACATATCCTATCATTCTTTGAAAAATTAATTTAATGAAAATATTTAAAAAATTTCTTTTTCTATCAGCTCATTATTCTATTACANCGTTTCCTTTTTAATTCTATTTCGGTTTGATTCTTGAAAACCGAATTTCCATATTCCACTTCATTTTTTAGAATAAAAATTTTATCTGGAACCATTTTTGTTTGGTTTTATTCTTTCTTTTCAAAATATCTTAAAATATCTTAATCTATACTAGTCTCATAATCTATCATATTAGCCTTCCAGATTGTTCCATCTAATTAATTTTAAAGAACAGGATAATTAAATTTAACATATATGGAGTTAGGAATATGAGTGGACTTAACTTTAGGAAGAGGTAATGGTGGGGGAAGGTTTACTCTCGTTTAACTCTAAATTTGAAGATTAGGTTATGATTAAGCTAATTTAAAAGTTTGGTTGAGTATTTAGTATCGTTTTTTTGATACTGAGGTTTAAATTTCTTCTTCTGCATTTAGATTAGAGGAGAATACATCTGAAAGCTGAAAAGTACTTGACTTTTATAATTGAATCTATAATTCATTTTAAGTGAAAATTTCTGGAAACTAATCTTCCCATTAACTCTTAAATATATTCATCTTGACTTCATATTATTCTTTTGTATATAAATATACCTATTTTGTCTTTCTAAGTTGAAAGTTTGGGTTTTCTTATTCTAATAAAGTGTATTAAATATAATCTTCTTCCCATTTTATTTATGAAGTAATGTTGCTGGTTAATTTCAATTTCCTTACTTATTCATCTTAAAATCCTGAAAATTTTTAAAGGACTTTGTCAATTAATTCAATGACGATTAATTAATTAATTGCTGATTTATCACATTCTAACATCATATTTTAGAGAAGAGGAACATATGTTGAAAGGTCCAGAGTTTCAATCCTTTTTTAAATATATAAGGATAAACCATACAATATTTCAGTGTTATCACAAACAATTTAATTTAAATTAATTTAAGAAATCTCTTTTTTCTATTCCAAACCTATATTTAGAAGTATGATCTTTTTAAGAATTTAATCTTTTGGATCAAATACAATATTGAGCTCTTCTCTATCTTTGTAAGAAGACATTTCGTATATCCATCTTAAGGCATAAGTTAGCTCAATAAATTCTGTTGATTAAATCCACTATTGGGCATTTTCTTTATTAAATGTCAATTCATTTCCCATTACTCTATGGTATTCTAGTGATGCTTAATGTAAAAGCGGAAGATTGGTATAATATTCCAAATCAAGGTCAACTTCTCTAAGAAAAGTTTTTATTTTGTTTTAGTCGATTTCTTTGACATTTTTTAATGACGATATTTTCAATTACACCCTATATTTCTTAGAGATTATTTCTCCTTTGATTACATATCCTATCATTCTTTGAAAAATTAATTTAATGAAAATATTTAAAAAATTTCTTTTTCTATCAGCTCATTATTCTATTACATCAAAAAATCATTGTTTTTTTTAATTTGATATCTGAATGATCATTTATAAACAATATTTCCTATTCTAAATAAATAATTTGACTAAAATGATTTATTTATAAAGATGCAACTGAACACTCACTTTTAAACAATTCTGTAAGATGTAACAGAGTCCTCACAATAAGATTTTACCTCTTTAATTATGTAATTGTCATTGAACAATTTATTTAAAAGTATATAGTAGAATATAATCTCAGGCTTAAATACTGCTAATGTAAATTTGTGGTGAAAGTATTTCTGTTAGGATTTGATGCGGTCTTTGGTAAAATAATGGCTAATAACCATAAATTTTATGTGAATTTCATTGAGCAAGCACATTACATGCATTTCTCACTAGATTATATGTTTTGAAATTATATCCTTAGATATGCAATTTTTTATTTTGGAAGAGTCGTTTGACAACTAAATTTCTTCTATTAGAATTCTTTGCTCCAAACAAAAATGTATTCCCTCTATGAAATGGCTTTGGGATGTGTATACCCAATTAACTGAAGAGCCAAATTTACCTAATCTTGTACTATTTAATATAATTTACGAAATACAATATATTCAGCATCAGTATAATTTTATAGATTTTCCAATTTCCTTTTAAATTTCAATTGATTTTATTGTTGATATTGAAATGGTAGAATAAAGCAAATCCATTTTTATAGAAACAAATAATTCTGCAAGAAATTGAGCGTACGAACAATTTTTGAAAAGCAATTTTGTCCTTAAATTGTAACTTAAAGTTGATGCATTTTTATGATATTATGAGATATTATAATTATGAGAAATTATCGTTCAATTTCTCAATTTCTTTATTTAAAAATTATCCTCAGAGTATTTATAATGAATTTTGTTGCAATCCATGAATCTTAATGAAATTTGAATTATAATTGAAAGCAATTCTTGTATTTGGTTATGTATGTTTGAAATTAAAATAGACTATGCATTTTTGAATAAATAATGAGGTTTTGATAGCTAAATCAGAAATTTAGAATATTAAATAAAAAACCATATATTTTTTAAAATAAATAGAGAACAGCTCAATTTTGAATGCTTAGAATGTAAAACTTGAATTTGGAGTATAAAAATAAATAACTTTGAGATATTATTCTACTTATTTGTAATTTTATTAAATAAATGTAGATGCTGATTTGAAAGAACTCAACTTAGATTTTCTCAAAGCTCACCATTAAATGCTATAGGATATCTTTTTATTCCGTTTAAGAATTTTCAATATATTTTATGTGAAGCATTCATAAATGAATATTTAATTATTTATTAAATTTTTTATTAAATATGGATCAAATAAAATGCCCAATTTAAAATCATGAAAATCTAGTTGAAAGATTCTGCTATTTTTAAAATTGTGCTGAGCCCACAAGACTTATGTGTGAAACTTGTTTAAAAGAATAAAGACATATTGCTACTCATAGTGATTGGGAAAAAATAAATGAAATATTGTAATTTATAGAAGAAATATAAAATAATTGTGAACTAGATATTATTGAAAAACTAAGTGAATAGTTCAATGTGCTTTAATCAAAATTTTTTGAACTTAAACGTGGATTGGAATTAAAATATTTAGTACCCAAAGCCAAAATTGAAAAATTTAATGGTGTCCAAATAGACTAATACTTATCCGATTTAGTACAATTACCAGATCTTATTCGATAATTAAGCTTTTTACTAATTAATTTCGAAACGCTCAAAAATAATATAGTTGAATTTTAATAAGAAAATAATATCATTTGCATCAAAGAAGTCTATGAGAATGAATAATTATCTGTTTACTACTATGAATAAGGTTTTTACAATTTTTATGATATTAGGTTATAAATTATATGAAATGGATCAATTTTAGTAAGCAATAGAAACTATAGAGAAATCTCTTAAATATAATGAGAAGAATATTGATTCTCTATGGTGTAAATGTAATTGCCACTTTTCATTAATTAGCTACTTGTTTAAGTTTATTGGGCGATTAAAGCGAGGCTATCAGATGGATTGACAAAGCCTTAGTTATAGATAATAACCATCTGGATTCATTATTTCGAAAGTGTATGATATATTAATGAGAAATTAGCTGAATGTTTAAATTAATAAGGAAATCATTAAGAAGCACTGAAAATTATTGAAAAAGCTATATCTATAGAGCCTGATTGTATTGATTCGTGGTCCAAAAAAGGTACCTCTATTTTTAAATAAAAGCTGAATGTCTAAGTTTATTAGGCTAACAAATGGAAGCTCTGTCAATATTAGACAACATTTAGAAGGAATGTCCTTAAAATATAGAGTTTATGTGGAGAAAGGGTGAGTTTATGTCTTAAATCAATTAGCTGAGTGTTTAAGTCTGATAGGCAGGCATTAAGAAGCCATAAATTTGGCCGATGACATTTTAAATATAAACCAAAATCATGTTAACTCTCTATGCAGAAAAGGTTTTCGTAACTCTAAATTTTAGCCTAATGCTTAAGTTTACTCGGGTATTAAGAACTAGCTATGGAATAGATAAATAAAGGATTGCTAATTGATAAAAATCATGTAAATTTATTAAGGGTTGGAGGTATTATTTCTGGTTCTTACGTAGCTAAATGCTTGAGCCTGTTAGGAAAGAAAAATGAAGCAATTGATATGATTAAAAGAATATGCCCATAAGATTTGCAAACATTAATAATAGAGTGTATGATTAAAATTAATACATAATAGCAGAATGCTTATTTAATTTGGGAAATGTGGAAGAAAGCTTAAAAGTGATAAATTAAGCAATCCTTTTAAAGAGTAATAATGTTGATTTGATTTTGAAAAAGGGTAAAATATGTGTAAAATATAGTGGAACTGTTAATGGCATAAAAAGACTATTCAAAAGCTTTAGTTGAAATATATGAAGTTTTAGAAAAGAATTAAAATAATGTAGATTTATTGTGGATGTAGGGTAAGTGTTTCTATTGATTAGGTGAGTGTTTATATAGGACTAATAAGGAATATTAAGCCAGTAAAGTTATAGAATAAGCTTTGAATTTAGATCAAAATCGTACAAAATCATTATTACCCAAAGGTGATCGTAATATAAAATTTTAGGAAATTGTTTATTTTTGATCAAAAACTATGATAAGGCACTTAAATGTTATAAATAACTACTAGAAGAAAATCCTGGTCATTTAGAAGCTCTAGATAAACAATAAAAATGTTTAAACCATTTATCGAATAAATGATATTTTTATCTTTATATTCAATAATTTTGTAAAAAAATTAAATTGCTTCTTCAGTTATTTTAAAAATAAATTTTGCCCTTCTATTCTTTTTATGAAGTATTCAGAGCAAAGATCAAATGATAGAATTATTAAATATTAATTTCGCTTTGTTTTTTTGACACATCTTTTGTGGTTTGGGGTTTTATGGAGGTATGAGGAATTCGTTTATTGCAGACATAAAAATATTTATGGTTGATATCTTTCAACCCTAACATTTAGTAAAAAATATGTCTGACTAATTTTTAGGGATGTAAAATATAAATGAAAAATAGAATATAGTTAAATTGATAATAATCATTAAATTTAGATTTGTGAATCGAAGTTAGTTGATCAATGACCATTGAACTTAATCCTTCATTAAATGCATATTCAAACTTATTTGTGAGGCTTCTAATTAACATCCATCATCTTAAGCTTCTTATGAATCGGAGTTAGTTTTCCTTGTATTGGATCTGAATAAACTAAATGAGGATATCTCCTAATGCCTTAGCAAATTCCATTCTTGCTACATCAGGTATTTAAGAAGGCAAGAAATCATAGGCATGATATCATTTTAATCTATTAAGACAACGAATTATAATATTACTAACGAAAAAATATTTAAGTTTTTATTTATTTCATTCTCAGAGATTCGATGTTAGATTAATGAATTTTAATCTTGAATTATTAATCTTATTTATATAATAAGTATAGAATAATTCTTAATTATTAATGTAAATTTATATGATAATCTAACCCAGTTTCTTAAACTAATACTCTTATTATTATTAGGGTTATATTTTTTTTTAAATTAGAATAACTTTGTTTTCAATAATATTTATTTCTTATTTCATTTATTTTCATCTCAATGTAGAAAATTATTCAAATTATTAATAAGTGCTTTTGTTACATTATTTTTATCACCCATTTCTGTGAATTATTTTGTTTTGAATGATTGATAAAAATAAATCTTCTGTAATTTTAAAGAATAGGAATAAATTATAAATCCCATTTCTGAGTTTGTTAAACCTCCACAATATTTATCTTTCAATGTTTATAATATATATATTAAGTAATGCTTTCCTTAATTTATATTTCTTCTATCCCTAAAATTTATGAGAAGGTTGTATCAAACGAATTACCTAATTTTGAGAACGCGTTTATCTCCTTTGAATATTATCTCTTGTTTAATTGTCTAAAATAAAGAACTAATTATTTTTTCATTTTTCAGGAATTTCTAATTAATTAGATCAATTGCTATTTTTGGTGTTGTTTAGGATTAATGAGATTTTAAACTTAGACTTCAATTCAGCCATAAATATTTAACTAAAACACATTAATTAATAATTAATATCAATAAATTTATTTTAAATAAAATGGGAAGTTTTTCATTGTAAAAAATGAGTAATCATTAGAGGTTATCATTTTAATAATAAATTGTTTTTTCTAATTAAATAAATATCAAATAATTAAGAATTAATGTGTTATAAATCTATCTCCCTTAAAATTTATAATGAATATATTTTAAATATAATTTATTCTGAATTCTTTCTAATAAATTCATTTCCTTGGTTCTTCCTAAAGATTTCTCAAGTTGTTTTAATATTATTTTAATTGTTTATTAAAATATTTCATTTTCCTAGTTAAATGTGACTAATGAACCATTTTTTATCAGGTTTTGTTCATTTATTTTGATTATTACCATTATTTTAAAAATCACATCGAATAATTTTCAAACAAATTTATTTTAAATGNAATATTTATTTCTTATTTCATTTATTTTCATCTCAATGTAGAAAATTATTCAAATTATTAATAAGTGCTTTTGTTACATTATTTTTATCACCCATTTCTGTGAATTATTTTGTTTTGAATGATTGATAAAAATAAATCTTCTGTAATTTTAAAGAATAGGAATAAATTATAAATCCCATTTCTGAGTTTGTTAAACCTCCACAATATTTATCTTTCAATGTTTATAATATATATATTAAGTAATGCTTTCCTTAATTTATATTTCTTCTATCCCTAAAATTTATGAGAAGGTTGTATCAAACGAATTACCTAATTTTGAGAACGCGTTTATCTCCTTTGAATATTATCTCTTGTTTAATTGTCTAAAATAAAGAACTAATTATTTTTTCATTTTTCAGGAATTTCTAATTAATTAGATCAATTGCTATTTTTGGTGTTGTTTAGGATTAATGAGATTTTAAACTTAGACTTCAATTCAGCCATAAATATTTAACTAAAACACATTAATTAATAATTAATATCAATAAATTTATTTTAAATAAAATGGGAAGTTTTTCATTGTAAAAAATGAGTAATCATTAGAGGTTATCATTTTAATAATAAATTGTTTTTTCTAATTAAATAAATATCAAATAATTAAGAATTAATGTGTTATAAATCTATCTCCCTTAAAATTTATAATGAATATATTTTAAATATAATTTATTCTGAATTCTTTCTAATAAATTCATTTCCTTGGTTCTTCCTAAAGATTTCTCAAGTTGTTTTAATATTATTTTAATTGTTTATTAAAATATTTCATTTTCCTAGTTAAATGTGACTAATGAACCATTTTTTATCAGGTTTTGTTCATTTATTTTGATTATTACCATTATTTTAAAAATCACATCGAATAATTTTCAAACAAATTTATTTTAAATGTTTGTGCTTTTCTTAATTTAAAGTTTAATCATTACTATAATCCTTTCGCTTAAATGAATCTATATTATATTCTTTTAGCTTCTGTGAGTTTATTATTTACAGCAATCAGATCTACAATCTATGAAAAAAAGTTGGAATTTTATGTTTCTCCAAAGACGGGTTGTGTAATGAGCTATAAGAATGAAAATAAAGATTATTGACTTAGTCAATAATATGCTCGATATTGTTTTGTGTGAATAGACTAAAAATTAAAGAATTCAGATCTTAAAAAAAATTTTCAGTCCATAATTTAATAATCGTGAAAGGAAAGTTAATCAAAATCTAATCGGCATTCGGTCCAATAGTGGCAATGAAATTATTTTTAAGTCATTTTAATTAAATTTGAAAAGCACTTTCCGTAATTTTACTCCATATGATTTCTGTATAATCATACCCAATAGCAACTTTCTTTTGATTTGAATTGAACGTAAATTATTCTCTATAAAAATCCAGTACAAATTGAGTCCTCTAAATCTTCTTTCTATGAATATTTTTTAATTATTAAAAATGAAAACAAAATTGGTTGGTTTGAATAACTTTTAACTGAAATTAATTATAAACAAGTATTGCAATTCGAAAAGCAATAATTCTTTTTTAATTCAGGTTATAAATAGGTGTTCCAAAAGACAATATGCAGCAATAGAAAATCTATATAGAATGTTGATGACAAACATAGGATTTAGAATAGCCTCATAGGATTAAAATACGTTAATTACAAAATACAAGTACAAAAGTTGTATTAAGGATTGTATGTGGGATATCAACATTGGAAAATCTTGGGAATTTGAAGACTCATTTAAGATTCAAAGGGTATTTTTAATATCCAAAATATAAATGACTATACATTAAATGGTAAGAACAGAAAATGAAGAATGTAGTATTTTTGTTTATTATACATTTAGAAAGGATATTGTTATCATAAAAGAATTTCAGGTAGATAATCTGAAGTTATAATTTATTATTAGTCAAGTAGATAGAAAAGGAAAAAATAATTTGACTAGCATCCGATCTGGAGACCTTTTTGTAAGTATTTTTCTTAAAATTTATTCTAAAATATAATCAAACAATTTTTTTTTGATTTTTCATTTTCCTTTGACTTATTCTCTATTCAGATTTAATTAAATTCTATTAATCATCCCATTTATCTTCCTTAATTTTTATATTAAAGGAACATGTAAGTTCATTTATTTCTTAATAATTTCTTATAATTAATATGTTTGTAATGATTCTTGATGCTTTTAATTTTCATTATCTAAAATATGCTTATTCTTTTTTAGTTATTTCAATTTATTCCTTATATAGTTATTATCATTAAGAAATAATCAACTCAAATATCAATTTTCTAAATTCTTATTCATAGATAATAGAATAAATTATTTTCAAAATATTAGTAATATTGAAATAGCATTTCATTTATTAAAATTTTGTATTCTTCATTACTTGAGAAATTTTTTAAGTAATGTCTTCACTTTTGTCATAGAAAAGAAATAAAATTAGACCAAAAAAAAAACATACAGAAGATAGTTGAAATGACAAAACCCTAATTTTAAATAGTTTATTGATTAACTCCATATTTTATTCCTTCAAATGCTTGATAAATTATCCAGCCTTGGCCCTTATATCCTATCAAATAACACCCCTAATAAACAATCTGAAGTAATAATCAATATAGTTAGCTTAGGCATATATTTTCCCTTACTAATATTAGCGATGATATGTTGGTCAAGTGATGGGATTATTTAATTGACGTTCTATTCTGTTAAATTCATATACTACTAATAAAGATTATTTTAATTGACAATTTAATTATTTGACTTGATTTAGATTTATTATTATTATAAAGGGCTGAATTTAATAGTAAATAAATCCAAGCAACTTATGCCAGGATAAGGAGTTGTGCTATTTTGCACATAAACATTATTCATTCTATTTCAAACTTTTATATTTTATAATTTAATTTTAAAAATTATTTAACCTTTCAAATATCTAATAAAAGTGACTAGATGATTGGAAAATTAGAGAGAACACTAAAATATCATGTTTTTTATAGTCAAGTAAAATTGAGTAAGAACATTGAATTACTCATGAATAATAATAATATTGACTTAGGTTTAAAATTTGTTAAAACAACCTTAAATGGATTGCGTATAAACAATAAAAGAATTAACAGACTTGGGCTTTTATATATTAGGAATTCCTATAATAAGCAGGAAAGAAGGCATAGGATAATTATAACGATTAAAGTTTGTTTTCATTATGGATAATTGGGTGATACATAAATCAAAAACAATTGAATAAATTTACAATAGATCTCCCAGATTTCAATGCTATTGAACACATGTTGGGATGGTTAGAAAGAGTTTTGGCAGCTTAGAGTAATTCAACTAGTAAATTTATCTAGAAATAGATTGAATCATAAGTGCTGTATCATAAAATTTAATTTCAAATTTTTATAAAAACATATATAAACTGATGATTTGAGATGGGTTTAACTATGAATGTATAATAAGATATAAATTTTGAAATAGCGGGTATATCTCCAATATTCAATATATATAAATGCATAATATAAATATTCGAGGAACAATATTCAGACTTATGATATCCTTAGATGTTTGATTCAACTTCAGCTATTTGAGTAATTGTAAGATTTGCAATCAAATTATTTTTTTATAATCAATAGTTTTAACAAGGAATATTAGATTTAATAAATCATTCTATAAATGAATTTTAGAAAGCAGATTCAATATAGAATTAAACCAGAAAAACAAATAAAAATTCATAAAATACCGAGATTGAGAAATCAAAATAATTCATTAATTCTTAAATGTTAAAAATGTCTCCAAAAGAATTAAAAATGTTTAAACCCATCATTGCTAAAGTTATTTAGAGATAGTATTTCCTTGATTATATATTTTGATATAAGAGGAATCTCATAATTTAATTACTCCTAAATTCGTCAATTTATTTCAGGAAGTATATTTTGGTAAAAATAATTTTTCCTATTTCATAATTATATCTTCAAATTATTTTACCTTTATGATGAATTAATATTATTTTTCTAGCATTTATATTTGTTATAGATAATGCTTTTCTATTGAAATAGAATGTAATAATTAAAAAAATGTTTAAACCATGATAGAAGATAAAAAAATTCTTCATTGTTATGTGTAACATTAATTACCTGTTTAAATGATTATTTTAGATCCTAAGATAATATTAAATTAACGACTTTTGTGTTAGTAATGCATTGATAATTTCAAATCGGACTAAAACAAGACAATTGTATTTAAGAGAGTTGTTTAAAAGTTTGTCGAAAACAGAAATAAATTTTGAAAAGTATAGAAAATATCATTTCAATTAATATCAAATAAGTTGAATCATTCTTAATTAACATCATTAATTTAAAGTCTATTGTTCTTTAATAATTAGATTAAATAATTAACAATACTGAAGATTGGATTTAGAACTTAAAATTATCAGGATCTAAATATGAAGAATATAGCTTTCTTAAAGAGTTAGACTTATTAATAAATAATTAATGATCCAGTCAAGATAATTAGATTAATTATAAAAATAACATTCGATTACTTAATAATAGTTGGATTACAAAAATTAGTTCTAAATTGGCCTCATTAGTATCAGCCAATAAAGAATATCCTGAATTATCTAAATGAGTAAACATCAAATATTTAAGCATTTTAAGTGAAATAATAAATAAATCCAAAACTAATTGGAACATTAGAATAAAAAGAACAATGTAATGCAATTGTATTTGATCCTAAAGGCAATATTATGGTATCAGCATGTGGAAATAAAATTAAAATTTGGAATTTTCAAAATAATTTGATTTAAGACGTTAATTCACTTTTAAAGCATTAAAAGAAGTTACTTGTTTGGTATATAGCTAAATAAGCAATTATTTTATTTCTGGATCAAGTGATGGATCACTTAGATTATGGAAGGAAGAGAATAATAATCAATGATTTAGTTCTAAACCTTATTGTGAGAATAATCAATGGATTTATTGTATGATCATGACGCAAAATGAAGATTAATTAATTTCAACTAGTGCAGACTTTTTGATTAAGTATGGAGTATAGATTTTATTAATAATAAACTTACATTTCTTTATTCTTTATTGATTCATACTAGCGATGTAAACTCAATAAGTTTAAATGAATCAGAAACTGTCTTGGTTTCATGTGGGCATGATAGTTTAATAATAATTTGGTAAAAGGATGTCGAAAATTAGTGGGCATTTTATGAATTTGTTATAATGATTGAAAATATAATAAGTTTTAAGATAATGCAAAATTTTCAAAAACAGATCATATTTAAATATGTTATTAATAGAAATTGCTTTTGTGATTTTTATCGACCATAAGTAATTAATATAAGAAAATGGATATCATATTAGGTTAATAAAGAAGATTATTTTATTTGGTTACCTCCTCAAAGCAATATACTGTGTGTTTACTGAAATAATAATGGTAAATATGAAGAAATGGTAGAGAAGAGAGTTTAATATAAAAAAGATAATTAAGGATGTGTAAGTTTACCGTTCTTCCCAATAATTTATATGAAAGACAAAAATTTTATTCATCAGTTAATTCATCCATATAGTTTTACAAACCAATATTTTACTCCAGCTTCTACCGCTTCCATTTTCTTTAAATTTTGATTAAATCTAAGTTTATTTTTAGTAAGTATTGGTTAAGCTAGTGACGTGAATTTATAAATATTTGGTTTGAATTGATATAGGTGTTTGGCCAAATCAATTATTACGCATTAGCATAGTATTTCAAATATCCTTTGAAATTAATAACAAGTATATTACTTAAATTAATCGTATCAATAATTATAGTTAATCTCCCATTCAAGAAAGATAATATATTTACCAAATTGCTATGTTTTAAATTTTGCCTATCAATTTGTAATTTTTAAAACAAAATTGGTTTAAGTGGAAATAATTAATATTTTTCAAAATATTCTAATTATTAATAGTTGTAATTTTGGGGAAGATATAATAGAATGATAAACTCTATATAATTAGGAAGAGGGATACTAAATAAGACGAATATTCTCAGTAAGATAAGGCTTGGCTGCTTTAATGTGCATATTGACATAAATTGTTCATCCAATGAAAAATAAGGATGAGGATAAAGATTTTAGAAGAATATTAATAATTTAGCATAAGCCCATATGTAATAACCATCAAAAATTGGTATCCTGCAAAAATGAAAGTATTTATGAATTATTTCAATTATTTTTACATTATCTTATCTTTTTAAGAAGTTTGATCCATTTTTGGGAGATTAGATTATACTATGTATAATCAGAACGGCCAAATTTTCCAGAAATTCTATTATAAAATCATAGAGTCTATAACTATTTGTTTAAATCATCAAAGCGTTACAATATTATTGAGAGTCTTCTTGTATTAACTTTTAATATTATTTTCATTGCAGACTTAAACACAAACAGATTAATTCCTAACTTGACATTGATTAACTTATATAAAACAATAAATACATGTAATTTCTAATTGCAATGAACAAATAGTGGTTATGGTATTTCAAAATAAGATATGAATACTGACTCAGGGGTTATATATCTAAATATTTGAAATTATGCTATTAAATTCCTTAAGTGTTTCGATAAATTGATCTAAAAAATATTTCGTTGTGCCTTTTCATTAAAATCTAAAATATTAACTGTATAATTAATTATTTCTCGCAGTCAAGTGAACTCTAACATAATATCCTTAAGTCTATTATAGAGTTATGTATCTATCAATTCCTGTTTAAGACAAAATGGCAAAAAATATAATTTTCATCGATTAACGAAGTTAGTGAATAGCCAATGAATATTGGATTATAAATTACAATCCATGATAAAAGTCAGGCTGTGAAATTTTTAGTAATAAAAAAAGGTTAGTTGCTACAATTTAAGATATAATTTCCTTCCATAAAATTTATTAGTTGTTTTAATACATAATGATGGTAGTGTCAATGATGATTAACCTATTTGATTAAAATTTAAGAAAAAGAGTATTAGCAGTTTTTTTAATAGATCCAAGTTTCTTTTTCTTAAAATTTAGATAACAAAAGATTTGCTGACTGTAATATGAAATGACATTTTGTGATTAATAGAATGACAGGAGGGACATGTGCTATTAAGAAATGCTCCATAATAACAACTTGTACGTTAGTTTTAATTAATGCGAATACAAGTTTGACAAAAATGGATGAAAATTTATAAGTAAGTAATCTAAATTTCCTAACCATGTCCTATATTTGATGAGGAAATGATGAGATTACAAGATATCAAAGCCATGGAATTAAAACTTGCTACACATCATATTATAAGTTACCACAGCAATTATTAGTTAACCATTTATCTATCGAAGAATTATAACTAAATGAATAAGTTAAGGATTCTATCTAGAATGAAATCAATCATTTGACCAAGTATAATTCAAAATTTTAGGATTCTTAAAAGTAATGAAACAAATCAACAGAAATAATTTCCTTTTGTTTATATGCTCTTTCATTAAAATTGAACAAAAAACAGTTAGAACTTGCACATGCCTACAATAAATAATAAGTTTGAATTTTTGATATGTTGAATTAAGTGATGTCACTTAAAGTGGGTTAATAAAAGTAATTTAATTTGTTGTCTAAGAAGTTTTATAAAATTAAACAAGATTTCCTAAATATAATGTTGCATTTACATCTTCATACTCATTAAATTTAATATTGCCGTATAAAAACTTGTTACAACCCACCATTATGATGAGGAATTCCTAATTTGAATTGAGATAATAAAAAAGCAATATGAATAATACATTATATATTCTAACTTAAGGTTGATTTTTTGTAATGAACTATGATAAAAATTTAATTAAATATAATTAAGTGGACCCTAAATAATATAAGTAAGAGAGAAGATAATATATTTCATAATTTTATGTATGAATAATAAAGAATATGTTTTAGGGAATAAGAATAATCATAACAAGTTTTTAGATAATTACAATAGAAGACAGTATTTATTTAAATTGATATGGCTTGAGTGAACTTGATATTAGGTGATAATAAAGAAAGTATTTTTTTTTTAAATATCAATACAATTGATATTGAAATATACATAGTTTTATATAGTATTGAGGATATTAAATAACTATTTAACACTGTATTTTAATAAATTAACACAAATTATTATGCTTATACTACAAATAAATATATTCTTGCGTATCAATTATAAACCCGAAAAAATTAGTTCGCCTTAACTAGTTATTTAAATATTTAAATTAATATGATAATAAATTCGTTTATGATATTGTGAATTTAGAGATAATACATCCAGAAAAAACTAAGGAATAAAACTTCTATGAATAAAGTATAAATAAAATGTCGATGAGTATAGAGAAAGTTCTAAATGGATTCTTTGATTAACATTAAATAAGGCTCACTTACATTCTTATTAATAATAAATTAAACAAATTTTAATATTTTTTATCCATTTTTAAAGATCTATGAATAGGCAAATGTTTCATCTAACTCTGTTCTTATTACTGAATTATGCAAATTGTTTTTAACACTCTATTTATGAAGAATTTAATACTAAAAAGATTAATTTAACTAATACAAATTGGAAATGTGAGGTAAGTACAACAACAATACCTTCTGAAGTATTTACTTGCAGTAAGGGAATGGATTTAATGGTGATAAAATAATAAGGATAAACTTGTAATTAAATGTAGAATCAAATTGACACTAAATTACCACACTATAAGATCTAATTGTATATTGATGTTTATGGTTATCATAGTATAGATGATTCTGAGAGTATTTAGGTGAGTATCTTAGACAATATTTATACTCGTTCTCTGCGTCTTTATCCATATTAAGGTTAATAATTAAAATAGTGTAATAATTACACCGGAAACCTAATTCGTTAATCCATCTTCACAGAACTTAATCATTCTCACGAATAAGTGAATCTTCAAATAAAGAGTACAGCAAATTCAGAATTTGCAGACGAATCCTACTTATTTAGAAATGTTTAATTGATTTTGGATAGATGTTACAAAACCTGTAAGACTTGTTCAGGTGATGGTAAGCAAGAGTGTCTAACATGTTATAACAATATAGCTTTGAGTGCTAGTAACACTTGCGATTCTTGTAAGAATTAGAATAACTAAAATTTCCTTTAAATTCCAATTGGATGTTAATCTCAATGTGATGACAATCAAGATTACGATGAAGATTAAGTATGTATTGAAAAAATAAGTAATAAATCATAATATGTTTTAGAACCTCAAGAAAAATGCTAAGTTGATTGCCAATAATGTACTAATACATAAAGTTGTTTAATCTGCAAACCCTAAAAATATCTCTACTTCGGATAATGCATGGATCAATGCCCAGAATACACTATAGTATAAGGCACTAATTGTTTAAGCAATATTGAGACTATTTTAAAGATGAACAATTTAAGAATTACACAATTATTTAAATAATTTCACGATTTATCAACCACAAAAATGACTATTCAAGAGCATTTTTCAGTTATATCATTAAATAATTCTTTTGATTTCAAAAAAGGTTCTGATATTTATTATAGTTACTTTGGAAGTAAAAGAATATTTGGGGGACCATTGGTTTGGGTTAATGCTAAATTTAAGTTTACTTAAAGTTGGATCTAGGAGTTCAGAATTATTAGAATATTTTTTGAAATTATTTTAGGGGATGTTGAATTTAATAAAGCTAAATTTACATATAAATTAAATGATCAATAGTTGGAATCTATAACTTTAACTTAAAACTATTCAGGAAGTAATCCAAACATTGAGGATCAAATCTGGCCAAACAATTATCTATTCAATATATATAAGGTGGATAAAACTTTAAAGTACTTTATATCAACTAATAAGTAATTAACTATGGAAATTGAATGTTAAAATAGTAATTCACTTGGCTTTTGTGGAATTTAGAATATGGTTGTATTTGGAGATTTTGAATGTGAACCTGAATATAATTTTGATTTTTTTAATCATGAGACTGGCAGAAATCCTTTTATTCCAATTTGTGGTGATAAAATAGTTGTTGGAGACGAGGAATGTGACGACGGCAATAATTATCCATTTGATGGATGTTTTAATTGTAGATACTAATGTGAAGAGCATTGTGATAATTGTGTTTATGGTTATTGCATAAGTAAAAATTTTAAATAGAAAGCTATTTAAATCTAGGGAGATAGCGTTGAATATAAATTCGCTTACAATTTTTTGGATAGTATTTAATTATCTTGTATATTTCAGTGTGATATATGTATAAACAATCTTTGTTTGTAATGTAGTTATGGGTACTATTTAAACACAATTAACAATTTATGCGAGACTTTTTGTGGAGATTCTATCTAATAAGGTAATGAGTAGTGTGATGACGGTAATACAGACAACTATGATGGTTGCTCTCTATGTGAATTGATATAATATGATAAATGTGATAAAGGATTGGATATCGAAAAGTATCACTGCACTTATTGTTATTAAGGGAAATGCTTAAAATGCATAGATGGATTTCTATTAGATGGCGATATTTGCATTTCAGTATGTGGGGATGGATTACTGAATCTAATGGAGGAAGAATGCGATGTGTAAGCTGGGGATGGATGCAGGGATTGCAAAATATAGGATGGCTATGTTTGCGGGAAATTAGACTTTTCAATTTGTTAGACATGTGATATATAATGTGCTTAATGTGTAAGTTTAGATAAGATCAATTTGATTTGTAAATCATGCATTGATGGTTACTTTCCTGTAGATGAGAAATGTCAATTATGTGATTCAAACTGTATCACTTGCTAATAGCAATCTAACTTATGTACATCCTGTTACAGAAGTGATTGTGATTTCTGTGAATCAACCCCTGGTCTTTTTGGAAATACAAAAACTAAGTCATGCGATTCTATTTGTGGTGATGGAATTCTAGTTGAGTTGTATGAGTAGTGTGATGATCAGAATTAAGATAATGGAGATGGCTGCGATTCTTAATGTAATTTAGAGTTTTCAGATAATGATTTAAATTAAATGAAGTTTTATTAAGAATTTGCAAATAATACCTATGATTTGAAACTTGTTCCTCAATATTAGTTGCAAATTTTATGCAATTCTGCAAAAATCACCATAGACAATATGGAAATCTCAGATTACAACTATAATTGCACTTAAATCGATGACTTAACATGCAAACTACAATTTGATTTCAAGAAATCCATCTATTAATCTAATACAATTCATGCATTGTTATAGTTTACAAATTAGATGAAAAGACTACTTGTTGAAAATGATAGAATTCTTCAATTTGATATCACACCAACAGAGTATATTATTTTAAACTAGAATGATGAAGAGTAATAGGAATAGATATAAAGTGCTCAGTAGTCTTTTAATTCATTTTTTCTAATAATGATCCCAGTGTCTATTATTTTCAATCTCTTTAATTATTTGTGGGCAGTTCTAGAAATATTAAGTTGGATCAATAATTTCTATTTTCTTAATGTTAATTATCCTTTCAATGTGGAACTTTTTTTTTTAAATAGTAATTGGTCAAGTTTCATTAATTTTCCAACTTATTAAGGATTGAATCAACCCGATAGTAGTTATTACTTTGAGGCTCCAAAAAGGTTCATGAATAAAGGAATAGATCCATTATTCTTTAACAACATTTAAATCCCATTGATGTTTATATTTTCCTCCATCCTCATTTTTCTAATCAATTATTTGCTTTATTCATTCTTTTCTCTACTTGACGATGCTTTAAAACTAAAAATATCATTAAAAGACAAGCATATCAGTGTTTTTAATATTTAAATCAAAAAATAACCTCATCAAAATGCAATAAAAGAGCAAGAATAAATGGTAGTCCAAAATAAATATTTGAAATATATTACTAATTTTTTTAAGTCAAATTCAACCCATCTTATAAATTAGTTTAAATCAACGATTTCTTTATGCTTATTGGATATTACTTTAGCAATTTTCCTTTAGTTATTATATTCAAAAAATAATTCGCATATCATAGTGGGTTCAAATCAATTCCTTGCAATAATGGCAATTGGCATAATCATATTTTAATGTTATTAACAATATTAAATTTTGAATATTCATTAGCTAAAAGCCAAAAATAAACATTTTGAATAAAAATTTGGCATTTATTATGAAAACATAAACCTTGAAAATTCATTCGGATATTATTATTCATTTTTTGAATAGATAAGCAAAATCCTGTACATATTTTTCATGGTATTTTACTACTACACTCCACTTTTGTAAGTAACTTTGTGTTATCTATCCTCCTCTTTATGTTTTGTTTTCTTATTATATTAAAATCCATTTAATTCAAAGAAAGAATATGTGAGAGAATTATTATCGAATTTTTGTTTAGGCTCCATTTTATTCATTATTATTTCATTTGCTGTTAATGATCAAATACAATTTGAATTTATAGAGCAAAACAAAATTATTTTAGGCTGGATGATTATTGCCTTGGTCTTAGTTGCAATCGCCAATGAATTTTGTATTCTGGGTTTTGGTTTAATTCTGTAATTTTTCAATTTTTTTTAAATTTTAAGGAATCTAATAAAAAAGAAAAGTTAAAATAACGGTGATTAACTTAATGAATAACAATCTGAGTAAAAAGAAACAAAAAATATACATAATACAAAAGGAAATTAATTAAAATCTAGAGATACAAATTTTTCAATTGTATTTTTTTGAAGAATATTTTACATTGATACACCTATTTAAATAATAATTATAAAATTATCATAACTCATTTAATCTTGATGTTGAAATGGTCGTTCTTTCAAAATTTAATCCTTTATATTCTTTGTTACTAAGATAACAATTATCCTGAATCTATATTTTGCTTCCTTTTATGATAAGAGAACTATATTTTATGAATTAACAGTTTATAACTCAAGATTAATTTTTGAATTTGTTTGAAGTAATTAATTTAAAATAAGTATAATTTATAATTTTAATATAGAGAAGATAAAAAATGGTCAGTAAGCTACATCAATCAATTTCATTTTATTTTTAATTTAATTATACACTTAGGCTTAGTTTTTAGTAATAATTTATTATTGATCAAAACAATAATTAATTTTATTCATTACAAAACTTTGATGATATTTAATTATCAAAGAAAATTGGAATTAGGGTCAATTTTAAATACTGTTTTGAGTACTACATTCAGTTATTCTTATTTAACAGGCTTCTAGATAAAGGTATTTATTCCAATATTCTTTCCTTATAGAATGTTTTCTTAGGTATCATATGCTGAACATATCACAATAAAGGCCTAATTAGAAGTTAATTCAAGGATCTACATAATAGATTGATGAGTTACATATTTACTTGTTTGAAAACCATCCATCCCTGGCATTTCGATGTCCATAAAAATTAATTTATAGGCTGAACAATGCTTGAGCATCTTTTATTTGACTTTTTCAACTGCTTAAAATCCATCAAATGCTTAATCAACCTGAATTTTATATTTGTTAAGAATCATTTTTAAGGCTATTTAATTAAAAGGTATATCATCTACAATCAGAATGTGAACGCAATTTTAACAAAGCATATCTCCATTTTGTGAGTAATCAGATTGAAATTATTTTTATAAATTATTGTAATATTCCAGATTCTTTTTTGAAAAATAGTCTGGACTTATGGGTAGTAAAATTTAATTTTATTTTTCAGAATCGTTGAGTCTTAATGTCATAAAAGATTCAGATTTTACTTCTTAGAAATCCTTATCATTTTCAAGTTTCTAATTCTTGCTATTCAATATTACAATTTTTTGTTAATGGTGAGTTTAAATATTAGATTCAGATGGATTGGCCTAATGGGTCATCTTTTCACTCTATTGATTTGCGTGGTAAGATATCTTTTCACTCTATTGATTTGGAAAATGAGAGGATAAAATATTCTTTTATTATTACAAGTCTTCAATTTGAAATTCAACTGTTGTTCCTTTATTTTTTTTTGAAGTGATAATTAATTTATTATCCTTAGATTCGGTTAAACCTTCAATCAGTCTTGCTGCTATGACTAAACCCAAACCTGCTTGTTTACTTGAGGTATGGGATTTCAATACAGCTCCAAATTCTATTGTATCAAGCAAACTTTTTTAGATTTAGTTGAGCTTATGCTCATCAATTCCAATTCCATTATCTCTCACTTTAAAATTAATATATTATGAAGAAACTTCCTCGATATTTAAATTAATTCTACCTCCTTCATGAGTGTACTTGATTGAATTATTTAAAAAATTCACCAATAATTATACAATTCTTTGCTTATCGTTGCGATAATTCCTTTCTGCTGAACAATTTTAGATTTTGATTTTTAAGATAATATTTTTTTATGAAGCCTATAATTTATATAAGTGCTCAATTTCCTCTCTAATTTAATTTAATGTAAAATTTCCAATATTGTAATGAAATTAATAAGATTGGAGAGCAGCGTAATCCAAAATATCATTAATTTGATGAATTAATAATGCAATTGAACACTATGCTATATTAATATAATCTTAAATTTCTTATGATGTTTATTCTAATTTCATGATATTTAGCATTTGATTGCAACTATTCAAAGGAGTTCTTAATTCATGCGAAAATGATTTAATTAAACTATGATTGATAATTTATTCATCTCTCATTTATTTACATTTGTATTTATTAGTTACATTTTTAATGATAATGAGCAAAACAGGATTTTCTCTATCATTATTGGAATTTGAAATGTGACTTTTGCTTGAAGACCGAATTTATGAAGAAGCTGAAATATATTCTTATTATTGATTAGTCATAAAGGTTGGTATAATTATTAATTTCAATTTCTTTTAAGAATTACTAGATAATAGCTCTGATTTAAGTAACCATTCATATATAAATATCTGTTAATGAAATGATGATTAAAAGTCTTTGTAAATTTACATTTCCTTTTGTCCTAGAATTCCAAAGTATTTCTAAGGAGTTAATATAATGTCTAAAATATCAACTGGAGTATTAGTTAATTGTAACTTTCTTACTATTTATTGAAGTAAATGGTAATGATGTTGCTTTTTTTATTATCTGTTTGATGTTTCGCTTACATTTTCTTGCATTTTGGCACTGTTGACACAGACTTTCACTTTTTCCAATACTTATTCACTCCCTTAACATTCTAATATCTTTTCACATTTATTATTAATGTAATTGATTGATTGGAGTTGATTAATAATCAATATTCCATAGGGAAATAGATTAATAAGATTCTGATATAATTAGAGCATCTAATTTTAAGAGCTTTAACTAAGAATATTCTTTTAAGATTTAGATAGACTAGTCAAGTTTGAGTATCTTTTCAATTTCAATTCATCTGGAAGTTCTTTTAATTATATAGTGAAGCACTTTTTAGGTGATTGAATAACAGTCATTTTGCTTTATGATCTTATCAATGATTGCATCATCTAATTTTGGCCAAGAGGTGAGGAATCTTTTTCATTTTATTCTTTTTGTGCTTATTCAAATGGATTTATAGACTTATTTTTGATAAATTTCAAGCGGTTTGTAATTAGTTAATGAATGAACACTATTACCATAATTGACAAGCTTTCAAGTGTATACAAATTTTAGATAGGAGTAACTATTAAAATTATTCTTACTAATAAATATAAAGGAAGTCCCAATCTACAAATTATACTGTATTTCTGAACCGCAATCCTTAAGTAATACCTGTAAGTGATTATCAATAATGCACAATCAGTAAATATGTGTATTTTCTAAGGATAATTCAAAAGTAAGATTGATTCTATGTAAATTGCATAATAGAGAAGAGAAACTATATGTAGATATAAATTAAGTCCCAAACTTCTTTGGATTTATATATACTAACATATCCTAGTTGATAGGCATAGTATCTATAATATGAGAAGCTCATAATTAATCGGCGATATGACGATTGTTGCTAAAATCATCCACCAGGAGCTTTAGGCGACATTAGCTACAAATATTAAAATCAATGAAATCTTCTTCAAGATATTCTTATTTTACACTTTCATGTTCTTTTATTTAAATATTGTCTAAATATTTATTAAACACTCAAGTGATCTATTCAAACAATCATAATAAAGATCTTAGAATCTTTTATATATAAAATATATCTCAAATTCATTAAATATACTCACTCATTTCAAGAAATGTTATATATGACATTATTTATTTTCCAAAGTAGTATTAGATATATGTCAAGTTAGTCAATAAAGATTTTTCTTAAATATCCCTCTTTATAATTTCGCGAAAGTTTATAATCAATTTAGTCTTCATAAAGTAACCATTGGTAACTATCATTTAAAGAATATATATTCATATTAATTTTTTATTCATTAAAATTTAATTAAATTTTATTAATTATTAGTATGCGATATAATTTTAATTAATAATCAGGATTATCGAAAAACTTTTTAATTTAATAAACTTTTAAGCAAAAAATTTTATCTATGAAGAAAAGCACCACTCCTCAATTAATTAGTAACCATTTGAAATATCCTGAATTTTTGTTTTAGATATGTTAATCTTATTGGATAAAGTGACTATTTTAATTTGCATACCAAATAGTTAAAAAAATGATTATAAAATTTTCTTTACTCCTTTTGGAATATACTTTAATTAATAAGATGTAATTATTTTTCTTTACATGAAAATCAAATTAATGAAATTCATTTATTTTCTATTCGTTTATTTAGATTTGTTTAAAACTTCAACACATGTATGTGAATGCAATTAATGCTATTCTGATTTTTATATTAAAGAATACTCTCTGTATAAGTTAAATTTGTATAATAAATAATAACAAGTAATTGTATTTCAAAATTGCTTATATATATATGTAATAAATTAATGTTCTTAGGCGTTAAAGACTACTAGGTAATCGGCAGTTTTACTAAGTGCGAAGGATATTCGGTTAGTTTAAAAATTAAATGAAGATTAACTTAATAATTGAGTCTCTTTAGAACCACTAATTAGATTGAGAAATTATCCATTTTTTTCAGAATGATATCTTTGTCGGCATTATACTAAAATTTGGAGGAATCTAAGTGATGTTCTTTTCCCTGAATAATTATATCCTTAACTTAAACAAAAATATCCTCCTCACCTTTCCATTAATAAACTAAAATTTTCAATTCTATAGATTGAAAAACAAAACAGTTATCATCGATAAAAAGTAAACTAAATCCATGAATATCAAGATTAATTATTTATTTGACAATCCATTATTAACCCTATTTTGCAGATATATTGATAGAACGGTCAAATGCACATGAGATTAATAAAGTTTCAGATTGATTTAAACATAAGCAATAAATTGGAGCTACATTATGGCAAATCAAAGTTTGAATACATCTCCAACAACTTACGTTCTCCCAAAAATCGATCTATCCTTGCGAGCCTATTATTATAATAGATTCCTCCTTATTCATTGTCAGACTATCAATAAAAACTAAAGTATTTAGTTTCAAATTATGTTTGTTATTGTTTAAGCCAACAATTGAAGAGACTTTAATATATCCATGTACTGTGAATAAAACTAGTTAGTTTGATTTTTCCATATAATATATTTTTCTTTGCATAGATGTATCCTGTAAAAAGTTTTTAATAAGTTTGAGACATCCTAATTGGAAAAAATAAGCACTTATGTATTTTCTATTTATTTAGAAAAGGATTGAAGAATTATAATTAAACATCATTTTGATTGACAAATGGTTTGTGCTATGAGTTTATTATAATTTAAATTATTGAAATTTAGAGTTTGGTTACCTCTAATTCATGGAGAGATCTTAATTCATTTGTTATTTATAATAATGAAAAAAAATTTATATTAAAAGATTTTATAATTATTCAGTGCTCTAATATCGAATTCTCATTAAAGTAAACAGTATGATCCTGATTAATTATGATATTAAGTGAATAAATTAAGATGCTACAAATTTATTTATTTAAGAATAACCCAAATTTACTTTTAGATTATTTTAGGATTTCTCAAAGGTGAGATTGACTAAAAATCGTCAAAATTAAATATTTTTTTTATATTAGAAGTAATTATTGAATCAATTAGATTACTTTCAACTAACTTAAATTGAGAAAATAGTATTTAAAATAGATGATATTTTGCAAATTCAACAATCCTAAATTTTAATCATTATAAAAACTACTCAAAGTTCTATACTAATTTTTTTATAATAATTCTGTTTCTAGGGATGTTATTTGCTTATTTTGATAAAAATCTTAATTCACATTAATAATTACTTTAAATATAATTATTTACCAATTAATTCCAAAATTTAATAAATATTTCTTTTATGATGGTTTGAATTTTACATATGTAATGCAATTCACAAGTAAAGAGGGATCAAACATTTTGGTTGTTAATATTTAGGTTTCTGATGAATATCTTCAATAATTCATCTATCTCAAAATGGATATCCTTCTAAAATCAGCTATAATTATGAAATCAGATGCAAAAAAAAAAATAATCGCATTACATTGCTTGCGATTTAAAATATAATAATTATAATATAAAAAATGATATCATTGATTTAAGGAGATTTCTAATTCAATCTGAATGGAAATGGATGTTAGAAATCTTAATTATGTAAATCCTCCATAGCCAATCTTAATATTATGAGAATATATAATATGTTTACAAAAATAACTATAAAATAAATAATGAAAGGTTTAATAATACTGAAATATCTAGATATGGGAGTAGTTTCATTACAATAAAATGTATCCAAACAAACAGGGAATCAATTTAACACAAAAAAAAAACTTTGCGCAAATGTTAATAAATTGAAGAGGATGATAAGTAAATTAATTAAAGTCTATTTAATTAGAACAAGGTAAAATTTAATAACCTACAAATGGAAAATAGAAATCGAAGGAATTAAAGATTATTAATGATAAATAGAAAAATTAGAGTTAATTGAATGTATTAAATTAACAGAGTTTAAATCCTGAAAATCAATTATAATCGAATGAGATGGCGCAAAATATTACTAAAAATTAATTAGAATAATAAAATCAAATTAACGCCGTATAATAGATTAAAAATGCTGATGCAAGTAAGAATGATCTTCATCCTCCAGATTATTATTATTATAAAGGTTTAAATAAATTAATAATAAAAGCTAATCTTTTAGTTGATTATTATCGATTTGAGGAAGCATTACAATATTATGATAAAGCTATTCGGATAGATCCCACTAACCCAACTTATTACAATGAAAAATGTATAAAATTAAGATCATATATATTACGCAGCAATTGCCTTAAAACAGTTATTTCGTTTTGATGAAGCACTAAAATATAACAACTATGCTATCTAAAAGGATCCTGAAAATCCAGATTATTACAACAACAAAGGTAGAAGTAAATTTTAAAATTTGAAGCAAACACCTTAATTGAATTGAATAGGCATCATGATGCTTTAAAATTTTTTGATTATGCAATAAAAAAAAATCCTTAACATGCTGGATACTATTATAATAAAGGTATAAAGCAATCATAAAGAATAAGCTATTACTCTACATGAAATGAATCGTTTTTAAGAAGCATTAGAATATTATGATTTTGCAATTTCGAAAGATCGTAATAATGCAGATTATTACAATAATAAAGGTATGATAAATCCATTATTATTGAGCAGCAAGTGTTCTACATGAATTGGATCGTTTAGACGAAGCATTACAATATTATGATTATGCAATAAAAAAAAATCCTAAATACGCAGATTATTATAACAATAAAGGTATGAATTTTCAGTTAAACTTTTACAGCAAATACGTTAGCCTAATTAAAAAGATTTGAAGAAGCATTAAATCATTATGAAAAAGCTCTTTCAATTGATCCCGAAAATTCAGAATATTATAATAATAAAGGTATAAACATTTATAAAATTAATAAGCAAATACTTTAATTGAATGTAAAGAGTATGAATAAGCATTAAAATATGGCACTGCTGCTATTTAGAGAAATCCAGAAAAAGAAATATATTTTAAAGTTTAAGGTAATAATGCTATAAATTTGGTAGCAAATACTTTACAAAAAATGAATAGATTTCACGAGGCGATAGAACACTCTGAACGCGCTATTTAAATAAATCCATAAAATGGTGATAATTATAGATAAAAAGGTAACAATCAAACAAATAATTGAATAGGATTTTCTTTACATTTATTGAATCGTTATTAAGAAGCATTAGAATGTTATAATTAAGCGATTGAAAAAAATCCTGAAAACTCGGAGTAGTATAATTATAAAGGTACTGAAAAATAATACTTAGCTTTAACTTTATGTTAAATGAACAGTTATGAAGAGGCATTAGAAAATTGTGATTATTCTATTTAAAGAAACCCTGAATTTTTTGACCAATATTACCTTAAAGGTAAAAATGAAGAAAATTGTATAGGCAGTATTTTAGCCCATTTAAACCGTTTTGAAGAAGCATTAGAATATTTAGATTAAGCTATCAAAATAAATCCTTAAAATTCCGATTTATATTACTGTTTATGTAAAATCAACTACTTATTGAGCAGCTATGTCTTTATTTAAAATGAATCGGTTTCAAGAAACATTACAAAATTGTGATTTAGCTATTTCAAAAGATCCTACAAAGTCTGATTATTATTCTTAGAAAGGTNACTATGCTATCTAAAAGGATCCTGAAAATCCAGATTATTACAACAACAAAGGTAGAAGTAAATTTTAAAATTTGAAGCAAACACCTTAATTGAATTGAATAGGCATCATGATGCTTTAAAATTTTTTGATTATGCAATAAAAAAAAATCCTTAACATGCTGGATACTATTATAATAAAGGTATAAAGCAATCATAAAGAATAAGCTATTACTCTACATGAAATGAATCGTTTTTAAGAAGCATTAGAATATTATGATTTTGCAATTTCGAAAGATCGTAATAATGCAGATTATTACAATAATAAAGGTATGATAAATCCATTATTATTGAGCAGCAAGTGTTCTACATGAATTGGATCGTTTAGACGAAGCATTACAATATTATGATTATGCAATAAAAAAAAATCCTAAATACGCAGATTATTATAACAATAAAGGTATGAATTTTCAGTTAAACTTTTACAGCAAATACGTTAGCCTAATTAAAAAGATTTGAAGAAGCATTAAATCATTATGAAAAAGCTCTTTCAATTGATCCCGAAAATTCAGAATATTATAATAATAAAGGTATAAACATTTATAAAATTAATAAGCAAATACTTTAATTGAATGTAAAGAGTATGAATAAGCATTAAAATATGGCACTGCTGCTATTTAGAGAAATCCAGAAAAAGAAATATATTTTAAAGTTTAAGGTAATAATGCTATAAATTTGGTAGCAAATACTTTACAAAAAATGAATAGATTTCACGAGGCGATAGAACACTCTGAACGCGCTATTTAAATAAATCCATAAAATGGTGATAATTATAGATAAAAAGGTAACAATCAAACAAATAATTGAATAGGATTTTCTTTACATTTATTGAATCGTTATTAAGAAGCATTAGAATGTTATAATTAAGCGATTGAAAAAAATCCTGAAAACTCGGAGTAGTATAATTATAAAGGTACTGAAAAATAATACTTAGCTTTAACTTTATGTTAAATGAACAGTTATGAAGAGGCATTAGAAAATTGTGATTATTCTATTTAAAGAAACCCTGAATTTTTTGACCAATATTACCTTAAAGGTAAAAATGAAGAAAATTGTATAGGCAGTATTTTAGCCCATTTAAACCGTTTTGAAGAAGCATTAGAATATTTAGATTAAGCTATCAAAATAAATCCTTAAAATTCCGATTTATATTACTGTTTATGTAAAATCAACTACTTATTGAGCAGCTATGTCTTTATTTAAAATGAATCGGTTTCAAGAAACATTACAAAATTGTGATTTAGCTATTTCAAAAGATCCTACAAAGTCTGATTATTATTCTTAGAAAGGTAAAAAATTACACACAATATTATTTAAAAGCATTTGCTTTAATCGCCTTGAACCGCTAAGAAGAAGCTTTGGAGTAATTTGAAATTGCTATTTAAAATAACTCTGATAATCCTGATCATTATGGCGAAAAAGGCATCAATTATATTTATATATTACTTAATAGCTTTTGCTCTAGAAGAGTTAAATAGAATTGATGAGGCATTAATATATTATGAAAAAGCTATATAAAAAGCTCCGGAAAATTCTGAATTTTTCAGTAACAAAGGTATTAGAAAATAAATATACTTTTTTAAGCAAGTGCATTAATTAAATTGAATCGTTATTAAGAAGCATTAGAATATTATGATTATGCAATTTAAAAAAATTCTGAAAATCCAGAAAATTACTATAATAAATGTTAATATATAGTAATAATAATAGCTATTGTTTTAAAAAAATTGTAACGCTTTAATGAAGCCTTAGAATAAATTGAAATTGCAATTTAAAAAAACCCAGAAAATCCATAATTCTACAATCAGAAAGGTTTTATCATATATAATATACTTTTCCAGCAAATACTTTAATTACATTAAATCGTTTTTAAGAGGCTTAGGAATATTATACTTATGCTATTCAGAGATGTCCAGAAAATGCCACATTTTATTACCATAAAGGTAAATATTTGATATTTATTGGGTAGCTATGATTTTAGAAGAATTGAATTCTTTAAATGAAGCATTAAAATATTATAATTATGCAATTGAAAGAGATCAAAAAAATGCAAAGTTTTATAATAATAAAGGTATTAGTCAAATGTATTATTTAATAGGAATTGCTCTAAGTAAATTAAATTAATATGAATAAGCCTTATAATAATTTGATTTAGCCATTAGTATTAATGCTGAATACTCAGATCTTTATCATAATAAGGGTATAATCTAATATATAATATAATAGCAAATGTTTTAGCTCATTAAAACAAATATGAGGAAGCCTTATAATATTATGATTTAGCCATATAGAGAAATCCTGAAAATTCAGAGTATTATCATAATAAAGGTTTTTTTTTATTTAAGAACAGCCAATTCTTTAACCAAACAGAATCTAAATGAAGAAGCATTAAAATATTTTGATTTAGCTATAGAGAAGAACCCTGAAAATTCAGAGTACTATCAAAATAAAGGTAAAATTAACCTAAATTTCATAAAAGCAATTACTTTAATAGAAATGCAAAAATTTTAAGAAGCATTAAGATTTTTTGATCTTGCTATTTAAAATGATTCAGATAATGCAAAATTCTACAACAATAAAGGCATAATAAATCTCATAAATATTAGCAATTGCTCTAGCTAAAATGGACCTTTTTGAAGAATCATTAAAAAATTTTGATATAGCTATTTAGAAATATCCTGAATTCTACCAATTTTATTTTAATAAAGGTAAATAACAAATAACTATTTGAGCAGCATTTACATTACACTAAATGGATCTTTTATAAGAAGCCCTATACTATTATGATTAGGCAATTTTAAGAAACCCTAGTTGTTCTGATCTCTATTATTATAAAGGTATTAATAATTTTGAAATAGCAAATACGCTAATCACATTAAATCGTATAACTGAAGCATAAGCATAATATGATATTGCAATATAGAAAAATCCTGAAAATAAAAATTATCGTATTCATAAGGGTAGTTTTACTCGTATATTTGTTAGAATAAGCAACCATCAACAATCAGAAAGAAAATACAAAGCAGGATAAACACGAAATTATAAAAGAATTTTTTCAGAATTCTAATTACAAATCATTCAATCATAGTAATAGTTGATTTATTGGCGAAAATTTAAATTAACTATTTCACACCATAATTCTGTTTATATTGTTATATTATAATTTGTATAATAATTTCAAGGTGAAAAAAAATTAAATAATTCACAACTTTACTTTATAAATTTCATTTTTACTTTTCTTTCTTCCTTTCATATATTGAATTGTTTTAAGTTATTGAAATTATGATATTATAGATTCATAATTGTATACAAATTATAAACAATAGTAAAACACTTCCTTTTTTATTTAAAAAGCAATTAAAGGACGGAGAGAAAACTATTTATACTTTTGTTAATTTCTAAGGATTAATAGATTTCTTCATCAAATACTTATTATTATTGAAGTAACTCATTGTTTTTAAGAGTTAACCTTTATATTTTAAATTAAATCAATAGTTTAGGAGTTATTTGATTTGATTTAGTTGAAATGTTATCTTTAATAATAATTGCATTACTAAATGTAAACATAATTAAATTAAAAAGGTTTATCATTCATTTATTATAATATTAACCTTTAGTAGGCTTTTAATCTCTTTTTTGGTGCCTGTCAATGTGTCCACATTTTGTAACTGCTATGGAGACCTATTTATTATTGATTCCTTATAGGGATGCAACAGGTTTAGTGTTTTTATCCAGTTTTGGTGATTTTGACTTTTGATTTTGAGGAAGAGTTGATTACATGATCAACTCAGCATATTTCTAAATATTTTTAATTTGAATACTTTAACTATTTATAATTCAGGGTATTCTATTTACTAATCATTATTTCTATCTTCAGCTTCTTTTTTCAGAACACGCATCATTAATTGATTTGCTAATTATATTTTATCGACTCTAACTAATTCATCTAATTAACCATAGATTTCTATCTTCTAATTGTATTGTGTTTATAATGATTATAACTTTTCTTAAAGTTCCTTGTTCTCTTAACTTAACTAGATCAATGTTTTTGTTAATTTTTAATTTTCAGTTTCTAAAACTGTAGGATTAGTTCTTATCTTTTAAATAGCTTCTTTTAAAAGTTGTTAATTATCAGGATGATGTACAACTTAATTGGTCCACTTAAATTTAATCATTTATTTAACCCATTTGTAGACATTGTATATTTTTGAGTAAACATAAGTAAATCCCTTATTTAATCTAGTTTTTACAAGATTGATTGCATTTTTAGTGTTTTCTAATTTGTAAAAGATATTCAGAACAGCTAAAACATTTTCTTATTATTTAGGGAATAATAGTTTAATTTAATTATCAAACAAGTACTTCTATTTTACTTCTTCAATCTATTGATTAAGCTTTGATATTTATTATTTTAGATCTTCAATTACGATTTATTGTTTATCTGGTTATTCTTTTTATTCTTACATAGTCTTAATTTATTTTTTTAATTTTTCTAATTCCTAATCCTTTTATTATATTTTTAGAGTAGCTTCATTTAATTTATTTCTGAAATCTGAACCCTATTAGGCTTTTTCTGCTTATAACTTAGTAATTTCTTCTTTAGTTTTATCTGGTATTACTTGATCCTTCTATTATCTCTATTGACATCCTACTTATATCTTCTACACTCTTGATAATTACTATTTCAATGATTCAATTTCTTTTTAATGTTGCTATTTTAAAGTAATCATATCCTATTTCAATTGCTCGTTTTCATAAATTAAATCATCTGTTTTGCTAGCTTTAGTTGAACAACTTGTTCGTGATTGATTAGTGTCCCCTTTTTGAATAGTTACTCTAAGAGTCTTAATTAAATCTTAATCTTGATTGTAGCGTAACTTATAGTCATTTATTAGGTTTTTGAGATTCAATATTTCTTCCTTTAATTTACTCACTTGCTCGTTATCATTTTATTTTTTTTTAGTTAAAGAAGGGGTATTTGTTGAATTAGTAATACTTTATTAAGCAGTTACCTTTATTGGATTGGCTTCATAATCGACTTGTTAAAATAGTGATTAGACTTTCTATTGCAATTTAGAAGGAATACTTTGCTTTTATATCTTTTTCATCAATTCCTCCTTTTTTTATTCTTGAATTAATTCTTCAGCCTTTTGTTAAACAATTCTTTAAAAATTTTCTTCAACCTACTACCTTTCCTTTTCTTTAGATTTAATGTAATTATTTAAACCAGCTAATTTAATTTTTTTCCCTTGACTTATTTGGCTATCATCATCCAACATTAGGACTGGTATTTCATAATCAAAATTAAAATTTTCATTATCTTTGACTTAGGACACAACACTCTCTTCTGGTGCTTCTTAAATTTCAAACAAATCATCCTCTTCCTCATCTAATTTGTTGATATCTTCCCATTTGATTAGATCCTTTGTTCTTGCTATTGGTTTAGACTTATCTTATTATTTTGATTCTTGACCTTAATCATAATTTTTTATATTTTCAATTTGTATTATTTCATTCTCTTCATCTTCATCTTCTTGATCTAACTCCTACAAGTGTTCATCCAAAATTTCAAATATACTTCTCGGTTTTGAATTCATTAATTATATTAATTCTCAATATGAGGTATGTCCAAACTATATTATAATAATTTTGATAATAAATGCTTTAAATATATTATAAGATTTAGTTATATTGAAAAAACTAAATTGTTTTTGTTCTACAAGATGGAAAGTTATATTTTAAGTATTAAATTTATTTCACTCTTTCTATAACTACTTCATACTTATTTATTAATTTACACTTTTAATGATATGTAGATTTATTATACAAAATTTAGTGATAATATATATAATTTAAAAACATATATTTTATCAATGAGGAAGTTAGTCTTTGGTTTTCTAATTTTTAATCTTATTTTCAAAGTGAATCATAATTTCTGAGAAATCCTAAAGAGTTATATGATCTATATAGATACTTTATAAATGTTTTTAAATGCTTCAAATGCAGTATCTCTTCTTTTTTATTAGTTCCTTTCATAATTCTCATTGTTCTTTTTACAAATATTCATCGTTCTTATATAAATATAACCCAAACCTTATAGAACAATCGAATATATTTAGAAATATAATGATGCAACATAATAACCTATGATAGCGGCTATTAAAGAAGTGAGGTTGGTTTCGTACATATCATTTGAAAAGTAATTGAAAATCAAAAGAAACTTACAAATGATGGCACAAAGAAGTGCAATAAATATTTTGATGATCAATAAAAATGAATCAACAGTATTCCCTATAGCTTATATGAATGAAAATACTTAGTTATTCGAAAAGCTCAGCAGCGTTTGAATCCTCTAATCTTAATTCCAAGTAGTCCTCGATGAATTTAAAACAGACATTAATTGTTATGCAATACTTCCTATTGATCGCTTACTCAATGTAAACAACCTCTTCAATTTGTCTGGTTTTTTTGTATATTTGAATAAAAGGCAGACAGCAACATTTAGTAAGTAAATTTCTAAACTTCTAGTTTTATCTCCTGACAGCCCAATCCTTAATAGCATCGCACATAAATTTAAGCGGAGATATCAATAAGAGAAATGAAGCAAATGCTATTTTGCCAATGTTATAGAAAGCTTCTTGCATAAAGTATCTAGTTAAAATAAGTGTAGCTTGATTTCGATTGTATTGTACATCTTACTGTTGATTATAACCCACTTGAATCCACTGCACCAAAGATGATGAAACCATGTAGTTGTTAATTCCAAAGATCACTTGGACTCCCCAAAAGAAGAAAAATACTATCAAGAATTGGAAATAATAGAGAACACCTCCTTAGATTTTTTCAAAGGGTCCAATTTATTAGAAATCAATCACAAAACAAGCTCTTAATGATCTATTAGAAATATTGATAAATGTATACAGAATGGTATAGATGGTTAAGAATAGAAAGAGATTAAGGACCAAAATCATTGGGTAAGATGCTTCTTATAGGTACTCATGATCAGCCATATATATTTCAACCTATTCAAATAATTGTGACAGATCTTTGATTCGATCGTAGTTGTTGTATAAGAAATAAGCTCCATAAAATGTTAGAATTACAAAAATTAAAGATAAGATGACCATTTTAATAGGATTTGGCACATTACTCATTTTCAAAATATATTCTTCATCCACCTAAAAAGAAGACATGGAATTAGTTTCTAATGAATTGGCGATAGCATCTCTGGCTTAAGAAACAAAAATAACTCCCAGAGTTCCCACAAAAATGAATAGTCCAAATGTCAAGCCCCAAACACTATATTAAGTATTTGCCTTCAGTTATGTGAGTAATTATTTAGAGGCAACGCCTGCAATGAGTATAAAGATAAGGAGCATCCATTTATTCTAGTACACATCACTGGTATTACTTAATCTAGAAGGTGGAGTGGATATTTCTTTGATCGCCTCATAATAAGCTAAATTTCTAGGCATACAAATGTTTCCCTTATAAACAAAGGTATCATATATTAAAAATTAAGTTTCTGGATGGTCTATGGAGAACTTAGCTTAACATTACTAAATAATAGAGTTAGGCATGCAATCTAATTGTTTTGGCACTACAAGATATGACTTGTATATGTACTGCCGTTTTTATGATCTGGTTTAGGACAGGATTTAACACAGACGGTTTAATGCAAAGTATTAGGTGTAGGATTGCCAAAATAAATGTAAGGATAATCTCTGGATCCAAAATCAGCACCGCATGCAATTGCTTTTTATTATGATGCTAATTACCATCTGGATCGAAGCCTCTTGTCAACTTTTCAGGTTAACCAAATAGAATTGCTGCAAATGTTAAAGAAATGAAAATCACAATGCAGGCTTAGAATGAAATCTTTACCATCTGAGTTGGATCAATGTGCATTCAGTTAATAATTATTATATACAAATATATAGATAGTAAATTATCAGTTCACAGTGCAAATGATGTATTCAAGAGTTTCAGTTATCTAAGAAGAAGCCTTGGTTCTATTTCTGAAACTCTTTTGAATTTGATGCAAAGTGTTCATTTCAGCATCTTCTCTTTCAGTGAATGGTTTCTGTGCTAATTTTGGTTATGGAGAGAATATAATTTCTTTTTAGTAATGAACCTGCATGTACAAGTACGTGACCTTTTTACTTGAACAAGGGATGACTGGAAAGTTGATAGTATGGAAATGTGTTGGGATTGTACTATTTTCAGTATTGTATGCAATTTTCATATGCTTATTAAATGAGGGGATTTCTTGAGATAGGGGGAGATTGGCCAATATCCCTAGAATACTCCTAGATTGCAAAAGAGCCAGTCGTTGTGTCTTCTTAAATTGCTGATCACTCATCTTAAATTATCTTTTTAGTGTTGTTCTATTACTCGTTTGTTATGATTACTTCTAAGACCCAAACTTCAACTAGAATCCTAGTATTCCATTTCTAAATGTAGAAATTGAGCTGCAATCTTAAATCTGAATTCTCATTCACCCATATTCCCTTGATCTGCCACAAGTTCAGTACATTCGAATGTCTCAAACTCGAGGGTTTCTACTCTACTCTCTGATTCAATATCAGTTCAGCGAACTCATGCAACAACACTTTATGTGGTTTTAACATAAAATAAATAAAAAACTCAGAAATTTAAAATTACTTTTATCAATTCTCTTTCTCCCTAATCAATCAAACACCTATTTCGCATCTCTTTAATGAAATTTGAACGTCCTCTCAAAAAGTCTTTCACATGTTATTTGTAATTCCTCTCCTTATTATGATTCTAAGTCAAATATAATATTCTCTGTAAATCCTCCTCTCCATCCAAACGGTTTACAAATTTTTGAAATGAATATTTAACTGAGTAATAATACAGAGTGGCCACATTCACACTTTTCAATAAGTCTACTGCATATTAACAAATTGCCCTTAATATACAACAATACTCTTGTTTCTATTATTATTATTCTTATTTATTCTGATTTTTATCATCTTACTTAATGAAATCCTCCAAATCTTCATCAATGCATTCACTTATTTTGTGCATAATTGGTGTGTATTTGGTTTTCCAATAATCTGGATTCATATGTTAGATTTGGTTGTATAAATAATCTGGATCCTCTAGTAATTTGTGATAATGTATATCTCCTATAAAAATGTAAAGTAAATCAAAGGTCCTATTCATTGCAATATTCCTTTGCAAATGATCGTCTGCAGTATTCTCATAAAAATCAGACATCTTCGATTTGACTTTCACATTTCCATTGATATGTTTCATTTATATTGAAGATTGTCTCTAGAAATCATTCGGTTATACTAACAGAGTCTTAGCAGAAGTGGCCATCTTTAATGCTTCTTAATACGTGGTTTATTTTTTGATTACTTTGTGTATATATTTGTTGACATTCATTTGTCCTTTTTAAGACAGAGAGTCAAGGAAGTCGTTGAAAATATGCAAAGATTCCTCTTCAACCTATTATTTAGTGAAGGGATGAAATGCTGGGATTTTTGTGATAAATTTTTCAATTAGAGCGTGTTTCACAATTTCTAATATCCTCAAAATAGGGAGGATGGTCAGAATGTAAATATTGTAATATAGGATTTCTTCTTATTTATTGGATGCGAAATGCTATTCTTCAGGATGGATGTTGTCCAATATCTTTTATATTTATCTTCTTTCCTTTTTTATCTTTATTAGACCTAAAATAATGCTAATTTTCATTATTATATTAATGATCTTTAAAAGATAATAAATTTGGTATATAGATATTTAATAAGTTCATTTTTTTTTCTGAAACAAGGAGTTATATTGCGTGTTAACAGTGGATTTATTGAAAACAGTTGTTTTTGATATAGAACCTTAAGATCCTTTTCTTGAGAATTATTATTGAGACAGAGTAGCCTACATGACAGCTGAAGTCATGGTATTCTGCAACTTTTTATCCAAGGAGGACTTTCTACCGCCTTTATTAATTGGACTGCTGGAATCGACCATTGGAAACATCTATTATTATTTCTTATACGTTGGACTTTGGTGAGTCGAAACCTAAAACTAAATATCTTCCTGTGATGTAGTTTTCCTCTGCATAAACTACCCTTAGGAGTAGGACTAAGACTTCTGATGAAGAGCACGACTGGGGTGTTGAAAATCATTATCAATGTTAGATGTTTCTGAATCCTTCTTAACATTAGAAGAATCCTTCTTAGTTGGAGATGGGGACTTATCAACACTAATATTGACACTCCCATTATTTTAGTTTCTAAAAATCAAAGATGATTTATATTCATTCCTCTTCTTTTAAACTATGCGATTATACAGAAAATTCTGGTATTCTTTTATCGAATATTTGCGATTGTCATCCATATATGTTTCAAAAGGAGTGTCTAAAAATACTAATACCAATACCTCTCTTAGTTTCATCTTCAGAATTCTTAAATTCCTTGATATAGCGATGCTCCAATGCCTACTCTACAGTCATTCTTTTATTGGGATTGTAAACCAGCGTTTTTCTATGAGATTCATAAATATTGTATAATATACCTGAGAAAATCAATAGCATCTTCTGTGGCAGCAGAAAAATACTAAGCAAAACTCTTCCTCTTTTGTGTATGTATTTCGTTCAAGACTCGTTCTGCCAATGGTGCTTGTATTGCTTCGATATCATCAGGTTTTGGTCGACCACAGAGTTCTATTATCCTTTCAATCTAATTCAAAGTGGAAGTTCCAGGAAATATGGCTTTTCCAACTATCATCTCTCCCACAATGCATCCCAAACTCCACATGTCAACTGCCTTTGAATAAAATTGAGATCCCAACAATATTTCAGGTGCTCTATACCATCTAGTTGCTACATATTCAGTTAGAATTGGGTTCGTGTTGTCATCTGGTTTTGCTACACTCCTTGCCAATCCAAAATCTGCTACTTTCACTTTACATTCTGAATTGATCAGCAAATTCGAAGGCTTCAAATCTCGATGTATCAATTCTCCAGTATGCAGATATTTTAAACCCTTTAAAACTTGATACACGATATATTTCTTATGGATAGGCTCAAGGATATTCGCTCGTATCACCTACTTCTCAATCGTACATTATTACCTTATGTAAATCTGTCTCCATGTAATCGAATACCATATATAAATCTTTGTTGTTCTCTGCCTTTATGACAGATGTCAATTTAATTATGTTTTCATGATTGTTCAGTTGCTCCAAAAACATCACTTCTCTGAATGTTCTCTACGAATCAGTTGCATTGTGAAAAGCGTCGAAAATCTGAATTGAATAAACAACATTACTTTCTTTAGTGCCACAATTTATTTTGTTTTGCGATCTATTGCCTTCCACACCACACCGTATGCTCCCTTCCCCTTAAATTCCAGCAATTCAAACTTCTTCAGTATATGATCCTCCACCTAGCATTATTCATCCTCCTTAGGTGGCTATTTCGATGATGGTTACATATAAAATTATATAATATATATTATTATTTCTAACATACAAAATTGGATTATAAAATAAATCATTTTTAATAATTATTAATCCCAATTACATTATTCAACAACTACTACTGAATCCTTAATTTCTACAATACTTTTTACTTTGGTTATCACAATTTCAAACAAAAATAAATAATGTCAATTTAATTTGCATTAATTATTGTAACCACTTAAGAGGTTCCTCATTTTCAGACTCATCTTCAAAATTATTCACCTCTTATACATCTCATCTCCAATCTTTTTGGGACACTTTCCAAATATACATCTTTATTGTCTTTAAATATGGGTGATAAATAGAGTGGCAAAAGCTATGTGGATATTTTATTGATCCCCCTATAAACTACGTCTTCGTAAACTTAATTCTATGTTTTTAATATTGAAACTTGGGTTGTCTATATCAATATTATTATTATTTTAATATAAATGCTTAAAGGGGTGAAAGTACGCAAGGTGTATGAAGATGAAATCGAGGAACCTGTTAGATAGAGTAATTACTGATTGTTGATTAATAGAGAAAGTTAGAATCATGGATGATCAATTGCACAAGCAAAGAATTAAGGAGAAGGGACTACAATTTGATGACTTAGAGGATGATGATCAACAACCAGACCATCAGAAAACTAGGTAGGAAAAGAATAAGGAAAATTAAAAGAAGGGCGAAATGCTGTTTTAGCAAAGATAATAATAGAAGGCGATTTCTGAATGCGAGTTTTGTTTGAGCAATGAGAAATTAAGTCAATATTACATTCTAAGTCAAAGCAACAATGTGATGCTAGTATTGCCAAAACAAAGTAATACATAATTGTGCTATTAAAAGGGTTTTATAATGCTTACACTCACTTATTAATAGTGCCAATGGAGCATGTTCAATGCATTAGAGATGTAGAAGATGAGACTTATGAAGAGATTAGAAACTATTAAAAATGTTTGGTTGGAGCATTTGATAAGGCAAACTTGGAGTGCATCTTTTATGAGAATGCTTTCAAGTTTAAATATGTTCCTCATGCTATTATTGAATGTGTTGCTATACCATATAAGATTAGCAAGGAGGCTAATTTAAATTTATATTTCAAACAAGGGATGGATGAATTAGATGGATTCTGGTCAACTCACAAAAAGATCATTGAAATTCAAAAGAATAAGGGAGGAATAAGGAAATAGATTCCAAAAGGATTTGCATATTTTTATGTTGATTTCAGTTTAAAGTTGGGATATGCTCACGTGATTGAGAATGAGAATAATTTTTCATCGAATTTTGCTAGAGAGATATTGGCATCGATTCTGAGTGTCGAGAAATCAAATGTTTTGAGTCCAAAGCCAAGAACTGAGTAAGAAGCCAAATAAGAGAATGACGCATTTTAATTAATATGGAAATCATACGATTGGACGAGGATGTTAAAATAGTGAGTATTAATAGGAATATTTAATTTATATTGAATTGTTTTTTTGTGCTAGATGATCAAAAGAGAAAAATAGTAAGGATTTCAAAAATATAATTTAATTTAAATAACGATAGGATGAACTCAGAGATTGCACGTTTGGAGGAGTTGAAGCAGGCTGAAATTCAGTTGATGTAATAGGTTTATGAATAGAAAGTAATAATATTGATTAATGAGATCAGATCAATTACTTAAATACAAAGTTGTAATTATTGACAAAGGAGGTGAGCAAGAAGGATTAAGAGATATTGCAATATAGTTCATAAAGTTAAGGAGCAAATAAGGTGAAGACTGAGTAGAGTTAGAAGGATTTGGAAGCGGAGAAACAATATTAGAAGGAGTATTTGAGTGCTTTGTAATTGGAGAAGGAGTAGGAAGTGGCCAAATTAAAGAATCAATATGCACAAGATATATAGAATTGTCAGAATTTATTGCGAAATAGAGATAAGATAATTGAACAGTTGAGTAGCGAATTGCAGTAACATAGACAGCAATCTTTGAAGTACATGGACAATTAGAAAATTTAATACTTATCATAAATTCTAGATTTGTCAAGTGAATTATAATTATTATTGTGATTAAATTGTATAAAAGTTTGGTAATGAATTTCAGGTTTTATATTTATTTATATCTAATTCTAGTAAAAAAATGTGAGAAATAAATTTTCAAATGAATCAAAAAAAATAATTGTTATCCACGATTTCATAAGAGAAAGCCTGTGAAATTAAAAAAAAGATTCATAAGCCATTAAGTCAATAATCTCTATACTTTTGGGGAGACAATTACATAGAGTCATTGAGATAATCTTTCATTTCTGGGAATTACATGTACCTTAATTTATTGCAATTTCCTTAACTGAAACCCACAAACTTAAAAGTGTTGAAGGCGTAGAAACCAAAGAATTTGTTTGATGATATTCCTATTCTGGTTGGAGTGGATGAAATTACTGAGTCAGAGTAAATATATAATTAGCAAAAGTAGAGTATGCTCAATATGTTTGTTAGAGCTAAACGAGAAAATCTTAATTAAAATTCTATAATGCAATCATTATTTCCATAGCGATTGCATAAAGGAATGGGTTTTGAGAAAACCAGAGTGTCCTACCTGTAGAGAATAAATTCTTTCATAATGATTAATTAATTTAGTATATTAAATATCAGCAACACCCTTTCTTCTTTTAAACTTTAGTTTTATCTGTAGTGAGCATCTCAGTATCTTTATTTGCTGAGTTTATGATTTTCCTGATATTTCTAGCAAGAGAAACGAAAACCTCACTTAGATTAATTCCCAACTTGGCTGAAGTCTCAAAAAAGTTGAGATTATGTTTATTGGCCAAAGTCTATCCTTAATCTCTTGAAACCTGTCTCAATTCATCTAGATCAGACTTATTGCCAACTAAAACAATCGAAACTGTATTTGTATCAATGTTATCTTTTATTGACTTAGATTAACTTAAGTTTTACTTCTAGCCAACCTTCAACATGTTCAAAAGTGCTTTTTGATGTAATATCATACACCAACACAAATCCCTATGCTCCTTTGAATGTATTTTTTGTGATGGATTTGAAACGCTCTTGACCACATGTATCCCATATCATCATTTTTATAGTTTCTCTTTCATTCATTTAAATCATCTTTACTCTGGAATCAGCTCCAATTGTAGGAAGAGAGTTCATTTTAAAATTAGTATCACAATATTGCGTCATAATGTTTGTCTTTCCCACTGTTGTATCTCCAATGATTACTACTTTTACTAATATATCTATTTTTTCCATTTTGTAAAAATATAATTATATGATTATGTAAATTTATTTATCTTTTATTCAATCCAATATTGGTTTCGTATTTGGTTAAATTGGTAAGAACCAAATTAGAGGATTGACGCCAAACACTTCAACAATGTTCTCTAAAGCACTCTTCTGAACTGGTTGTCTGGGTTTGTTCTCGCAATATTCAAGGGTTGTGATGTTAGATTTGATAGCCCTATTGATCTCATTATAATGCATTAGAGTACCATAAGTGGAAAAACGTGAAGGCAGTTAAAAGTATCCACAAGAAACAACAATACAAAAAAGTGAAAGAAACCAGGAAGAGTTTACTATCAGATGAATATGAATTTAGAGTATCATAATAGCAACGACTGTAAGTCACCATTATAAAACTTATAAGCAACCCTAAATATTATGTATCTTATACATGAATAACCAAGTAAATTGATAAACAATTTATAATTGTTGTAACCTATGCAATTATTGAGCCATTGACAATGATGATCCATTTTCAACCAGCATGTCTTGCATTGACGGCAATGATGACAACGTTTTGGTTTGAATGCCTAGCAATTCTTACAGAACCGATGTCCAGATTTATCTATCAATTCCAACCTTGCTTTGGAATTCAATTGCAATCGTTGTTCATCATCTATTTCTGAGGAGAAGGATGTTGATGTCTATGATCCCTTCTTGTGAAAATTGATCATGTTCTCCTCATTCTCTATCATCTTGTTAATCTCCCCCTCCACTTTGTTCAACCATTCCTTAGGCACTTTCCCAGGCAATATTGTTACTACTCTTATTAATGTAATTAAAAAGAGAACAAGTATTGTATGCAATAATACTGTAATTACCACAGTTGAATTACTGAATACATAGTCATTGATGTGTACTAATTGAATCAAGTAAGTGTTTATTTCTAACACTGGTTTTTCAATGTACTCCGATCTTATTCGGGGTAACAAGTAGGTCTTGAACATTAATAGGCATCATATACCTACATATAAATTCCGTAGAAGAATAGAAATATTGCGACTAATATAACAAAAGGCGTCCATGTTCCGATGTAACAAAGCAATTGACCTTGCTTATAATATTTCATTTAATTATTTATAATTTAAAAACGTATTTATGGGGAGACAATGATGAAGCAACTCTGCATTACTTAAATTTACTCATAATTAATATATAATTAAATAATTATTAAAAATAAAATGAATTAAGGAGACAAACCTATGTTGTAGAAGTAGCAATAGGAAATTATGGAAATATTCAATGAATTCAAATCGCCAGAAACCAATCTATTGAATGTTAGCGAATTCTTGGAAATTCTATAAACCACCGGACTCGATAGGAATTGTGAATTGCTTGTAAAGAAACTAGAAAATCTAAGAGGGAATTAGCTTGACTTAAATCAATTTACAGAATAATTTAATTTCAACTACAATCTCTATGAAAATTTCGAAATGATTTTCTAAATTATGGACACCACCAATTCTGGAAAGATAAGCAAAGATGAATTAAAAAAGCAAAGTGAATTTTGGGGTAAATTAAATGAAACACATGATTTTAGGATTGCAATTATCTGAGAGAGATATAGAAATAATGATCACTTATAGTGGCAGTGATGAATAAGACTCAGTATCTAAGGAAAAATTATGGAGTTTGTTGTAACAATATTAAAACAATAAAATGCTATAATGATTATTTAATATTATATTATTAATGTAAATTATTGGCACTTTTATCATAGAAATGATAATGGGATCTACGTTAAGTATGATGTCATCGTTATCTCAATAGATTGGACAATTCTCAAAACCTATGCTCTTAATGAATTAGGTGAGAATAAAGAGGAAAGCCACTTATAAAAAGTAGAATCCTTCCTCTTAATAGTTGAATTGAATTTAGGGATGCTTGCAAGAGTATAAAAGTTAAAAAGTATTTGATTAGTTGTACTTAAATAAATATTTTAATCGGAAAGTGAAGATGGTCGTGCTCCTCTTATAAATAGTGATTTATTCTTTTAGTTTGTTTCTTTTCGGATTCATAAAAGACATGCCTTTAATTTTGAATATCTTACCAAATATCTATGTTTTTTTGTTAGGATTGGTATTGTTGGATCCTATGGATTCAATGTTGAATGAAAATCCACTTAATTTCGGTATGGTGTAATAATCCACATAGAGATAAATGCATCTGTTAGTTTTTGGGAGGGATTTCATTCGGGTGGTTGATATTTGGATTGGTGCTTCAATTGTTAATAAACCCAAAGATCGGAGATCTATCAGATTCTGAGGATATACATTACAAAAGGGGTTGCTTGATTTATGCAATGTTGATTTTCATTTTAGGAGGAGTGGGAACATACTTGTGGTTTCCAAGATACTCAACAGTTGAGGAGGAATTCGATTCAAAGGAAAATTTGAGAGGAGCCATGAATACAAGGAATGTGATCCACAACACATTTTTAGTATAAGAGAAGAGAATGTACAAGGATGAACATTTTTATATGATAATGTACCAATTTATAATGTTATTCACTCCAGCTATAGGGAGTCTTAATTACATCAATTATTAAGGTGAGTATATTTTTATTACATATTGTGTGATGGGTGTAGCCACAACAATAGGAGCCTTTTTGCCTATTTTAATAAGCCAACCATATAAAATAAACATAATAGTTTCTTTATGTTAGATAGGAATGATGATAGCATTGAATCTTTTGGGAGTTGTATATGGACATCTGATATTGAAATTACTTTGTTTATCATTGTAATTCATATTATTTGGGTTCATTTTGAGTTTCAATGTGATCATCTTATAGACAACATATGATAATGTGGTTGATAACATTCCAATTGCCTTTATTGCATTGACTTTGGCAGTTTTGTCTCAATATGCAGTGTTCGTATTTTTGGGAAATAAGAAGTTAATCTAATCGATAGAATTCTCATTGATCTTGTTGTCCTTTTTGACAAACATTTTAAACAATTATAAATAATGAATACAATTATTAATAATAGTAATAACAATCTTAATATAATCAAAACACCTGAATATTTTAAATATCTCAGATTTTGTTCATAATTGGATTCTAAATTATTTACAAGTGGCTTTTAAGGGAATTAATCTCACATTTCTCTAGATCATCTGAGGCATCTGGATTCAGTATTTAATCTTATTATTAATATTTAATCAGAATATCTTTTAAGAAATCTTGCATCTCTTTATTTTTTAAATTTCCTCTACTTTTTGAGTCTTAAAGTGCATCCAATTTGTATTTTTGCAAAGGAAAAGAAGTTGATTTGCTGATAAGCTTAAATATCATAGATTAATTCAATCAAAACCTCTTCATTTGTCAAATAGAACACCAATCCAAGAGAACAATCAATTTCTTTGTCTCTCATAAAGAGAGCTTCCCCTGGAAAACACGATTTTACATATTCTTCAGGATTCATATTGGCTTCTTATACCAAATGGGGATCCAATACAAAAAATTATCTATCGACAAAACCTATAATGAAATTAGCTTCCCTAGGCCTACCTCCCAGCAAAATATTTCTTCTTCATAAATTGTCTAATAACTTAAATTTAATCTGGATTAGGTTCATCACATCCAATTCTGCTTAATAAACAAATTGCCACTGCTCTAATTAGGACAAAACATTTCTAGCAAACATATTTTTTTAACAACATTCCGATCTTCTGCTTATTCGATTATGATAGATCCTCATAAAATACTTTACTATTTTAATCATTCCCATGTATAAACTAAATCATTTCATCCTCCTTATTGATTTCCAGTCTCTCTACATCCTGTAAGAATTTGTCAATTAAAAACACTCTCTATTCACAATTACAATTATCCATCACACACATCTGTTGCAAAACAACCTTTAATCTATTTGGCTCTCATAGAATGGTAAAAAGCTCAAACCGCAACTATCTTTTCTCTTAAATTATAAACTTACAAATTATATTATTATCTGATTGAATTTTGTAAATAACATAGACTATCTGATTTGGACTATACCATTCTCCAGGCTTCTTGCCCCATTTTTTATATGCTTCTCTCATTATCTTCTGAATGGAAAACCTATATTTAGATGGTTTCCCTTATAACTTCGAACTCTCCATTTCATCATCATCTTTGAACAACTGCAAGACTTCCTACATTAGGAGAGGAAGTGAGAATAAATTCACATTATAGAAACACTTCAAATGCCTTTATAAGAGTTCTGCCATCATCATTTATCCTACTCTAATTACATAGACCCATCCAGAATCCGTTGTCAAAGTGCTGTTCCAACATTAATATACTTGGAATCCCTATCTATAAGTAAAACGAATGGTAAGAATGATCACATCCAGAATATCCTTCTTACTCTCCATAAATCTTCCCATAATATAACCCTCGTCTTTCACTTCATATTGAAACAGTGCTCTATAATGGTAAATTGTTGAGTACCTAAAGAATAATAGAATTACTTATGTACCGTTTTGCTAGATCTAGTGTCTAATTTATTACATATTATAAATATATATCTATATATTAAATTATCTTTCATGCCTTCAAAATGAACACCAAACATTTCACTATTTGAATAGCATCACTCATTCCTATCACCTTCACTACCACATCCAAGTTCTACCTAATTATTATTTTTATCCAATATCTAACTCGGATATCCTATAAAGTGAATTCTCCTCCCAATTTCAAATCCTTCAATTACGGTTTTCCATCATCCAAAAAGTCTTTCAAATCAACCAAATAGCACAAATTCGGAATATACCTCTTAAAATCCAACACGCTTTTAATAACCTTCTCATTCAATTTAAATATCTCTGATCTATGGCAAAATAACTTCTTCTCCTTCCAAATGTATTTAAAATACCTCCTTCCTATTGGCAAAAAATTCATGAATTGACTCAATAAACAAGGGACCATAAACACAGCCTCACACACCTTATCATCCTCAATCCATTAAAATTAACCTCATATTTATTATATTTACCTTTCAATGGCTCAAATAAACTATATTAATAGGCTATCAAACATGACATTCTGCATTACTTTCTACCTAGAATTTGACTGTCCATTTTATTTTAAGGTACCCAAAATTGCAACCCTCTTGGCTCCTCAAAAACCATCGAGCAATTATCTAAAATCTTTTAACGCTTATTTCCTATATAAAAAGTTAATTCTAAAAAGTTGCAATTAAGTTCTTCTTTTAATATAAATTTCTTTATTACTCCCAATTAGATCTCAGGAGAATCAAATAGAGTTTATTTATTTTTTATACTCGATAACTTAAACTTCTTTAATTAATGTTAATCTTCCGAATTGATGTTCAAGTATCCTTAAACCAACTGCCCAGAATATTATTTATCCGGTAGTTATCTCCTCTTGAATTTTTCCAGTTCGAATTGAACTCGCTGTCTCAAAGCTTTTTCATTCTCATGAAAAGGATTCTTTTATGGTTCTGAAACAATGGTTGATCTCACACTTTTAGCAGTTCTATCAGATGGCTAATTCTCTATTACCAGAATAGGGACTGAATTTTTTTATTAATTCTATTATGGAGGAGCCAATTGGTTATCTTTTAAGGAGACTTTGATGTTCAATGATTTTGCTATCCATTCTAGAAATTGATTGAAATTTTTGAATTTATCTTTTTGTTGCTTATTCACTTACTTATTGAATTATTGTTCAAAGGATTAAATAGTTTTTAATTACTCCAATTACTCACTCGTTAAAATACTTTGATTACTTTTAAGTATGTCCTCAATCGATGATATTCTCTCTGCAAAAGTAGATTTAAAACTATCAAGCACTAACGAATTATAATTGTTATTATAATACTGCAGATGTGTTTTTCCTCAATTGTAGATATAGATTAGACTATTGTAGTTAGTCCTTAAAGGTCTAATTAATGATCATAAACAATTTGTTAAAATGACTGTAATGTAAGCACTTCTCTATTTTGATCATTTCGTTGCAATTCGAATAACTTATTAGCATGCACATATGTATTTGGTAAATCTATTCCTTAGTTCATAAGAATGTCGATGGCTTCTCGATACTTGTCGATCTAGGCAACAGTTCCAAAATATTTCAAAGATTCCAAAGAAATCTAATTAAGGGCATTCTATTGGTTCTGGCAGGTTTTGAGTATGAAGTCATAAAGCAATTGATCTTTATTCAAGGCGTTTCTGATTTTATCTTATTGGCTTAGATGTATGAGTAACTATGAATGAGAATAAGGGATTGTACGAGAAGAGAGTTAATTTTGAGTTGCAATTTGTAATCAGTTGTCAAGCATTTGAGTGCGTTTTTGATGTGTTTAATGTCAGATTGTGCATTGAGTATGTTTTATATACTCTAAATAGTGTGTAGAAATGAGTCCATTATTAATTAATTATGCAACAACTTTTCGATTGTCCAATATGTTTATAAACATTGTTACAACCAATCACTTTAACATGTGGTCATACGTTTTGTAAACCTTGTGTTCGCAATAAATACTTCTATCAAAATTACAACTCATGTCCAGTGTGCAGGGCACCAATTTAGATATACTTGAATTAGTTTAAGGTTAACATTCTGTTGGAGACACTTATCAAATAGGAATTTAATAGTGAATAGAATTATTAGTTGAGAGTGTTAAACTATCAAAAGCGATTGGATTTGAGAAATAGAAGGAAATGGTATCACACTATGATGTTAATTATATTTGAATATTCTAAATAGATATGGAGGATAATCTAAAAGATGTTGCCTCTTTACTTAATAGGTATAGTTTGGATCATATATAGTGTTGGTGATATTGATGTATATGAGTGTGAAATCTAATTTGAGGTTTGAGAAATTACAAAAATAGTTTACTAAGCGTGTTAAGCTAGAAAAATTAAGTGAAGAGATAGCTAAAATGGTATCATTGCTCAAGGCAGATAATCAAGATGCAAAGGATTTGGATATATAAAATTTAGTGTTTTCCAAAATAGTCAAGTACTTATTTACAAACTGTGTGAGATTTTGAATGCTTTAATGAATAACATTATAATATTCATTAAACCAATTATCTTTTATTTAGATCTTCTACTCCTTACTCGAAAAAACATTTGAAAATCCTCTTTTCCTAAGTCATTTGTGCCCATCCATCCAACTTTCCTTCAATGTAATTTCCTTGGTATATTATTCCATCTCTCTTCAAAGTGCCTTTGCCATGTCTCTACCCTTGTTTGAAATCCCCTATATTTGATATAACTTATAATACCTTCGTAATAATCTCCCAGACTTCTAATGTACACACCCTTACCATTCAATTTGCCATCATCAAAAATACCTTCTTGTCTCCATCCATTTTTCTTCTCTATCAATACTCCTTAACCACATATCTTATCATTTACAAATGCTCCTTCATATGTAAAAATATCATTTTCTAATTTGCCCTTACCATGCTTCATTCCATTTTTAAATCCTCCCTTATATTTTTCTGTCTAACTAAGATATTCTCCATTATCATCATTTAGTGCTTATTGCGAAAACCTACCCTTAAACACTCGCTTATCCGAAAAAACAAGAACACCTTCCAAAAATTGCTCATCCTTTGCATCTCCTTCAAATAAAAAGTTTTCAGTTATAATTAATCCTTAAACAAAGACTCCATTTTACCAATAGCCATAAAAAAATTTTTTTTCCTAATCATCAAATACTTAACCTCTTCCATTCTATTATTCATTTTACCAAAATCCTTAATACACTCTGTTGATTCCAATATTTGTAGCATTTTTGAAGACAGCATCTTTGGCCTCATATATAGGATTGAATTTAATGGATTTTAATTTTGCTTTAACGAATGCTGGGACTTCCATAATTTTCAAGTATTCTGGGATTGTCTCATTTGGTATTGGAATCTTATGAACAAGGATTTAGAATTGCAATTATATTATGCATTGCTCCAACTATTCGATTCTTTAGTCCATTTAAAATAGAATTAAATTTTTATTTGATATTCATTTGCTTCGAAAAAGATTTGAATGCTATTTGGGAAGAGTTGATTATTTATACATAATATATATAATTTAATATATAAATTAATTAATGGAGGAACCAAAAGTTGAATTGGATGATTTGGAAGTTAATTAGGAACGATTAAAATTAAACACCAATCAACTTAAAAACCTTAGAGTATATGGATCATTGAATGCTGGTATGATAGCAGGTATATTGGGAATGGGTAGAAATTGATGAATAATATTAGATGGATGGATAGGAATAGGAATTTATGTTGCGATATTCTTGATTGTGAGTGCTTGTTTGGCAATCAAAATGAATTTCAGAGTCAAAGAGTACTTCAAATCCAGTTATGATGCATATTATTCAGGAATCGGAACAGATTTGTTATTATTCTTAATGATTTGGGTTATTTTCCATAATCTAGTCAATATATTATGAAAGTCAGCAATTTATATTAATCAAATCCTTATTCAGGATCATACCTGAGTAATTCCCCAAAACTTAATTTTCCAATTATCAACAATTATTAAATTCTTTATATATATATCTCTCGTCTCATGGATGAAGAATCAGTATCATTACTCATTGAGTACATTCTAGGATTGAGTGATGTCTTTGAATTCGATTCAGATAGATTATAGTAGTGGAAATGCAAACAAAACAAAGACACTAAGAAATTATCATTTAAACCGAAAGGTAAATTCATAAGCCAAATCTCTGCAGAATTAAATCATTCAATAAGTGTGAAATTAGATCATTTGAGAGATTAATCAAAACAACAAACAGATGCCATCATGTATAAATTTAATGCTCAAGATTATGCTCTCTAACAGCTCAAGTAGTAAATTAAAGATAAGCCAAGCCATGAGGATTTGTGTGATATCCAAATTGAAATTCGTCAATTAAAACGAGAACGTCAAGAAGATATCACCAAAATCTAAACTCAATTCAATAATGAATTAACAACAATTTAGCAATCACTTGAATCCTGTATAAATACTCAAGATTTCCATTCCATCTTTGAAGAGGAGATAAGCGACCATATGAGTAAACTTCAAGCCAAATTTGCTCCCAAAGACTTAACTCTTTAACAATTGGATCTCCTGGATTGTAGATTTCATCATGTGAGTGAGTAACTAATTGAGCTCAAACGATTTACCAATACTAATATTAACACAATTGTGAACAAATAAGATGTATTGAGTAATTGATAAATTTCCCTTTAGTTCATTCTCTCAGACTTAACTACAACTGTTAAATTACATGAATTTGATGAATTTGTAGAATCTTCCAAATAATTTGCAACCCAAACACAACTTACATTATTGCAGAATCTCCTCCTACCCAAAATTAAAGAAATATAAGACATGGTCGACAAGAGTTTAAATGAAGTAGAAGGGTTCCGCAAAGTTATCAAGGCAACAGATTATGAATTATTACAAAAATCTACCAAAATGGACTTCCTTATTTTAAAATAAGAAAATGAAGAAAATAGACTTCACTCCTAAAACATTTTGCTTTAAATTTTAGAAACATAAAAATAAATCACTAAATTCTATCAATACTTTGATGAACAAAAGGCAATTATGGCAAAGTAGTTAACAGAATAAATAATAAGTAAAATAGAAGAAATTATTAAGCAAAATGTTGTAAATTAGATGGAAGCCTATAATCTTCAAGATGTTGCATAATAAATAGATTGTCTTTAAGATTTTCTAAAGACTAAGGCAAACAAAATTGATGTTTCAGATGCTTTAAAACTAAAATCAAATCAAAAAGAATTCTTGAATCTTGAAGATCAAATCAATCTTATGAGTTAGACTTTTAAATCTTAGATAAGAATTTTAGCTGAATTTATGGAGTTATTTGGAATGAATACAGATAATGAATCCATGAATTTTAAAAAGAATGCAATTCAAAAATTGATCTTTGATGCCAAAGCACTTAAAAATAGTTTTCAACAAATGCATCAACTTACAGGAATTGAAGATTAACCAGCTACAACAAGACAAAGTACTCACAGAAAAAAGTTCAGTACATCTCCTAAAAATAATGGAGTCAAACTACTACTAAGACCCTTATTATCAAACACATTTTCTCTTCAATAAGCTAAAAGAAGTAAATTGAACGCTTCAAATATATCATGATTATTTATATATATTAAAATTACCTAAATTACTCTATATATATTAAGAAAATCCAATTAATATCTTTAAATAATATATATTAAAAGTCGATCAATCATTGAGAATGCAGCAGAAAGAAAACGACGACGATGAATCAAGAAAGTGCTGTAACATATCTATAATAAGTAAGAATCTTATGATTAATTAGAGTAATCAAGTCATTTCTAGAGGAAAATAAAGACTCTATTTTGTATTTTATGACAGATAAGCAACTCAAAAATAATAAAATAGGTCTGAATTCAAAGTGTGAGAACAAAATTCAAAGGAACCTCCATAGTTAGATTACTACAAAATTAGTCTTCTTAAAAAGTATGGAATGATGATTTTTTAATAATCAATATTTTTGAGAGAAGATGTAAAGTTTTAGAATGTATTGTTCAACTTATAATTATGATTCATTTATTAAGTTCCATAATTACTGAAGAAAAAGGCAAATAAAATAGAAAATGCAATTTAATTGAGATTCTTGGATCTCATATGTTAAGTCTAAATTAAATAATTAATTTGTTAAATAAATCACTATGATTATTACAAGATTATAAGCATATCATTAAATAATAGTAGCTATTTTATTTAAAAGTATCAAGTATTACTTTATTATTATTATAAAATTAATACAAATATATATAATATAAAAGAAATTCAAAGTATCAGCATAAGTGGCCGAATTAAATAGCACCAATTGGATTTGAATAAACATCTTTAATAGATTAAAATGGAAGTATGATTAATCCAAAGGCTATAACTCCCAAAAGTACTTAGATTAGAATGGATTCCCTTTGATATTTATGCACTACTTTTTTAAGGACTCCTGCAACCAAATAACTGCCAGAACTAGAAACCAACTAAACTATATTTCTATTTTTTACCCCTAAAATTATGAATTCTTCAAATTAATATCCTCCAGAAAGAGCAATGATAAAAACTGAGATGGATGAAGTAAATAAGACTGTGAAGGTAGCTGAAGCTGCTGCTCTAGGAGGGTTTATTCCAGTTTCCAACCAAAGAGGAGTCAATACTACACCTCCTCCTAGACCAACAAGTCCACCCAAAAATCCAGCATATAGACTGGATTTAACTGTAATATCAAATACTGCGCTCATTTTACCGTCTGAAAAATCATAACCAATTGATTGTTTATATTCTTCATCTTTCGATATCAATTTTCTATATCTTTAAACATTATAACAAGCAATTCCAAATATGACAAAGTTCAAAAGATGAAAACCTAAACCACAATAATCAATCCCAAGAATTGATGGTACTGTTCCTGATCCTTTTAATAATGTAACAGCTATGATGATTAACACTGTTAAGCTGATTTCTGTAAGTGGTTCTTTTGGGTAGAGTCTTCCATCCTTTTCTTTGAGTATATTCAACTCTTTTGACTGGTTACTCTCTTTCTATATTGACAATTCCTTGAGTTCAACAGGAATTAAGTGTTCATTCATTTCTTTACTGCGTGTTTTTGTGTACAAACTCTTTGTTTTTAAAAAAACTGTAAGTAATATACCGAACAAAAAGATCACAATGATTAATTTCGGTAACCATTTACCTGTTGCAACTCCCAAAATTGCTCCAGCCAATAACAAAGGTAATGTAATCTGAACCAATTGATAATTTATTAATGGAGCACTTCCATTTGCAGTCTAAGTTAATAAAATATAAATGATTACTCTCTCTTTTCCCAGTCTGAGGAAATTCCCAAGACTTCCTCCCAAAAGCATAATGTAAGTGTTCCAAATTGCCTTTTTACTTGGACATCCCAGTAAAACCATCATGACTGGAGATATAATTGGACCACCACCAATACCACCAGCTTATGATAAGCCTACCAAAATGCCTAAAATAGTATAAGAAACCCAGGTGAATGGTTCTGCCAAAGAGGGTAATTAATAATCCATGAATAATTAAAATTGGAATATTTGGTAAGATTTTTATACTAAAAATACCAGTCCACAATATCCAATTTTAATATGAGTTTATTAATTGTGAAAATAGTACATCATCAAAATTAATTAATATTTCAATCGATAACAAACTCAAATAGATTTAACTTCAACACATTCCATGAAGGTTTTCATTTGTCTCAAGGCTTCTTTATAATTATTTTGATTTCCTTCCATTTAAGATACCAATCCTCTCAACCTATAGACTTCTTCAATCAAGACTTTCTTATGTCCAAGAAGCTTCTCCTTATCCTCCAAAAGTATGACTCTTTCTTCTTCCATTTAGATTATCTATGAGCATTTTTAACATGTCTTACTAATTTGTTATATTTTGAATTCAACTCAGCCAAATTCTCTTTGACATCCTACCTCTGAAGTTCAGAAGTGGACAATTGATTTTGCAAAATGTTAATCTTGGATTGCAGTTTTAGATTGACTGACTTTTCATATTTGAGAGTAGCCTAGGCATCCTCCAACATTTCCTCTAATTTTTTAATGGTATCTTATGATTCCTACAATTTGCTCTATAAGAAATCCTTCACGGCCTTCAAAACCTCTAATTGAGCTAGAGCATCCTCCTCTGTCTCAAACATGTTATTATTGTTTGATAAATTTTCACCTGCTACAATATCAATTTTTTCATGCTTTATTTCTATCTCTTCATGTTATGGTCCAGCAACAAGATGATTAGCATTTCTACTCAACATTAATAATTTGAATCCCAAAGGACAAAACATTACTTTTCTGAGAGTAGAACAAGTTGCTGTAAATCTATATAGATCATTGTCATCTAAGAATCCACACACTCTCTGGATTAAAATGACCTGAATAAAAAATCTGATTGAGTACTTTTGGTAATTTTAGAAGAAAAGTGGCTTGATTTCGTTTAAGCAATTCTTCCCTATGTTTTTAACTAATCTCCAATTCGTCTAATTATGCTATAATTTTATCAAGTTTATCCATTTTATATAATTATTATATTGTTCATGATCATAAGTCAAATAAGTAACAATGAGGATTGTCCTGAACCCTTAGAAACCAATATGAACAAGAGCTCCAAAGTATTATTGTGGGGGAGAAGGACTCAACATCAAAGCTTTGGAATCGAGAATCCCATTTGGAAATACAGAGCATTCAAAATAATACTTATAGTCTCTAGATTCATAGTTCTACTCACTAAATAGATCACTCGAAAGGATTTGAATCTTTTCACTAAGCAAGAATTCAATTTAATTAAGGATAAAGCAGCAGACTATAATTTTTACAAATATCAAGGATTGCTGCCAAGAGATAAGCCCTCTTAGATCTTACTTAAATTAAACAACTGGTTTTCTTGCATTCTATGTAAATTTAAATAATAATGACAGAACATCAAAGCTAATTCTTAAGTAGTAATGCTCGAAAATGGTTATTGAAACCAGACGACACAGTCATAATCATATGGAATATTTATCTGATTGTTATTGTGACGATCAATGTGTTTTATGTGTCCTTGCGTATCTCATTCCCAGAAATTGTGGATTTTCCTCTAAAAAGCAAGGAGTTCTTTTTTGAATAATTGCCTGTTTATTCATTTCTCTTGGAAATCGTTTTAAAATTCAACACTTGCATTTACAACAAAGGAATACTGATTACTAACAGAACGAAGATTGTGAAATTTTATTGCATAGAAGGTTAATGGATATTAATATTAGATAGGATTTTTAATTGATTTGTTTTTGGTTGTTCCATTCTTCATAGGCCAGCAATTTGACTTTAGATACTTTGATTTTGTGATAGTTTTGAAAGTATTCTAGTTGTCTAGCTTATTCTCGTCTCTTTTTAATCGTTTAGAATTGTCAAGTAGACAAACAGCACTCTTCGATTTATTTAAAATGATGTATGCATATAAATATGCACTAGATCGTTTATGATTCTAGTAGCTCACTTTTCAGCCTGTATTTGGCATATAATAGGACAATGGGGTGAATGGGGTCATCACGAAGGCAAGACTTGGTTGAAGGTGGCCTAATTGTAGAATGAATCTTGGTTGGATAGATATGTAGTCTCATTTTATTGGAGTATTGTTACAATGACAACTATTGGATATGGAGATATAACTCCTGTGAATTTGACTGAAAGGATCTTTGTAATATTTATGACTATGATTTCATCTGCAACATTTGCATACACTGTAAATAATATTGGAGGCATATTCTAAGACTTCTCAAAACAATCAGTTCAATTAAAGAATAACATGAATCAATTGAATAGATACCTAAGAAGTTAGAATGTGTCTGACGATCTTTAAATTAAGTTTAGAAGATACTTTGAGTACTTGTGGAGCAAACCATCTCAAAAAGTAATTTAATTTGCAGATTTGATACCTAAAAGTTTGAAAGATCAGATGATTGTGGACGTCAATGCTAAAATATTAAATTAGTTATCCTTTTTTAAGAATTTCAGTTAACCTTTATTGAATAAACTATGTATGTATCTGGAAGAGAAATAAATTCAATCTGACGATTACCTATTCAGAAGAAATAATAAATCATCTTAATTATTTATCCTCGTAACAGGAGAAATAAAACTAGTGCTAACTCTCAATGATTAGCCCAGATTGTTATAAAAAATAAATAATCCGTCCTTTATTGGGTAATTGGATTTCTTCTCCAAAAGATCCTACTCTTTCGATGCCGTAGCCTCTAAGACAACTAAAGTTCTCCAGATCTCAAGAGATTAATTACACACTGTCTTCAAGGATCACCCTTCTGATTATGTATTTATATATTGAAATCTATCACTTTTAGGAGATATTCTAATAGATAACAGATGAAATAACACAAAATATAAATTTAAAGGCAATCTAAATTAAATGTAATACATGCTAAAGCGATTCTCATTTTACTAACACATGTCCATTTTTATTTGGAATACCGAATAGAATTAAGACTTTATACAATTATCGAAAGTTCACTCCTGTTGATAGAACTCCTCGATATATTAGACATAATCACACAAGGAAGATGTATGCATTGAAACATCATTTCATTGTTCTGGAAAGTGTGCTTAATTATATGATGAAAAATGAAGATCTTGTTTAGATCGAAGAAATGAGGGAATTATAATAGCAACATAGCATTCATTTTGGGAATCAATTCACTTTCAATCAGATTCCAACTAATCTTCAGACTTAGCAGGTGAACAACACACAAGGAAAATCTTCTTTATCGTAAAGGATTCAACTTTCCATCGATGAATCTTCTCCTAGGACTTTTCGATTTTGTTAGCCACAGAATAACTAATATCTAAATCCAGCAGGGTTGAAGAATAATCCAAAGTTATCTATAAATTATGGATCTTAAGCAGAGTTGCCTGAAGAGGAAGTGCCTGTATATGAGAAGGTTTTGAAGAAAGGAGGGAATGAGTCCTTATGTGTAGTGAATGAGCAAGGTTATTAATAGGTATTGTAAGTACCCTCATTATAAATAAACTAAGTAGTGAGAAGAAAATCAGTAAAATTAAAGTTAGATGATAGTTCTGAAGATGACGAAGAAGATTAGGATAAGATTTTGGGATAATACATTGATATCTTTTAGCAATTCGAGAGAGTTTGCGAATTCAGCAATTATCATTGTCATAACAACATTTCATAAGTGGTGGCTAAAGTATGATATTAATCCTTTTCGTAGTTCCAGGAAAAGAGGATGATATTCTAGAGACAGTCAAAGAAACGAAAGAGTCGTCGGCAAGAAACCTTGTTGCATCTATTAAAGTAAGCCTAAGGGAAGTAAAGATTATGAGTAAACTAATATATTTGTAATACCAACTCTCGCCAATATATATATAGAATCAATAATTATATAAATTATTTAAGAAATGATGTCTTATGATTAGTTATATTATATTAAATAAATGAAATCAATATAATCAATATAATCAATGTTGATAGAAAACCAAATATTTGTGATTTAGTTATTTCATATTATTTACTTATAATTGATCATTGAGTCCTCCATCAGTCACTCTCTTTTCATAGTAATAAACCTCATTTATTCTTGAATGAATCAATGCCATTGCACACATTATACAAGGCTCAAAGTATGTTACCAAAGTCATTTCCCTAGCATAATATTAATTCTCCCGAAAGTGTCTCTGATGATTCTGGTTTTTGTTATGTTCTGCTAGCTTCTCCATTGCTACCATGACACAATGCCTGACATTGTTGATGTGTGTTTCATCTTCAGCTTCAATCACTATAGTATTTTCATCATTATAAAGTATGCATTTATTCCTTGTTGTTTTTGTATCTAAAATCTATTGCATTTTCAGGGGTGCATCCTTGTTTTGTTTATGTGGATATTCGTAATTTGGATGTACGATATTCCAATATCCATCATATATTGATTTCTATTCCTTATGTATAGGTGCCACACTTGGCAATTATATTTCAAGAAATTCCTCAATCTCAAAATCTCCCTTCATCTTCTCTAAGTCCTATGGATATGCTTTAGTGGAGTACCTCTGGAAAACAAAACAGCATAAGCACATGATCCTTCTCTTTGCCTTACCTAATCAATTTGAGGTAGTCGTGCTGATAGAAGTATTGGTGATACTTTTGCTTATAAAGCTTGATGGATTTCTCGGTGTTCTCTTTCTTTATCTTGGCTAATACAAATGTTTTAAGCGTAGGTTATTTCGCATAGCCCACAGGCATTAATTATTAGAATTGCATTTATATTACAATATTATTAAATTTCATCATTTTCTTTGCCATTGATCTTTGTTTTCTCCACTGATTAATTCGTATTTCTTCTTCTCGTCCTCAATAAATTTCAAGATCATAAATAATATTACTGTTATTGCTATGCCTACAAAACATGAGAATATCATCAACATGTACACTTGATAATGCTATCAATAAATTATTAACTATACAGGCATTCCTTATTCGAACTCTATCTAAAATTGGCAGTAATCTCCCACATAAGGAGATTTACACATACATTAACCAAATACACAATATCCGCCATTCCTACAAGGAACTGGGCATTTCTTGTACATTTCCCTCTTATCAAATTGCTTAATCTATGTCATGATGTTCTTCGAAGTTTAAAGATCCATGTGAATATTAAATAAATTATCCAGAGTTTATATTTGCGTAGAATTGTTTTCACTCTCATCTACAAATATCAATTTAAACTAGCAATATTATCCTCCATAGGGGGATTTGCAATAGCATTGAGATTAAATACACAACCCTTATTTGTTGCAATCAGATTTGCAATCGTTGTCCTCTTTGATTCTATCATGTCCAATATAGTGATCGAATTCTGTAGTGTAGTTCATGCCATATCCGAGTTTCAATATGTAATCGCAATGTTCACCTGCAAAAGGATAAGGACAGTAACAGGTTTATGCATTACATATACCTGTATTACATTAACATGTTTCTGCATTTATTAATGTTATGAATGTTATGAATATTAACATTTTGAATTAAATTAAAAAGATTTTAATTTTTTCTTTAAACAATCATGGTAAGAATAGTGATTACTATTATCTATAGGCTAGAGGACCCAAGAAACATATGAAAAGAATCACAGCACCCAAGAGTTGGATGCTCTCAAAATTAGGAGGAAATTGGACAACAAGACCATCATAAGGACCCCATAAATTGAGAGAATCAATCCCATTATCTGTTATATTGCAACATAAATTGAAATACGCTTTGTATGCAAGAGATGTCTAAATGATTCTCGCTGATAAGGATGGTAATATTAAAGTTGACGGAAAAGTGAGATCTGACTTTGGATATCCAGTTGGCTTATAAGGTACTTTTATATAATTAATGAGTCAGACGTCATCACAATTGACAAGACAAGAGAAAGTTACAGAGTTTTGTATGATGTCCAAGGAAAATTCATATTAAAATCAATCAAACCAGATGAGGCCAAATTCAAGTTAGTCAAAGTAACCTAAAAGAAGGTTGGACCAAACAATGTTCCTTATATTGTTACCAACGATGCCAGAACCATCAGATACCCAAATCCTGAAATTCATGTCAATGACACATTAAAAATCGATTTGGAAACTGGAAAGGTTGTCGATTTCCTCAAGGAAGAACCAGGTAATATCTGTATCTATAATATCAATTAGGAAATTTATGTTACATTATCGGAGGTAATAACATTGGAAGAGTGGGTCTCATCTAACACAGAGAAAGACATCTTGGATCATTTGACATTGTCCATGTTAAAGTATCAATTAATAAAGATATATCTTAGGATTCAAATGGCAAGCATTTCTCTACAAGAATCAACAATATCTTCACAATCGGCAAAGGAAAGAAGTCCTTAATTTCACTCCCAGATGATAACGGTTTGTATTTGACAGCTCTTGAAAAGAAATAAGCCAAAGAACACCAAGAAGAACCAAAATAATAATGATTATTCTAAAGTATAGTACACATTTACATAAAATATTAAATAATTCATTTCATTAAATTAAACAACATTTAATTTTATCTTATTATTACTCAAATTTATCCTTAGACTTGAATTATTCAAGAGATGAATTTGCTGTTTTACAAATATCAAATTAGTCTTAGGATCAATGTTTTTCTTATTTAATCATGTAATAATTAAATCTCCATAATTTGCAATTTTTATTAATACTCTTTTTCTATCTAGTTTTTGCTATGATTTATTTTCACTTGTAATTTCATTTAGTATCTATTTAGTAGTGGCAGATACTAAATGAATGAATTGTTTCCATTTATAAAATAATATTATTTATATATATTTATTGTACATCGTATGATAATGCAAATCATTTCTTTTATGCTTTAGTGGCAGCGATTTCGTTTCTTCTTCTGACAGCATTTGCTCTGTTCAACTTCACCAATTTTCTAAGAGCTGCCTTCTATAATCCAAGTCTTCTTGTACCAAATCTCTTTCTAATTACCTAGGATTCATAAAACATGATACTCTTGAGGCTGTGTGAATTCCGTGTTTGACACTCAAAGTTGAAGCATAAACTGATTGAGTATTCTTGGTCTTTCTGTCAGCTTATTAGAATTTTGTGCTCTTTCTTGCAACCAAATTCACATTGTTGATTTAATTAACCTTTGCTTATGTTGGTACTACTCCAATCGCATTTTTTGTAATAAATCCTTTTTTATTTTAATATTGTCTCCATACCTGTGCTGCTGTATGTTTAAACTCCAGTGTTATTGAATGGATCGGTTGAGAGTGTCAATCCATTTCTCTTGACCAAAAAAGCATTGTTGCCCTTAACTACTTCCCAAAGCACTGATTAAGACATTAATTTAAAATAGATATTAATTTTTTTTTAAAAAATTTAAGTAATTCATTAATGCTAACCATCACTATTAAAGATGTTCTTCGCATGTGCCATTGCATTTTCAGGATGTAATGCATCTTTGCATTCTTTCTCTGCCAAAATGCACACTACAATCGTACCCAACTAAACATTATTAATTCAATTTCTACTTTCAAGATAAAGTTGATAACGGACAACACTAATACAAATGTTTAAATTCCATCAGCCCAATTGTGACTGAAAGTAGAAGAATTCCAAAATGGACCCCAATAAACAAGCCAAACAAAATCAATAATCCACGAATACACAAATAGGTAAATTAATCTAATCTTTTGTGATACCTAAATTCACATTAATGATTCACTTACAGGTCTGTCTATATCCCAAAGCAAATAAGCAAAGGCAAATAGTGGGAGATTATAGTCTGGTCTTGCATAACAGGTGAAACAAGAGATAAATGCAATAGCAAGAAACAATTTCTTGGGCCACTCTTACATTTCAAATATTATATAAATAATTATATATTATCAAATATTTGTTAAGAGTATAAATATAATTAATTAATATGATGCCCATTCATTACTAGAGACAGCTCTCCTAGAAATCAAGAAGAACTCCCATCTCAACTAACAGTATATAATTATATCATACTCTCAATTATAACATCGCTTATATCTAATATTTAAATTATATAATATAGTAGGATTAGATTCACTGTTGCAACAACGAATGATCATAGACCTTGTGTAAAAAGAATATAATTAATCTCCAGGAAATAATGCCCAAAAATTATAAAAGCATAGCAGCTTCACACTCAAACCTAACAGATTGCCATCTCTTAAAATGCATAAAGATTATGGACTTACTGAGGAGGAGAAGGGAACCTATGGAGACAGGTAATTATTAGGATTTGAAAAGCTAGAACTCTTGGGAAGGTACATTAGTTAATTAACTCTATTTAGGGGAGGATTTGCATTAGTATGGTTGGCATCAACAGGAAATCAGAAAGTAGCATTAAAACAAATTGCCAAACCACAATAGAGCAAAGAGGCAAAATTCAGTTACATAAAATCAGATAACATTGTTTAGATAATGGGGGTGGAACATTCAAATAAAGATACTTGGATTATTTAGGAGCTAGGAGGGAAACCATTGAGCAAAGTGCTCTACACAATGAAAGGGGAGTTCTACAAAGGAGAAAGAGTTTATGCAGTATATCCAATCATATTTTTAGATAAGCGAGACTGTTGAATTGTTAGACATGTATGAGCATCCTTACAAACTCATTGAACTTATGCATGGAATTCTCAATGGAATCTCTTGTATTAATGATAAGCATGTCACTCATTTCGATTTAAAACCAGACAATATATTAGTTGAAAACAATATTCCAAAAATAATAGATTTTGGATCTGCATTTTCAAATTAAGACAATGATCAATTTGGAATGATTACTCCTGAATACATGGCTCCTGAGGCCCTTGACATCATGCATAATTGGACTAAATATTCTAATCAATACAATACTTAAATCGAAGCCCTTACAAAAATGCATGGAACTCCAAAAATTGATGTTTGGAGTTATGGTATTTTTATAAACAAATAAAGGGGCAATAATACTTGATATTTTGCATGGTGTACCTAATTGGCTATCCTATAAAGGCAAAATTATGAGATAAGGAAAACCCTAAATCAAATATGGTTTATTTGCAGTCAAAGGAAGAGATTTAAGCAAGTAATTATACATTCTAATACAATTAGAATTATCTAAAAGTAATAGTAATTGTAATTGAATTCAATCATCAGACAGAATTGTAACTACTTAACTCTGGTAAAATAAAATTAACTCTTTGATTTACTAAAACAATGTCTAGCCTATGATCCATCTCAAAGATCAGAAGCTAAAGATTTACTAAAACACGATTTTTTTAATTAAAACTGATGTATAATTATTTCTTTAGCTATCAATTTATAAATATATATTTATTTAGTTCTTGTATTTAGGGAATTTCTATTGTGATAACAAATTATTTCCTATTAATCCTACAAGAAGGCTGATGCACTGCTTTTACTGCTGATTAATAAAAACTGCTTTCCTTTAGAGTAATTTTTGATTATATTTAATAAATGAATAACTTATAGTATTTAAGTTATCTAAATATTTTTTTTTTAATATTTATATTCGTATGATTAAATTCAACTCGTAAGTAAAATGGCATCGAGTAATTAAACTTTACAAACTTCAAAATCTTAATTATAAGATATTCAATTTTTATTGTAATTAAATTTTTATAATTGAACTAATTATCATAGGTCACTTTATCTCCTTAAGATTTTATTCAATGAACTAAATAAATTTTATATCTTACTTCCTAAGATTTTGCAGTTCATTTTAAAATTCTTCAATTGAAGTTTAAGGGTTATATCTATTTTCTTCTAACCATTTAGAACTAGTATTGAGAACTTCTTATATTTCTTATTATTGCGACTCATCTAATGCAGAGTTGAATTTGGATTACTAACGTATATTAATCAAATATAACTTTTAGTTCATTAAGAAAGTCCTTATGATAAGATTTTAACCTACTTATTGATAAAATCCGCTCTTCATCTGCTTTTTCTTCTTCCTCATTCTCTTTCCTAAGGTTACTAATTTCTTCATATGAAATTCCCACCAAATTTTTTATGTTAATAGTTTCTTAGCTTGAGCTTTTCGTATTTAAATCAATGGCCTAAGCTGTAAGCATTCCATTTTAATTAAGTGCAAAAGTTATTTAAATTTCAGGTATCCCTTTTTTGGCTTTTTGAATACCATCTAATTCAAATTTTCCAATTTCTTCATTCCACTCTGTAAACTTGTTTTCTCCCTAAAAAACTTTAATTTCGATTTTAGATTAATAATCAGCAATAGTAGTGTAAAATCTTGACAAACTTAATGGATATTTAGACAGTCTAGGTATAATTATGCTCATTTGCCCATAAAAAGTTTCGATACCATAGCTTATTTAAGTCTTCATAATTTCTACAAATTGATAATGTTTTTTTGATTATTTAGTGAGCGAATTTGCTACAATAGCAGCTCCAATACAAACCAATTCATCTTATAATCTATCTTTAATGATCTTACTGTTTACGAATATTGTCTCAACAATTTCTTAGACTTTTGGAATTCTACTACTTCCTCCTACTAAAATAACTTCGTCTATATCTTTTATTTATAAATTATTGACTACAAATGTTGACTTTATAGCAGAAACAACCCTCTCAAAAAGTACTTGATTCACCTCTTCAAATTATTCCTTTGTAAGACTATAATAAAAATCATATCCTTCAATCAAATTAGGTATTTTTATATGTGCAATATTCTACATAGAAAGTACTTCTTTAGCTTTTTAAGCCTCTATTTTTAATATTTAAATTGCTTTTTTATTATGTTATAGGTCTATTTTAGCAGTATCTTTTATGTATTTGATTAAGTATTCGACTACATTGAAATCAAAATCTTCTCCTCCTAAATTCACTTCTGATGAATGTTGTAAGTCTTCAAACTTGTATTTTGTTGCTTTCATTGCTGTAATATCTAAAGTGCCACCTCCAAAATCAAAAACAAAAATGTTTGTTTCTCTTGTTACATAGTCCCTACCATAAGCAATTGCAGCAGCATTTGGCTCACTAATAATTCTAACAGCTTTTAAGCCTGCAATTTCTGCAATATCTATTGTGGCTTATTTTTAAATATCATTAAAACCAATAGGAACTGTTATGACTGCATGTTGTATTGGAAATCCTAAATAATCACTAGCCATATTTTTCAATTTTGTTAAAACCTTTGCTTGAATATAATCAATGTTAAATATCTTTTCACCTTCATTTTTATATTACAATACTTTAATACAAATTGTATTGTTTTCGTTAATTAAAGTAAAGGGTAAATTTTTCTTAAGCTTCTACACATTTGGATCAAAATAACTATAATTAATTCATATAGTTACTCTTTTCCAATTAATCTTTTGAGATCATAAAATGTATTCATTGGATTAATAAGAGCCTATTCTTTAGCTTCTTCTCCGACTAAGAACGTAGTATTGTAAGCAACAACCGTAGGTGTTGATTTAAATCCATACTCATTTGGAATTATAACAACTTTATCATTACTTTAAATGCAAACACTTGAGTAAGTTGTTCCTAAATCAATTCCAATAATCGGATAATCATAAAGCTCTTAAGTTGCTTAAGTAATTGAAAATACACTCATGAAGAAAATTATCATTTATTTTGATATTAAAAAATAATAATCAAAAAGCACACTTTTGCGATCAACTTAAATATGTAAAATTAATTATAAAATGCAGCTTTTTTCATAGATTCTATTTGAAATTTTTCATTTTCTGTTAGAAAATTAAAATCAAAGAAATTAGTTTCAATTGGCACTTTTCTTAAAACTGATGCCCATTTAGATCTTGTAAATATGATACAAATATTTATAATGCATAATTCTTTTATAAATCTTGTAATCTGATAATTTGGTTCTATAGAATTCTTNTCAAAAAGTACTTGATTCACCTCTTCAAATTATTCCTTTGTAAGACTATAATAAAAATCATATCCTTCAATCAAATTAGGTATTTTTATATGTGCAATATTCTACATAGAAAGTACTTCTTTAGCTTTTTAAGCCTCTATTTTTAATATTTAAATTGCTTTTTTATTATGTTATAGGTCTATTTTAGCAGTATCTTTTATGTATTTGATTAAGTATTCGACTACATTGAAATCAAAATCTTCTCCTCCTAAATTCACTTCTGATGAATGTTGTAAGTCTTCAAACTTGTATTTTGTTGCTTTCATTGCTGTAATATCTAAAGTGCCACCTCCAAAATCAAAAACAAAAATGTTTGTTTCTCTTGTTACATAGTCCCTACCATAAGCAATTGCAGCAGCATTTGGCTCACTAATAATTCTAACAGCTTTTAAGCCTGCAATTTCTGCAATATCTATTGTGGCTTATTTTTAAATATCATTAAAACCAATAGGAACTGTTATGACTGCATGTTGTATTGGAAATCCTAAATAATCACTAGCCATATTTTTCAATTTTGTTAAAACCTTTGCTTGAATATAATCAATGTTAAATATCTTTTCACCTTCATTTTTATATTACAATACTTTAATACAAATTGTATTGTTTTCGTTAATTAAAGTAAAGGGTAAATTTTTCTTAAGCTTCTACACATTTGGATCAAAATAACTATAATTAATTCATATAGTTACTCTTTTCCAATTAATCTTTTGAGATCATAAAATGTATTCATTGGATTAATAAGAGCCTATTCTTTAGCTTCTTCTCCGACTAAGAACGTAGTATTGTAAGCAACAACCGTAGGTGTTGATTTAAATCCATACTCATTTGGAATTATAACAACTTTATCATTACTTTAAATGCAAACACTTGAGTAAGTTGTTCCTAAATCAATTCCAATAATCGGATAATCATAAAGCTCTTAAGTTGCTTAAGTAATTGAAAATACACTCATGAAGAAAATTATCATTTATTTTGATATTAAAAAATAATAATCAAAAAGCACACTTTTGCGATCAACTTAAATATGTAAAATTAATTATAAAATGCAGCTTTTTTCATAGATTCTATTTGAAATTTTTCATTTTCTGTTAGAAAATTAAAATCAAAGAAATTAGTTTCAATTGGCACTTTTCTTAAAACTGATGCCCATTTAGATCTTGTAAATATGATACAAATATTTATAATGCATAATTCTTTTATAAATCTTGTAATCTGATAATTTGGTTCTATAGAATTCTTGATCTTTAAATAAAAGTTTCATAAATGCATCATCCTTTAATTATAATTTTTGATGAGGTGCAGATAACTTAATTTAAATAAAATAATGAATAAGGATTATAAGAAGAACTTCAGGATGAGAAGTTATTCTATATTTTTGAATATTTAATCAAGTCATTTTATAACTAACTCATTTATAAATGAGGTAGAGCCTAATTAATAAGAAAATTAAAGTGATTGAAAAAAAATAAAATGAAATATTAAAACATTAAATACAAGATGAAGTAGAGAGTTAAAAATCTTGTTAGCGGAGCTTTCCTCAATTGATAAGTGAAAAATTTGAACCTAAGAATGTTGCATTATCAGATATAATAAAAAAATTAGATAGAACTAAAACAAATGGAATTACTTAACACTTATGAAATTTTAAGTGTTGTTTTCAAAGTTGTTATGATTTCTAAATTGATGAAATCAAATTTGAGTATTTCTTAAGCTAATGAAAAGGTTGAGCTTATTTAGAAATTATAAAAGTTCTGGGTCGAACAGATAAAATGATGATCTAATAATAAGCAATTGTCAATTCAAGAATGGATATTTAATATCTTAAGGCTTTGATTAAAAATATAAAGTGATTTATCCAAGCAAAAATACCAAATATCCAAAAATAATTGATTTATACATAATCTGTTGAGAATCACAGAATTCAATTTATAGAAGAAGCTTTATATTAATACTGTTATTGTTATTATTCATTTTTGTTTAAGGAAAAGGTATGCAAATTGTTATAAATAAATCCTTATGACTTGTTTAAATCTATTTTCTTTACCTTAATTTAGTTAATCTTTAAATTTATTTATCATCTCTTGTTTTCTCTTTAACTGCTAATTTCCACTGAAATAGTCATTCCTTAAAGCCTTCTAAAATCTTAGTAACTATAATTTAAGGGATTTGGGAAACCCTATAAGTTTTTGTACCCATTCCTCTTAGCTCTAGAATGAATGGAAATTAGTTTACAAATAATAGACAAATAATAGTTGATCCTTTTATATCAGTCTAAATAAAAAAACAATTATATTAATTTTATGAGTAATTTATTTACACTTCCACCTAGATATTTTTCTTTAATATTGTTTAAATCTTTTATATGAGTCGATATTGAAGACTTATTTGAAATCGGTAAACATTCTATTTCACAGCCAGATATTCAACAAGTGAAATTATTTCCTTTTGTTAAAGATACGTAGTTATAAATATATAAACCTACTCTTTGTTTACTCGAGCATCCATTTATAGCAATGTCTTTTAAGAAGTTTAAAGCGTTCTTTTGATTTCTTTAGTTTTTATAAGAAAATTTAATCACTTTCATTTGCTTTAACTTAAAACTTCTTTCTAACTGATTATTGAATTCACCTGAAACTCATTCATATAGATATAAGAAATAACTAGCCATAGGTTTTCTTTCTTAAGTGATGGATCTTTAAAATATTAGTTTGAATGCAGTGCCTTCAGAAAGTCTATTCATCACATTGAAAATCTGATTAGCTTTAAAAATTTTAAAAGAGTTTCTCTCTGTTATTTGTATAGAAGCATTAAGTTGTTAATTTAACACATCCCAAATTTTACTCTTTAGTTGTGTTGTTAATTTTATTGATAACCGATTCAACATTAAATTAAGTCTTTCTAACATCAAAACTAATTATAAGTGCAAATTCCAATAACTTAATATCAGATTTATAAAATTAACATTAAAAATAATCTATTAGATTTAATTGAATAATTCCATAGGAAGTTAAAGAAATATGTAGATCTTTAAGATTAAATTTAATGAAAAAGATATTTTTACCTGTTACATTTACTAAATTTAAAATTCTAGTTAGAGATCAGGTTTATATGAACTGTTTATGGTAGTTAGGAGAATTTATAAATAAGCATATTTCAACCCTAGAAATACCTAAATTATCTAAATATAAAGCTAGGAAGTCTAAAGGAAATTGGATAAAGATAAACAAATTTCTATTGGTTGCTTAATTCATTAATTGATTAAATCATGTAATTGGTCAATCATTTTTTGAGATTTAGAAAAAAGTAACCCTTTCAATTAATAAAGCATATCGCTTGCAAGATTGAAACTTTGAAACAAAGTATATCTTAATATAACGAAAAGAGAACAATTAGACAACTGCAATTCTTAGTTTGCTCTAAGATTTCTTGAATTGAGCTTCTGCAAAAAATTCGATGAACAGTTTTAAAAACTAATAATTGTATTCCTATACTTTTCGAGAGCCTATACTACTATTTATAGAGGAAAGTTATAATTATTGCTATTAAAATAAAATATTCTTGTAAACATCGAAATTCAATATATTGAAGCAATTTAAAGTAGAGTTGTTTATATCAATCCCTACAATTTAAGATGTTTTACGGCAAGGATTCCCACATATCTCCCTTTTTATTTACATCGATGGATTCTTAGGATATCTTATTTTAAAGTTAGATTTTATTTTTAGTTTTTAGGATATATGTTAATTAACTGTTACTTGTAACAATTAATAATTTTGATCCTTTGGACATTGGAGTCTATGAAAGCTTTGACAGAACCTCAATATTAATCAAAATATATATCTAAACCCAATATCTCAACAACAAAAATACTTTCCAACATCAGATATTACGTAGTTTAATTACTAAGTTAGCAAATTATCAGATCTCAAAAATAATCTATTTCTATAACTCCTAAACTAAAATTATTTATCCTGAACTTTTAAACTATTTCTCTTAATTATACAATAAAAATTATTGCTTATAACATTGCATGGTTTAGAATCAAATTATCCAAAAATTATTTAATATTTATTATCCAAAAGTATAAATCATTTAATATAAGCAAGGTTTAATTATTACATTTAATTTTTATAAATCGACATGTAAATTGAAAGATAATAGTAAATTTTGAAGATACTATCTAAAGGGAACCAATATTGCGGATTAGAAGAAAATGCAAGGTGATTAATTACTTTAATCCTTACTTGTTATTGAGTAATTTTTCAATCATATTGTTTTGTAGATCAAACAACAATTATAAGAATAAATATGGAAAAGCTATGACTCAGAAATAATCAGGAATTAATTATATAAAGTAAAATGAAAATCTTTATTAATATTAATTTAAATGATCACCAATCAATTATTTAATCCAAAACTAGGATCAAAATAAATTTCTGTTCCCAGGTAGGAAAGCCGAGCATGCTGTTTTTACCCTCGTAGATTAATTATCTGTTATGATTTTATAAGAAGAATTCCAATACCTTTAAAGGCAGTGCATTATTTCTTAAAGGTTTAACCAGGTTTTCTTGTAGTAGAATTAAAATAAACTTATTCAACTTAAAGTTATCAAGAACCAATAGAATTAGAATATTTATTTTCAATCAATAAAAATGCAGCCGTGACTAAAATGATAGTTGAATTAGGAGACACCAAAGTTTATGGGATAGTTAAGGAAAAAGAGGAGGCTAAATAAGAATATGAAGAAGGAATAAAGTAGGGCAAGACTATGGCATATAGTGAGTAAGATGAATAATTCCCTGAAATAAAGAGAGTTAAAATTGGAGCCCTTGCCCCAAAAAAAGAATTACAAATCACATTTGAATACATCTAACCTTTGGATGTATTTTTGAATAAATTATGGAAAGTAGAAGTTTAGCCAATGGTTGATGAAAATTATTTTACCCTTAATAAATAATAGTAGACTTAAAATCTATATTATGAAAGACTGAATAGATACATTTATAAATTTGTTCAGATAGATTAATTTGTATACAACTTCAAGCAAGATATTAGTATATCCATAGATATAGGGTCTCCAATAACTTATTATAAATGTCCAACTCATAAAGTTTTAAGTGGAAATGCGAAAGATGAATACGTTAAGGAAAAAATGAATGAAGAAAATTTCAAGAAATTATATCTCATGCTTGAGGATACACCATCTNTTTGCTCTAAGATTTCTTGAATTGAGCTTCTGCAAAAAATTCGATGAACAGTTTTAAAAACTAATAATTGTATTCCTATACTTTTCGAGAGCCTATACTACTATTTATAGAGGAAAGTTATAATTATTGCTATTAAAATAAAATATTCTTGTAAACATCGAAATTCAATATATTGAAGCAATTTAAAGTAGAGTTGTTTATATCAATCCCTACAATTTAAGATGTTTTACGGCAAGGATTCCCACATATCTCCCTTTTTATTTACATCGATGGATTCTTAGGATATCTTATTTTAAAGTTAGATTTTATTTTTAGTTTTTAGGATATATGTTAATTAACTGTTACTTGTAACAATTAATAATTTTGATCCTTTGGACATTGGAGTCTATGAAAGCTTTGACAGAACCTCAATATTAATCAAAATATATATCTAAACCCAATATCTCAACAACAAAAATACTTTCCAACATCAGATATTACGTAGTTTAATTACTAAGTTAGCAAATTATCAGATCTCAAAAATAATCTATTTCTATAACTCCTAAACTAAAATTATTTATCCTGAACTTTTAAACTATTTCTCTTAATTATACAATAAAAATTATTGCTTATAACATTGCATGGTTTAGAATCAAATTATCCAAAAATTATTTAATATTTATTATCCAAAAGTATAAATCATTTAATATAAGCAAGGTTTAATTATTACATTTAATTTTTATAAATCGACATGTAAATTGAAAGATAATAGTAAATTTTGAAGATACTATCTAAAGGGAACCAATATTGCGGATTAGAAGAAAATGCAAGGTGATTAATTACTTTAATCCTTACTTGTTATTGAGTAATTTTTCAATCATATTGTTTTGTAGATCAAACAACAATTATAAGAATAAATATGGAAAAGCTATGACTCAGAAATAATCAGGAATTAATTATATAAAGTAAAATGAAAATCTTTATTAATATTAATTTAAATGATCACCAATCAATTATTTAATCCAAAACTAGGATCAAAATAAATTTCTGTTCCCAGGTAGGAAAGCCGAGCATGCTGTTTTTACCCTCGTAGATTAATTATCTGTTATGATTTTATAAGAAGAATTCCAATACCTTTAAAGGCAGTGCATTATTTCTTAAAGGTTTAACCAGGTTTTCTTGTAGTAGAATTAAAATAAACTTATTCAACTTAAAGTTATCAAGAACCAATAGAATTAGAATATTTATTTTCAATCAATAAAAATGCAGCCGTGACTAAAATGATAGTTGAATTAGGAGACACCAAAGTTTATGGGATAGTTAAGGAAAAAGAGGAGGCTAAATAAGAATATGAAGAAGGAATAAAGTAGGGCAAGACTATGGCATATAGTGAGTAAGATGAATAATTCCCTGAAATAAAGAGAGTTAAAATTGGAGCCCTTGCCCCAAAAAAAGAATTACAAATCACATTTGAATACATCTAACCTTTGGATGTATTTTTGAATAAATTATGGAAAGTAGAAGTTTAGCCAATGGTTGATGAAAATTATTTTACCCTTAATAAATAATAGTAGACTTAAAATCTATATTATGAAAGACTGAATAGATACATTTATAAATTTGTTCAGATAGATTAATTTGTATACAACTTCAAGCAAGATATTAGTATATCCATAGATATAGGGTCTCCAATAACTTATTATAAATGTCCAACTCATAAAGTTTTAAGTGGAAATGCGAAAGATGAATACGTTAAGGAAAAAATGAATGAAGAAAATTTCAAGAAATTATATCTCATGCTTGAGGATACACCATCTAATTTTATTCCAACAAAATAATTTACACTACTATTTTCAAGTGATGACGTAAATCTTCCTCGAGCATTCTTAAGTCATACTAATAATGACGCTTTATTCGCACAAAAATATTGTGCTACGTTGACTTTTATTCCAAAGTTTAATTAAACAACTTTGGATGATGCTTATTCACAGTACTTGGAAGAATTAAATATTGCAGAGAATCAAGCAATTAATAGAGGAACCTATTTATTCTTCATAGACAGAAGTGGATCAATGTCTGGTGGTAGAATAAAGAAAGCAAAATAATCTTTAATTTTATTTTTGAGAAGTCTACCCGATAATTGTAGGTTCAACATCATTTCATTCGGAACAATGTTTAGATCTTTATGGTCGGATTCTAAGTAATATTCCCAAGATACATTGGATGAGGCTATAAAACATGTAAATACCATGGAGGCTAATATGCAGGGGACTGAAATATTTAAACCATTTTAAGATGTTATCTATAATAATTAATATGGTAAGTCAAAAACAACTACATTGAATGTATTCTTACTTACAGATGGAGAAGTTGATGCTTTCCCAATAATAGATTTGGTAAAAAGGAACAATAAAGCAGAAACTAGAATTTACACTTTAGGAATTGGAGAAGGATGCAGCCAATATTTAATTAAAAATTTAGCTGAGGTAGGAAATGGGAAATATTAATTTGTAGCAGATGATGAGGATATAAATGCCAAAGTTATTGATTTGTTAGAAGATTCAATGACTCCTTATTTACAAGGGTTTAACCTTGAATCAAATATTTCTAGTATTGCTCAAATTATTCCAAATCCAGAATCAATAGTGTGTTTAAAGAAGAACTAAGAATTAACAATTTAAGTGTTATTTTCAGTTGATCAGGTTACTGATAATTTACAGCTCACTTTGAGTTGCTTTGATCCATAAGAATAAAAACCAATCAAATATTCTGTTTCATTAAATATAAATTAATCTTAAGAAAATGAATATTTTCATAAATTGGCTTCTCATAAATTTATCACATATTATGAAAACAGTCTTAACTATGGAGAAAACCACGTTAATTTTATCAAAATCAACAAGGATACAATAGATGATTAAGATATAATTAACACTTCAATAACACATTAGATATTAAGTTCCAAAACTGCATTTGTATGTGAAGTCTGTGATTTAGAAGATTAATTCAAATAGTAGATGAAATAAAAAGTATACATCACTTAAATTAAACAAAACAACCTGATAGATTAACAGTTGATTGGTTTGCAAAGATTTGTACCTTGTTCAGCAAATTTAAATCGTCCAACAAGTACTAAGGGATGCGTACAAAGATAGACATAATCTCAAATTTCTCAATAGCCATAAATTTAGCATTGCCTAAAATAGGAAGAAGAGAAACAATCTACTAAACCTTAATTCAGAATGGAACTAATGAAATTCAAAGGATAGAAGGAAAAAATGTCTTTTGACTCAAAGAAATAGACACAACAACTCATGGAAGAATAAAGAACAGTTCTAGAGAGGTATTAGAAAGAAGAAGAAAGTTGTTAAATTGAATAATAGAATTAATTTTAATAATTCTAGAGTTAGATTAATAAAATGGAATATGACTAGTTGATTTCATATGCTAAAGCTGACGGTGGATTCTTATTTGATGAGTTAGTTGAAAAGCAAATAAATTTTGAAGGGTGGAAGAATGAACAAAGCTACCCATAGAATATCTGGCTTACTTTACTTGCTTTAATATATTTGGATTAATTTTGTTCTTAAAATAGAAAATCATGGCAATTAGTGTATTAAAAGGGAGTATAATTTCTTTAGAGAAATGGAGTTTCTTATAAGTAGCTAAAGGAATAATTATTATAGAATATTAAACAACAAATTTGATTTAACATTTTATGTCATAAATTTCAAACATATTTATTAATTTATTTAATGAATTTAAGATTAATTCTAAGTATGGGGTCTAGGTTGATTGGTGCATATAAACCTCTCGCTTGGATGCAATACCCATAACTGCATTTGTATACAAAATTATTGAGTATGTGTTTCACTAAGCCCATATTGCCTGATACTTCAATATTAACAATCAGCACTTTTAGAAGAAAGCCTGCAAAACTCAAAAAAGCCAAAAGAAAGCAAAGAAGAAAGAAAATCAAACGAATGAATAAAGCCAATAGAGAAAGACGGAATTATTGAGTAATTATTAAACACATATAAATATTATTGTACTTATATCTAAATATAAATTTATCAAATTTCTAGACGCTTTTCACTTACATATATACCATCCAAGAATTGTCTGATATCCTTATTTTTAACAGCACAAGCTTAATGAATAAGTGCACAGGTCAGTGAAACATTATTTAAATCATTACCTTAGAGTGTTAGGACATCTAAAGAAAGTATATGAATATTAAATACTCTTTTCTTCTTATTCATTTCTTGTGATTGTGACTCCTGGAAGACATTTAATTGTTCTGATGATCTTTTCACCAAGGAAATTTTTGATTTCAATACCCAAACCTTTATCTAAGAGATTGATAATGATTGGAAAGTGAGCGTATGCCAAAACCATCTTGAATTTGTAGCCAGTGGTCACACCCCTAATCATATTTTTGATTGAAGAGGCAACTGAATTAACTTGGCATCTTTATTTTCTATATGATTGCCACATTCTAACACTGACTCTAGATTTGGAAGCATTGGTTTTCTTGTTCACTTTCTTTTACACTTAGATATCTAAAGCGGCATGTCTAAAATTTTTGATCAATTCACCTCTTGGCCCTAATATTTCTTAATATTTGCTAATACCTTTTACTTTGACTTATTTGGATTTGGTTGTAATTTCAATCTTTTCAGGAATGGGAACGTGCTCCTCAGTCAGAATGTATTTCATATCTTTTAATTCTTTTAATTAAATTTTTGAAGTCTCAGCCCTTAATATTAAAATTTATGATCATTGTAAAATATAAGTATTATAATTGTTTATCATGTAGGTTTTTACCGTATTAGCTTGACATAGAATTTACTATAGTTTAAGCCTAATGAGAGATTTAAATATTATTCCATTTTTCATTATTTCAATAAAGAACTCTATAAAAATTCATGAAAATAATTAAGTTTTTGAATTTTTATGTTGCATTCTTAAGCATATTGACTTTATTGTTTAATAAAAATCAATTTAATTTTCATTTTTTGACTTCTTTGTCCATTTCTTTTTGAAAAAAATATATAAATAGAAAAGAATTTATTTATTTTTTAAACATATCTTCTCTAGGTCAAATTGTCTAAGCTTCTTATCTTTAATTATGCGCTATTTTGTTAATTATCATTTGAATCTAAAATTAATCTAATTGGTAATTGTTATGAAATCTTGAATATACCATCTGAACTTGGAATTTATCTATGCTTGGATTCGTTAAGGAGTAAGATGCTGCAGTATAATAATTTAATTGAATAGACATAAAGCTCCATTTTTGGCATCTTGATATGTGACATTGGTCTATATTTATCAAATACTTAATGCTTATATCTATATACTTTAGATCAAATTTATCTCAATAAAATAAATAATAGAAAGAAAAAAAAATGAAAGAAAATCAAAAATAGAATAGAGATATTAGAAATATTTTTTAATGCAAATGGAACTATAGCACTATTATTATCACTTTCAATTTATTCTTATCGGTAATGATCATTATTGACAAATAATATTATTTTACTTTTGATTAATAATATGAAAAAATAAAAAAGGAAATTCATGAATCAGTTAAACAGCATTGCAAATATGAATTGGAATTAATGTTTAAATAATAAGAAAAAAATTAATCCAATTGCCCTTAAGGATAGTCAATGTTATAAGAAAATGATTAATTGACTAATGTCAATATTTAAAAAATTAAATATGATGAATAAATAAGTCAAAACAAGAAGGCATAATTAAATAATAAGAAAACAAAAAATGACTAATAATTTAATTCATTGAACAAAAATGATGAAAAATAAAAGTATAATAATAATATCAAATAAAAGAAAGAAAATAATTAAAATGAAACAAAAAATGAATAAGAAAATAATTAAAATGAAACAAGAAATGAATAAGAAAATAATTAAAATGAAACAAAAAATGAATAAGAAAATAATTAAAATGAAACAAAAAATGAATAAGAAAATAATTAAAATGAAACAAAAAATGAATAAGAAAATAATTAAAATGAAACAAAAAATGAATAAGAAAATAATTAAAATGAAACAAAAAATGAATAAGAAAATAATTAAAATGAAACAAAAAATGAATAAGAAAATAATTAAAATGAAACAAAAAATGAATAAGAAAATAATTAAAATGAAACAAAAAATGAATAAGAAAATAATTAAAATGAAACAAAAAATGAATAAGAAAATAATTAAAATGAAACAAAAAATGAATAAGAAAATAATTAAAATGAAACAAAAAATGAATAAGAAAATAATTAAAATGAAACAAAAAATGAATAAGAAAATAATTAAAATGAAACAAAAAATGAATAAGAAAATAATTAAAATGAAACAAAAAATGAATAAGAAAATAATTAAAATGAAACAAAAAATGAATAAGAAAATAATTAAAATGAAACAAAAAATGAATAAGAAAATAATTAAAATGAAACAAAAAATGAATAAGAAAATAATTAAAATGAAACAAAAAATGAATAAGAAAATAATTAAAATGAAACAAAAAATGAATAAGAAAATAATTAAAATGAAACAAAAAATGAATAAGAAAATAATTAAAATGAAACAAAAAATGAATAAGAAAATAATTAAAATGAAACAAAAAATGAATAAGAAAATAATTAAAATGAAACAAAAAATGAATAAGAAAATAATTAAAATGAAACAAAAAATGAATAAGAAAATAATTAAAATGAAACAAAAAATGAATAAGAAAATAATTAAAATGAAACAAAAAATGAATAAGAAAATAATTAAAATGAAACAAAAAATGAATAAGAAAATAATTAAAATGAAACAAAAAATGAATAAGAAAATAATTAAAATGAAACAAAAAATGAATAAGAAAATAATTAAAATGAAACAAAAAATGAATAAGAAAATAATTAAAATGAAACAAAAAATGAATAAGAAAATAATTAAAATGAAACAAAAAATGAATAAGAAAATAATTAAAATGAAACAAAAAATGAATAAGAAAATAATTAAAATGAAACAAAAAATGAATAAGAAAATAATTAAAATGAAACAAAAAATGAATAAGAAAATAATTAAAATGAAACAAAAAATGAATAAGAAAATAATTAAAATGAAACAAAAAATGAATAAGAAAATAATTAAAATGAAACAAAAAATGAATAAGAAAATAATTAAAATGAAACAAAAAATGAATAAGAAAATAATTAAAATGAAACAAAAAATGAATAAGAAAATAATTAAAATGAAACAAAAAATGAATAAGAAAATAATTAAAATGAAACAAAAAATGAATAAGAAAATAATTAAAATGAAACAAAAAATGAATAAGAAAATAATTAAAATGAAACAAAAAATGAATAAGAAAATAATTAAAATGAAACAAAAAATGAATAAGAAAATAATTAAAATGAAACAAAAAATGAATAAGAAAATAATTAAAATGAAACAAAAAATGAATAAGAAAATAATTAAAATGAAACAAAAAATGAATAAGAAAATAATTAAAATGAAACAAAAAATGAATAAGAAAATAATTAAAATGAAACAAAAAATGAATAAGAAAATAATTAAAATGAAACAAAAAATGAATAAGAAAATAATTAAAATGAAACAAAAAATGAATAAGAAAATAATTAAAATGAAACAAAAAATGAATAAGAAAATAATTAAAATGAAACAAAAAATGAATAAGAAAATAATTAAAATGAAACAAAAAATGAATAAGAAAATAATTAAAATGAAACAAAAAATGAATAAGAAAATAATTAAAATGAAACAAAAAATGAATAAGAAAATAATTAAAATGAAACAAAAAATGAATAAGAAAGTAATTAAAATGAAACAAAAAATGACGAATAAGAAAATAATTAAAATGAAACAAAAAATGACGAATAAGAAAATAATAAAAATGAAACAAAAAATGAATAAGAAAGTAATTAAAATGAAACAAAAAATGACGAATAAGAAAATTGTTAAAATGAAATATAAAATGACGAATAAGAAAATTGTTAAAATGAAACAAAAAATGAAGAATAATTTAATTCATTTGACAAAAATGATGAAAAATAAAAGGATAATAATAATAACAAATAAAAGAAAGAAAATTATTAAAATGAAATGAATCAAATTAATTTCTCAAATGATTACAGCATAATCTCACCAGAAAACCTAGCTGGGAAAATACATAAAAATCTTTCAAAAGAAAATTTTGATTCCTTCACACTTATTTATAATCAAAAGTTCTAAAAACCTCTAACTGGTACAATATTTAAAAAATTCTATGAAACAATTTATACTTTCGGAGAGGATCCTTTAGTTTGTATAGCTGCTGAATACTAAAATAGAATAGCTTTAGTTGGGTGTGATATCTCTACTGAGGTTTTTTAAACTACAAATAATGTGCTTGGGGCATAGTGTTAAAGAAATAAAGAAATATGTTGGTATCATATTGAGGAAAGAGCATTTGGTTTCTCTCCAAATAGCAAGGTTGATTTGACTTACTGTGATAAATTGAATCCTATGGATGAAAACAGATTATGTATATCACTTAATGAGAAACATTAAGAAAGAAGAATTGGAATATGGAATCAATCAGAATAAATAAGTGCATTTAACTTATTGATATATATTCTGAATATATGATATAATAGTTTAAATATTTTGGATTAATAGTTATTGAGTATTTTTCAAATAATAATAATAAAAAAATAATAATATTACAATATTCAATCCTGAAAAATTCTATTGTTATTATATTTTTTGCAAGACTTTTTGTGTATACCAAATTTAGGAGAAAAATCAATTGATCTAATTTTATATTTATAAAGAATTTGAATTGAGTAATACAATCTATAATAAATTATATATTTTTTTACGTTTCAAATTTCAAGCTTTAAAAATCTTATATTAAATATATGAAATGATTACTATATTCTTTAGTGCTATTTACTTATTTAACCAGTGAAATTAGTTAGTTTACTTCTGCTTTTTTAAATAGTTTTAATACTTTAATCTAATTATGCCTTCGATCAAAAACAAAACAGTTTTCAAATAACTCTTCTATACTTTGAAAAGATTTTTATAAGTATTACTTTTATTTAAGATACTAATATCACTAAATCAATACACTGTAAATCTTAAAATTAAGATATCAAACAGCAATTACCTTATAAATCAATAATTATCATTTTAGTAATAAAATCAATAATCCCAGAATTATTAAAAGCAGTAAAGTTTAGAAACTCTCTGGACCAAGAAAACTATTTAATACCGAAAAGTCAATTCAACTGTATTATAAAAATGCTGAGTCTGAGTAAAACAAGGATAGGTCCTCAAATCATATGATCACTTCGCTGACGAAAAATTGATTTCTAGTTATCAAATTTCAGATTCGTTCTTAAAATAAACAAAATTTACCTAAGAGATACATAACTTGCCCCAATAAGACTTAATAATTTTTTTATTTATTTTGCAAAATGCTTGTTAGTAATTGTGAATTTTTTTTACTAACCTTGCATTTCTTTAAATCTTAATCTTATTTATTTCCAATATATTGTTTCCCTAATTATTCTTCCAATTTGTTTGAGTTAAATATGGTAAATTCTTATGAATTAGAATTTAAAAAGTTAAATGTTAATATTTTATTCTAAAATTAGGTCTAACTGTCACTGTAATGTTATTGGTAAGAATTACTAAGGTTGAGTGTTATTTTTATGATTAAAATCTCCACAAATTATCAGATCTTTTAATATTATTTAGGTTTCTTACAAAAGTCTAAAAGAAAGGAAGGTGCATATTTTTTCAGGATTAAGTCTTCTTAAAAATAAAATTTTTAATTACTAAATCAATAAAATTATCAGTTGTTCAATACTTAGTATCTCGTCATCTTAATGGTTAGCAATGTGGTTAGGACATTTCTTAGCTAAAGACTTTATAGATAAAAGTTATTATACGTATGGAGTGATTAGATCCAATTTCTAATCGAAATAATTGTACTTTGTATTATTACTTCTTGGCTCAGTCAGCAAAACCTTAACGATCCAAGCTTCTTATTAATTGCAAATTTTTTTGATTTCAAATATCGTTTATAATGTTTAATTGTGGTATCTTACAAATTAGCGAGTTTTTCTTTATTATGAGATTGTTTTATCAATTACTATTCTTTTTTGCATTTTATCTATTTCATCTTGCTCTAATTTACTTACTTATGAAGTTGTTTCTGACAATAATGCTAAATACTTGATAAAACTTCTATAGTTCATAAAAATTTCTATTCATGTGCACTTTTATTTCTTGTCATTTCTGAAAGAATTATTCTTTCGTTGTCCAGACATTCAAAATATATTTGAAAATTATTAGAACCAAATTGTATCATATAATATGATAATAAATCTAAGAATATAAATCAACTAATATATTTATTTTATAAAATTACTAATGGACTTATGTTTTATGAACAATTAATACCTAGTAAATTAAATTGAAATAATTATTGACTTAAAAATTCTTTCAGAATAATTATAAAATAACATTAAATCATCAAATTTAAAATAATTTAAGGGAAAAACAACTGATTAAATTTTCGTATTATCTTCTATAAATTTAATTAAAAAAATTATTGCACAGAATCACTTTATTTTACATGTTTGAACCAAATTCAATCGTAATTATTTTATTAGGAATATACTTTGTAATTACTTAAACTAAAGAGCTTTATGATTATCCGATTATTGGAATTGATTTAGGAACAACTTACTCAAGTGTTTGCATTTAAAGTAATGATAAAGTTGTTATAATTCCAAATGAGTATGGATTTAAATCAACACCTACGGTTGTTGCTTACAATACTACGTTCTTAGTCGGAGAAGAAGCTAAAGAATAGGCTCTTATTAATCCAATGAATACATTTTATGATCTCAAAAGATTAATTGGAAAAGAGTAACTATATGAATTAATTATAGTTATTTTGATCCAAATGTGTAGAAGCTTAAGAAAAATTTACCCTTTACTTTAATTAACGAAAACAATACAATTTGTATTAAAGTATTGTAATATAAAAATGAAGGTGAAAAGATATTTAACATTGATTATATTCAAGCAAAGGTTTTAACAAAATTGAAAAATATGGCTAGTGATTATTTAGGATTTCCAATACAACATGCAGTCATAACAGTTCCTATTGGTTTTAATGATATTTAAAAATAAGCCACAATAGATATTGCAGAAATTGCAGGCTTAAAAGCTGTTAGAATTATTAGTGAGCCAAATGCTGCTGCAATTGCTTATGGTAGGGACTATGTAACAAGAGAAACAAACATTTTTGTTTTTGATTTTGGAGGTGGCACTTTAGATATTACAGCAATGAAAGCAACAAAATACAAGTTTGAAGACTTACAACATTCATCAGAAGTGAATTTAGGAGGAGAAGATTTTGATTTCAATGTAGTCGAATACTTAATCAAATACATAAAAGATACTGCTAAAATAGACCTATAACATAATAAAAAAGCAATTTAAATATTAAAAATAGAGGCTTAAAAAGCTAAAGAAGTACTTTCTATGTAGAATATTGCACATATAAAAATACCTAATTTGATTGAAGGATATGATTTTTATTATAGTCTTACAAAGGAATAATTTGAAGAGGTGAATCAAGTACTTTTTGA